GGCACGCCGAAGTGCCGTGTCTCTGTGCCTTCGCACGCTTGGATACCGACCAAGAATCGACGCCGTGTGGATGTGTTTTGCGAGTGCAATGTGCGTGAAGCCGTATCAAAAGGTACAACTCGTCTGAAACAAGTGTCGCCGGTGTCGCGGCGTGATCAAAGCTTCCTTGGCACGCCGAGTGATGCATCTTTGTGCCTTCGCACGCTTGGATACCGGTCAAGAATTGACGCCGCGCCAAAGTTCTGAACGTGTGTCGCGCGTAGAAGCCTTTAGGTCATTTCTATATATCGGCCACGGAGTTCTGGATCGTCCAGCTGTTCCGGTGAGTTGCTATCAATAAAAGGGAGAGATCTGTACGTGTTCTTATGTACTATATTAACCATGGCTATGTCCCAAAGTTACTCTCATAGATTCCGTGGGAGCACGAATAGGGCAACGTTGTGGAGCCAGGGGGGTTTTCGAAAGCAAAAGTACAAGACGGCGAGAATGAAAATCTTTGAAGCGCGGCCGATATGGTAGTGTGCAATCTGCTGACCAATTACAATCAGGCGAGCCGCGCTCAAACGTCAAGTGCAATTAAGTAGGTTGATAATAAGCCAGCACTGATCAGTGATGAGGAGCTGTTGTGCACGGTATTGTGTAAATCGTCTAAGGACGAAAACAAGACGTACCTTCCCCCCATCTTCCGTCGCTAGTGGACGCTGGATTAAGCTCGTTCCTAAACCGCGAGGGGAAAAGACGCTGATCCAGAGGCACGAACAGCTTCACGCACATTGCACTCGCTAGACACATACACACGGCGTCGGTTCTTGGTCGGTATCCAAGCGTGCGAAGGCACAGAGACACGGTACTTCGGCGTGCCAAGGAAGCTTTGAACAGGCCGCCAGCCCTTCCTTTCGACGCGTTGTGCCTTTTTCCTGCGACACTGCACTTTCGTAAAATTTTCCACGTGTTCACAACGGCAAGTCTCAACAATACACAGAGTCTTCAAAAAACTTCTTCGGCGAATGACGACGAACGAGTAGAAAACGTGTCCACAGCACGCTGGAAAACCGCAGCAAAGGCTAGCAAAAACGGCAAATCGTATCCCAAGCGAGTGAAGTCCGGTGGCTTCACTTGCGCTGCAGCGAATAAGCGGGGAAGCGCGATCCAGCAATTGTCATAGAGATCAGTGATCGCAGCTATGAGATCGTCTTGGGAATCTGTGACTGGCACTCTGTCGAGAAGATTCGCTCAAAAGGAAAGAAACTTTCGTATTTATTTTTATTTTTGCTTCGTAGAACCCACCTCAAGCGGTCACCTATTTTATAAACATGAAAATTAACAAATGACGGACAAATAACATTGTGTCATTTTATTTAGGTTAAACAATAAAAATAAGTGGGAGAGGAAAAACGCTCACTCCCCGCAGCAAAGTACTCGTGTACATACGTGCTACACCACTGGGAAAACATCAATATTCAATGATGGCAGCACCTCCTATTGGTTTCAGTTTTAAACACGAACCCTCAGCTGCCAACTGCCGAGAAAAAGAAAACGCACACACACGCAACGATTTCATTTATCGAGGTTGCTATTAGAAGAAACAGAATATCGTCAACATGGACGGATTAAAACTAGTTCGCCTACTGAAAAGTCTCTCTCCGTTGATGCACCTGATGCTGAGGTGGCGTGTACGCACTGCGCTATAAGAATGAGGCGCGGAAACTCGTGCTGGCGCAACTTCCACCACTCCAGAGAATCGAATTCAATCTCCTCGATCTACTGGTACGCGAAGAAGTCACTTGCAAGCTTTTCCCACTTTTCTGTGGCTTGTACGTTTTGGGTTTTCTTTGCCCGAAGAACGCCTTCCGTTCTTTCCCTGCCAAACAAGAACACGCTTCCCCGGGACGCCTGATGCTCCTGCATTCTTTACCTTTTTCCAGGGACAGCATTTTTGGCGAGATGGAACGTTCTAAAGCAAACTTTAGTGAGAATCAAATCTTTCTTGAAGTAGCGAACAATTTTCTCCTTGAGTGGCACCTTTTATCTAAGACAGTAGTTTGTTCCCGCAATACATATTCAACGATGCACTTCATAATATCACTCACTTAGTCACTCTACACCAGGGGTCTCAAAACATGCGGCCCGCGGGCCGCATGCGGCCCGCGACTCGCTGGGACGCGGCCCGCAGGCAACCTGCTGCGAGCTCCGGTTCTCATGTCACGAGCGCTAGAAATGGCATGCGCAATCGTGATCTCAACTCGCCTATTCATTTTCGCTGGAAAAGTAGCTCCGCTCTTTTAACATATTCACATAATTTTTACTTATCTGTGTTCATTTGCCCTGTGTTTCGCTTTTTGTTTTGGTTCCCAGATTTTTGTAATGTACAGTAATCCCGCTACTCGGCTGCAAGCACGAGCTCTTTGTTGAAGAATGCATCTTGGATGCGCGAACTCTCGATTAGCAGGAGAACTGCCGAAGATAAAGCTACGAGCACGGAATTCTCGCCTTTAAAAAATATATATCACCATAAAAAGACAAGTATGGGTGTTGTACTAGAAATCGTCAGGAAAGCTAGAACTGATAAATTAACTGATTGTTTTTAGAGACATGTTGAGCTTGGTTAATCCCTGAGTGAATCTGGCAAGGGGAACGATAGTGTACTTGCTCTTTTGTTCAATTAAAAATGCGACCACGTTGGCGGCGCGGTGTCATTTTAATTATTCTAATTACATCAGGTCAGGGCCCAAATTAGTCATGTGAACAAATCATATCTAATAATGTCACTGGCAAAAGTGAGTTTCCAAAAAGCGTAGAGCACGAGTTCTCTCACTTTGAAATCGTATGACCCCCCCCCCCCCCCCCCCCTCCCTCAGTCTAATGTTGGCCCTCGGACTTCCCAGTGTGGGCTATCTGGCCCTCACGCTCAACTGAGCTTGAGACCACTGCTCTACACTGTGCGGTCACAGACGTTTTGGGCCGCGTCGGCAAAAATGTAGCTCCGGACCCGTGGATATCCGATCCTCATCCGCAGCCCCTGCCATCCGCATCTGATCCGCCAAATCTGATTCATTTGTTATACACGCCCACCAGTTTCCTGCGGATATTCGCAGATGATCCGCGGGTTATCCACGGATATGCAGGGCTCTACACGTGAGTGATGAAATGCGCACCGCGCGACAGGTCTAACTCCTGGTTAGCTCAGTTGGTAGAGCGCTCCACTGGAAATGGGGAAATGGAAATGGAAATGTCCCAGGTTCGATACCAGGACCAGGCGGATTTTTCCAGCCGCGCACCAGTCACGTTTCAGCTTCGGTACGAGCGCGGCCGATGTTATGAGCCGAAGGGCCAATCAAACAGCGAAAGAGGCACAACGTCCATGGCGTGCTCTCTGCAGTTGAAAGGACCAGCCGGTATTCGCCGTCTCTCTGTGCGTGCTCCACCGCCGGCTAGTTCTATCAAGCGCAGAGAGCACAGCTGAAACCGAAGCTGAAACGAAGTATAGCTGTGGAAGAAACACGACGACGTCTCAACGTGTCTTGAGACGTCGTCGTGTTTCTTCCACCAAGTCTCAGGTGGTTTAAAAAAAAAATGGTAAACTTACACCAGCTCGCCTGCGCCCTAACTGTTTTTTCATTATAGCTGTGCTTGGAGATTTGTGTTTCTCCCTTGTCCCCCTTTCCAGGGCTTGTTATTTTTGTCCAGCTCGCTTGCACCTTTACATTAACTGCATTATCATCACTTCAATAGCAGCTTGAGCGGACGCTGTGACGTGCGGCATATGGCATGGGCTGCGTCACAGCGTCCGCGCGAGTTGCTACGGAAACTGCTACACGGGTCCAGTTTTCACCGCTTATGTCTCTCCTGCTTAGAAAGTTGCCGGTTCATGCGGTGTGGCACTCAGTTCGTCGAACGACGTTTTAGCGAATGCCGAATTTTCATCGAAAAAGACTTTAGGGAATGGTCGGTCGCCGTGAAGCGGCGTTTACGGGTGGGCCAGGAGGGTTAACACAACAACCAACGCAGATAACGCAGACTGTCGCTGCGACGCGACGATTCATCAAATGACCGCTGTTCACTAAAACGTCATTCGCTCATGTGATATGAACCCGCGAAAAGATAAGCCACAATGGGGACAAAAGACACTTTGGGGAAGCCCAATCTATGCGCCCATGCAACGACTGTTCCCTCAACGCCGACCTGTTACCTGTATACACCCCTTTTACATATTTACAACATTGGAAGATGGATAACAATTATGAGCTTTAAAATTCCCCTTGAGCGCGCGCTGTCGGTATCGGGTATATTTTCTCAACATATATGATGGGACGATTGTTTCATTAGTTATCAGAACCACCATCCAAATAGAACGTCTTTCGTGCCCTCACTCTCAAATTAGCGCATAAGAACTTTGTCAAATTGTCATTCTCCCCAGACGTAATCCACGACTAAACTTGCATCTCAGAGATGGGAATAGAAATCCGAGTTGGTCGGGTTCGGTCCTCGCACATTGTAGCGAAATTGCATCGTGGCGGCGAGAAAACAGCACCGCGGAGCGAGATCTGACCAGTCTTTAGCCACAGTACAGTAAAAATTAAAGAAAACATCACGTACCTCTTTTGCGCACTTCAAATATGCGTCCGGATATGACTGCAACCTCTGCCGCGCTTTTTGTACGGAAGACATCGTTCGGGCAAACTCTTTCTTGCTACGCTTACAGTCCTATGGGCGCTGCCATGTTTAGTGGCGTAAATGATGATGATTTTTGAGCAACGCTACAGCACTATCGCCAGGAGTTCTTGCTATATTAAAACAAATATGATTATTAATTAAAAGATTTTTGTAATTTATTTGCAACCGTAAGTTGTAAGATTATGACAACGGTTAATTCAGCAGAACTAATCATAGCGGGAAGGTAGTGGGAGCAGGAGAGAGATTTAGCTGTAACCCGATTCTCGTGGCAAACGCTGGTTTCGCGCGTTTTCGCGCTTTGTTGGTCGCGCGCCGCGCAGAGTGCTTTCCACAGCAAGCGAACAAAATGTCTAAAGAAAATACTCTCTTTTCGTACTTCTCTAAATCTCCAAAGGTGAATCAAGCGTCCAACAAAGGTTCAGATGCGACGGGCGTCAACGGCAAAAAGGGGACGACGCCTCTCAAGCGCAAGGACAAATGCGCGGGTGACAGCGCTAGCCTCTCGCCCAAAGGTACTCGTCTTGTCATCGCTGTCACATCGAAATATTCTGTGACAAGCGCTGTCTTGACGTATATTACAGGGTGCCGGAGTAATTTTTGCGGAACTTCATAATTAAAATTAAGAAGAATTCATGCAGCAATCGTTGAACCAAATAAACCCCAGACACCGTGCCGACTTGACAAATCTCACCCGAGTTCGTCGCTTCCATTATCCTTCGTTGTTTTGCAAGAAAACAGAATAAAAAATTTGCCTCAAATAGGATATTTCGGTGCTGCAGATATTGTGATTTCTAGGTATATGCTATGCAAGAATGTCTCGGCGCTGCTGATATTGTGATTTCCAGTCACGCAATGCAAGAACGGATTGGTTCGAAGCATTTCTTTGTAGCTCCAAGCTGTTGCGCTCCATCATCCATATCTATGCGAAGTGGCAGTAGTTGGTTTCTTCGTGCTGGCCAGTATTGAAAGGCTAAAGGGATATCAAACTGCATTGTATGCAGGCTTCATTTACTTCCCCTAAATACTATAAACAGACCAGGGGTGCTATGTTCGACAAATCTTTCGCTTCTCGTAAAAGAAACGGAAGTGACTATATCGCGTCTGATTTGATAGAGGCTCAAATGACAAAACTTCCCTCTTTCGTCATTTGAGCCTCTAGCCAATCAGACGCAATATTGTCACTTCCGTCATTTCCGTTTCTTTTTAAGAGAAACGAAACATTTGTCGAACATAGCCCCCCAGGGCCCTCCTTGAGGAAGGTAAGATCCGTGGCTGAGGTGGAGGAAATGAAACTGTACCAGAATTTTATAATGAAACATAAAAACAAAAATTCAGCACAAGGATAGCTAGTCTGAGATCATATTCGGAGCCTTTGAACAATTTTCCTTTTGTGCGTTCTCATTTTTAATTATGAATCCTTACCAACTTTCCATAACTCCACATTGTAGAGTCATGGAGTGGCCAAATGTGATCAGGCAATCAATGAAAACTTAGACGAAAAGTGCGTTAACAAAGTGTTCAGATATGTTGACGATTATCTAGTGGTTACAAGAAGGTCTGAAGGTGCCTCTGATGATTGGACTGTAAAAGCAGTGTTGGATTTGTTCGCTCAGCATTCTGGGAGGCTAAGGTTTACCCATGAACTACAGGATGGGCCCCACCTCCAATTTCTAAAGTTCTGCTACCATTCAATGTCAGTAAGTTTTAGGATGCAGGTACAGCTGCTGACAGACGCTGGCTTCTCAACGTCACTTATTCTGGCAGTGGTGCAGACGTTGTTAAAAAAAGATTAAAGGAAGATTAATTCAGAAAAAAAAGAGAGACCCACAACGAGACCCCTGGTGCTTCCTTACATGCACAAAGTTTTGCACTATTTGAAAAAGGTGACCAAGCGGTTTGTGTGTGTTTTCGGCACCTTGAAAGTTGTCGCAACTCTGCCCTAGAATTTCGGAAAAGGCTAAGGGCGTGAGCCAATGTGCCGTAAAGCACATTGTACGATGAAACAGAGTGTGGTAAACACTCCCTGTCGCCGCCTGCCCACTTTCCCCCCCAGTGAACTGCGCGTTCAAGCTCCACGACCTGGTCTGGGCCAAGTTGGAAGGCTACCCCTTCTGGCCGGCCCTGGTATGCAACCCTCCCAATGAGAGCAGCTTTCTGGACCGGGCCAAGGCGCCCTCGGTGCACGTCCAATTCTTCGACACTCCACCGTCCCGTGGCTGGGTCAAGCTCAGGTTAGATTTTTACGAATGCTGTCTTGAGGAACATCTCTAGTTGCCATCGTCTCCCACATTTCTCTCGTTTGCTATAATGTGTCGAACACAATACAAATTACGCTAGAGCCAAACACGAGGAAAGGATTGCGATCTGCTTGGCTTTGGTGGTTTACTCTTTGTCTAGTGGCTCACCTGGATGACACCGCGAAAATTGGTTCACACGTTTGCATCCGAGTGTGACCAGGTGGAGTGTGCTCGCTTGTGATTGTTCACAACAAGCGAACAAACTGGTGCCATCTATCAAGTAACCCTAAAGCACTTGATTTTTTTTGTCTTTCTGTTCAGACATGTGTCTGTTTCCTTGTTGAGAGCCGAGGCAGGTGTGTGGATTAAGCCTGGTTTATGCAGCACCCTTGCACCGCAAAGCTTACGTACGCTTACGTCGAGATACGACCGCGAGTCCCCGGCACGTTAGTGCTATGTATTCTGCGTTTCAAAATACTCTTTTAACCAGTTGCAACACTTCGTACGAAGCACGGGTGACTTGCTGTCGTATTTCAGCATAGCATACATTAAGCTTTGTATCTTAAAGGTGCACTAAAGACTTTTCTGAGATTGTCTGTTCTCGGGTATAACTTATCTCACAAGCTCCAAGCATCCTAGAAATAAAAAATATTTTGCTTGTGCAACATCTATTTCTCTACTAAAAATGCGATCGAAGTTTGTGCCACACCCCTTTCTTAGCGGAAAAATCTGGAGCACAGAATCCAGTGGAGGCGCCAGTGGCGCCTCTGCTGCCGGCACCTTCGCTTGCGATTGGCTGACGCGTGTTTGTCGTCACGGCATCGGCGCCTTAGCTGAATTTTGTGCTCCAGATTTTTCTGCTCAGACGGGGGCGCGGCACAAAGTTCGATCACATGTTTAGTAGGGAAATAGACATCGCACAAGCTTAATTGTTTGATTTCTGGGATGCTAAGATCCCATAGAATGAGTTATCACCAAGACGATCTCAGAAACATTTCTAGTGCACCTTTAAGGAAACGAAGCCGTGTGAACCGGTCTTTATACGCGAGTCATAGGACGCAGGCTAGACTCAAGGTTTTGCAGTATGTGCGAGATCGAATCTACTCATTGTCTATGAGAAATGGCCGCTTATAACATTGTCTGAATTATTTCTGGCGTGCGGTGAATGAACAATGCCTCGTCTCTGGTTCAACCCTGTACCTTTGCTTATGTGCGAAAAATGGCATTTTAATTTTTTTTATGTGTATATGTGTGAGTCACATATCAAAAATGAAGCTTTTGCAGCAGTCAGATATCCGTTTATGTAAACTCTGTCCTCCTTTCCTCCAACACCACCAGCAAACTAAAACCAAAGAAAATCCTGGTCATGCCACTGAATTTTTATACATACTACCCACCTTTCCATGTAACAGATTTTCTGTTGTTTCATTTGTGCAAATAAACAAAGCCTGACAGGTTGTCTCATAACTTTCAGACGACTCAAGATGTTCACTGGTCCTAGTCATATGGAAGTGCCGAAGATGAAAGATGTCAAGTGGATCAAAGGGGTTCAGGAAGCAGAAAAAGCGCTGGCCATGGGCTCGGACGAGAGGTCGCACCTGGTTTCGTTTGTGGAGTCTAACTCGCGGGATGCCGAAGACAGTGAAATGGGTGAGCAGTGTTGATCTGCGATATTGAAGAGGTTGTGCATGTGATCCTGGAGCCAGGGGTGTGGTAGAGCTGGACTGAATCTTTTCCTCCAGTTCTGGCGAAGCACGCACCTTATTGAGCCTGCCCTTGACGGAACGTCCTGTGACGTTCTGTGCTTAAGGGATTCAATTTCCTGTCTGGCAACTTCGGAGACGTGTATGTGGAGTTTAATCATGGTTTGTGACGACAACCTATGTCTGGGTGGCTGTGGATTCAGAATCTTAGGTGCCTTATGTCTAGAGCTTGACGTTCATTAATGACAATGGGTCAATATTTCTGTATGTCTGAATCGCTACAGAAGCTAATCTAAGCACATGATTGTGTTAACCACTATTCCCATGGCAAATTCCATAGTGCTAGAAGTCGTATCTTGCAGATTTCTTGAAATTATGGTATCACTCTCAACTAACTAAAATTACATTCTCTGCTTTAATTTGTTTGCACGTTGATCTTTTTTTATTTATTTGTAAGTTTGTAAGTAGGAAATGTAACCAAATTAAGCTCTGGCGGATGCTGAAGTTCTATGATTTAGGAATTTAACGGAAGTATACCCCGACGCACACCAATATTTTGATATAAAAGGTAAACGCAGATGAACTCTCTCTAAATATGGGTGATGCACGAAATAACGCATTCCAAAAGACCTGTGTCAAAATCCCCACAACAAATTCCCTGCGTTATCTCCCCTGTCCTCAAAATCCCCGGGTTTCAGAAGCCCCTTTCCCGCTATCCCCTTATCGGTTCCCTTGGCTTTCCCCCAAGCTACCAACACAGCTACCTAATATAAGAACAAGGTTTTCAAGAAAAGATATTGCAGAACAATTGAATGCTAAAGAAACGGAAGTGAAGAGTTCATCTATACAAAAGAACCTCGAGAACCTTCCAAGGTCGGAACTTTCCTCAGTTAATGTTTCACAGTCTATGTCAAGATGCAGAAGGTGGAGGTTGAATAATATCAGAGGTGCACGAGTGCATTAACATTAGGCACGAGTGCAATAACAAATGCCAAAAAGTAATGTGCAGAAGATGAAAATGAAGGTTATAAAATGACACTCCTAGTTTTAGTAATAACCCATGGAAAATTGCAAGTTTAAATCGCCATGCATCAAATATTCCGTGCGCCGACGTCTATTACAAACGCATACCGATCTTTGCACCAAAATGTTTGTGCACCGCAAAACACTTAACCGAACCATCCGCAGGTGCATAGCGGGGAAGTTAAGCACAGGGATATTGACACTCTGGGCAAGCGAGAGGAAAAGTTTGGAAACAGGAATTTTGGTACTCGGAGGAAATGACATCAGGAGAATCGGGCTACAACCCTAAATATGACCAAAACTAAGCTTTGTAAAACTGGAACCCTACCCATGCCTTAAACTTAGCATCTAGGGCATGGTGGCAGCTTGACTGACCTAGCTGAAAAGGGGTGCAAGGAAACAAAAAGTGTGCTTCCAGTCTGTAGCTTATAAAAATTAAATGCAGCTTTTGATTACTACTCTGTTTGACTAGCTGCATGCAATGTTGTGCAAGTTCTGCCCAAGGCTTACACTGCTGGCTAGCCTCAGCATCAGATATGACGGCGTAAGCACAAAGGGGTGAGTGAGAAAAGTATGACTGAGATTTGTGCAAATAAGGTGTCGGGATGTCAGGAACGTGGAAGAAAGGTTGCTGCACCATTGTTTTTGGGCTGGTCAATATGTGAGGAGAAACCCGATTGCAGGTGTTGTCAGTGGTGGCAGTGATGAGGACGCTGACGAGGAGGCAAAGGAGAACTGCGAAAGTCCCCAGAAGGTGAGGAGCAGTTCCAGTTCCCTTTGTCGTCCTTTCCTGTCGTGCATCTTCTATCTGGTCCTAGCGAGTGTGCATCGTTTTCTGCGTTGCCCCTTCTTTTCAGTCCAAGGTTTGTGCATGTATATAACAAACTGCTGATGTTAACCCTTTGATTTCCACACCACTTGGTGCTAAAATTGAACTTATTACTGTCATGTTGTGCAGAGGATTTATAGACCTCATCAATAATCGCCGTCTGCATACTGCCATCTTTGTCTACTGTGCTGTGGAATGCATTTTGAGCATACGCATTAGCTGTCTTATGGGGAATATCAGACACCGTGCATATGTTTACAGTCTAGTGACTCGGCATTTTCTGCACGGGTGATAAGTGCTGGAAAGGTGCATAGACTGCACTGGTATCTTAATGTCTAGTAAGGATCTGGCTTTGAAACCTTGGGGGTTCTTGAATCCCACAGCCATCACTCAAAAAGCGAAGGATCATCATGGCGTCGGACAGCGAGGAATCGGACGACGAGTTCAAGCCGGGCAAGAACGAAGCGAGCGAGTCGGACAGCGAGAGCAGCGGCGTCGACGAAAATGCGCTTTCCGAGCCAGATCCGGAAACTGACGAAGGTTCTCCAGTCAAGGTATTGCATCCGATTTGCTTGGCTTCTGCATTTTGTGTGAAGGGCAGGTCCACACATGCCCCTGCTGCTGGTAGACTCCAGAAATATTTATCGCTGTGTTTTCAAGGTTACGCATTTTTGAAAAACCGGAAACGGGAGGGGGAAGCGGGGGGTCGATAAAGGGGACAACACACAAAACGTTTTCTGTGTTGTTCCCCTTTTTCGTCTGTTCCCGTCTCCGGTTTTTCAAAAATGTGCAACATCAACCAGCTCGCCTGCCTATTCACTCTATTTTCAAGGTTGTTTTTTACACCTAGCTTAAATATACTTTATTGCACGAAACTCGCTGGCTAGTTTCCCACAGCAACTTGAGGTACAAACACCTTGGTGGATCACAAGATGCAGATAACTGTTGGTCTGCATTGCTTGCCAATCATTACGGCACTCTTTTTTTTTGCGTGCTCGTTGATGTAATGTGGAGCAGTGTTTTAGAGTCAGTAGTCATGTTTATCTCGATTGCCCTTTGTTGTTTACTCCAACATTTTTATGAAACAGCATAATTTCTTGTCCGCTTCTGTTCCTTTTCCCATACCACAAGAGCCGCAATGTAATCAATGAAGACATGCGCATAACTCACTAGCCACAATTCAGCTATCATTCACTAATGTACAGCGACGATTTCCAAGACGTTTAAAGTCGGCTAATATATTGGGGCCAATGGGATTGTTTTGCTTTTCTTGGATTTATTTGGTTCTGGGTGGGCATGGATGTGCATAATCTACAATCAGTTTTGTTGTTGTTTTAAAACTTAGAGCAATGCTCATGTTTTGCCCGTTCAGTAGCTTTTGATATGTTGTTTAAACATAACTCTGCACTGTTCTTAAATTTTGTTTTCTTTTTTTCTTATTAGGCAACTCCAAAGCAGGCCAAGAGAAAGCGTAATGCCAATGCAGGCTCAACACCGTCGTCGTCCCAAAAGTCAACACCTGTGAGGTCTTCTCAGGAATCTACGAGGTCAAAGCTGCTGAGCTTTTCATCGCCTAAGGTGAGGCTGTTGTTTCATAATACTTTGTGTGTCAGAATTCTTGGAGTTTCACAGAGAAATTTGGTAAACCAACAAGTAATTTTTGGCTTCCTTCAGAAATCCCTGCAGTGATGGGTGATAGATTTTGTTTGTGCACACGAGTTTGCATGTGAAACTTTAGCATCATATTGCTTTTTTTTAATTGAGAGTAATGGCACTCAAACTACGGTTCTTAAATTTTCTCTAACTTTCTGGAAGGTTCTTGTAGTTACAAACTTACCCTATCCTAATCTTTTATCATGGAGAATAAGAATGTGAAGTGGTCGGTACATTCTTATAGGCTTATGCAGGTCCTGGAAGAGCTTGTAGTGTGAGTAAAGACGATTCAGAATGGTTAGTTGAAGAGCTAGGCTTTGGCACTGCTTTACCCCATGTGCACTCTTGTCTTTCCTTTTATTATGCTCTCTGGCACCTGGCCTACGGTCTGCATGTGAATGTCCAACATGAACTGCGGCATAAATATTTTGGAGACCACTGCTGTGGAACATCTACCCACAAACTAAACATAAGATACTTTATCAGTTCTGCTTATACTATCCAGTTGAATGGGGGAGCCATTGATCGGGTCACTTTAGCCTCTAAAATTTGTGTGCTATGTAAAAGTAAAAAAAAAATCAGCTCCATGTGGTGATGCACATTCACAATGTGCGTTCTTTTTTTCTGTGCGACACAATGAGCTAAGAACATATACTTACCTTTTCCCTTGCTCATAGGCTGCTCCGAAGTCTGACGTTTTGGAAAGCCAGCCTGCGTCGGGTGCGAAAGTCTGGGCCCATCTTACCTATGACTTTTTGAAGGAAGGCAAGCGGAGGTTAGTTTTCTTCAGTCAGTTTGAATTGTGCTTGCGAAAACAGAAGAAAGCCAGTGACTTATGGCTAGGATTCTGTGTTTTCAGAGTTTTATTTCTCGTGAAATTCAAAGGGTGTTCTTCATAGTTTATTTTTCGCTGGGTATTCGGAGTTTGTCGCAGTTTATTTTTGTTAGATTCCCAATTCCTTGAAATTCAGAGCTTATTTTACTGTGGATAATAAAAAAAAAAAAAAAAAAACCTAAATAAATAAGGTCAGGGTACTATCACCCGTTGTCCCAAAGGAACCTCGACGTGCTAAAAGGCAAACCCCTTTTGTCAGTAGTTCTAGATTTCAAGGGAAACTGAAGTGGAATCTCTTCAAGACCACTGACCTTGTGCTCTTATAAAGTTTAGTTGTAAAACTCCGCCTTTTTTGCTGTTTATTTTGTCTCTGTGACACCAAAAATGAGTTTTTTTTTATAAATCCGAATTAATAAAAAATTTACCAACGGGTGTTTTTCGGATTTATCCGATAACATGGAACCTTACTTATGAAACAAATTTTAATTGAGTACTGTTGAGACCGGTTATAACGAAGTCGACGGGACTTGGAGAGCACTTAGCTATATCCGCTTCTTCATTATTTATGAACTGATACAAATAACATGAAAAAAAAAATGAAAAAAAAGATAACACGCGGGTTGTCACGGGCACACGTTTATCGAGCCCGCAGAAAGTGGTCGAAGCTTCCCTGCACGCGTCCTCTGCTAGATCGGAGCCACTTCTTACCAACTGTGAGAAGCTCCAATTGAAAGAAGATCCTGCTACGTACGGACCGTGTCGACAGTTGCGGGGGACGCCGACGGTGATCGGCATTTTCTTTACGTTTATGCTCTCTCCGTCGAGGATGGCACGCTTGAGTCAAGGAGGTTGCCTTCGTCTCCCCCATTGAGGTGCCGGCGGTGCCGGGACTCTCCATCGTTGAGTGGCGATGATTCGCCGAGTCGGTGCTTGAGTGAAGTAGACTTTCGCGCAAGAGCGACCTCGCGGACCAGGCGCCGACACAGATTATGGAGCAAAAGAAGAAGCACGCATGGCACCAAGTTCGTGCTCAAGCTCGTCTGTCGTTGGTATAGAGAGCCTAGGTTTAAGAGATGGGGCGACTGCTTGATCGGGGTCACGTGGTTTGTGGGCTGTGTTTTCAAAACGAGCTGCAGCATGCAAGGAGTCAAAACTCAAAAGCATTCACCTTCTGTAAACGTGTCCGCGTCTCTGCCCAGTTCCCTCGCCACACTGGCAACGTGACAATCAAACGCAGGCGTACTTACTGCTCTCTCTCTTAAATCTAGGCAGTCTCCATCATCTATATGGGAAGGTTGTCACCGGCGCTCCAAACGCCCCTATTGGCACACCACGACGGCTGCTCCGCGTGTGATGTGGTAAAGCTGCTTCCCAGATAAGGAGCGGGGAGCAGACGACGTTGCAGAGACTGCCGCCGGCAGCCTTTCCAGCATCTTCTGCAGCCTGTTCTGGGTGGTTTCTTGGCCACAGCAGCAAAGTGTGGCGACTCGAGACTTAGTAAATTTTTTGAATTTTATTCTTTTTTCAAATTATCACAAAATATCTCTCCGCTATATCCACGGGAGCCGCTCAATTTCCTTCCCTAAAAACAGACACAAATGCATCGAAAAACTGCAGATGGGAATGGAAAATCGTGATCGCTTCGCTGTAGCCGCTATTTCGTTCTAACCGGTCTCGACGGTAGTAATAAATGCAGGAAACCACAAGCTATCTGTGCTGAACAGTCTTTATCGTTGGTACGAGGAGCTCCCACTGATTCGTCTCTTATGTAGGGACGCTGGTGGGCATTTGCCGAGTCACCCCGACTTCAACCCCCGTTCTCTTCAGGTTCCCGAGAGTTTCAGGTCAAAACTCTCTCCTGTAAGTTTTTGCGAATTCTGCTTTGAAAGCCTGTGCATTGAGATGCTGCAAGTAGCAGCTACTAGTATTACGTAGGTTAGAGTCCACTCATGTTTCTTTGCTTGCAAATCATCACTCTTAGTTTGTTTTATTGCTTTGTTAAGGGGGAAAAAAAAGGAGAAAAAAAGATTCTTCAAAAAACATTGATTTTGAAAAATTGCATATTTACATCCATCTACATCCAGAGAGTATTCCCAGAAATTTTCACTAGTTTACACTGCATAGTTAGTTTTTTATAAATTATTTTCTGTCCACCAAAGCTAAAGGAAAGGTAGGGTTTGGAGGCACTTTGAACACATTTTTATCCGTTCCACTTTTTTGTATAAATTCCATTTTAGTCAATCTATCGTTTGAGAATGGAAACACAAGCAAGGCTCGTTCTTCACTTTTCCGGACTGAAATTTAATAAGGAATGCGCCTATGGAGTTTGTTTGTCACTTTACGGATGTCTTTTATAAAAAATGTTGATATTTTGTCGGAGACACAGAAGACCAAAAAGTTGACCAATTTCGCAGAAGAGCAAATTGATAGAAATCAATTACTTTTTACAAAAACGTTTCCATAGGCGCGCCTCCTAGGCGTTCTGCTACATATCTAGCGAATAAAAATCTTTAATATTGTGATAGTTTTCTGACGATAGATTAACTAAACAGTGTAGGGGTGTTGCTGATAGAAGCTGCCCTAATTTCCTTCCCACTTAACGGACAGACCTAAAATTTTGTTATGCAACCGCTAGATGACCACCAGCCTACCCTGTAAATTTCATTAATTTTATGCCAAGGGTTCAAAAGTTGACCCTCCCAGGGGGTGTCTCCCCTTAATAATAAAAGATTTTAGTTGAGCTTCACTAAAATTTCAAGCTATTTTTTATTCAGCTAAAAAGCTTGAAAAGATGTTCTAAAGAAAAAGAAAATAGGTTTTGTTTTTCTCCAAATGGGCAATAGCAAGAAAGTCTTGTGGCCTTGACATGTTGTATGGCGGTCGTCTAGGAGGCGTTTCCAGGTGCCAATGGCTGGTGTTAAGACCCAGTCATCTGTGTTTTGCCAGGTATAACTGAAGGAAACATCGAGCTTGGAGCCTTTTTATCTTGATTTTAGCACTGCTCTTCAATGCTCTCGTGGAATTTCAGGCTATGAAGCAGTGGTGGGACATGAAGTCGCAGCATTTCGACGTTGTGCTCTTCTTCAAGGTTTGTCATTCTTTTTATCCTTTCCCCTAGAGCGTGCTTTCTGTGTTCTTAGGTCTTTACTCTCTTTTTTAAAAAAAACGTCACTTCTGAAGGCAGTAATTTGTGTACATGACCGTGATGCTGGTTCCAGGTGGGCAAGTTCTATGAGCTGTACCACATGGATGCCGTCACCGGAGTGGAGGAGTTGGGACTGGTGTACATGAAGGTAATGTTTCTCATTGACTTTCACAGGGATGTGGAATTTTAGTTTGAAAGTTATGCTATATGCGTCGCATACAAATGGATCGATTAAGCTCGTGCATGCCACGTTTCAACAGAACAGGTCAGCACAATGACGGTGGAGTGGCTAGCGGAAGGACGGGTTTAAATGTCCTGTGAGGCGCCATTGGGACACCTTTGCCACCGTGTCTAATCTTGTTTGCTGCCAGCTTTATAGCGCTTTTATTGGCTGAAGTCAGGCCATCTTCACTTCCCAAGTTTGAAGTGCAGGTTCCTCTGCACTAATAGTTTTGATGGTGGTCCCTCGGTCACGTGGAAAAAAAAAAGCAAAACACCTGCAACTCTGCATTTGGGCTGACCGTGTTCTGTACCATACATATGTGTACATAACTTGTGTGCAAATCCTTTGAATGCTAGTCTAAGGCAGGGAGAGTATGTGGCTGTTTCTCTAAGCATCCAGTATGCTGCAGTTACTTAGATGTTGCCACCTCAAAAAGTGGCTCGAATATTTCTCAGCTGCTCGAAAGGTAGCTACAGCTGCTTTAAAAAGCAGCTAGCAGTGACAGCGGGCAGCTTCGTTAGCAGACGTAGCATCTGAAACGTTACTGAAGAAACATGGGGTTCATGCCGCACTGTTCGAGGAAGCATGAAGTGGAGACTCATGGCAGAAGAAACGGCGTTGCTGTGCAGGGAGACTTTGCGCACTCTGGGTTCCCCGAGATCTCGTATGGCCGCTACTCGGAGAGCCTGATCCAGAAGGGCTACAAGGTGGCCCGGGTGGAGCAGACGGAGACTCCGCAGATGATGGAGGATCGCTGCAAGAAGTGTAAGCCCACCACCTCCTTGCTGTTGTCTCGCTCTGAGGGACAGTGATTACCGGAAGCAGAAGGTAGGGCAGCAGCATGACCAGAGATATCCTCAAAACAGAGGCTAGTGGCAGGAAACTGGATGACCCTTCCCTCCTTTGTGTGTCCAAAGCAACTATTGACTGCAGCTGGTTTTCTTTTTTTGCTCTCTTGTTTGCTAGTACTTTTGGGGCTTTCGGGTTTGTGTTCGACATTTGCGAAGCTTGACTAAGCAGATTTTTCTTTGCCAAGGGATAATCCCCATTTGCTTTGTTAAAGGAACACCAAACTTTTCATCACCCTCCCCCCCCCCCCCCCCCTCCAAAAAAAAAGGAAGTATTTTAAGTGCAATATTATACATGCGAGACTGAAATTAGCTATTTCAAAACATACTCCTGTTTCAGGGTCGATGTACGATATAGAAGCATGTTTTGGAATTGCTCATAACTCGACATAAGTCTCACATAAAAATCTTGCACTATTTTTTTTTTTTTTTTGTGATATTTAATTTAGGCATTTAATAAGAAGGTTTTTGGGATAAAAAGGGAAAGCAAGCTAGTGAGGTAAACTATTATACTAGTAGTATCATAAACATAGTACTTTCTGCAAAAATCTGTGCATGTAAACAAAATCCAAAAACTTTTGCAAGCTTCGTGAATGTGGATTGTTTAGTCTGAGCCCTAGTTTGCCTAAGTTGAAACAAAAAATTGTTTCATGGTCCCTGTAATGTTTCATCATTTTGTCACATGGCATCGTCACATTTTTGGTTCGGAGCCACAAATCAACGAGTCTCAACAGTATTTTAGAGCCGATCCAACTTTTGTCGACAGCGGGAACCCGGACCACCAAGTTTGACAAGGTGGTGAAGCGCGAGATCTGCCGCATCACCTCCAAGGGCACCCGCATGTTCAGCGTGCACGACGGGCAAGTGTGCGACGCCATGCCCTCGTTCCTCTTCGCATTTGCAGAAGCGGTATGTACCGTCTGTTCTTTGTTTTAATACTTGAGCATTAAAAGGCTCGTTTTCACGAAAACCCGGCGGTGTCTGTCAGTTTGTGAATGTCAGAGAGAAGGGGGGAGAGGCTGACGTGTGCGATGCTACCATTGGTCCAAAGCGCCGACGTCAGCATGCGTCTCTCTCTTCCTCTCTCCCCGGCGCTGACAAACTGACGGACACCGCCGGTTTTCAATGAGCGTTTACGTTTTCATCAAAGGAGCGTCGCAGAATTGGCGCAGTGCCAGAGCACGCCCGCATTTCACCTCGGTGCGGTAAAATGCGGGCGTGCTCAGTTCCCGCTCTGCCCTCGCCGGATGTTCTTTGCTCTGGGTTTCCGTAGTCACGGTGCGTCGGCTGTGATGTGCATGTGTAGTTAAAACAATGGATGCGGTTCCCTGCATGAGTGATATGGATGCGGTTCTTTTCACGAGTGGTATGGATGTGGTTCTTTCCACTAGTGATATGTATGGCCGTATTTAAGGGTGTCGACATAAAAAAGGGTTAAAAAACATTGCTGGAAGATCCATTGGTGGATTCTTAGTGAATCCATTAGCATGACCCTTGGGAAACACCACACATGTCCCCCTTTGGGAAACCCTAACACTAACCCCGTGACAAGGCCAAAAAGAGGCAGCAAAAAAATAGGGGAAGCGAAAGAGAAAGCCAAAACAGAAAAGTGAAGGGGTCAGCGTTAGCGTTCCTAAAGTGGGACGTGTGTGGTGTTTCCCAAGGGTCATGCTAGCGCACTTGCGTAGCATGAGAACGTTTTGAGAACATTCTGGAAATGTTCAAAAGAACATAAGAAACATTCGTGGAATGTTGCGAATTTACGTAAAAACATTCTATCAACGTTGTCAGAATGTGGCGCTGGCACTTGTCGCTACATTCGGGGAATGTTTTTTAAAAGACATTCTTGGAACGTTCTGAGAATGACATAGAACATTACCAGGACATTCAATCAACATTCAAATATCCTAACAAGGTTCTAAGAACGTTCTTAGAACGTCAAAAGAACTTCCTCAACTTTCTTGAAATGTTGCAAATTTATGCAGGGACATACTTTCAGTCTCTTTGGAACGTGGCGTGGGTACATTGCTACATTTAGGGTACATTCTCTGGGGACTAATTACAAATTACAAAGATTCCATAATTATAGCTTGCTTAGGCTACAGCCCCAATGAGTCACACTACATATATGGATGCGATAAAGCTCCTCACAGTGCAATATGTTTTAATCAAAACAGATTGTTAGAAGGCGCAACCACAAGTTAGCTGCTTTCCCAGCGCACCAGCCTGAGCACATACTAATGACAGTTTACTCCTACCCAGTGGCGTCACAAGGGTCAGCAGCACTTGGGGCAATAGCCCTCCGCTCTCGTGGTCTGCGGTGACACCCCCCCTAAGTGCTACACCCGAGGCGGTCCGCTGCCCCCCTTGTGACGCCACAACTGCTACCGGTTACTTGTCAACTTCTTTCATTTAAAATTTGCTGTATACATGACCGATTACTCACTCTGAGCCTAAGAATGAATACACGCATCCCACATTCAATTGTGAAAATCCTTTTTCAAAGTTTGAAACCCCAGATGCTAAATATCTGGTCCATTCAAAGCTGCCCCTCTACATACGCAGTGAATGTCAAGTATATTATCAATTTTTGAAAAACATTGCTTTTCTCCTACCACCTTATATCACATTCCTCGGTAGACTCATATAAGATAAAACTGATCCCTTATGCTAAGTTTCCAGAAAGTCCACTTAATTTGCATATTTTTGGCGCAAAGTGGCCTATAGTCAATGGCGTTTCGAACCACAGCTCCACAGAGTTGGCATCACCTGCGAATATTCTAGGAATTTTCGCAAGCGAACGTTCCAAGAATGTTGCGCATACAAATGTTCGAAAGGAGACGTTCCGAGAACATTGTGCATAGGAATGTTTGCCAACGAACGTTCCTAGAATGTTGAGCAGTTTACCTTGTAAGGAATGTTTGCATACAAACGTTCGTAGGACGTTCCGAATGGTGTTTTAATGTTCCTTCGACATTCAGAACATCATGGGAATGTTTGCACAACATTGGGTGCTGTTCGGACATTTCCTAAGAATCTGCCAGTAGATTTTCCTGTGATTTTTTGTTTTTACTCAACCACTTGAATTTTCGTACACATTGCTTGCATTGCCGCCACGCAAACGTCCATACTATACTTCGTTTCACCTTTCGTCCAGAGGCAGCCGACGCTACGAGCTGATGGGATGAATCGGACAGCGTCAAAAGGTCAAAAGGTGTTCATCATGTTTCTGACTGTGTTCTTTCATCGCTGAACCAATCATAAACGGAACAGACCTAATGATTTGCACTTTTGATGCTGCTTGATTGTTCCCGTTCCCTCGTAGCATCTGCTGCGTCTGGACGTAAGGTGAAACGAAGTATAGTGACCTTGCTGCTGAGCAAGTAGCTTCTGCAGCACGCGTTTTGCGCCGCCAATTTTGTTTTTCTCGGTCAGAACGAGTAGAAGTGACCCCGGCATGGTATGATGACGTCCCATGCAAGCCTAGTGTAGGGTAGTTCTTTCTTGTACGCTGCATTTAATTAAAAAAGAAAAAGAAATGTGGTCATTGAGTGCATAATTTTGGAATTCTTGTTCTCAACCTGCAGAGCCGAGAAGTTGGAGGAAGGGGAGGCAGTGAGTTTGGCGTCTGCTTCGTCGACACGTCCGTTGGAAAGTTTTACGTAAGTCGGAGACTTCTTTGATAGAAAAACTTATTTGGGAAACTTCCAGGAACATTTGTTGTATCAAACACAGAACGGCTTTCCCCAAAAGTGAACTACATAGACCATCCTGCAATCGCAAGAGGACTTTATCTGTCAGGCTAAGCGAATCACAGGGTTGTGCGAATATTCGAAATGTTTGAATATCGAAGCAAATAATGCCATATTTGATTCAAAGTTCGAATCAAATAAGGTTGTTTGGCCACTTCAAATATTTTCGAAGTATTTCGAAGTGTGAAATTCTGCAAAACATGCCTTAGTTCAAACTAAAAAAAAAAAAAAGGAATAAACAAAACAGTATGTAGTACACACTTCAAATGAGTTCATTAACCAAGGCTTGAACACAAGTAGCAACAAAATTAGTGCAGCTAGCCTACTCTTTATTTTTTTGTTTGTTTCCTAGTCTTGAAAAAACATTGAACCTAGGGAAAAAAATGTTTTCTCCCTAATTAGAGCAGGCAAAACTCAAAATAAATGTTTGTCGAAATAAAAAAATAAATAAAAAAATTTGCCCAATATTTATGTTACAATATGAATTGTTTGATTTGTGGGCGAAACCGAAACTGTACCCCTGTGGGATGATGATGATAGCGTTTGTACCCAACTTGTGTGTGCTTTGAGTTCGCTGGACCTCAGAGCGCCAACTATATTTCAATATTGCGATAAAGGAGTGAGACGGCAACAATACCGATGATAGTGCTTCACAGGTCCACACCACATGGCATTACACACGCCCTTTCCAACTGTAGTCGCTGCAACGGCTTCCTCCAAAACAGTGGTGCTTCAAACGGCGGGGGCGGACCGCGGTGAGAAAGGGGGGTACTGCTCCCACAGGGAGTGTCTATGAGTAGTTTCGTAACTGAGGGAGGGCATCGGTGGCCGAGTGGAATAGCTCACACCATCTCGGAGCATGTGGAGCGAACGGTCGCACTGCAGAACTCAGGGATCCTGGGTTCAATCCCAACCCGTGCCCATTTTGATGTGGATGAGCATCGTACCGGCGTGCGGTCGTGTACCACTACTGCGTGGTGCACGTTAAAAACCTCAGGCTAGTGGTTTTACTGCACTGGCTAAATTTATCATCCACAGCTGGGAGACAAGTCGCCCATTGAGGTAGACAAACTTCTAGGCTGAATAAACATACACACAACCCAATTTTCTTTTTCATACAAAATAAGAAGTTGAAACACTTCCTGAAAAAAAAAAAAAGAGTTAGAGGTTAATTCTGGCGTATTTTTATCCTGTGAAACTGAATATCATGTTCGTTTTCTGCGAAGACGTAACTAAACACGAGAAAATTAAAAAAACCTCCGACCAGTCGGGACGTCATACTAAAATCTTTGGGCTGCCAATCGCGGGTTGCTCGTGTGGGCAGCGCGTGCAATTGCAAGCTTGCCAGGTACATTTTTCCACACTGGCACCAGTCGTGACGTCTCTTTTTGACCTTTTTGAAAATAGCAAGAGTGCAGAAATTCCAAACACTCCTAGTGTGATGTCACGCCCCAGGAAAGAGGGGCTTCGGCCGTAGCTTAAAAATTTATTTCTGCAGCCTCCGTGTGCCAAATTCAAAAATAATCTTGATATTCGTGATCCTGGAAACTAAATAAAGGCCATTGAAGTGTTTTCTTCTCAAATACAGAAACGCTTCAGTTTCCGTTTAAAGGGATACTTCAACGAAATTTGAAGTATTCCCGTCGTGTTCAAATATAGGTTGAATATGATCCACAATATCCGTAAATGACGATCGCACGTTTGTATTTTGAGCCTGGTGGCTGTATTTTTCGTTATAAACGGCCCACTCTGGCAAGCGCTCGGAGAAGGCCCAGCGGAGACCACGTGACATCCAACGCAATCGTAACGTAGGTTGTCTCAGGACGAGCAAAGCTATGGCAAGGCTGACTTTGAGAGGATGGCCTAGTCGTTCCAGCCACCGATGCAACTGCTTTTGTACGAATTTTGAGTGACGGGTTAATCTTCTGTAATCTTGTAGGGGGATAATAGCGACGTCTGCGGCACACAAAAGGCATTCTCGGGAAGAGGGGAGTTCCCCCTGCCCCTCTTCTCTTGTCGTGGCCGGAGGCGAGACAACCTCCGTCACTAGCTGTCAAGGTTCCTAGACGAGCATTACAAACGGGGCGTTAGCGACATCCACCAGGTGCTCTTTGCTAATTGTTTAATTCATTTTAAAATTCCTTTTCGAGACTCTTTTAACAAGATATTGGTACGTTCGATGTGATGCTGCTCTTTGGAACACGTATAGACCAAAAAATGAGCGCCGAAATTTCGTTGTAGTATCCCTTTAAGCTGAGACGGCAGTCAGTGCTATGAGCACGAGGTCGCTGCTTTGAAAAAGTCTTCCACAAAGCAAGCACTTGCTTTAGAAATGCACATCTCAAAGCTAGGAGCATGGGTTAGCTCACACTTGTAGCTTTGGCTGTAGTCTCAGCTTAAGTTGGGTATGAATGGTATCATCATCATCATCCCACAGGGGTAGTTTAAGTTTTGCCCGCAAATCAAACAATTCGTATTGTAACATAAATATTAGGCAAAAAAAATTTTTTTTTTAGACAAACATTTGTTTGGAGTTCTGCTTGTCCTAATCAGGTAGAAATATATATATATATATATTTTTTTTTTCTTAATATGTTGAGTGTTTTTTTAATGGCACAGTCACGCTGGTAGCGAATCCACAACCACGAAGCGTATTAGCGTGTCCTCAGCCGCAAAGCGTCTGGAATTGAGCTGTGGGGCGTGTTTTTGCCAAGCGCTTTGGGACCGATTTCTCTTACCCCCTTTCACGAACCGTAAAGCAGCAGCTAATCGCAATGCGACGCTGACGTGACGTCGGTGGCTCTTGAAGGAAGACAGCATCTGTCGCTGGTGAGGTGTCCAAGGCGCTGTAATCCTAGCGTCGCAGCAGATAAATCAGCGAAGAAATGTGATGTTCACGTCCGTCACTTTGGTTTGTTGCGAAAATAATTGACTCGTAATTTTTACAGGCCTTTGCTCTGGTGATTTGGTTCGGGTAAGCTAGTTTGTTTGTTATTCAGGGTGCCAATGTTTGTCACTGCGCTGCCGGCCCGTTCAGACACTTGCTACCGACTGCGACTGAATTAGACAAGACCAGTTTTTAAGCCTCTTGCAACGGCTTACGACCGAATGCACTGCTGCAGAGCCGGTTGTAAGCCATCACAACAAGCGTAATAACCGGTCTTGTCTGGGTAGATCGTAGTCAAGCGCAAGTGTGTGAACGGGCTGCCGTAGAACATCGAAACCCACCCCCGATCGACCAAAGTGACAGCTTTTTTTCCCACTAAGGCAGTCGTCCCGCGAACTACTGAAAGCTTTCGACACTGTGCATGACCACCACAAAGGCCGATAGAGACTTGAGCCTAACTGCTTAGCCAACACACCACCGCGGAACTGGCAGGGTACCAGCTGTGCTAGCTTGACCTGCATTGTTTCTACTATCAACAGGAATAAAGAGAACCTAGTCAAGGAATAAATGTATGCACCAGATGCTGCATAGGTAATCCATATGGCATTTATTCGAACGTAATGTCAAACGAACAGGAGGCTCAATCTACATGCGAGTGACGAGAGGGGTGTCTGCCACCAACGAAGCCACGGCCGGCTAGCACCAAACACATTCCGCGTACCACAGTCCACCAGTGCCACTCATTACTTTGAAAAAGATAAAAAGCGAAGGACAAGGCAGGAAAACTGGCCCTCTATCCCGAAAACCAGGTCAGCTATTTATGAAGGAAAGGTCCGCTTTGAAGAAAGGGTCGGGTGCATCCTTTTCTGACTCAGCAAGGCTGGGCTTTGCTTGTGTACGAAGTCGGGGGAATTGCAGGCGGCTTCTGCAGGTCCATGTCTCTTTTTTTCGCTGCCTGAACTTGTGATGCGTGCGAGAAGCCCGAAGAAAAACCTTCAGTGCCAAAGTAGCCATATTTTGGCTTTTGATCGTGGATTAAACTGGATTTTGGATTGTAAAACAAGTTTGCCAAACGCAAGTCTCAAAAGATCACCTGTGATCGCCGAGAAACCACCAACTGTGTCTCAGTGTGTCTGAACAGGATCGTACTAGAATGGAAAGTTGGGCTAGTTTGTAATAATCCATATTGAAAAGCAGCGCGAATAACACACGGATGAAGAGAAGAGAACACACAGGACGAGGCGCTGTCCTGTGTGTTCCCTTCTTTGTCCATGTGTTAATCGTGCTGTTTTTCAATATGAACGAGATCGCTCACAAACCGCAACCCCTTCGCAAACGCAGCTCAACTGCCAATGTGAATGCGCCATAAGGGTTCTCTACCGTGACTGTATTGACGGTTGCAAACTATTTGCTTCGCTTAGGAATTATTCTATTCGATTTGAAATTGTTTGTTCAAAGGAACTATTCACTTCATATCTACTTTGAACTGGAAAATCACTATTCGCACACCCCTTCAAATCGCGTCGTGATCCTGTTTCTTGCAGGGTCACAGAAATTATCCAGTACCAAAGGACGCTAACTGGAGGTTGCAACAGTGGCCGCCTCTGCTATAGTCACTTAACATGTGAAGGGATGGGAGGTGATGTTATATTGTCGAATCTCGTTAATTCAGACTTTCTTAACTTCCGGATAATTCACACTAACATGCTGGTCCCATTTTGTGCGTCTCTATGGGAGGAAGCTCCTGGTAGTTCAAACTTTTTCTTTATTCAAACAAATTTTCGGTCCCTCTTGAGTTTGAATTAACGAGATTGTCACTTTTTGGGAACATACAGCATGGGAAAATGGATTGAACGCACTTTAAACTGACTGCATAAGTCGGTTTCCTAACATATCATGCTGGGATTTGCTACAGAGGTTTCTGAAGTCGGCGGTAGCTTTCGCTAAAATTGTGGAAAGATTGGCCCACCTAAATAAAGTGAAGAATAGGTAAGCCAATTTTATTTTATTTTCATTTCACAATTTTTTTCAGTCGTAGTAAATATCAGAATAGCCCACAACGATTTTCGAATGATTTTGAGATAAAAGGCGTAGCGATGATTTTTCCATAGACAAAACCAGTTTTTATTTTCTTTCTTTTGACTCCGGAGGTTTCATATATTGAATGCACCAGCTTCGAGCACCTCTGTACTAAATTCCAGAGCGATAAGTTAAGAGACCGATACATGCGGTCAGTTTAAAGTGCGTTCAACCCATTTTGCCCATGCTGTATAAGCTAAGCGAGATCACAGGTTCACTTCATTTGACACGACCTGGCCAGAATATGTAAAAAGAATGGTGTTGCTGTCCTTTTTAGTTTCTTAGTTTTAATTCCAGCACCCCGTTTGTTTTTCGGCGCAGTTGGGGCAGTTTGAAGATGACCATTTTTGCTCGAAGCTGAGGACCACTGTCTCTCACTATTCACCCGTTCAGGTATGTACTTGCTACCTTGCCCCCTCCATACCTCTTATGCTTTGTGTGGGCCTATGCTTTTACTCGCAAGTAGAGACTTCACTTTCTTGGGCGCTAAAGGAGCTGTCTTTCGTCAAGACGTCGGTGGTCATTCCGAAGTTTTTTTGGGAGGTTTGAGCTCTACTAGTAGTATATAACATGCTTAGGACAACTCTTTAAATGCATGAGTTGCTTTCTAAGTGGAACTACCTAACCCCAGAATTTTGCCCATTCATCCATCTATCCATCCGTCCACTATATTTAGCGGGGAAGTTGATATCATGTGATATCACGGTGTCAAGTTAACATGATATCATGACGTTATGTGACACCAGTTTCCAATCACAAGACATCATGGTATATTGTTGCTTTATGATGACATTTGATGTCAGTTTACTCGCAAAATTTAGCGAGAAAAAAAAAGTGAAAGCTGCTTACAACTCCCTGTAACGCCGAATTAGAGCGCAGCTCTTGAGGAGGTGGAGGGAAGGGCACTGGGGGGGGGGGTTAAACTAACCAGGGGGGGGGGTCACGTGACCCCCAATGCCGATGATGTCATCACTGACGTCACTGATGACGTCATCAGTGACGATGACGATGCGGGTACCGATGACGTCATTAGTGACGTCACTGATGACTTCACCAGTGATGATGACGATGACGATGCAAATGTCGGTGACGTCATCAGTGATGTCGCTGATGACGTCATCAGTGATGATGACGATGACGGTGCGGATGTCAGTAACGTCATCAGTGATGATGACGATGACGATGCGGATGCCGGTGACGTCATTAGTGATGATGACGATGCGGATGCCGGTGACGTCATCAGTGACGATGACGATGTGGATGCCGGTGACGACATCAGTGACGTCACTGATGACGTCATCAGTGATGATGACGATGACGATGCGGATGTCGGTAACGTCATCAGTGATGATGACGATGACGATGCGGATGCCGGTGACGTCATCAGTGATGATGACGATGACGATGTGGATGCCGGTGACGTCATCCGTGATGATGACGATGACGATGTGGATGCCGGTGACGTCATCAGTGATGGTGACGATTACGATGTGGATGCCGGTGACGTCATCAGTGACGATGACGTCATTGGGGGTCACGCGACATCGGCGGGGGTCACGTGACCTCAGGGGAGTCACGTGACTTCGGGGGGTCACGTGACCCCTGTGGGGAGCTCGCGCGGTGCATTATGGGACATTTCCCATGATGCACCGCGCGGTTACGCCGACGCCGACGGCGACGCCAACGCCGCTCAAGCCGGAAACGGGCCCCTAAGAGCTGCGCTCTAATAACAGACAACATGTTCTTCACTTCGAAATGACTGTTTAGTTTCTTCTAAACAAATTTAAACTATTGCTCTTTAAATAGTGCATTCCATAGATTATTGGGCTTTAAAAATAAGGGTTGCACTGGTACTTTTTTGGTATTGTACTCATCTTTTACTTTATAGAACAACCTTTACCATGTTCCTGCATTCTGCTCGTATGTTTGTATTCCAGTGTTTTTACTACTGTAATTAATTGATTCTTTGTAAGAGCCAGTGCTTCTCCTAAGCACCATCACGAGTCTGCCGGGCCCCTAAGTTTCCTCTACTGTCCCTGGCCCAATTTAAGCACTATTCCAGCAGATCCGAGTCACCCACCTCTGCAAACTATAGGGCAATGGTTCTCAAATGGGGCTCCGCGAAGGCATTCTAGGGGTCTGCGAAGCCTTGCTTCGTCAGTCAAGCCCGGCAATAAAAGTTGTCTTTTATCTGATTGAGAAGAAACATTCTAATTTTCTGGTGAGTTTTCTCGTGTGTATGTCAATGAGAGAAGTCTACTTCACACCAGCCCTTAGCCATATCCTCTTATTAAATCATTATCATAATTAACCCATACCTTTCCCTCCCCCTCACCACGAACGGGGGGTCCTTCATCATCTCCGACAAACCACAGGGGGTCCGCAAAACTTCACTGGTTGAGAACCACTGATAGAGGGGATATTCATTGGATGCCGTATTTGAGGACGACACTTAGAGAGCATGTTCGATACAACCTCACATTTATAACCTGCTAAGACTGGCACTCCCTTTTATGTGCAATATTGTTTACATGATATGTGGGCTTCTCAACTGCTGAATTGGATCATCGCCCAGGCAGGGAGGGGTTCCTGGGCTATAGGTGTGGGGAGACAGACGTTTCTCGAGAGTGTCAGGTTCGACAGCTCCTGCTGAGGTTAATGCAGCTGCAAAGGTATTGCGCTTGAGGAAATGACTCCATCCACGGCAGGTCTTGTACGAGAACCACAATGTGACGGCCAAGGCGCGCCAAGTCCTGGACGGCCCACTGTGCTCTGTGACGAAGGAGGGCCTGAGGCCCTGGAAGGAGTTCTGGGATGCCACCAAGACCCTCAAGTCTCTGCGAGAGGGCGGCTACTTCGAAGAGGAGGATGGAAGCTACAATTATCCGGAGGCTCTCAAGCATTTCATTGACCCCGGTGGGTGGTTCTTGTGCGCTTCGTCCACTGTTTTTTTCTAAATGCGATAGCATTTCCTTAAACAGCACCCTTCCCCCTCCCCCAGAAAATTCTCATTTGTAGTATAAAACAATTTGGCCTCCCCTCGTCCTCCGCTTATCTTAAAACATCTCTATTCCATTGGCTAATATAAACTCGTTATGCTATCCAATTGGTAGAGCAGTCATTGTGCAGCCGTGCCGACATTGACGAAGTTGGTTGTCATGAGAACAGAGCGCGAGCTGAGAATGGCATGAGATACGAGGTTTGGCAGTTGTGCGGCCTGGTGGGTCCATTCAGCAACGTCTTAGGCAGTTTTCTGGGTTTTTTTTGTAAATAGTGTACACTGTGCGACACTGTTCGCATGAACACGATATACACACTTTTTAGCGCTCTACTTCGAATGAGGATTGGTGGGTGCCAATCTTTATCGCGTAGGTCTGTGCTCCAAGTGACCACTCTCCACTGCAGTAGTGGGGGATTGCTGGCCGGGTGTGTTAGCACACTGCATTTCTGAGCTTGTGGAGCGAAAGTTTATGCTGCAGAACCCAGGGAACCTGGGCTCAATCTCCACCACTGCCTGTTTCGATCTGGATGAGCATCATACCGGTGTGCTGTCATGTATCACTACTGCTTGATGCACATCAAAGATATCAGGCTAACAGTGGTACTGTACTGCCTGTATTTCTCATCTACGGCGTAGGCCATTGTCGTTGCACCTCAAAGGCAGACCGACCTTACACTGTATAAACATAAACATTAAATTTGTTTTTTCGTTTTCTGTAGTTTAAATAACAGCGCCTCAATTCTAAGAAGAAAAAGAAGACGAGAATGGCGGTCACTTGCGCGCACTAACAGCTGTGTACGTGTACGGGTGCTCTGTACATATACAGGGTGTTATTTTTTAGTTTTATAGATTTGTTTTAAAAAAGTCAAGAAAGCTACACTAATATGGTCTGTGTAGGCGAGTTATACATCCAGGGTGACATAATATAAGGGGCAAATTGTCACAATAAATCAAATATTTAACTAAGATTTGTTCATTAACTTTTAATCAGTAAAAAATAAACATGCTTCCAATTCTAAACTTGCTGAGTGTCAGAAAACCAGTAAATCAGTCAGTTTTAGAAAGACTTTGAGCTTCTGAAAGGTACAGTAGTGCGCTAAAGTTACGGGTCATGCATCAGGCAGATGGCTGGCACTGAGGAAACATGGGAGATAAGAGATGGAAGAACTGGGCAGGCACGTTATCAAACCGGCAGCCTTGCTCCTGCTGCACAGGTGGGAACTTCAACGCTCCACGGTGCTTCCCATGTGCTCGAGGTCTTTCTAAAATTGATGCTTAGTATATTTCTCATTGGAACCTTATGTTTATCTTTACTAGTTAAAAAGTTAATGAACAACTTTAAGGTAATTAGATGACTTATTGTGTGCAATAAGCCTCCCATATTATGTCTCCCTGGCCGTGTAACTTGCCTGCACAAATCACGTTAATGTAGCTTTTCAGGCTTTTTTTAAGCAAATCTGTAAAGCTTAAAAAGGACACCCTGCATATGTTGAGCACCATCCCGCTGGTCCTTACTGTGCTGTCAGTGTTCTTTATAGTATGTCATGAGTAGAGTTTCGTGTTTTCAAATAAATAAAAAAAAAAATCAGAAAATAACTTACCGGTTAACTTTTTCTCAATTCGAATTTATCGGAAAAACTCAAAATTTCCAGGTGGCAACGACAAAAAAAACCCATAAAAGACGGTACAAATAAACTTTGTAAGCAGCTGCAGGCTCAGTGCTCCTAAGAAAATACCACATCACTTTCCTTTTATATCTCGAAGTACTGACAAAAGACTCATCAAGGTTCGTTTAGAAAAACAAGTCATGATAGCAAGACATTTTTTTTTCGTTAGTTGGGAATTTTGAAAAACCCAGAATTTTCAGTGTAAAATAAGGTCAGAAAAACACCCTCCGAATTTCACAAGAAATAAACTCAGAAAACACAGAATCCTAGTCATGAGGTATGGTTTTATACTGAATTGCCCCTAAGTCACCTCAGGGGTTCATAAGTAACCGAAGTCTCTTGTTTAATCCTACCCATTACTAGTGCAGTTTTTTGCAGTTTAAGCACAGCTGAAGCCTTGTTCAACTGTGCTTCGATATATGATTATGAGGCAAACACTCTCGCGCTTCTCTCTTTTTGTCTCATTCATGGATTTACAAAAACTTACTTTAAAGGCTTTTTTTTTGTTTTAAACTGTTTTTTTATGAAAGTACTTTATTATTGTTAAAACCCTTACGAACTTGTAAAGTGCTCTATTGAAAAAATAACAAGGGGCATGAGGGTAGCTTAGCGGGTCACCTAAACGCATATCCTTACCGGTATGTTTGAAGAATTTGTTTGCATCTCTCTGAAACAGAGGACAAGATGCTGCTTACCCCGAAAGAAGAAGGGTGCCTCGCTCTGAAAGCCCTGGGGGCCTGCATTTGGTGGGTCTTCGGTCTCGAACCTATAAAGGCTACTTCTCACATTTGCGTTTGAGCGTCATCAACTGCATTGCATCTATTTGTAGCCGCTTACGATGATAGAATATACTGTCACACTGGCGCTATCTGCTGTTTACCTTTGAAACATATCCAACCTGTGTATAACTAGCCTGAAGAATTTGCAGTATACACAGTATCTGTGAGAAACGGTCTCTTTTAACATTGTTGTTACAGCGGACCTTCCACTGTAAAACGAGCTGGAAAAATCGGCAATTGCACATAGATTGCTCAAACTTTCACCGAATGTGCACCGAGCAGCTCAGTTTTACCATGTGAAATTTCAAGGTACAGTTCTCTTCTGGTAAAAAACGAGAGCAGAAAACTTGCCAAGGTCAAGGTTGGGTGCATTGTCAGATGACCGAATTTGCGATGCTATTTACTCATGGCGCCATCTTTCGACGGGCGCAGCGAGCGGACAACAGTACGTCGTCTACTCGTTGCTCCTATCGGGAGATGGCGTCACAAGTAAATACCATCGCTAACTTGGTCATCTGCAAGTGTACCCAGCCCTAATTTTGACAAGTTTTTTGCTTTCATGTTTGTCAGAAGAGAACTGCGCCTTGAAATTTGACATGGTCAAACTGACCTGCTCGGTGGACATTCGAGGAAAGTTTGAACTTTCTAAGTGCAAGCTCCGATTTTCCGGTTTGTTTTTCGGCGGAAGGTTCGCTTGGGACACCCTATATCATCAGATGCGAAGCGTTCCAGGGTTGCCTGATAGATTGAGCCAGTGTCTCCTTTCATCGTACAGTGTAGACCGCATAAAACTTATGTCGCGGGAATCGCGAAAATCCGCACTATAAGAGGTACTGCGCTATAATTAAAACATCAATTTTTCAGGCCAAAATGCATGCCATCAGACAACTTACCTTTGTAAAAGAATTTATTTTATGTTAGATGAAAAATAAAGCTTTAGTTTGAGGAAAGTCTTTATTTCACCAGACTAGTACACTTCTCTGTCAAGTGTGTCACATATTTTGAAAGAAATGAGCGACTTTTGCCTGGCGCAGCCTTGTAACGGCGTCGCGGGTTGCGGACGGACGTTGCGAGCGTTCAGGATTGCTAACCCCAATCACTTTTCTCCGGCGATGAAAACACGTGAAAATTCGCATCCTTTATATGGTACGCGGCAGTAATACCTTCGACTTGAGCACAGGCATGAAATGCTCCAAATAAGAAATCCGGGCGATGTTCGAAAACACAATTGAAGTAAACAAACATGACGACATGGGCGTTTCTGCCGTCTTGAGAGTGCCGCCACAACATCGCCGCACGAGTAGGTGGATCTTCCCTTCTAGTACGTGCTGGGTTATCATAGCGACACACAACAAAAATTCAGTCAAGGATAGCGCTTTTACGCGGAACGATGAGGTTCTACGCCGTCTACGTCGACGATCAAAACCGACGCCATGTTTGCGGATAGAAGCAGCCGGCCGGCCGGCCCGCGACCGGCATGCAACGTGCGCGAACACTTCTCCTCGACCTGCGATTTGTCTGTCGTTGCAGTTGTTTTCCAACGCAGTGGAGGGACGCACGCACGTGAACGACACGTGCGTGCGTCCCTCCGTCGCTATGGCAACTGAAGCCTCTCTCTTCGCTCCTTCCCGCTTCTTCGAGCAACCTCCTTGCCCCGCGAGTACCGCTTGCAGCTCGCGTCGTTATCTAGTGTCGCACAGGGAAGCGTGCTCTCTGCGTCGGTCAGTCGGCGCGGTCGCCGGGCTGTTCCGAAAACCGCGCTATAACCGGTATTTCCCTTCGCGCGCCTGCATTTTAAGCGGTATGTAATTACATAGAGTTCTATGGGAGGCGAACCGGTGGTTTAAAAAAGCCGCATTATACCCGGTCCTGCACTATAAGCGTTGCGTTGCGTTGTAAGTGGTCTATATTGTAATCGGTTACGGGCGGTTGCGGTGCAGTTGATCAGACTCGAACGTGAATCTGTGTATCAGCCTTTTACAATTTGGTTCTGACGAGCGTTTACCTTTGGCGTTAGGTATCTTTCGGAGTCCCTGATTGAGGAGGAGGTCCTGACCATGCGGAGCTTCGAGCTGTACACACCCCAAGAGACCAGCATCGACAGAATCCGGATGGAACAACTGGAGAAAGAACAGCTGACTGTGAAAAACCTGGTGCGTGCACCTTCAGATGCCACCTTTTTTGCGTTTTGCTTTAGGAAACATACATATTTACCTTTCCTACGAAACATGTTCACCTTTCCTTCGTAAAATTGAAGGCTAACTTTTCTGTACTGTGGCATAATTTTTGATCTGTACAATGTCATACTGTTCATCTCCCGAGGGGGTACAGAGAAGAGCAGCATGTGAGAGTGACAGTGGTTCGTTCTGAGAAACCTCAATCATACATAAACCCACACAGTGGAAGAACAACACTCGTTTTGTATCCACACAAAACGAGAATTGAAATAAGCCTGATTTCGAACAAAATGTTTGAACATGTTCATTTTCATGATTTGACACAGATTCATATTCTTAGCCCAAGTTCAAACAAAATGTCTTAAATCAGGCGAAGGGTATGTATGTTTGTGGTTGTGAAAATGAACAAGCTTAATGTGATACTTTGGTTCGAAGCTTAGTTTGACATTGCCAACTAGGGCTTGCTTAAAATGAACGGTGTAATTCTAGAACTATTTTTTTTCACATTATTTTTTTTTCCCTATAGAATAACTTGAATATCAAAGCAAGGATGATGCAGCTCACAGGGGAAGATGCCAAGGTGGAAGCAAATTAAGCAAAAGAAAAGAAATAAGGCATGTAGTCGTCAGCTTTAACTGTTCTGTGTTCACCTGAGACGTCATGTTTCATGTTGTTTCTCTTGTTTTGTCGCTGCTCTTGCCTTCATCATGTGCTAGAGCCGTGTGTAGGAGGCACAAGAACCTGAACTGACCACCAAATTTATCACCGTCTTTTAGATCTTGGATGGAGTGTCCCTGCAGAACCTCGAGGTACTTCGCAACACTACTGGTGGGCTGGATGGAACCCTCCTGGGAACAATGGACTTCTGCTGCACACAGTTCGGTAAGTCTCATCTTGGGTCTCATCTGTCAAGCCATGATTGGTTTTGTCTTGTTCGACACCTTCAGCCAGGACACCACTACGGAAGGCAAATTTTTTAACCGTTAGTCTTATTTGTATGAAATTTGCAGGGCATATTCGTTGCTGGGAAAGACAATGATATGGAAAGTTTTAAATTTATTAATTTGTCCCTCAAAGAGTTACACAAAAGTACATCAGATAATCACTGCACTTCTGGAGGAAAACATTAGTTTAGAAAAGGTAATGATAATGGCCACTCTTTTGGGTGAAGCATACATTATAACACCTGTGTCACGCAGCCGTGGTAAGAAATACAGTGTAGACCGCATATAACGCATGTCGCGGGAGTCGCGAAAATCCACACTATAAGCGGTACCACGCTACAACCAAAACATCACTTTTTCAGGCCAAGATACATGCCATCAGACAACTTACCTTTGTAAAAGAATTTATTTTATGTTAGATGAAAAATAAAGCTTAGTTTGAGGAAAGTCTTTATTTCACCAGACTAGTAGTACACTTCTCTCTCAAGTGTGTCCCACATTTTGAAAGAAATGAGCTACTTTTGCCTGGCGCAGCCTTTTAACGGCGTCGCGGGTTGGAGACGGACGTTGCGAGCGTTCAGGATTGCTGTCCCTAATCACTCTTCTCCGGTGATGAAAACGCGTAAAAATTTGCATCCTTTATACGGTACGTGCCAGTAATACCTTCAACTTGAGCACAGGCATGAAATGCTCCAAATAAGAAATCCGGGCGATGTTCGAAAACACAAATGCTTTGAAAGCACCACTGTAGTCGGAAGTACACAAACACGACGACACGGGCTTTTCTGCCGTCTTGAGAATGCCACCACGACATCGCCGCACGAGTAGGTGGATCTTCCCTTCCAGTACGTGCTGGGTTATCACAGCGACACACAAAGAAAATTCCCAGTCAAGGATAGCGCTTTTACGCGGAACGATGAGCTTCCGCCACGCCATCTACGTCGACGATCACAGCCGACGCCATGTTTGCGGAGAGAAGAAGCTGGCCCGCGACCGGCATGCAACGCACGCGAACACTTCTCCTCGACCTGCGATTGGTCTGTCGTTGCGGTTGTTTTCCAACGCAGCGGAGGTACGCACGCACATGAACGTTGCCCCCCACCCTCCTTGTGGGAGGGAGCAAAGCTGTTGACGTTAGTGGTCCCGTTGAAAACTCTTCTAATTGAAGCCAGAAGGAAGGACGGTCACGGAGTTCTCTTTAGTACTGGTGCACCCTCGACACGTTTTACGGGCAGTGGTGGGTTGGATGGCAAGCAAGTGTTGCTGAAGGCTACACGAGCAACATACAAGCTACACAGTATGTTTTGTTCATTTTTGGTCTTTTAGTGTAAGTTCTCTATGGAAAGTTTCCTCCGAAACGACAAGTTTAAAACAAGCAAAAATAAATATCGGTGAACCTCCCAAAGCCATCCTTCCTAACCACTAACAAGCGTTTCAAGGAGCCGGCTTTTGAGATGTCCTCCAAAAGTTTTCGAGAGGCAGTGACTGCAAGCAAGTGCTCTGAAGCCCGTGTCTGATCTGCCAGTACGAGACAATGCTTTTCCTGCCATCGAGTGACATGATTGCTGCGACTTATATGAGCCTCTGAGGTATGACTTATTATTTGTAGCTAAGTGTAATAGTAGTCCAAATGGCTGAAACACTTTCTTAATTACGGCAATTAAAAGAAACAAAGCCACTTCCAAAACTAACTGAAAATTTTTCTCCTTGAAATAGACAGCATGTAGGAGGGGAGTTTAAAAATATATCCTCGATCTTCACAAGAAATGCCTGTGAATGTTCTGAAATGACAGTGGGTAATTGATAAACAATCACATTCAGTCTCAAATACAGTCGACTCTCATTAATTCAGACTCTCTTAATTCAAACTTGTGGATAATTCAAACTAACATGTGGTCCCATCCTATGTGTCTCTATGGGAGGAAACTCCTGGTAATTCAAACTTTGCTTTATTCAAACAAATTTTCGGTCTCCCTTGAGTTTGAATTAACGAGATTCGACTGTATTTATTTTTCGAATGCAGAAGTTTGTTAGTTTGGAACACAAGAGTAGCAGTTATTAGAAGACGGTGGACGAAGTGGTTTGAGCCCTAAAGGGGGGCTTTAACCACCAAGATTGTTTTGTTGTTTGTATTGCTTTACTGTTAAAGTCAGTAATTAATTAAAGAAAAGGTATTTAAGGCAGTTAGACAACCTCCAATCACTGGAATAAGAACACTATATTCTCGGGACACTTTTTTAGTTGTGACTCACAAGGCATGTATTTGTAAGCAGCGGAGTTATTTTTTTCTTTCTTGTAATGGGAATGTTGCTGGTATTTTTTCGGTTACTGTCTTATGCAATTTGTGCCCATAAAATTACACTGCTCGACATCAAGGGAGTCATCTGTGCCATCTCAGTTTAACTCAACAATATAAGGAATTTATGCAAGCCGGCAGAGACGCGTACTGTGTAAATAAGGTTGTAGGCCTGGTCAAACAAGTTCATAGGAACATGGAGTCATCATTTTGAACTTTTCAATGGAAGTTTGCGAGGCACTGCTCAACGTGCGTGACATTAACATTTTCCCCAATTGTTAATTGCTTTGCGTTTTGTACCTCTTAGTGGTTGATTGGCTATTTTCAAAAGACTGTCTAATCCACAATCACTTCTGCTTCATTTCCACCCAGTGAAACCCAAATTTTATAATCATCGAACCTACCGATAAAAAAGCCTTTTAAGATGTATCATAAAATGAACAATATTTGTAAATAATAAGGTGGTGAAATATACATATTGCCGTCATTGTCATTACCACCACTACCATCGTCCTCATAGTCAGTATTTTCACCATCATTAGGGGCCTTAGGAACAGCCTTAGCCCAGGGTTCTAAAATTCCTTAATCCGGCCCTGCGGGAAGGGGAAGGTTAAAGCTGTATGTCATTATTGATTAACAAGTCGTTAAACTTCTTTAAATATTTGTTCTTTCTAGACTTGTTCCTAACCATCTTGGAAATATCTACAGGCATCAATTGCTGCACCGAATTCTCAACATGATGGATCCAAGAGAGGCTTCCTCATCAGCATTGAAGTCAAGAAAGCAAAGATTTCATGATGCATGAATTGAGCAGCCGGATTTTCGGGGCTGGTTGGCTGTTGTCCCTGGGGATCTTTTCAGGGTGTTCTGTAAAGTTTGCAGGGCTAGTATGGTCGCTGGCAATAGCGAGCTTAAAAAGCATGCTGAAAGGCAAGGCCACTAGAATGCCATGTTAGGTCTCGAGAAACAACACCTCCTAACAGGATTCGTCCAGAAAAAGTCCCAAGGCTCCTTGGATGACAGGGTGAAGATGGCAGAGATTAAGCTTTCTGCATTTGTCACGGAACACTCCCTGTCATTCAAGGCGATGAACCAGATGAGTGAGCTCGTAAAACGATGTTTCCCTATTCCAAAATCACAGAACAGGTGGGACTTCACAAGACGAAATCCGCATCGATTGTGAAAAATGTGCTAGCAAACACAGAAGTGTAGGGCCTTTCCGCCATACTAAGAGAAACACAGTTTTCTCTTTTCTTTGATGAGGGCACAGACGTATCGAGCACAAAGCTCCTCTGCTGCGTCATACGTTATTATTGTGATGCTGGAGATAATGTCATCACGCGGCTGCTTGAAGTTATTCCCCTCGACGCCACGAGTTGCTCTGCAGAGACCCTTGCAACTGCTCTTAAGCAGTGCTTAAGTAACAAGGAGATTCCAATGAAAAACATCATAGCACTAGCTTGCGATAGTGCAAGCATGATGGTCGGCGAACACAACTCTTTGATGACTCGACTGCGCGCAAGCGTGGACAGAAGCTTCGTGACCATCAGACGCATTTGTCTATCTTTACACATCGCCGCCAGCAAAGCTGCGATGAAGGTATTGCGGAATCTCGAAGATCTGCTTAAGAATGTAGCGAGTTACTTCAGGCATAGTTGCAAGCAGCAAGCTCAGCTTGCTGATCTGCAGGAATTACAATGGAGAAGCGTAGAATCCTAAGGCCGAGCGAAACACGGTGGCTGGCACTGCAAAAATGCATTGAGCGTGTCCTTCAGGAATGGGACTCATTGAAGTCGCTTTTTTTGCAAGCATCAGTAGAGGACAGAGTTGCAGCCGGAGAGCTGCTCTTGGCTGTCATGAACCCAATTAACGAGGCATATTTGAAGTTCAGGGCCTACGTCTCGGTTTTTTTCTACAAAATGAACGCTCTGTTTCAGAGCAAAGAGAACCTCATCGCTGTCATGCAACAAGAAATCCTAAGGCTCATTCAATGCCTCTGCCAAAATTTCATGCGACCTGAAGCAATTCAAGATGTCGAGAAGCTGAACCCCATGGATCCGCGTTCCCTTCTTCCGCTGGAGGAAGTCTATCTTGGAGAAAGCCGCCTAGAGCTTTTTCAAAGCATGGAAGGGGGGAACTCGGATGTCCAGCACCTAAGGCTGTGTTGTCTGGCGTTCTACCAGGCAGCTCTCTTCAAGGTGAACAAAGGGCTCCCGGTATCCGGACCATTCTACCACAAGGTGCAATTCATCCAGCCCAGCACAGCATTGAACTACAAAGCTCGTAAACAGCTGCTTCTGCTGCCAGTCCTGCAAAAGCACCTGTTGCCACGCGCCGACGCTCTGCAGTGGGAATGGCGAATACTGCCTTTTTTCACTGAACTCGAGAAGGCACTTCTGCGAGAAAAGCCCGCTGCTTCATTCTGGGTGAGATGTCCAAGCTAAAAAACTTTGAAGGCAAGCCCGAGTTCAAAAACACCGCTTGGCTAACAAAGTTGGCGCTAACCCTGCCGCACTCCAATGCTGAGATTGAAAGAATATTTTCACTAATGACAGAAGTGAAGAAGAGGAAAAGAAACTGCCTTGCTTCAGACAGCATTAAGGGGGGACACTACCCAGAAAAAACAATTTCTGCAAAAAAAAGTTGATTTTGAAAAATGTCCTATTTACATCCACCAACATCTAGAGAGTATTCCCAGAAAGTTTCATTAGTTTACACTGCATAGTTAATTTTTTATAAATTATTTTCGGTCCACCAATGCTAAAGAGAAGGTAGAGGTTGGAGTACCTTGAACACATTTTTCTCCGTTCCACTTTTTGGCATAAATTTCACTTTAGGAAAACTATCGTTTTGTTAATACGCAACTTGGATTCATTTCTATGAGTTTTTCTGGGGTGAAATTTAAAGGGGAAGATAACTATGAGCTTGTATTTTTTATTTTTGTCATTTTTCATGCTCAAAAACTAAAAATTTGGACAAAGGATGGAAATCTAAAAAACTGTATTGTGTTTATGTGGCTTTTTTGTCATGAAAGATGGTATAACATAGAAATATAGCTCCATAGTTATCTGCTCTGAACTGTCCTAATGCAATGTAACACATGAAAACGACATATTTATAAGTAATTTCAAAACGATAGTTTTCCTACACAGACACGCCCACTTTCGTCTTTGAACGTTTGCAATTTTTTTTGTGCTTCACCCAAGTTAACAAAAATTGGCAGAAATGTTCTTAACATCAACAGAAACAAGCCCTGTAAATGTCATTTAAATCAGGCAAGTGGTTCAAATATTAACTTTTTTGGGTAGTGTCCCCCCTTAACACAGTGCTTGTCGTGAAATCTGGCATGACTTCAAGATCAGAGACATGCACTGATTTCAAGATAGAAAACAATCGCATGAAGTTGTTCACGAGCGAAATTTATTAGGCATAACTCAAGCAGACCGACGCATCATCAAAACTTGATTTTTCCATCTCATGAAACAACCTTTCCAATTTTATTGTGGACCGTGGCGACACTATTTCGTGTATTGTTGTCCTCGTAGCTTTTCCGAAGTGTGCTATATTGTGTTACGACTGGAAAGTCATTTTAGTCTTTTGTGTATGCGTGCATAAACTGTATATATAGTCCTGTCCTTCTTAAACTTTTCACTGGTGTTTCCCGACATTTCCTTTTTCCCTTTTGCTGGTTATGTTCGTCAGTGCGTGCTTTGTTGTGTTATACAATTTTATGCTCTTCGCCTATAGGGCAAAATAAGTAAATGGTTAAAGAAGCATGTTTTTTAATGTAGGGCCCTTGTAACCTGGCTGTTCTGAAAAATCCTGTTCAAGTTTCAGTGACTGTGGTATGCTATGCAATAAACACTTTTTTTTTGTTATACTGAATACCTGGATCAATTTGTATTTTTTCCTTTTACATATTCAATCTCGTGTTTGTAAAAACAGGAAAAATGGAATTAATCAGTTGTAATGCGCTCTTGGTGAGGTACAGAAGGCAGGCTGTCTCAAATAAGCAAAATAAATAAAGTACAGCTTTTTTTTCACTTGTGGGGACAACCATAGGGACTTTTGCACATCCCGGTAAGGACAAACGGGAACTTTTTGGCGCACGTCGTGGTGCGCAGTTTGTGATGGGGTGCTTTAATTTTGTGCTCGCGAATTGCAGTCGCCGATCCTTGTCAAGTTTATCTACAACCTTTGCTTATGAAGGAAATGAGACATGGTGTGGCCTGTGCGAGTGGCGCAAACTGTTTTAGTTTAATTTCACGTTTCGGCTCTGTCATGATTACAGTGAAATCTGCGTGCTATCTGGTTCGTGGCATTCAAACTTTGTGTATTACGAGCCTGTGCGCTGGACCATGACGGAACAGAACTAAAATGTGCTTCGCATATTTTCCGCCAACCAGACTCACCGAATATATGAAATATTAGAGTAACCGAATACTTACGATTTGATTCGTGAATGAAACTATTCGAGAACTTCCTATTCGCCTCGTATTCGTAAATTTGAGTATTCGCACAACTTTCTATTCGCCTCGTATTCGTAAATTTGAGTATTCGCACACCTTGATATATAACCCCTATAGGGCTATACATTGTGTTTTTAATGCGAAAGCGTAAAGCGCCGTTCGCACTCTTGCGACCGATTAAGACAGAGAGAGACCAAACCGGTTTTTAAGCCTTTTGCGACTTCTTAGGACCGAATGCGCTACAGCGGAGCTGGTCCTAAGAGATCGCAAGAGGCTTAAAAACCGGTCTGGTCTTACTCGGTCGCAAGAGTGTGAACGGGCCTTTAACAGTCTCATGGAACAAGCTGACGTCATCAGTTTGAAGCGCGAAAACGGCTCCTAGTTTTCGCGATTTCGCCTTCGGTTCCATTGGCTGGCGCGCTTCGACCGGGCTCCCATTGGCCGCTGCTCCATGGCCTCCGAGATCTCGAAGCACACGCGCCCTAGTACGTAGCAGACTACAAAGGAAGCGGAAGAGCGGCTTGCATGCTTTTGCATTGACTACTAATAAGAAATGCTTAGGGGTACCTCGAGCTTTCTTTTTTTTTCCTCTTTAGAACAAAATTATTTAAATTAAACTTTGAAGAACAAAAGGCAATGAACTCTTCTGTAAAGGTAACCCTGTTTCATATTTTAGAGCGCAGCTCTTAGGGGCCCGTTCCCGGCTTGAGCGGCGTCGGCGTAACCAAGGTCATCCCAAGGTCACGTGGCCCCCCAAGGTCACGTGACCCCTCCCCCAGGGTCACGTGACCTCTGGGGGTCACGTGCGCCGAGGTCACGTGACCTCCCCGATGACGTCATCGTCAATGATGACGTCACCGGCATCCACATCGTCATCGTCATCATCACTGATGACGTCATCAGTGACGTCACTGATGACCTCACCGGCATCCGCATCGTCATCATCACTGATGACGTCACCGGCATCCGCATCGTCATCGTCATCATCACTGATGACGTCATCAGTGACGTCACTGATGACGTCACCGACATCCGCATCGTCATCGTCATCATCGCTGATGACGTCATCGGAGTCCGCATCGTCATCGTCACTAATGATGTCATCAGTGATGTCACTGATGACATCATCGGCTTGGGGGGTCACATGACCTTGGGGGGGTCACGTGACCCCCAAGGTCACGTGACCCCCCCAGGTCACTTCACCCCCCCCCCCCCCCCAGTACCCTTCCCTCCTCCTCCTCGAGAGCTGCGCTCTAATTCGGTGTTACAGGGAGTTGTAAACGGCTTTCATTTTTTTTCTTTGGGCCACCTCAAGGCAGAATTGACGGTTCTTTAAATGGCAAAATGCAATTTTGCACAAATTGAGTTTTTTTTAGCCTTTACAAGTTTGTTTAAAAAAAATGAAAGCCGTTTACAACTCCCTGTAACGCCGAATCGGAGTGCAGCTCTTGAGGAGGAAAAGGAAAGGGTACTCAGGGGAACGGTACTGAGGGGTCACGTGATCTGGGGGGTCACGTGACCTTACGGTTACGCCGACGCCGCTCAAGCCGGAAACGGGCGCCTAAAAGCTGCGCTCTAAAAACCCATGAAAGCTACACTGATGCAGTTTGTGTAGGCGAGTTATATGACCAGGGGGACATAATATAGTTGCTAATTGTCACAATAAGTCAGCTAATTGAGTAGAATATGTTGATTAACTTTTTAGTTAGTGAAAATATACATAATGTTCCAACTTGAAACTTGTTCAGCACCATTTAAAACCACTAAATCATTCGATTTTAAAAAGGCTGCATGTGGGAAGCACAGTTGAGCGCTGAAGTTACCACTCATGCTGCAAGAGCAAGGCTACCTGTGCAATGACGCACCCATGCAGTTTTTCATCCACATTTTCTCACCGCCAACCTTGTGCCTGTTGCACAGGTGGTAAGTTTAGTGCACTGTTGCACTTCCCACATGCTCAGTCTTTCTAAAAATTACTGATTTAGTGGTTTTCGATGACACTCAGCAAGTTTGTACACAAAGCAGAAAAAAAACAAAAAAACACCCTGTATATATGTTTATGTGACCTTGACATTAGGGTGTTGCTCGACGTCACACATACACGCAACCTGCACGCAGCTCATTTGCAACACATTATGTGCTTATCGGAGTTTATTAGGTGCGATATATACGCTCTAAACGAAAGCATTTTGTCCGTTTCAGGGAAGCGCCTGTTCCTGCAGTGGCTGTGCTCGCCCTGCTGCCAGGCTTCCGTCATCGAGGACCGCCAGAAAGCGGTCCAAGACCTGCTCAGCATTCCCAATGAGGCCAAGGACGTCTGCAAGCTCCTCAAGTCCCTCCCAGACCTGGAAAGACTTCTTACCAAGTCAGTCGCATACGCTTCCTTGTCCCCACGTGCATATCATTGAATAATTGCAGTCTTGGGGAATAGAAGCCTCGTATATACTACTGCATTTCATCATAAGTGCGAAGGAAGCACGAACTACAAAAGCGAGCTCTACACTGAGTCTGGTTGTCATGCATGTGCGTGCACTGTGCTTTACGTATGCAGCTCCACTTCCTCTAATGCTGAAATGGAATGTAGTGATAAGATCAAAGGAAAAAGGCTCATAGAGAAGTAAGTAAAGGTGATGGAGAGTGTTATAATGATTGAAGAAATAATTCTTTATGCGGGAAGCATTGCAACTGTCGAGCTTTCCAAAGGGTAACGTGATAGGTATACTTTAAAGCAGTTAATAGGATGGGAATAAGTTGAGCTAGTTGGTTAAACATATTGGGTGGGGCCAGCTGAACATATATAGCAGGGGTGGCCAGGCTGACGCGGCCTAAGAGCCGCAAACAAAACCACAAAACTTCCAAGAGCAGGTGGGGGGGGGGGGGGCTAACTCTTGTTTAGAGCTATAAACGAAACTCAAGCTACTTTCTTTCTATCCAGTTCAAAAGCAGTCTAACTGTACATAAGGTAGCAGTAGCACAAGACTGCCAAACTGCAACTTGTCTTTCGATTTAAAATTCGGGAAAGCTGGGGGGGGGGCTAGGCTAGGGGAGGGAGCCGCGAGCCGCACTTTAACACGCGAAGAGCCGCAGCTTGGCCACCCCTGATATATAGGAAGGATAAAGGAGAGAGCTTATAAAGGAGGTGGGAAGGATTAAGGGGATGGTGAAGGATAAAGGAGATCGGAAGGATAAAGGAGATAGAAAATCTGGTGACACCAGAACGCCAAGCTCTGATTGGCTCCTTTTAGAAGGATAGTGGGTAGACCTCAAGGCAGCTAGCATTGAGGTCTACCCACTATCCCTCCATCAGAGCCAATCAGAGCTCGGCATTCTGACGTCACCACAACCCCTGCTCAATAAGCAGACAAACTTGCACTCTGCACTGGTATATGCCGAAAACATGAAACCTTAGTCACAATCTGTGGGCTCTAAGCATCCCAAGAAGCCAAACATTACATTCATGTGGGGCCGATTTCTCTATTAAAATTGGCATCAAAAACTGATTATCTTGGAACCATTGCAGACACCAGGGGTGCCTTCGGACAAGTAGAGGGGCTCTTCTAGAGTGGCTGTATTACAGAGAGTTTTCAACCGCTGGATTGGGTTCACGTGACTTAGGGGCTACAATTGCAATACAAGCTGCAAGAAGGTGCCGGAAGCGTTGATCATCTGCAAACGTCTCCATCTTCTCACCTATTTCCTCGCCACGCAAAAATGCAGGGCATCTGGACTTGCGACCAATTTGTGCAGGATGTGTCCGCCATTAAATTGAAGACGCACCCCATGGTTTGAAATGGACCTCATCTTCAACCTAGTCTCTCTAGGCTTCTCCTCGTCCGACGGCACACTCTGATGTGTGCGGTAGTTCCGAAGTAATCAATATTTGATGCCAATTTTAATAGTGAAATTGGCCACACATTAATGTTATGTTAGGTTTCTTAGGATGCTTAGGGTTCATAGATTGAATTATGACCATAAATAGACTATCGAAGAAAGCGATTTAGTGCCCCTTAGGGTTCCCCAAGCCCCCAGGTTCTCTTTGTCCTCCCTATCACCAATTAAAAAGTTCTTCCGGTTTAAGCACTGTTTTAGAAGGTCTCAGTCATCCATTGCTTACATAACCTAGTCTGTGCATGGAAAAAAAATGAATAAACTCTGGGGGGTGTCGGTTTCCGGTTTGCTGATCCACGTGCCGGCTCGCGTCTATGCAGGGTCCACACCCAGGGACTCGCCCGCAAGAACAAGGACCACCCCGACTTCCGGGCGATATTGTACGAAGACACGACGTACAACAAGCGCAAGATCGGGAACCTGCTGCTCGCCCTCCAGGGCTTCAAGACCGCCGTCGAAGTCGTCGACACGCTGTCCAAGGTCCGCAACGAGTTCTCGTCCGCGACCCTCTCGCGCTGCGTGTCAACCGCGGCGGACGGCGGTAGCTTTCCGGAACTGGGCGAAGCCCTGGAGTTCTTCGACAATGCGTTTGACCACGAGGAAGCGAAGAAGAACGGGAAGGTCACCCCATCGAAGGGCGTGGATAAGGACTACGACGACGCGATGCGGAGGGTCAAGGTGAGTCGGTCGAGGACGAGGCTCGGTCTGCAGAGTGAGCAGGCACGTAACCAGGATTTTGATTCGGGGGGGCAGGGCTTGCCCATGACAAAATGCTGTATGAGGGGGAAGGCGAAGGGGGACTAGCAGTGTGTTTTAACTAACGAATATTGTGTGGCTCACATAAACTGACTGTCAAGCAAGTCGCGCTGCATAGCAAGTCGCGCTGCATTGCATTGTCTTTTAAAAAATAAGCACAGCGCAACGTCTTGGGGAGAGGGCTGGAGTTAATAGAATGAAGTAGTCACCAACTGTATAGAATGGTACTTGGTCACCTTCAGTTGACATCCTCAATTATCTGAATTACAAATAACAAAAGCAATGTCAGCACTACAAATAACAGAATGTCTTTTTTTTTTTTGTATTTTATATGTATAATGTTAGTGTGTTTTGTGTTCATGCGTATGTTTCTTTATCTGTGTTGTGATGTACCACCGGGAAAGCGTGTTGCTGTTGGTGGGCATCCATAAATAAACATAAACAGGTTCAGCAAGTGGGAAGTTGAGATGCTATGGCTTCACTTCGTAAAGTACCTTAATTCGCTGCTGCACCCTCTGCCTAATACATCTTTCCAGTATGGCTCAGTGTGGCACGGCCAGCCTATTGTTTGCTTTCTTTGTCCAGTTTTCTGTCGCTCTCTTTCTTGTTCTTTTTCCTGGGTCCTCTGATCCGAACGGCGGAAAAGATGTCTGACGCCGGTGCCTCGTTGACCACTGCAGGCAGCCACCAGGGACCTGGAGGACTACCTGGAGACGCAGTGCCGCCACTTCAAGTGCAAGGCGACGTACCACGGGACGGGCAAGAACCGCTTCCAGATCGAGGTGCCCGAGTCGGCGTCGAGGCTGGCAGGGGCGGGCTACGAGCTACAGGGGCAACGCAAGGGCTTCAAGCGCTACTGGACCTCCAGGGTGAAGGAGCTTGCCGCGCACCTTGTGTCTGCCGAGGAGGCGCAGGAGGCCGCCATCAAGGACATCATGCGGCGCATCTTCGAGAGCTTCGACCGCAGGCACGGCCTTCCCTCTTTGTGTTTTGCTACGAATTCCGTTTTAGCACAGAATGGGCTATTGGTTGGGTTTCGCGAGAAAAACGAAACATAACGCTCAAGTGTTACACTTGACTGACGCACAGGTCAAGGTCATGTAAGCAATATAGAGTGTAGACCGCATATAACGTATGTCGCGGGAGTCGCGAAAATCCGCACTATAAGCGGTACCGCGCTATAACCAAAACATCAATTTTTCAGGCCAAAATACATGCCATGAGACAACTTACTCTTGTAAAACAATTTATTTTATATTAGATGAAAAATATAGCTTAGTTTGAGGAAAGTCTTTTTTTCACCAGACTAGTACACTTCTCTCTCAAGTGTGTCACACATTTTGGAAGAAATGAGCGACTTTTGCCTGGTGCAGCCTTTTAACGGCGTCGCGGGTTGCGGACGGGCGTTGCGAGCATTCAGGATTGCTAACCCTAATCATGGAGAAGGGGAACAAGGGGGACAAATCACTTTTCTCTGGTGATGAAAACGCGTGAAAATCCGCATCCTTTATACGGTACGCGCCAGTAATACCTTTAACTTGAGCACAGGCATGAAATGCTCCAAATAAGAAATCCGGGCGATGTTCGAAAACACAAATGCTTAGAAAGCACCACTGTAGTCGAAGTAAACAAACACGACGTCACGGGCGTTTCTGCTGTCTTGAGAGTGCCGCCACGACATCGCCGCACGAGTAGGTGGATCTTCCCTTCTAGTACGTGGTGGGTTATCATAGCGACACACAACGAAAATTCACAGTCAAGGATAGCGCTTTTACGTGGAACGATGAGCTTCCACCAAGCCGTCTACGTCGACGATCATCACCGACCGGCATGCAACGTGCGCGGACACTTCTCCTTGACCTGCGATTGCTCTGTCATTGCGGTTGTTTTTATCTCAGCGGAGGGACGCATGCACGTGAACAACACGTGCGTGCGTCCCTCCGTCGCTATGGCAACTGAAGCCTCTCTATTCGATTCTCCCCGCTCCTTCGAGCAACCTCCTTGCCCCGCGAGTGCCGCTTGCGGATAGCGCCGTTATTTAGTGTCGCACAGGGAAGCGTGCTCACTGCGCCGGTCGGTAGGCGCGGTTGGCAGGCTGTTCCAGAAACCGCACTATAACCGGTACTTCCCTTCGCGCGCCTGCATTTTAAGCGGTATGTAATTACATGGAGTTTTATGGGAGGCGAACCGGTGGTTTAAAAAAGCCGCGTTATATCCAGTCCTGCACTATAAGCGGTTATGTTGTAAGTGGTCTATACTGTAGCTTATGACATTATGAAGTCGTGTGGTTTCATGACATCACATTACTTCATGACATCATGTAGCATCACGACATTACATGACTATGACGTCACAAGATGTCACAGTCACATGACTTCACACACGCACAGCATTTGCCCATCGTATTTGAACATATTTTGTGCGTCTTCGAGTTTATCAGAAAAGATCAAGACATGCTCAAGTTTTAAGCACTGGTTTGAGATACAACTCTGTATACCTTAGTCGCAAGTTTTGATTTGGTACACCGCGGGACACCATTAGCGCAAACATGACATCGGCATTTTTTCATGTTTTGCTAAGACAGAGTATCGACGACTTTTAAATTTTGTAAGTCGGTGCTCAGGATGAGCACATTCCACCACACTGGTCATCTTGATGAGATGGCGGCCTCTCAGTATTGGAAAAAACAGAAGAAAAACCGGCAATCGCTTGTCCATGCTAACTCTGTCAGAGTCTACGTGAATGTAGCAGAGAAGCAGTCGGCATCCCAGGAGCTCAATTCTGCCGCATGCATGGCCTAGAGGGAACGCAAGGACTCTCACGCAGGCCTGTAAGGTCAATGCCTGGCGCCAAACCTTACTTTTATTAATTCCTTGTTTTTTTTTTTGACGCTTATTCTTTTTCTGGCACAAGTACGCCGATTAAACCTTAATTTTCAGTTTTACGCTCGCCTATCCTTTCACATCCGTGACAATACTATGAGTATTTGAAGAGGTGATATGTATGTTTGAAGATAGTACCTGATTCTCCTGCACATCTGTGAAGTGTTCTTTACACTCGAATAACAAACTTTTCTCAGTCGTGATGCTGTCTCAGTGAAATGAAGCAGGCTGGGAGGGCTTCTGTGTTACTGGTCCATTAATGCCACCATCTTTTCTCTCTATGCATGTTCAGGAGACAGGAGTGGGAGGTGGCAGTACAGTGCCTGGCCGTACTGGACTGCCTTCTGAGCCTGGCCCAGTACAGTGCTTCTCTGACGGGCACGGCCTGCACTCCCCGTATCTTGAGGGACGGAGAGGTCAGTTGGACTGTTCTAAAGATGCACATTCTGGGTATTCGTCTGATGTGTTTACTTTAGTCACCAACAAGATTATAACGGATTATAGAACCGTGCTACTCGGATTCATTGCTCACCCAGAAGGAGACAGATTATTGAATCAACAGTTTGATTCAATAATGTGGTAATACAGAGGTACAAGTACTTATGCGTCCCCTAAAGTTCAGTCTTCTTATAGTTACATCTCAATAGTGTTTAAACACCAACTACAAGGAACAGTGTGATTGCATATCATTAGATGCATCCCATTACTGTCTATAAGTTTTGTCATCTTCTTCAGGTTAGGATTACTGAGAGTTAATTGTATTTACGAGTTTTATGTCCTTAAACTTTATGTCACCAGATCTACTGAGTATAAGATAATGTAACGTCAAAAGTTGGGCTAGTTGGTATTCATTGTTCATATCATAGAAACAGGGGGAAAAACACGAGCAGAGCAGAAGGAACACTCAAACGGGATGAGCGTTCCTTGTGTTCAGGGTTGGGCAGTATTGCGATACAAATGTATCGCGATAGTATTTTAGAAATATACATTTTGTACTTACATTTCTGTATCGTGATGCAATTTTTTAATTATATTTTGTATTTCTGTGTCAAAATATATTTTCGGGTGTATCCCTGGTATTCTGATACTATCAAAGGTGGATGGATCTTGATACATTTTTCAAGGAGTCATTTATTAATCTCGGGTGCAAAAACATGGACGTTGATATCCTACTCTCAGTACTCGTTCATTGGTTGACAAATATAGCAAAATTAATGTAGATTATGTGTCTCTACCTGTATCTCTGCAAAATGTGTCCCAGTATTTGTATTTTTAAATATTTTTTTTTTTATGTTGCAAATTCATTTTTGGTACATACTGCTCACAGTCAAACCTGTATGTATATATTGAATTCAAAGGGGTTAGTAAAATAGTATGATGTATCAATATTTTGATATACAAAAATATGTTAAATTACACTTAAGTTGAAATTTCCTGGCATCTCTGCTAACACCGAGGGTCGCGACAAACGGGAGCTTAAACAAATAGAGCATCCAAGAGCCGCTAAATACGGTAGAGCCTAGTGGCAGAGACCCCAAACACCGTCCTGCTTACGCGTGCGCCTGGCCAGGAACTCCACGCAGCATAAATGACAAAAACGAGAAAATATACGTAAAAAAGAAAAAAAAAGGGAAAAGCGAGTTGCATTAAAAAATCTTTTGATCCTTAGAAAAAAGTTAAGCAAGCAACAAAAAGAAAGCTCACTAAATTCAGGCAGCAAAAAAAAAAAAAAAAATTGGCAAAGCAATAACGGCAAAAGAAAAAGGTAAACAAAGATAAGGCGTTCAAAGTGCAATTGCACAACCACTGTTGTGGACACACTGTACTTGCTGAAGACTTTTTTTTTTTTTGCTTATTTTACTTTGGGGCTAGCAGTGTTTGGGAAAAGGGTGCAGGCGACCATTCCAACAGCAGGCACTCCCTGCTCTCCCTACGCATGCACACATGCCCTTCCCCTTGCTTTTGCCATCCTCCACCTTTTTTTTTTTAATGCGAAAGCATTAACTGTTTTATGGAGCGAGCCGACGTCATCAGTTTGAAGCGCGTCAAACGGCACGTTAAATCCTTTCTCCAAGTGAAGCCAGCTCTCAGCTATGAAAACAAGCGAAAAGCCTAGACAACGGCACCTAGTTTCCCCGATTAAAAAAAAGCGGAGTAAAGCTTGACGAAAATAATCCCTGGAGAAGGGGAACAAAGGGACAAAGGACAAACACAAATCTCCAAACACAGGATTATTTTCGTCATTCTTGTCCAGCTCGCTTGCCCCTTTGCATTAAATTGCTTTATAAAGGAGTAAAGCTGATGGATTTCGCCTGCGGTCCCATTGGCTGGCGTGCATCGAAGAGGCTCCCATTGGCCTCTGCGCGCGTCAGTTTCAACGACCGCCGCCCCTTGGTGCTGCGTGTCCATGCCGCAAGCACGCCTGTAGAACGAAGCGTCCAAGGCCATAGCTGCAAAGAGAGCTGGGAGAGCGCGCGCACGGCCAACACAAATACGCCGCAAACGAAACACGGGAGCGGAAGAACGGCATGCATGCTTTCATATTCACTACCTATAAGAAGTGCTTAGGTGTAGTTCGAGCCTTTTTTTACAACGGAGCTGTTAAAGGCTGGTTCCCCAGGATCGTGTCCGTTATGTCGACACAAACCTACCTGGACAGCTACCGCCATCTCTAAGCGACGGCGGCAAGCACACAACCAGTATGGTTTCCGCCGTCGCTCGTAGATGGCAGCAACCTTTCCAGCTATCATAGAAGAATTGATAGTTGAGCGCGTTGGTGGGAATTCATCGTAGGAAACAGCACGAAAAACAGACGACGACGAAGAAGAAGCACACGTAACGAGCGCAGCGCTAGTCACATTTGTTTCTTCGTCCTCGTCTGTTTTGCGCGCTGTTTCCTACGCTCCTACGCTCTTATCAGTTTCGGTTTGGACTCACGATGGGTCGGCCGCGCACCCTTTCGGGGAAAGGAGACAAACCGCAGAAGGAGCGGCGACGTACGCTGCAGCGCGAATGGGTCCGCAACCGCCGCAAAGCTGCTGTCGCCTCGACTTCCACTGCGTCCAGCGCTTCAGATTCTCTTGCCAAAGAGCACATTGCTCGCCTGGAAAGCCGCCGCCGAGAACAGAACCAGCGATGTAAAGGGCGCCGGCGGGCCAACGCCCTGGACGATGATCGTGGCACGGAGGCCAAGCGCAAGCGCGAGGCCCGGCGACGGCTGCAATCCACGCCGGCTGAACAGTTCCCGGGTGCGACGGCGAGGTTCCAGAGGGAGTTCGTGGAGAATCCGTTTGGCGTCACGTGCGCCGTGTGCTACTGACTCTGGTTCGCCGGAGACGTATCCACGATCGGCGGCGTATCGGACGAGAAGAAGCGGGAATCGGGCGCGTGCACGTTGCGGCAGTCTTTCTTCCCGCTGGAAGGAAGACTGCCGCTGGTCTTCCTTGCAAGGACGGCCGCTGGTCTTCCTTCTTCACGAGAGTAGAAAGGCTGAACGGTTTTTTGGTTCATTGTCTCTTTTTTTTCCACAAGTGCTCTTTTGCAGCATATCTTACGCGTGTGTGCTGGCTTGGCACTCTGCCAGCCATGCAACGCAAGTGGTGTCCTCGCCACCGGCACAGTTAGATCTCGGGAAAAGCAACGGGCAGCCGGGTTTCGTTCACTATATCGAGTGTCTTCGACGTGGGAGTTGGATACAAAAAGACAACGCTCCTATACTATTACATGTAATTGTCAAGGGGATGTTTGGACTGTAGATATTAAGAGGGTTCCGTGTTTCCGAATAAATCTGAGAAACTCCGAAAAACACCCGCCGGTAAAATTTTGATCAGTTCGGATTTATGTGATAAACTCCGTATGTTAAAATAAAAAAAAAATAAAAAATTAGGATGGTTTTTTACAGTTAAGTTTGATCAGCGCACAAGGTCCATTGTCCCGGAACAATGCCACCGCAGTTATTTTTAGAATCTCGGATCATTGACAAAAGGGGTCTTACCGCTTATCTCGTCAAGGTTTCAGGACGACATGTCATTGTACTTTTGGGTCACGACAAGAGCCTCTGTATTGGTTTCCAGTTTGGGCCATATTATTTGTGTTTTAAGAGGAAGAAGAGGTTGTGTTTTTGTAAGAGTGAAAGCTAGGGACCATAGACATTGCATAAAATTGAGAAGAGGGGCAGTTGAAACTTCCCTATTACATCCTTTACTACTCCACCTCGCGCGGCCGCGGGGTAGCATGGAATAGGATGGGATGAAAACGTGCTTCCCAGCGACTACCTTTGGGAGTTTATTCTTATGGTATCGACGTTTATCAAAGCCACGCATGTGTGCAACTTTTGCCGTGGGAGAAATTAGTGTTGCCAATTTCACCAACACCAAATTCAGCTGAAAAAAATATTAACTAATATCAGCGTTTTTTTGTTTTTTTTTTTTTGTCTAGCATACGTTTATTCCCGAATATTGTTTATTTATTTTTCATAGGAAACACTACAAAATTAAGCTATGAATTTCGGAGATTTTGGAATTAAACAAAAATAACTCCTATAAAACCCTGAATTTTCGAAAAAAAATAAACTCCGAAAAACAGCTTCTTAATTTGATGAAAAATAAACTGAAAACACGGAATCCTAGATATAAACAATAGTTTGAAATACCCGAGTGTGATATAACTGGGCTCCACTGTATACCTTTTTATAAGTGTATTTCAGTATCAGCATTTTAGGTGTATTTGCCTTGTATCCCTGTATTTGTATTTTCAAATACTTTTTAGTGTATTTCTGCCCAACCCTTCTCCTGTTTGCGTGTTTCTTCTGCTCCGCCTGCGTTTTTTGCGCTGTTTCCTTACCGCCAAATTCACAAACCTCACTCCAATTGAGGCACCCCTCCACTTCGTTAAAGGGGCACTGACACCCCAAAGGTCGTATTTATTTTTATTGTCTAAAACGATGCAAGTTGTAGTCATAGACACGCAAAAAAAACCGCATCGCGAAAAAAAATTTTCCCGCGCGCGCGCGCGCCTTTTTATTTTTGGCGTTTGATTTTCCCGCCTCTCGCCTCCTCGCTTCTTTTGATCGGTGACGTCAAAAATCAGGAAATTTAGAAGCTTTGTAGGCGACATCTCTATAACATTTAATTACGGCAATCCTAAAACATGTTTTTTAACGCATTTGCGAACGCACTACGGCCCTTCTTTTTGAAATACCAAAAATCGGGAGTTCGTTGTGGTGCCGTCTCCTGGATTTGTATCCTCCAACGGAAAACAGGCGACACCGCTCAAAACCGGTCCGCCGGAACGCCGCCGCTCACTCCCTTCCTCCTCGCTTTGGGTCGCCATGGCAACAGCAGGGAGGGGTGAAAGGAAGTGGACTCTCAGGTCTCCTCAATTTTTGACGTCAAGGCACCGGCGCCGATCGCGCGGGAACTTCGAATTCGGCATTTGGAAATTGTTTTTTTACTTCACGAATACTGAATTCCCAAATTTCAAATTTTGAGGGTAATGTCCCGGCATCGTTTTCAATCGTTTCGGATAATAAAAAAAAATATGATTTTGATGTGTCAGTGCCCCTTTAAGGAAAGGCGCGAGGGCCGGCGCTGGCCAATCACAAAGACGGATAAGCAGCCTAGGCCACCTATTCGTCGTCGCAATTGGCCAGCGCCGGCCCTTGCATCTTCCTTGAGGAAGTGGAGGGGTGCCTCAGTTAGAGTGAGGTTTGTGAATTCGGCATTTACTATATAAGATAATGCTTCATTTGGGTGTTTCCTTGAGCAATTGGGGATTGAATGTAATGATGCTCGAAACTTATTTTGAGAACACAAAACTTTAGACCAAGAGCCAGTTGCAGCGACAAGAAAAACGCTACAATCTTGACTGACAATGAAACGAGAAAAGCTCGCTTGCAAAGAGCCCGTTGGGGTTGTGCATTTCATCAGTAATTACTGACACTTGTCATTTTATTTTGTAACTTGCACCTTTTTTGTATTCTTTTACCTTGCATTCTTTTTGCCATTGCTTCAGTTTGCATTGTTGCGTTGCTGCAGCCACGACTGAGCATTCAAGGGGGGCGTCACCCGTGCCTCTTGAAGCACCTGGGCGGGGAAAACCTGATCCCCAACAGCATTGCACTCGGCGATTACGAGGTGAGTGCGGCACCCACCTGCGTCGTGGCGTGTCACATCTTTGAGCCGCCGAGCACGCGGAAATGAAGCATGGGAAAGCCTATAGTACGTTTAATATTTAGTGTACAACGCTGCCAAAGCTGCTGGCACGAGCGTGTTGCTTGATCTTGCGTTTCTTCTGCACACGGTCTCGCGCAAGTGAGACGCTGGATGACGCCACGTGCTCTCACCAGTAGCTTTGACGGCGTCGTGTACCAGGTATGAAGCGCAGTGTGGTTCAACTTGATGTTTGATTGTCCGAAACAGGACGACGACAGCGCCCCGAGGGGAGCTCGACTTGCGCTGGTCACTGGACCCAACATGGGTGGCAAGTCGACGCTTATGCGGCAGGCTGGACTGCTGGTGATCATCGCACAAATGGTGATGCACTTTTGTATTCACTTGCTAGACGTTTGTTCGGTTAGTTTGAGTCATTCTGAGATCACATCTGTCTGTTCTACGTTTATCGGGGTCTCTTTTGGAATGTAAGATATGGTTATCGACTAGCTGAAGCAACTGGATAATGTTACCGAATTTAAAAAAAAATGGTCAGGTGATAAAGCTGTAAGCTCTATCAGGTTATTCCTTCATTACAGGCCTTAAGAGGTACAAACTTTTTTTGGGTAGGACACTTAGTCATATTTGCACTCTTGCTCTCCTGTGCTATCTGCCTCTTGGACAAAATTTTCTTCTGTCCAGCTCTATTTAGCAGTTAACAAATACCTGCCTATGGAAAGCTTCTTCTCAATGTTCTTACTATATCTGATGTAATAATAATAATAATATTAATGAAATAATACTTAAAAAACAAGCGAGCTGGTGATGATTCATGGTAATAAAACCCGAGACTCAGGAACACAGAAGGGTTGTGTTCGTCCCCTTCTGTGTTCCTGAGTCTCGGGTTTTATTACCATGAATAATATTAATGTATTCTTTATCTTTCAACAGAAATACAGTGTCGGTGGAGGTCGTGAGAAAAAGAGCTGATAAAACAGCTTGACTAAGCTGATGTATCTTCCTTAGCTTCGATCGTCAACGCTTACAATGCTCTTGTTTCTTTCTTGCCTCACTCCTTTCAGTTAGTAAAGCTTTAGCTTCCATATCAATGTCAGGAACCCTTGAATCAGAGCTAGGCTTGGATTATTTTTTATAACTGTCATAATGCCATGCTCACTAAAGATACAATGTTTTCTGGTGACCCCTAGGGTGCCAAGGTGCCAGCAGAATCCTGCGAGCTCACACTTGTGGACCGAATTTTCACCAGGCTTGGTGCAAGTGACCGAATCACGTCAGGCAAGTCTGACTGTCTTAAAAACACTTTGAATTGTCCAGTCATTGTTCCCCTCAAAAAAGCTTGCAGCATTTGCTTCAGGGAAAATAAGGTGCCTTTTTAGGCCAAAGTAATTAGGTGTGCAAGCTGATGTAGGTTTATGATGAGACCTAAAGTTGGGTTTTCTTCCTGAGTTCAGTTCTTTCAGTTTTGGTCTTTGATCGTATCTTGAGATTTGCAGCATGCAAAATGGTTGGCCTTGTGCCATATTTTAGAATGCTAAAAGCACTTTTTTTCAATCTTCATAGTGAATGAAACAGGGGTGGAAGCGCTGCGCCAATTGCGCCACCCTGCGCCAATTCACTTCCCTGCGCCAGCCTGCTCCAAAACGCCAATTTCAACTTTTTTTTTTTTTAGTGTTTTTTTTTTTAATTTAGCGGAAAACGGTTGGCCACGGGCCACCATGTGGTGTGTACTTTTGCTTAGGTGTCACTGCGGGTGACTCGTACCAACTCGACTGGTGCTCCGAACCATGTGTAACCTCAGGACGAGGCGTCGATTTTAGTTCATCGAGGGTGCGATGTCGTTTTTTACTACAAAGAGCTTGATATACGAACACATCGGTTTGGTTTCGGGCATAGTTGGTTGGCGCGGTTGGAGCGCACATGCAGTTCACCTCCTAGCCCCCACTGACTTTTCTTCGCAATGCCGCTTCTGCGGAGAACCCGGGTCCCTCCGACATATGGTAGGAGGCTGCTCCCAAACATCACTATATCCTCCCATCCTCTTCCCCACCACCGAGCTTTGGGAGAGAGCCTTGGCCAGCTCCGACCTCGACGATCAGCTACGACTGGTCGCGAGGGCCCAAGACGCGGCCCGAGCTCAAGGCATCCTGGACTAAGGACGCCTCCCGAAGCTTCTTTTGCTCAATAAAGATGTTTATTCTCTCCCCGTGGTCCCGATTTGCCGTGATCGTGGGAGTTGGTGCCTCGGCACCGGTGGGCTGGGTGGGCTACCTTGGCCATTAACATGAGCAGAAGTAAGTGGTCTTTACTAGCTTTACCTGTTATTTGGTAGCCTACCATATTTGGACGCCTAGCCGTGAAGAATCGCGAGCACAGGCACATCCGTTCTCGAGCTCAATTTATCTTGTCAAAACGAAACCAAAGCCATCATTGTGTGCGCGAATGTGCACGCTGTCGTGTGTTGTCTCCCGCCGTCAGACCACTGGCGAAAACAATACCCGCGATCTTAAGCGAGTTGGTTAATTGGCAGTGCTACACAGTTTTTTGCTTCTTTCCTTTAGCGTGGAGGAGTGGGGATGACATCAGAAATGCCGTACAACACTCCCGCGCTGCCGATTCCTGTCGTGAGCGCACTTTAACTTGCTATAGCCACTCTACTCGTACAAGTTTCGGGTATAGGTGTATCTGGTTGGGGGTGGGGGTTGGGGGTTGGGTAGGGTAGAGAGAAGTTGGTGGGCTTTTTGTCACGTAAGAAGGCAGCCTGCCCCGCAGGGATCAGAGCCTGATCAGCTACATCTCATTTTCAGTCTCGTTCAAACTGTCTTCTCTTAAAGCGCTTCTACTGAGTGCACAAGAACTCATAAGCAAGGGTGAGGCAGTTAAGGACATAGACAAGGTGGGGAGCGGACAACTCCTGCTAAGTGATGTGAACTTTAAAGTGCAAAAGTACTCGAGCGCATAAAAGAAATTGACTCTGCTCTTCAAACTATGAAAAAAAAGGTGAACTTCAGTTGTTTCTAAATTACACAGATTCAGCTTAGTCACAACCCTTTTTTTTAACATGGAGCCTGTGGGCTCTTCTAGTCAGTGTTTATGCTGCATATGTATTAGTGGCTGCGATATTTTTAAGACAATATATTTTTCCATCTAAAGTAACATAGATGTAGCTTTGTATGTTAACTTAGGTGTAGGGATTACTGTATTTTATGAACACGGATTAAGAACATTTGTATTTAATGAAAACAAGTCAGCAAGGACTGCTTTATTCTGAAACATGTTGTGGTACCTTAACGTTTTTTATGGAGACACGCAATGTACAGCATTTTATGGAGTACATAAGGTTGCGTTGCTCTTCTAGTCGATGCTTAAAGCTGCATATGTACGAGTGACTGTGGTACTCTAAAAATATAAAATACACATTTTATTTTGCATCTGAATTTTTGTCAAATGTCAGTAGCCTTGTATTTTGTTACTAAACTTGATATAGGGCTTTTTAAGCACTGATTGAACATGTGTATTCTTTATTAAACAAAAACTGTAGTCAGCGAAGGTAGTTTATCTGACACCTTGCAGTGGTTTAGTTTTCTGGATACATGTTTACAATTGGTCTATTAAGTAGACGGTTTTGTACTGGCGTGGCTCAAGCTAGGCTTTTATTGTCGGGGCCTCCCATATAAAGTCTATCATGACTCTGCCTGCTGCCGGAATGGTTCTCAAAGCCTTTCCTTTGCATAAATTGCCAATATTCCATATTTCAATGCAATAGAAATAGAAAGGTGTGTATGTATGTTGCTTGAAAATTATTCTGGGATGTGCATGCATATATTTTTGCTACATTTTCACATTTAGAAACAACAAATCACTTTTAGACACCTGTTTGACCTCCGTGACCTGCTCCAAAACCCGCTTCTACGGCTACAAAACTTATTTTTGCTGCTCCCGAGCTGCTCTAAAGCGAGCCTTTTACTGCTCCAAAACTGCTCCAAAGTGGGACTTTTGCTGCTCCCAGCCCTGATACAAAAGGCTCTAGCCCGCTTCCACCCCTGATGAAAGGAAGATGGGGAAATGGTGAAAATTGGAGTTGAAAGGGCAGTCATTGACAGCAGAATTAAATGGCTACTTGGGCTAGTTGGTTGTGATTTCTCTTAACGGTAAAATGCCAAAGAAAGATTGAGGACAAAGTAGAAGTTGACAACGAGACAGCCTACTATCTCTGTGTCCTGTTGTAACTTACTCTGTCCTTATTTCTTTTTTTTTTTTAGCATTTTACCTTTAACATTAACAGCAGTTTCTGAAAGACAGCTACCACTGATCTGTACTCTCATCCTTGCTATATTGGATTTTCTTCAAGGAGGACACTTGCAAGCATTGAGTTTGGCTGCTGCCCTTTCTTTGCATAATCTAGCAGTCTAGGAGTTTGCTAAAAGCTCCACAGAAAGTTTTTAGAAGGGCTTTTTCTCTCTCTCTTCTTTTTCAGGGGAGAGCACTTTCTTTGTGGAAGTCAACGAAACGTCGGCCATCTTGCGCCATGCCACCCGTCATTCGTTGGTGCTCCTTGACGAATTAGGTCAGCATGGTTTCCCGTTTGCAGTGGTGGAAGTGCTGCGCCAAATTGTACCATGAACAAAAGTCTGCTACATTTGTGCCAAAATGCCATTTTTGCTAATAATTGACCCTAATACTCAGAGAAGTAGAGGGAAAGAAAAATTGTTGGGCTTGGGCGAGCCTAGAATGAGAGGGCTTTCAACAAAATCTGACGATCATGTGGTTTATGGGCACCATGGTGTGACTAACCTGGTCTCCAGGCAAAAATGATCAACGTGAATTTTACAATTACTATATCTTTAAAGATTACAAAAATCGGTGTATATCAGACTTGTACAAGATACTAAAAAAGTATTTAAGTTACTAAATACCAGGCTCAAAATAACTGAGTAGAGTACTCAGTACCCAAATTTGAAAAGTATCTGAGTAGAGTACTATAATACTCATAAGTGTAACTCATTACTTCCAAGATACTCTTAATTTACAAATTGTTATGAAAAGCAACAAAAAAAAAAGAAGCAAAAAAGAAAGTTTCAAACATCAGGTTCTTTCCTCCCTCCGATCGGTGCGAGAGAAAAGACGTCCTCTTGCCCTTACCCTCTACCCAGGGGTGCCCCATGTTCGAGGATTATCTTGGGTGGAATGAAAAATCACCAGGAGGGAGGAGAGGGAACAAGGTTCTTTGTGCTAACTTGGGGGCAAAAGATAAGCCACCATGGACACAGAAGCAATGTCTCCAGAGCTGAATCTAGGTCACCGTCGACCTTCTTCTGAAAAAAGGCGGAAGTAAGTTACGAGTAACTTAAGAAGTGAGTACAAGTTACTTGCGAAAAAGTACCTAAGTTAGAGTACTGATTACTGACTTTTAAAAGTATTTGAAGATACCAAGTGACTCCCAAAAGTATTTAAGATAAAGTAACTTGGAGTAAAGTATCTGACAAGTGCTGATTGTTGGGCAAGTTGGTATGGTACGTTAGAAAACATGATTGCGCTTTGAAGACAGGGACATAGGAAGAACAGACACCACAGAGCGCTAAGCTCTTAGGTGTCTGTTCTTCCTATGTCCCTGTCTTCAAAGTGCAATCATGTTTTCTAAAATATCTGAGTTATGTACAAGTCTGGAATATACCAAGTAGCCTATGAGCATTCAATTTCAAGAATAATCTACTCGTTCAGTCTTCGTGTCCTAATGCGATAGCGTGCAACGGAAATATGGGTAGCGTTGGCCAGTTGAGGCACGATGCAAGTGCCGGGATTTTTATTGTTTGAGCAGACGAGTAACTAATTACTCGTCAAAGTCAAATTGGACGTTTAGTGATTTTATACAGCGTAAGGTCGGTCTGCCAGGATGAGGCGACTCTGGTTTACTCTGTAGATGAGCAATTTTGCCAGCGCAGTACGACTGCTAACCTGGGGTCTTTAACGTGCTCACGCACTAGTGATACACGACCGCACGCCGGTACGATGCTCATCCATACTCTTCAAGCTGTGAGACGGTGGTGTTTTCTTGCCCCCTAGGAGGGAGTCCAGTGTAATTTTTTTTGCAGTATTGAAGCGTCCCGTCTTTTTCTTGCCTTCTCGCAGGTCGCGGCACCTCGACCCACGACGGCATGTCCATCGCACACGCCGTGGTCAAGGAACTCTCCACTAAGATTCATTGCCGCACCTTGTTTTCTACCCACTACCACCATCTTGTCGAGGGGTTCACATCAGACCCGAATGTCTACCTGGGTCACATGGTAATCACGCTGCTGCTTTTCCCAGTTGTGTGATTTGCGGTTCCGGTGGCTAGGTACGGTTGGAAGAATCAAAAGAGTGTTGTCAACGCCTCGAAGATAGAATACGATAAATGCAGATGGGGCAAGTAGTGCGTGAGATACGATAGACAAACTGTTTGCATCTACGTTCCTGCAGGGCATGCGGAAGCCAATCACCACCGTGATTTGCTTCCACACTGAACCAATCGCAATTGAGATTGATTCTAACCTTGTGTCAACCACGATTGGCTTGGTGACGAAAAAAATCACAACGGTGATTGGCTCAGTTGTTGAGCCAATTGTCGGCATGTACCATGATTGGCTCCGGAGTTGCTACCAATAATTCTACATGCCTGTGATTGGCTCAGTGTCTGTGCAGTGGTCGTGACACGGTGCATGCCCATGTCACATCAGAGCAAATCAAGAAGCATGTATCATCTGCTGGAATTTGTGGCGCATTGTCGGACCTGAATACTGAGAATAAGGCACTGCGAGCGCAGATACATTGCAGTCCTAGAATTGCCGCCAACAGGTTGTTTTTGCCCGCCCAGGCCTGCATGGTGGAGAACGAGAATGAAGATGACCCCACCCAGGAGACCATAGTCTTCCTCTACAAGTTTGCCCGAGGAGCCTGCCCCAAGAGTTACGGCTTCAATGCAGCAAAGCTCGCCGGCATACCTCCTGACGTGAGTATTATTTTTTTCTGCCAGTGTGTTTCTTCTGTTACCCGTACCAAATAAAGGTCCATTCACAGAATATCATTTCTACACGTTGCTTTAGGTTGTGGGAGCTTACGTCTGCTTGCACTGCAGGTCACCGGGGCATCCACGCCTTGTTTGAAAGGTGCAACTAATTCAAGCAGTAGCTTTGCATGCGACATACAAAGCACGGATCTCCTTGTGACTTGTAAACAGGGTTCCACGCTTTCTGAGATTATTTTTCGTGAAATTCATAGGGTGTATTTTGGAGTTCATTTTTTGCCAAAATTTCTGCATTTATTTGAGTTAATTTTTGCTAGATTTCCAATTCTTCTAAGCTTGAGATTTATTTTTGATGTATTCCCAAATTTGAAATAAAAATAAATAACACCCGCTCGCAAATATACCCCAAGTTCACCTCTATGGAATCATATCTTTTTACCTGTATTTGGCATTGGAAATAAGTCCAAGGACAGAGCTTGCAAACATTTTCTATCGTGTTTGCTGGAAAGCATAGAAGCTCCCACTGCCCTGGCCCCTCCTATGGAATTTATCGGTTCATATTTTTCCCGTTATAAAAACACCACCCCTACTCCTCCAAGAAGCACAAATGGTACGATCCAAACTGTAAACCTGAGCGACTTTCACAGAGGCTCAGAATTGCAATGACCAGCTGTCCCAAATGAACCTTGACGAGATACACGGTAAATCCCCTTTGGTCAATAATCCGAGACTTGAAAGGAAACTGAGGTGACCTCTCCTTGGGACCACTGACCCTCTGCTCTGACCAAACTTAGCATTTTCCTTTTTACGGGCTGTTACGGGCCCCTCCCACCACTGGAAATGACATCCATTGTTGATATTGTTGTAGTAGTTGTAGTTGTTGACTTTGTGGTAGTTGTTGTTGATGTTGAAGCTGGTGATGTAGGGCATCTGTCATCGACGTAGCCGAATCCTCAAAAAAGATTGGCCGCCGCTCACAGGAATCGAACCTGGGTCCATTGCGTGCAAAGCGGAGGCATTACCACAAAGCTACGCCACAGCTTAACAACCCGCCCTAAACTTGGAGTTTTTGTAGTACCCGATGCTTACTGCACACGCTCTCTGAAAAAGAAAATAGCTGATAACAAGGTGCCATTGTAGCACTGTCGGTGCCAAGAGCTCGTGCCGGTAGATGCGCTTTCAGACACTCGAAAACAAAAAAAGAAACAAAAGCTTTTAGAACACAATCGTTAGATGTCTGTTTTGTTTTCAACTCTTTTGTTCACGCACCCCACGCTGCGTGAACATGACACTGATTCCCAAGGACTTCGCTGTGACCGTACTGTGCATTAAGGGCGGACACTGGCTAGAGGTTGAACTTCTCAACTAAAGTGATTGGAATGAAATTTGCAGGGGAGATTTAACTTTAGATGTAGCTGTACTGTTAAATAATAAAACTTTGGTTGGGGCTAGTTGGTTCATATCGATTAAAAGGTTAAAAGGCGCGAACAAACAGGATGAAAAAAGAGACACATACGACACGGACAGGCGCCAACTTCCAACTGATTTATTGAAACACGAATCATCGTCAAACTCAATCCCAATCGCCTAAACACATGCAACTGATAAAAATTCCTATCTCTCATTACATACATCCTTCAAGAAACACAATTTCTTTGGTTAACAGATAAAGAGATGGCATGCTTACGCTGTGAAAACTTTAGCTCTCTAGGACAACTTTACATAACTGCATAAAAAGATGTATCACTCTTCGTTAAGAAATCTATGATATGCAAATGAAACTGGTAAGCATCATTTTGACTGTTTGAATATAAAGTGGGGGATGTGGGACCTTGGGCTATCTAGTTTTTATAACACAAATGTAAATATTTCAGAAAGAGTGGTTACCTCAAAATATGAGATGCATATCAGTCCAATGTCAATTTTTGAAAACAGTTTCTTTCCCAATGAGGAGTTTAAATTAAAACAAAATAAAGTAGATAGCCCGATTCCCCAGTAAATTTCAGTTCAAAAACATCTTGATTGTGGCACCAGAATAATTTTACCTTCGAACAAAAGATTCCTTCGTATGAAATTTTCAACAACTTTGCTACTGCCTCACAATGTGTTGAAAATATTTTATATCAATGTAACTATTTGGCGCATGGTTATGAAATTTAGTGTAAGGGTGTATAATTAGTTTCTAAAACCAAAAACCTCAAAATTGAAAAATGAATTTTTTCAAAAAATTTTTAAACTTAGGCTTATGTCCCCTCTTAACACGGGGCTGCTCAATTGTTTTTTTCTTTCTTGCCATTGTAAGTTTGGAATTTTGAGTTTTTCGGACTTTGGCGGATTTATCTGAAAGCACGTTACCTGTAGAGTAACCTAAGAGAACATAAGCAAACGCTCCTGTGTGAATAAGGCCTTAACAACCTTCGTCGCATAAAAACATTTTCATACAGTATTTACTCGAGTGAATAGACTCACTACGAACAAGGCCTGCAGATTTATTTTCCCGCAAAGCACACACAGCCAATCATAGAGTTGTAGTAAGATGCAACAAATAATGATGCCGAGAAAATGATTCTCCACAAAATTGTGATCGGCGCAAATGGCGTTCTCGTGTGAGGACGTTATTTGCGTCACGTGAGTCGCTGGCGTCCTTCCGTCGATCACGATGATCAGCTATCCGTGTGCTTCACGGGAAAGTGGACGCGCAAGTTTTGTTTGTAAACATTGGTTTTCTTACACAAGTATATGTGGTACATCAATTTTCTTATTTGAAGTATATCCGTGTATCTTAAATCCTTGAAAGCAGCATTACCAGCTTGTTATATTTATCTCCAACTACAGTGCATCCATGGGTGGTCTTTATCCACTAAAACCAGTTTCTTCTATCTCTGTTACATCAGTATTTTTTATTATATGAGTATCTGAGACTGTGTGTGCTCTTCCTCTTTCCCTTGCAGATCATCAAGCGTGCATTTTGCAAGTCGAAGAGCCTTGAAAAGAGAATCAGCCTCATACTTCCTGCATCAAGCTAAAATATGTGCACTTCATTTTACATCTGTGCACCAGATAAGCCTGTCAAACTGTATGGATAGTGTTTCTGTTTTGTTTGTTTTTTGTTGCGAGTGTACCTGACTCATAATTTAGTAGTCTTATGTATGTGTTATGTGCAGGAAAGTTGTATACTACACCAAATGAATGCTACATAAACATGTTTCAAAGGTTTTTGTTTTTTTAAGATTGCGAGTCTTTTGGGGTTGAGGGAGGATTTACGATGTCGCTTGCTATGAGCATCAGGCTGAACAAGTCGGCCTTCATTGAAAGAACAGAAGCCTTTTACATGATCCATTGTTCAGAAGTGAATGTCCCAGATAACTGTTTTAGCTGGGTTACAGCCACATTTAATAAAAGCCACAAACTTGTTAGATCTAGAAACGCTGTGTACTGCTCCCTAATGCATTGCCATAACTTCGGAAACGGCAGTTACTACGACTTGCGAGTGCTACCTGGAAGCCGAGAAGATTGTTGCCAGCACCAGTTTGCTGAAGTTGAATCAGCATTAATCACCTTCGTCCCTTTTCTACGTAGGTTACGTAAATCTTGGGACTAACAGAGAAAATACAGCCGAACTGATGAACTCTCAATGTTGTGGAAATCCAATACCGAAGAAAAAAAGATGGTGCGTGAGATGCAGAAAAATGTTTGAATTGCCCTTTCTTTTTTGGTTGCGAGTTTTTGCAGTGTTGTGTTTTACAAGACGGATTGTCCAGTATGCAGGGCTGTGAGCACGTGGGTAGCTGTGTGAAACATTCAAAGCAGGACAAGCAGCATCACAACCAGGACACTTATGCGAGGGAAATGCACATGTGCCCTTTCACGGGGACACATGTATACAAAGGTATCTTATCGAATGTGGTGCTCGAGACTTCTGCAGTGCTGCACAGTGCTCTACATTTCAAAACACAAAATGACTGCAAAAGGTTAATCCTTCCACTCTCACAAAAGGCCCAGTTTGCCTGTACTTCATTCTATATATCAGCAAAAACTCCCGGGGTGAACATCTTAAGGACACACCCCAGAAAAACGATTTCTGCAAAAAAAAAAAAAAAAACTGATTTTCAAAAATTATTTAGGGAGTGTTCCCAGAAAGTTTAGTTAGTTTACACTGCATAGTTAATTTTTTATACTTTTGGTCCACCGATGTTAAAGAAAAGGTAGAGGTTGGAGCACTTTGAACACATTTTTCTCCGTTCCACTTTTCGGCATAAATTTCACTTTAGGAAAACTATTGTTTGTTAATGGAGCGAAAGGAAGGACTCGCTCATTGTTTTTCCTAACTGAAATTTTATGGGCAATGCAACTGTGAAATTGTTTTTGTGATTTTCTGGGTATTTTTATATAAAATGTTACGATTTTGTTGACAACATAAAAGGCAACAAAATTTTGGTTTTTCACTGTGATGTTAGCATAAAATAAATTACTTCTTGGAAATTTTGTTTTCACAGTTGCTCTCTCCAGGCTTCCTGCAGATTTAGTGAAGAACATCGAAACGGTATTAGCGCACACATAGAGAGAAGATACAGGAAAGAAGCGCTTCTCTCTGTGTGTGCGCTAACACCGTTCAGATGTTTCGTTACCAACTGCCCAATTATCAACCGTTTTCTAGTGAAGAAAAACGTTGGATATTCCATTAGTTTCCTAACAATAGTTTTCCTAAACAAAGTCAGTATGTTCCTGATAAAAATGACTAATTTCTTTTACAATTTATGTACATAGATGAAACTTTGCACTGCATTCTTCCTCGCAACTGCCAGTATATGCTGTAAATTTCATTCATATTCAACCAGAGGTTCAAAAATCTCCCCTCTTGGGTAGTGTCCTCCCTTAAAGGGGTACTGTGACGAAATTCTAGTGTCTATTTTGTTGTCTAAATGTCAACCAAGTTCTGAACATACCACAGAGACACCAATTTTTAGAGCGCAGCTCTTGGGCGCCTGTTCCCGGCTTGAGCGGCGTCGCCGTCGGCGTAACCACGAGGTCACGCGACCTTCCCAAGGTCATGTGACCCCCCCCCCCCCCCCCCCCCCCCGAGGTCACGTGACACCTTCCCCCAAGGTCAGGTGACCCCCCGGAGCATATTCAAGAATGAGGGGAGGAGGAGGGGTCTACCCTCCCCTCCTCCTCCTCAAGAGCTGCGCTCTAATTCGGCGTTACAGGGAGTTGTAAACAGCTTTCACTTTTTTGTTTGAAGACACCACATCATTATTAAGACGAACAGACCGATGGATTTTCCAAAAGCTACTTTGAATGCCTTTACGTCTCCCTTCAAAACAAAACCAGCACCGCTTCGCGGAAGTATGGCGGCTAGCTGCGTGCATGCTCTGTAGAACTTGGCCGAACCGGATTTCCCTTCTCTCCTGCGCCTATTCAACTCCAGCAGGGAGCTGGAAACGGCCAGGTTGTAACGTGTTGACGCCACCAAGTGGCTAAGCTCACAACCACAACAGCCTCATTGTTGCCTTGCTCGTGAAGTTAAAACACGACGTTGCGAACGCTCTAGAGGCACCAGATCCCCCGAGATGCATCGCGCTCTCCGACGGCTGCTGTTCGAGCGCTCGCTGTAATTGGCCGTTTGGAACGAAAAATATAGCCAACCGTTCGAAATACAAACGATTTTGTTGATCATGTTTATCTCATTTTTAAATCTGAGAGGTATACTTCAATTTTCATTTCAGTATCCCTTTAAAGAAAAGCTCCGCCGCACATCGTCTCGTATCGCAGGAGCACCTTATAGTACTACGTTTTGCTTAAAGGGCACCTGAAAAGAAAGAACATGTTTTTTTTTAAACTGTCTAGTTGGAACATGCTTTTCATATAAATTTTATGCGAAAAAAAAAAAAAAAAAAATTTTACAGCAATATTGACGGCGAGATTTATTTTAAATTCTGCAAGTCCATAACGTCACGGAATGACCATCTTGGTCATTCCGGAATGACGGTCTCGGTCGTTCGCTCTTTCCACCTCAACATGAAAGCGAAGCCGATCCACCTCTCCTCCACGCACCCGAAATGCCAGGAGCAAAACCAAGTGGAAATGAGGTGACTACAGACTAAATGGCTTCTCATGCCGTCAATATGGCTCCAGAATTTTTTTTTTTTTTTTTTCGCATAAAATAATTGTTACGCAACCAAGCTGTTAAAAAAAAAAAAAATTCTTTTTAGGGTTTTTTTTGTAGGCTGATGAGCAGCCAGGAAAGGAGGTAACCCCCCTCCCCCATTCCTCCTTTCTATGCAAGAGGGAGACTACTCCTTTCTGAGCTGAATAGCTGAGACCCACTCCTGTGGGGAGAGAAGAGGGCGAGAGGAAATGGAAAGAAGGAAACTGGGCACCGGTTTTCTGCCAGACATGATTCTGTAGATCTGCCTTTGAAGCATAGTACTATGGTCCGTTTCAGGTTAAGAAAAGCATGACAAGTTCGTACCACCAAGCCCTCCACTCTTTTTACTTTAGCAGGGCAAGGGTTGGAGAGGAAGCGAATGGAGAGAAAGAAACTTGAAGGCGGGCAGAGAACTTTGTGGGGGGACTTGTCGTGTTTTTCCTAACCTGCAACAGGCTGTAATAGAGTCCAGGTACGGGCGCATGCTCAGAGGTGTGGTAGGTCGTCTCGTCCCGCGCAGCCGAAACACATTCCAAGACGAAGCGCTCGTGCCATTGACCGTGAAATTTGGCTGCCATGCCAATTAAAGTGAAGAACAGAATTACACCCAGTTCTTCCCTGGTTTGGAATACAGCAAATATTACAAGGAGAGAGATCAAAACTCTGGAAGGTGCTGGTCCCGTGCACTAACTGGTGCAGTGAAATCAGTTACCAGTGTCAAAAGCTTGTGCTTCTAGCCTTTTCTGTGTGGCAAGGATGACTGGTGTTCACCTGCCATGTGGCACACAGGAACCAATGAATAAGTGGAAGTCCATATGATTCACTGTGCATGGGATTTGTAGGGTGCGAAGAAAAGCAAGGTCATAGAGCCACTATTGGCTGCAATATTTGAAGCCGATGACAGCATCTCTACTACTGCTGTAATGGAAACCAAGTATGGGACTCTGCTTTTCTAGAATTGCCAACTAAATATAAATTTTCCTGACGGCCCAGGGTCATCTTAGATAGTGGAAGGTTTAAAGTAGGCTCAGCCATTAGCATTCAAGTAGTCGGCAAGCCACCATGCCCACTGCATTGGCAATGTGTGCAATTCCTTTTTCTGGTCGGAGCGTACACCTTAAGGAGCATGGGCATTGCAAAACCAAGCTACTATCAAGTACGAATGAAACAGGGACGGCAGAGCTCGTGACCTTCGAAACACGACCTGGAAGCCCACAAGAACCGACGGAACCATGGAGTGGAGGAGACTTCAAGGATCTGTCGCCTACTCGCAACGCACACCCTTGTCGCTTAGAAGACCAGGTAGTGCAGCATATATCTAGGATTCAAAGTTTTCGGTTTAAACGGATAAAAGTATGCGGAATCCATTTTCGGAAATTCGGTTTTAACCGAAAAAGGTGTTTGTAGGTTCAGCGTTTTCGGTTTAAACCAGTAAAAGTATTTCTAATCCTTTTTCTAAACCTCAATTTTAACCGAAAAAGGTCGTTATTTTAGGGCCGCGTCAGGGGGGGGCGGGGAGGAGGGGGAGGGGGGAGAGAGGGCATTCCAAGGTTTGACATTGTGCGACGTCTTCGTGGCTGCCCTCTTCCAAGGTTCAACATGCAACAACAGGTTCTGGATTGGCCTTCGTGGGACATGTGCGCTCTTTGTGTGATCCGACGTAGTGTGTAAAATTCTCGGTCCCAAAAAAAAAGTTTGGATGTGGGCTAGTATAAGGTTTTTCACTTCATGCACCTCAGAGGACATCGAGGAAAGCCGTTAATACCTTTCTTAACACCCTCCCATCATACTTCTTTGTGGTTAAAAACATAATTACAATGGATTTTTTTTTTTTTTTTTGCCATGCCGCTGGTTTTTGTACGGTCATCACCTCAGACGGTCCAGTCATCAGAATGGGAAGGAAAAAGAGGCTCGCTGAACATTCTGCCCACGAATTCCACGATTTTGAGGTGTGTTCTGACGGAAGTTGTAGCGAAGACCATGTATGTATCTGTGCCATTATTCTTTGAGGGATCACAAATATCGCAGCTACAAGGATCATTTGATCCGGTGTCCGATGGCGTTTCAATCATATTCGCCGAAAAAGCCCGTAATCTTTTTTAGGAATAAATATACACCGAAAAAAGTATGCCAAATTTTGAAAATAAAAACAAAAACACGGAACCCTACATATATCGAAGGCAATGCACATAGGCTTCTGCAGGTCTTTTTCAATCAAAGTAGAGACCAGAAGTTTCTCGACTGAAATTCCAGTGAGGTGGGCATTCCTTGAGATTGAAAAGTATCAGAACCCCCACTATAGTAGTACATGCGGAAACAGCCTAAGTGGTTTTAGGAAAAATGGCAGAATTTCGGGGCAATCAATTTTTATTCATTCCATCTTGCACCTCAGGGCAAACAAGAGGAAATTGTCATCAAAACAAAGAGGACGCTTTTTTTGGCAACAGCACCAGACACGACCTTAAAATGCCTCTCGAGTGCAAAACAAAAGGGGGGTGGGGGGACTGTCCGAGCAATCTTAAAAATATGTATAAGGCAGTGTAAACGCTTATCAAAGGTCCCACAACTATAATACACTATTTACATGTGTTGCGCGACTCCACGCTTAGATAGGCGAGAGGCAGCGACGACGCAGTCGTTGGTTCCCACGTCATTACTGCCCGTAAGCACTTGGGCGTGAAGCTTGCAATCGTTAGAAGGAAAACGTGGGTGGCACACAGGCAAGATGAAAGGATTGCAGCACACCCCCACAAGCTATTTTACTGTACCGGTCTATTTTTATGAGAACAGCATTTTGTGAGCTCTTTTTGCCTGTACCGCTGGAAAGGCATATAGCTGTTGATGAGCGTCATCATAACAAACAGCAGGACAGGAGGGCAACGCATTGCTGAGCACCTCGCAAAAGGCGTGCAGAGAGACCGCTCATCCAGCCAGTTTGCAACAAGGCGTTGGAAAAAAAAAAGCGGTCTGGTGTCATCTATAAATATAAGAACTAAAAAGTATTTGCACGAAAAAAGGTAACAATAGATAACGCTAAGAGTAAAACGAGCACATAGTAGAGGTGGTCTTTCGACGGTTAGTCTCGAGAAAAAATAAATGTCCCGCAAGTTTAAAAGTGGTAGCTAGTTTGATTTTTCTTCCATTTCTCACTAAGAGAGCCAAACCAACAACGTGCAACTGTGGCACTGAGAACGTGGCACTAACCCAACAAAACATGGCATGTAAAACAATGGAAACAACATCGGTAATGTCACCGGATCTCACCCCCCCTTCATCCCCTCCCATCACTTGAAGCCGGCGACATTTTCCTTACTTTTTCACTCTCTTCTTCAGTTTTGTCTTTGTACTTCTGGGCGAAATTCGGCGGCGGAGTGACGATGGCGAGACTGCCTAGGAGGCACGGCTGGATGCTAGAACGCATCGCTTGAGCAGTCAGCGGCACCACCTCTGAAGAACGGTTACAACTATATGTACAAGGCGTGGTGTGCCACACCACAACGGTGTCATCATTTAGCGCACATCTCCGAGATAAACATTTCGTAGTCGTCGAACAAGTCGGCGATGCCTTCCGCTTTGTCTAGTGTGAAGTTGTAGTCGTCTTCGGACAGCGGGGGCTCCAAGTGCAGGAAGGGCTCGTACTGGTCTTCGGTCTGAAGGAGAAAGTTCTTGCCCATCGGCGCGAGGTCGTCCTCTTCCGAAATGAGGGCGTGCTTCAGGGTCGGGTCACCTTGAAAGAGAACGGAGCGTTTATGTCGGCAGTACTTATGTCTCTTTTTCATGCATCGGGGTGATAGGCCAACGCCTTCCGCATAACAAGGCTGCAGTGCTTGACTTTAACGCAGAATGCATTTTAGCTTCACCAAATGTTGTAACAAAAAAAAATTAAGAGTCCTTCCACCCCCTAAAGAGGGAGGTCCAGCTAAGCTGGCGCTCTGGTGAGGTTTGCTATGTCGGGTTGGGAGCAGTGGCAACGGCGGTTTCACGTTGGCGGCATGCCCATTCTCGCTTCTGGACGTGCCGATGCTCCTCGTACTCCCGCTGCTCCTCTTCAGAACATACAACATGGGGGCCACCCATGTGAAGCCTGAAGTTTAACTGATAAAGACAGAGGCGCGATCTTCGGCAGGCGGCCGCCGAAGAGAGCGCGGCATTGCGCGATGTCATAGGGGGAAGACGCCGCGTGCGTGCGGCGCTGGCGCACTCTTAAAGCAAAAGCCTAAAACAAATGGCATCTTGCGTGCACATTCGTCAATGCTTCATTTTGGTTATTTGCTACGAATCTTTTATACCAAAAAGGTGCGCGGGTGCAACGCCGGCATCTGCAGCATTAACTGTACAAAATTGTTAGTCTCCGTTCGGTCTGACCCCGGAGACGATCTGCCAGAACCAAGGCATAGACAGCTTTGCTGTAAACACTGCCAGGTTTCTTCGCAAGAACTACTTTATCCCTAAGAGGCAATCGAACCAACAATCTCTCGCTCAGTAGTCTGATGCTCTGCCCCTGCATTAAAGCTTGGAAAAGTGTTAATTCGCCTGCTAGATGTACAGTTGTGTGAACGCAAAAAAGTACCATGCCTCCATTCTTCACACAAAGCCGACTGACACAAAGTAAGTCATGTTTGTGTCGACCCGGTTTTGATCTGTTGTGTCTATTTTGCTTGTTAAGTTTTTTGGGGCAAGCTGTTAAGGAAAAGGCCAATTCACATGCTTGCAGCTGCTTGTGACTGGAGAGGCTACCAACGAGTTTTAAGCCTCTTGCGATTGCTTACCACCGTCTGTGCAGAAGTGCAGCCGGTCGTAAGCAGACAGGAGGTTTAAGACCAGTCTTCAGTAATCACACGCAAGTGTGTGAGCCAGCCTTCAGATATGAATGCACAATGTGTTATATGTTATTCAACTTATGCAAAGTACCATTTTGTATGTTGCCAAACAGAGGACTCAGGCTGCGTCAGCGTTTTCAGCGACCGAACGTAAGTCCCAGTCAAACGCTGACGTGAGCTATGCTCGTGTCCAGTTTGTTCCCAGGGCTGGCAGAAAATTAAGCACTACAGTCAAACCCGTTTATAACGAACAGCAGGAAACGCTACGATCAGTTTGATATAGCAAGTGGTTCGATATAGCAAAAATCATTCACAACAAACTTCCACGATGATTAGTTTAATATACCCGGGTGCTATTGAACCCGCCGCTAATGAGCACGTTGCTCTTGAATCTAAAATCCGATAGGCTTATTGCCTTTTGGGGCGCGGCGTGTCAAGCTCCAAGTGAGCGCGCAAGGTGAAGAGGGGGGGGCGCCTGTTTTTGCTTTTGGTCAAACTAAAGTGACTTTAGGTCAATCAGGGTGCGAAGGGCGAGGTAGCGAGAGCTTCCCTTTCTTTTTCATCTCTTCGCTTCCGCCTTGTAGCAACGCGCTAGAAAAAAAAATGTGTTGTTTTTTGTGCATGCACACAGTTTTTTTTTATTTTCTGAAATTGTCTTTTTTCACTAATTTTTGTTCGCAGCTTGAGCATTTGGTATTTTCTTTCATTCTTACTTTCTAGTTTTATTTTTATTTTGGGGGGGGGGAGAAGGAATTGCCTAAAAGACGCGCGAGTTTGCGCCTTTTTGGAAGCCTTCCCGGGGGAAAAAGTTTGATATAGCCAATATGTTGTTCGTTATAAAAAGTACTTTTTACGTGCATTTTTATTTAAAGGGACCATGAAGGCAGTTTCGAAGTTTTATTCGACAATTGAAATGGATGTCAAGGCACGTCTCAGATACTGTTGACCAAGTTTTAGCCCGAACAGAAGTTTGGGTGCCGCACCAATCGAGCAAACAGGCGCGGTAATAATAGCGCCGGGAACGATGCCTGAGACCCCACCGAGGCGGCGGCAGAAAGGTGAACTAAAGTGCGCCGTCGAAGCGTGACGACAACGGGCTCCTTGTCTGGCGATTGGTTCAAACGATAGAGGCGCTCTTGGTTTCGATCTCGGTGGTGAGATGTGATGAAAACAGTTTATTTGAACGTTGGATAATCTTTTGAAGTCGTAGTTTGGAATTAATAGGTTTCATACCGTGTGTAAAAGCATAATCTGAAGCGATTCCTCCGTTTGTCACTGGTTGAACGCATCCCGCACTGCTACCTCGGGCGCGTAACAAGCACCGAGCAACCATGGACAAAAAAAAAGAAAAAGAGGTATGAGCGCCAAGGGCGGCGGACTTTTTGTTTTGGTTTCGTGCGTCGTCTCGTGTTCGTTTTGCGAACTGGTGTCTCAACAATCATGCTGCGTTTATGTGCAGTAGTAGGTTGCGCGAAAGGTCGGCTAAGGACGTGCGGTCGATCGGGCAATGTTAGTTTGCATAAACTGCCGACCGATGCAGCAATGCGCAGCATTGCTGCATCGGTCGCCAATCCAGAGTTCTGCGTCCTTAGCAGCATCTCCCGTTCAGTCGGCGTGAGGTCGCTGAACGGGAGCTCAAACTCGTTTGCAAGCACGGCGTTGTCGTCCATGGTCCCTTTAACTTTTCCGTGAGTTCGATATCGACAATAATTCGCTGCACGTGGGTTTGTTCTAAACGGGTTTCGCTGTATACGAACTTGCTATCTAGGACCCGTTGGATAGGTACAGTATGAACTTGTTGCTGCATTGCAAATATTTAAGAAGAGCAAGCAGACAAGCTCCAGAAGTGCGAGAAGAACTCCACCGACCTTTGAAGCTCCCCGTAGAGCACGGCTCTTCCACCAAGCCGATGGCACAGCTAGAAGAGGACGGCGCTGAGGTAGAAGCGACGGAGTCGTCCTCAATGGATGACTCCTCTGGATTGGAGAGGTACACCTCGATTTCACCTTTCTCGCTCTTGAGCCAGATTTGAAGGTTCTGACAAAAGAAAAAAGAAAAAAAAAAAAAATCAAGCCAGGGGACACTCGAAGAAAGGTTCAAAACGATTTCTGTATGTCTTTGAGCAAGTCCTCGTGTTTCTACCCGCCCAAGTTAAGACTGCTGTGTCATGAGGTCGCACGTCGGAAGCGCCTTTCCTCAAGAATCTAGACAACACTCGTTCACAGCAGCCTTATCTAACAACTGGAATTTGAAAAGAGCTGCAACTTTCCTATTTTCAAAGGGAAAGGAGTCGAGTCTCACCTTCTGGGGGTCGGGGACTTCTAACCTGGTTTCTGGCGGTGCCTTGACCGCAATGACTGTCTGGTCGGCAAGGGAGGGGATGCTTCTCAGGTCGCGGTAGGTCACATAGGCGCACGTGGGGGGGTCGGTTAGGGAAAAAAAGTCAAACACGCGACAGTTCTTGCCAATATTCTCGTCTAGTTACAGAACGGCACAACGTTACTCTCTCCCGGAGTTCTCAAACTTTTCCATCTCCCCCAAGGGATGCCCATCTCTTCTGAATGGCAGTAAAGCAACCCCCCCCTAGTCTTGGTGCCGACGTAATTAAGTCCTGCAAAAGCCCACATGCCTTGTACAGATAAATGAATATCACGATACTAGAGAATGTCTACTACATCATCAGTGGATGGCTCATATATTCTGAAAAAGTTCTTAAATTGGGAGAATGCTTTACGTAAGGGCTGAGACGACCAAGGAAGTTTAGGGGCTTGGGGAGCCCCCGAGGAATGCGAGAACCCACAAAGGCATTGTCGTCTTCGAATGGCCCGCTCTTGCATCCAGGCAGCAAAGGATATTTTTTGTCTTGGCGCTCCGTGATTAGGTTCAAGTCGATGGTGGCCCTCAATATGAGCTGGTCCAGGTTGTTCTCCTTGCACTCAAGCTGATCGAGCTCCGCCTGGAGACTCTGCTGAGTTCGGAGGAAAGCCGCCGCATTCTTGCCTTCCCTGGGGTAGCAGAGTTCAGACGGTAAAGACATGAGTGGGGTTGTAAACGTTCTGTAATCTCTCCCAAATGACACATCTAACATCTCTCTTGTTAATCCATATGGTGCGCTTCATCTCAACATGCCATGTTCAACCAGGCAAGTTGTAATCGTTTACATAAATGTAATTTAGGTGGAGGATGTACCGTAAAATATCGCAAAAACGCCCACTATTAACATTAACAAGTTATACGCTAAATGCACGATTTGACTGGACAAGCAACCATGTTTAGATTAATCCAGTTTTTAGTGAATGTGGGTGGGCACTCCCCCTGTATTTTACGGTGCGTTCACGAATCGCCGGCGCACATGATGGCGGTCAAGAATTTCAGATAACTTTAAACGCCACTTTACTGTAACTAACCTTTTCTTGCAATGGCTTTTTTTTCTTCTATTTCTCACCTATTTCCTGTTTTATGCAATATTGAAACATTTTGGGTTACACGGGTGTTTCTTTTGAAGAGAACCATTCTTTCCTCCACTGCCGTCCTGTCAAAGTAAATGCCACAAGAGTTGAGCAAGATCTTTTCTTTTTCTTTTCAATTTTACAATTTTTTTTTTTAACATTTTACCTGTGAAATTTGAGGAAAATGTGTCCCCAACCCATACTTTCATCTTAGTGGAAAATAATTAACAATTCCTCACTGAAATAGATGATTTGTGTGATCCAACGAGCTTGTACTCCATCTCACAAACGTCTGCAGTAATGACAAAGGCAGAGGCACGTGAGCCTAACTCAGCGGAACGTTTTTGTTAGAATGAGAACTTGTGCAGAACAGGCACTTTCCAAAGTCATGCACACACTTTTGCCCATGCCTTTATCTCCACTGCAGATGTCTGCAAGATATAGTAAAAACACTTTACACACTTTCAACACGACAAATTCACAGTGCAGCCATCTTCATTCATACCCCCCATCATTTAAATATCATCTAATACAAGCATGACAGAAAAAAAGAAAAACAAATATCATATCTGTAATTAATCATTACTTTAATTCCTTCAGGTAACAGTAACTCGGATATTGCCAATTATCTGTACCACACTTCTGCCTTTAATAATGCTGCAGTGCAAAATGTCCCAAGTCAGTATTCCACATGGCCTCTCAAATTCGCTTGTAACCAACAATGTCGTTACTCAAAATGAACTCATGGTGCAGGGGGTTTGTTGTGAATAGGCCAAGTTTAACCTGGAATGAGGTTTGATGGTTGCTCTGCAGGCATACATTATCAACAGTAACAATTGTTCGACTGCTCTCCAGCCATGAACGCGAAACCAACTTGCCTCCACCGGATGTTATTCTTGGACTTCTTCTCGATAAGCCCCACCCCTTCAAGGACGTTTGTGATGTCATAGATCCGCCTCTTTTGAACGCCAAGCAGCTCCGACGCCTTGTTGAGGTCGACCACCTGAAAGGTGCAACGTTGAGGAACATGATTCTCAACCCAAGTGTTCAGTTCGAGCGAAGGACGGCCGAAGTCGAATAATGGTGGTTCAACACACCCCGTCTGTTGCTCCCTTTAGCAGGCTCACAAACTTCTTGGTGAGCAGGCCCAGGGAAGTGTCGTACCGGTTTCGCTCAAGGGGAACTGCAGGAATATGGGGACGAAGACTTGCGTCAAGTTTCATTGGCTGCACTCTCATAGCCACCGACAGAATGAGAACGACAGGGAGGAGTTTCAGTCGTCTCGCCTCCAGTGCATGCTGCGCTCCGTTTTACGTTAATTCGGCGAACCGCAGAGGCTAAGGCCCCCGCGGCCCAATAAAAGCGTTGGAGCGAGGCACGTGACAACACGTCACGGGAATTTATGTCACTGTGCCAAACATGAGGCCTGGTAGAACTGGCTGTCGTCTGCTGCAAACCAATCAACTTCAGATGAACATCCACCGCCGCAACATTGCCGCCCATTTGAGTAGCGAGCTTTTCGGGGACAGTTCACGAAACAATTCTACGCTCAATTTACCAGCGAATCTGCGGTGTGTGCTAATGCCACAGTGATGTTATGAGCGAAAGTGGTCGATTACAGGGCTGCGATTGTTCAAATATCGTTCCAAAGCCACATCGTCCTTGGAAAAGGGTTGATCCGACTTAAGCATTGCTGAAAAGTAATGTGTCTTTGTTTTCTTTTGCGTCGTGTAGCCAGATGCAATCGCGCAAGTTCAATTGCGGTTGAAAGCTAAAGAAGCCTAGAACTATGTTTTGTCGCAGACGGCACCGCTGTTGTGGCGGTAACAAGGCCTCCGTGGCCTCTACCATGAAGTGCTGTCATGTGCCTTGCTCCGACGCCCGGTCGCAGGGATCGCAGCCTCCACAGTTTGACAAGTTATCGTGAAACGAAGTGCACCTGCCTTCAGTTACACTTCAGGGTCCTGTGAGCCTCGTGAGTGCACGTACAATCAAAGCACAGCAAAAGGCAACAAGCGTGTGCTGGAGGCAAGGCGTTGGAAAAAGACGACCTGCCATTCTCACCTTGTCAGTGATCGTAGTCACTCTCTGCTCGTTTTCACCTCAAGAAAAAAAACAAGTTTTGCGCACTGGTCATACGCCGTGCGAAGTAGATCTCACAAGACTTGGGAGTCAGAGGAAGGAGCTATGCTCTCGGTGTATGAAATCGGCGAGTCTTGATGAATAACATATATCTACCGTAATATCCCGAGAAATAGCCCACCTAAAATCAAGAGAAAATAAGGAGTGGGCCAACTTTCAATGTAAAATAAAAAAAAGATGAAAAAAAAAAAAAAAAGCCATTTATAGATTACGCGTTTCTGTCAAACGTGTTATCGTGGCCAGGCACGTAGCCAGGATTTTGTTTTTTGGGTGGGGGGGGGGAGGGGGGGGGGGGGGAGGGGGGCTGCCCATGACAAAATGTTGTATGAGTGGGAGGGGGGAGAGGAGGTCCCAGCAAAATGGAAAATTTCGGGGGGAGGGGAGGGGGGCAAGCCCCATGGCTCCCCTTTTGGCTACGTGCCTGATCGTGGCAAGGGGCAATGAAGCAAAGATGAGTGTACTTCTCGGTCAGCAATGCTCGCTTATATTCCACCATAGGCAACTAGATGCATTCTTGCCAAGGTCATCACTGATCCAAACACTAGGATTACTAGGAGTGGCCCATCTTTCGGCATTTAAAGAAAATAGCGGGTTGAGCCAAAAATAGGGGTGGGTTATGTTTCTGGGATGGGGCATCTCTCGGGATTTTACGGCGGTCTAAAATGCACCTGCATATATATACCTCAACTCTAGACCTAAAAAAGGATATGCTCCACAAGGAGTCTGACCTTTTTTTACAACAATTTTTGAAGTGAAAGCGAGTATAGCGTTCTGGGCTTTGCAGTAACAATGTTGTCTATCCTCCAGCCAAGTATAGTTGGATCGAAGTTGTGGCTGCTTTTCTGTTACAGCTGACCTGTTTCCATTGGTACCATCATGTTGGACTTTGTGATCGTTATCACCAGTGGTGGGTCGAACTTTGGCCCAGCAAAAACTTCAGCATCACCTTTAATCAAGTTCAGCCAAGGTTCGCGCAGACATTTACTTTAATCCTACTCGGCCGGATCTTTTTCAAAGGGCAAATTAAAACTTATCAAAAATGAAATTAACTGTAATTATGAACGGCACCCAATCGGAAACATTTCGTAATCATTCTGAACGCCATGGACTCGCGTCCTCAGTTACCCGAAGTGCAAAATTCGAGACGACGTCGCAAGGACCTTTGGCGCATACTCACTCTTGCCCACTTTTAGGCGGCTGGAATTTGGTCCTGGAGGACGCCCTTTTTTGGCGGGGGGCGCTTTGAAGATGGGGTGGTCCGGCCCCGGCGACTCCATGTCTAGTCTGCGTTTCACCTGTCCCAGAGAAATGCGACGAAAATTCATTGTTCCCTGTCCAGAAACGCAGCCGCTTGGGGTGACCAAAAACTATGGTGGGTAGTAATAATAATATTAATAATACACTTTTATGGCGCAGTAAAATACACACAACAATGCCCAGGCCTGCAAAGGCACGGGGATGCATTTGGGGGCCTGTGTCTCCGACTGGTGCGTTTAGCATCCCCAGCGAAAGTGGTCCCAGAGCAGCAACAAATGACGGCACAGGTGCCGGAGTGTCTGTGTCGATTGGAGAAGTGCCAGCAAAAAACATGAGCGTATGCAAGTGTCGCAGCATCCTAGCTCCTGGCTGATGAAGCTTCCGTGGGCCGTAAACTGGTGAGTGACGTGCAGAAGAACCCACCACGGGCTGCTGCGACAACATGAGGATCACGACCGGAGACAACATGGCTCTATTCTAAGACGTCGTCGGGCAGAAATCAAGGACCACTTTTTAGGACGCGGTAGCCGTACCAGCCAGAGACGTGCTCCAGGCATCGTACTGTAAATGCATAAACGCTGTCGAGACACAACTGTGCGACAATACGTAAGGCAACATGCTACGCTCTTCGAGATTGCGGCAGCAGGTGCCCGCACCGAACGTTTAAAGCGAATCAAGGGGTGCACCTGTTCAGAAACACATACCATTGGCCCGTTCTTTAATGGCCATGCCACTCGTCTACAAGAACAGCAAGCGTCGACGTCGAGAGCCATACCGCACAGTATTGAGTGAGTACTGATCATTGTAAAACTGGCATGGCTCCTCACCATAAAGCACCATAACTTAAAAAAAAGAAAAGTATATCAACAGAACAAAGGGGAAAAAAATGCTGCTCTCATGATACAGTTTGCCAAAATAAGGAATATATATCTATATATATTTTTAAAGGAACTGTAACAGAGGATACACCAATCAATGCTCAATACTTTATAATAAATGTTGATATACGTTTTCGGGACAATAAAATTAAGCACATGTTCAAAAGAAATTAAAAGAAAAAAGACACGTGCAAAGGCTTCGCAAAGCGAGGGACACGAACACAAGGTTGAAACGCCGACCGATTTTGTTTGTTTTTTCGGTGCGAAAATTAAAGGCTAACCCGCGTATTAAATCATCGAAGAAACAAGGATTTCCGTTCTTCGATAAAGCCCGATCAAAACTGAGAAAACGCCAAGCACAACCAGTCGACGTGGTGGAACTCCTTTTGCAAGATTATTACATCGGCACCTCTCCAAGCCGCCCCGACGATCCAAGCAAAATAACAAAAGAACCACCCTACGACGCAACGAGATTCTAAGAACAGAAAAAAGAAAACGTTAATAAACGCCTTCAAACCTGCGACGATTCATTGATGCGCTCCACTTACCCGGCACCGAGAAAAAAAAACACGCGAAATTTAATTGTCCAACTCGAGAAACCCGGGCTTCTTTGTTCCCCAAAAACTGGCCACCCCACATGGCTTTAGGCTTTTAAATTTCTTTCACGAGGCGACGGCATAAAAATACACGAGGCCTCTGTAACCCCACACTAATCTCCGGACACATATCTCGATGATTTCATACCCCACAAAATTTTAAAAGTCGGATCAAAATTATTCAAAGGTGAGCAGAAAAAAAAGGTTACCGTGCGAGCGATGCCGACCGGCGCCAGAACGCAAGACTCCATGTCGCCAAGCTGCCGGCGCCGCGGAACCGGCTAAATTTACTCGAATTTAGGAAGGAAATCTCGCTCGTTACACGCCGGAATTTAAAGAATCGGAGTCGGGTTAAAACCGCTTTAAATCATGACCGCTTCCGAAGCCGCTACGACCAACCTTGCAGCGGAACCCGGATTTTGCTAGCTAGCATTGTTCTGCGAAAGACATCGAGGCAAGGCAACTGACGCGAATTTTCGCTGCTCGTTAAACCCCCGAAACAAAAATTACGTCTAGCAGCGAATTTCACGGAGATAAATCCTACAAATCGTATGCGTAGAAGAGGAAGACCCTCGCTTTTATTTGTTTTGTTTTTTTTTCCTCCGCGGTTGAACGGCGACGTTGGCTGCTCGATCAAGACAACATTGAAATATCGGAGCGACGGTTTGCTTACCTATCTTTTTTATTTTCAAAAGACGCTGGTTTCGAGAAACAGTGTTTCTTCACAAGTTGATTCGTAAAATATCCATTTTATCTCCGAGGGAAAGATTAGAAAATAAAAGCGTAGACGATGCGGCGCCAAGGGGCCAATCTGCTGGTTTGCAATCAACCAACCGCGGAAGTGGGTTGTAAACAAAGGAATACCGCTCAAAGATCGGAACGCATTTGCCCGACCCAAACGGATCCTTGCACTCAAAGTTTTCCACGAAGGACTCACGAACAATCGGAAGAATCCAAAAGAGCTTTACCTGGTTCCGCTGTGCGGGGGGCTTGGGTGGGTTTCTGGCCAAATAAAAGTGGTCCGGAGTCTGTCCGTATTCGTCCATGGTGATCGCCGCCGGCACTTGGCCCGGTCCGATGTGGGATCGCCTAGAACCACCTGCCTCCTTGGCGATCGGAGTCTTGAAGCTCCCGCTGCTGCTCGGGATCTCCTGATGAAGCGTGGTCGCTTGCCGGGCCGAGATCATCATCGCCCTGCGCGACGTTGCCGGCATCCCAAGACGCGCCCCAGGTGTGTGCGGTACGCCTTTCGCTTCCGCTACCCAGGGAACATCCCTCGAGAAATCAAAGTCGAAATCCAGGATTTAGTGTCCGTATTTTAGAACTCAGTCATGATTCGGAAAGCAGATGGATCAACATAGCTGATCGGTACGGAATAAAGGCTCGAGGTGGCCTTAAAGGGATCGGATGGCTGCGATTTAAAAGTCCTCCAGAGCCGAAATGTCCCGCCGTTTCCCGCAAAAAAAAGGCCGCGTACAAAGACGCGCTCGTCGTATTTCGCGCGAAAAATTTCCCGCCAGAGGGTCGGAAACGGGATAGTGTATTGTGTCGCTGCACAAAGACGCTTTCAACTTAATATGGAAGGGCTGAAGTGTGAATGTCATATGGTACTCTTGCCAGTGAAGATTCCTCTATATTCGAAATTCATAAGTTATTTCAATTGACAGTAAAGTACGCTTGTTTATTGCGATAAGTGGTCGACCAGCTGCAGAGTTTGGTGGCGATGTTTTGTTGATGGGTGTTTAGAGGTGTCACATCGTCTAAAAACTCCTACGTATCAATCTCTAGACAGTGCAGTATGAAAACACTGGATACTTTACGGTTTATTCAGTTTCTTATGAGTCAATTAAAACTTCCAACGTTGCGTTGACACCATAAAAGCTACCGAATGTCCTCGTGAAATGTCGTCTGCTCGAGACTAGCCCCTCCCACTGACAAACTGTGATTTCTCCCATTGGTTGAAAGCGGACCAATCACAAGCCGAGTACGCTAAAGATGGCGACGTTTGATATGCAGATTACATCGATGTGCTTCGTTTGCGCTTTGCGTTTTAAACTTTTAGTCACGTGTTCTGAAAAGCAATGGCAACGGTCGCCGGGGTCGGCGGGTGACTGGACGAACTTTCAATGACTGCCAACGCCGAGATGTCAGAGCGAAAAAAGGCGGAGAGGGTCAAATACGCTCCTTTGGCGGGTGGTCAGCAGACCTTACGACGAAAAAAACCATGTTGCCGTAAGCGTTACAAGCTGCTGCTTTTTACTTTTTCTTCTTGTTATTTCGACTAATGTAATTGGAGTTTTTCGGGGCTTCAATCCTGTGTATGGTCGTTGGGGGATTAATTAACGATTTTACTCCTTTTCGGTATTCAGGGGTAACGTCCGGAGAGAGGTGCAATCCGTTGGCTTGGCGCGCACCGACCGCAGAGCCCTAGCGCTGCCAGATGTTGCTAACGTTGACGTGCCGAGCGCGAGCTTGAAAGCGACACTAACGCGAAAAAAAGATGCCACGTAGAGCACAACTGCGTATTACGCGCGGACCACATGTTTGTCCATTCTGCCTGCTGCGTTGGAAATTTCCGAACGCTAATTCCATTTCTTGCAATGTCGTCGGTTTTCTTGCAGTTGCATATGGCTTTCGTCTCTACTTTTAGTTTTTCCCTCGGAAATCGAACATTTAGCCAAATAATTTGAACCAGCCAAAGTGAATTAAACAACCATTTAATAACCAGACGTTCATTGTGACTGCATTTGGTGCCATAAATTTTGTTTTATCGAAATAACAATTGTACTCTTTTAATGTATGGTGGGATGCATGGGCACTGCAGAGGGCAGTCAGGATGAACGCTTAGGATGCCCCTTCCTCGATTCCCCGTTGATATGCTTCCCTATCTCTTATTCGATCTGACCCTGGGAAAGGAAGTCGATAGTCTGTGACAGGTCAAGAGTAAAGTGAAAGCTCCTCCCACTTGTCTCCACTTTAGCAGACTGAATGCTGGAGAGGAGGCAACCTCCGCTCTAGCATTCACTCTGCTAAACTGGAAAGAGATGGGAGGAGCTTCCACATTGCTCCTAACCTGTCACCGACTCTGCCTGCAACATGATCATGTTCATGAAATTATTGCATATTGAGGTTGTCCCAGGTTGTTAGTGTCTAGTTCACTGATGTTGTCCTGGAACTCTTATTCCAACTGTGGTATCTATGCACTTATTTAATACAATGACAGCAGTTTGCTTTCCTCGATATAAGTGTAACTGTCCACTTGATCTGCTCAAACTTCCCTGTCGGCTCACCTCATTCACATTTCTTTTTAGGGATTCATCGTGAAGTACCGTTTTCCGTACAATCCAAAGTCCGTTCTCTTTGTAGATGGCCATAGCGGGGACAGCGTGCGTGAAGGAAACTCTCATCCTTTGTATGACGCATGGTCTCTCGAACTGTTTTGAGGAACCCAAGGACTCCCAGAGTGCCTTCAGGGGATCCCGAAGTCCCCAGATTTCCTCGACCAAACCCTCCCTCTAAGTAAAGTGTTCTTGTGCGTAAAAGATCTGAGCCATCCATTAATGCATGACTATGGGCTGAACGTTCCCTAGTACACGGTTACAAGGTCCCGCTTCTGCACTGCTTTAAACCAGGAGAAAAGCAGTTCACTTGCAGCTGGATTATGGAATTGGCCATAGCTGGATCCAGCCAGACTTTGAATAGCAGGACAATAAGCCCCTCTCTCAAAGCTCCCTTCTTTCCATGGTTGGTGGCTCCTTTCTCTCCTGTCACTTTCTCCCCGGCATTTTCTCTACTAAACTAGAAAGAGAGAAAGATGAACAACATATTTAGTTAGTACATAATAATCTTCTGTATCATTGTAAGCTTTTTTTTGTGTTTTTTTTTTTTTTTTTCAATTTGTTCTGTTGCTGATTTTGTTGTTGATTATTTCAGACTGGTTTGCGGCGAGGTACACTCTGAGCATTTTCCTGTTCTGTGGATTCTTCATGCTCTACTCGCTGAGGGTGAACTTGAGCGTAGCCATTGTTGCAATGGTCAACGGAACTGCGGTCATCGGAAACACGTCTTCCAGTCGAGACTGTCCAGCTTTGGACGGCTCTGTCTACAATGTCACCACGGACCTCGAGAACGTACGTACATAAAACTGTTGTAAAAGCCCAGGGCTTTGGATTAAAATTGGCGTTCCACGTATTCAAAAGCTCTCCTTCCAATGGTACCTTTAACCAAATTTTTCAGAGTAGCTTATCGTAACATCCCAAGAGACGCCCCATGCCCGAGAGATAACCCACCGCACGATTTGGTATTACTTCGAGGCAAGGACACCAAGAAATAGCGCACTTCTAGTAATTGCATGGCCCTGGCCAACGGTGGCCTTGAAATAAATGGTGTTACTTAGCCACAACGGGAGATAAGCAAACGTTGTTGACTCGGAATGACAGTCGTCTTTGGTTCATCGTCCCTCCCTGCAATCTCAAGTTTCACAGGTCAAAATATCTAAAACTTGCAGTTTCTCAACTTTTTGTTTATTACGAGCCAAAAGTTAGTTTCTTCCTTATTTTTATCCAATTTGCTTTTTATTTTAGGTGGGCTATCTCTGGGTGTATTATGTTATGTTTTTATAGACTGAATGTCGCACGTCGAGAGAAGAATATTATAAATGCGCTACAAATTATTTCTAGGGGTTTTACTGATATTTCGGTGGGGCAGCCACACAAAATCACTATGAAACACACAGACTGTGATCTGTACTAGTTCTAGTCTATTGTTTCGAACCATAGTCTGTTGCAGGTTAAGAAAGCAGGACAACCTCCTCTGACAAAGCCCTCCACCCTTTGGATTTTAGCAGAGGGAATGCTGGAGAGAGGAGGCAAGTCCTTCCTTGTCTCCTCTCCAACGTTTGCTCTGCTAAAGTGAAAAGAGTGGAGGGCTTTTTGGGAGTAGCCTGTCCTGTTTTCTTCATCACATATTGGATTTTACTCCATGGATTTGCTCTGGATGGCTGGCTTGCAGACCCTCACGGGTAGGTGCCCTTGCCTTGCCTTTCTGCCTAGCTTTTTGAGCCACCCAATGCACCCAGTTGCTTCGCAAATAAAGATTATTATTATTACTATAATTAGTGTTGTGTGAAGTACATTTAAAAAGTACTTTAGTTATAGTACAATGTAAATTATAGGTAGGGTTTTGTGTTTTTTGGTGGTTATTTTTTGTCAGATTTGGAAGGTGTTTTTCGGAGTTTATTTTTTGGCGAAAATTCTGAGTTTATCTGAGTTTATTTTTCTGTGATTTCCAATTCTTCGAAATGCAAAGTTTAATTTCGCAGTGTTTTTTTACTAAAAATAAATAAATAATATTCGGGTGTAAACGTATGCTGGACAAAAAGAGACACAGTTATGTCAGTTAATATTTTCTTTGGTTGTATTTGGCGTTGGTGCCATCACTACTGGCAATACTAATTTGTCCTACGACAAAAGTTGCACATAAGTGTTGCTTCAATAAATGTTGATGCCTTAAAGTCAAACTCGTGGAGGTAGTCGCTGGGAATCTTGCATTCATTCCATAGTATTCCGTCAACCTACCATGCAGCCGCGTGAGATAGTGGTATAATAGAGAAGTTTCAACATTCCCTCTTTCCCACTTTATGCAATCTCTATGGTCCATAGCTTTCACTGTTACAAAAACATACCTTCTACTTTCTCTAAATCACAAATCACATGGCCCATTTTGGAAACCAGGCACATTGCCAGGGCCCCCCCACCCTCCCCCCTAAATCTTTCATCTTGCTGGGACCTCCTCTCCCCCCTCCCCCACATACAGCATTTTGTCATGGGCGGGCCCCCTTCCGAAACAAAATCCTGGCTACGTGCCTGCTGGAAACCAAAAGAGTGGCTTTTGCAATCTCTATGGTCCATAGCTTTCACTGTTACAAAAACATACCTATCACAAATCACATGGCCCATACTGGAAGTCAAAAGACATGGCTTCTGTCGTGACCCTGATGTACAATGACTTGTTGCTTCGGCCAAAATTTGAAACAAAAGTGTGGTGGCATTTTCCCAGGACCATTGACGCTACGCGCTGATGAAACCATTAATTGTAAAATACTTTTGTGTGTGTGTGGGGAAGGGGCAATTGGCACATAGAAATTCCGAGTTTATCGGATAAATCCGAATATACCAAATTTTTACCGGCAGATTATTTTTCTGAGTTTTTTTTTTTTGGATTTATCCAAAAACACGGATTCTTATATATAGGTTATGTACATTAAGTGAAGTAGTAAGCATACCGGGCACAATCTACTTGAAGTACTATAAATATAATGTACTTGCAAAGTAAAGTACAAGTACTTTTTAACACAATCTTTACTGATGCCCTTTTTTTCCCCTATGCAGTGTTTTCTTTAAGCTGGTATGCATTGCACCGAGGATAATCGGGGGTGCATTAGTTTTTGGAAATGACGGCGAATACTGGATAAAATCAGGTGACCACGGAGTATAGTTGTTTTACTCTCACTGACAAACTGTTTAACACAGTCAACAACAGAGCAATTTCGGCTTGTCCAAAAGGCACTTTTTTGTGCCCTTTGTGTACCATTGTTTTTATAGGGTGCGGCCTTATGCTTTGCTACTAGGGCAAAAAGGTTTCATGGAAGTACCAGAAAAACTACTGTAAGTAAGGTACTAGTATGTACTAAGAGTATGTTCTTCAAGTAAAATACAAGTTTTCTAAACCTACTTAAAATACCCTCCAACCCTGATTATTATTATTACTATTATTAACCTGTCATTGACTCTAGTGAGTGTATCAAGCTTCTTATCAGAGAATTGTATAGCTTGGCACATTGAAAATTCTGGAATATTAGATGGGATGAAAAGATGTATGCAAGGCTCCCAAAATGAAGCTTAGGAAGGACTGCAATTGATTCTGCATATTTGAGGATAAATCGTGTTTCGTCTGTAAACCAGATACTATCCATCACATGCCAGAGGACCAACGGTTTCCCCCTCATCCTGTCTATTGCAGCGGGGCGAGTTCAGCTGGGACGAGAACGTCCAAGGGATGGTCTTGGGGTCCTTCTTCTATGGTTACGTGCTGACCCAGATCCCCGGCGGGCGGCTGGCGGAACTGCTCGGCGCCAAGTGGCTCCTCGGCGGCGGCATCCTTGTCACCTCTGTCCTCACCCTGCTGACCCCTTCGGCCGCACGCTGGAGCCCCGCAGCGCTCATGGCACTCCGCTTTCTCGAGGGCATCTGCGAGGTGATTGCGGGTTTCCGTCCGACGTCACGTCGCCGCTTCGTTGCAAACGTTTGAATCGAAATGGTGGGACATGTAACGCGGTGGAGTGCATTTAAGGCGGTACTTCTTACGGCGTAAAATGGGCCTGGAACATCAATGACTTGGGTGTAGCGAGCCAAGGTTTTATTCGTCGGCGCGTTCTGTTCAGGTTGGGTTTTGTGGAATGAAATTTCGAAGCATGATTTCTTCTCTTGAAGTTGAAATGAAGAAGCTTTACGTTTGAAGTCGGTATCCAACAGAAATGTTTTTACCAGATAAACATACCAGTTAGTAAATATATTCTTAGTAACTACGTTGCCTTAATGCCCTTTTGAGAGCTCCTGCCGAACCCTATCTAAGAGCTATCATGGTCACTTTTATCACAAGTCATGTGAAGCACTGAAAAGAAGTAGAGGCACAAAGCTCTGACCTTAGAAAGCAGGTTGAAATATGTCAGCATACATGCATGCGAGATGCCACGAGAGGTTTCACATTCTGCAATGCTGCCTCCGATGGCACGAGGTCATGCGGGCTTCTGAGTAAATTTTTAGCTTGTCTTTCTAACCTTCTAACTACATAGAGGTGTCTTTCTTGGAAATGTCTAATTTCATTTCATTTATTTCACCTTAAGGACGTCTTTGAGAACTCGTTACATGAGGGAAGTAGGTGGTGCGTGCATTCATAGCAACATAATCACACAATTTTCCAATTACAGTCATTATATAACGAAGTAAAGAAATAAGCACAATCAGCCCAACACAGTTTACAAAAGAGAAGCAACATCTTACATGCACAATAGCAATTTTCAACTGGAAGTAACTGACTGCTGGGAGCTGACAATTGTATGTGTATCTTTCTTTCTCAGCGTTATTCAAACAAGATAAAACAATGTGCAGCGTAGAGCCTCAATTCTTAAAGGGACACTGACAGGGTATTTATGCTCGCCGAGGTTTTTAGTTGTACGTGACATATGAGAGCTGAACTACCCAGAACAGAATTTGCGGCTCGAAATTCGGTTTCTTTCCGCCCGAAAACCGCCAATCAAGAACTGGCCGGTTCGAGTCTCGCTCACTCTCTTTTTTGCGGTCACGGGCCGTTTTCTAAGGTATCGATGCGACCACCAAATTTAATCAAAGTCGTGGGTCACTGAAGGCACACACTCAATGTTAAAAATAGAAAAAAAAATATGAAACCCATTTTTTGTGGCTTCTAAAAAGCTGCAAATACGTTGATTGAAAAAAAAAGTTCCACAGACAACCGGAAGCATTCTGTGCGTTCGTCGTTTCGCGTATCGTGGGACTCGCGGGGACGGCGATGGCAGCGGACGACGGGCGTGGGACCTCTATTTCAGAACTGTCGTTCGCGGTACCGGCGAATTCTGTCTACCGTTAAAAAAGAAATTTGGGACTGATCAAAAGAATTGGCTTGTCGTACGGGATGTACGACAAGCCCTACCACCAAGCCGATTTGCACGAAGACGTCGCCGAGCCGTCGCTCCCTTCTCGTGGCTGAAGACATCGCTCGCGCAAACGTCAAGCACGGCGTGTCTACTTCGAGTGGAATATGCACGCGTACGATTTCTTTACTAGGTGCGAATGTCCCCAAAGCGTGGTGCTTCCCGTCTTCGACCCGGGAGTGCTTTTGCTAGAGAAAAATCAACAGCAAACTTTCCAACTTACAGTTTACCGGCTGAATTATTACTAAGCAAAGAGATCTACCTCAAAAGAGATGCCCCAGTAGCTCAGTGGGAAAGACGTCCGGTTCACATGCGGTAGGTCCGGGTTCGATCCCCCGTGAAGCTCTTTTTTTTTTTTTTTCTTTTCAAACATTTTTCGATGTTTACATATCTTTTTATTTTTTTTTTTACAATCATCACTGAAGAAACAAACAAAAAAATAACAAACAAATGTTGTGGACGATACTTCGCTGAATTAAATGGTATGGGATTTCCGTTTTGACACCTGCGATCTCAATGTAATCACTTTCCACAAAATGCAAGGAGCATATAAATCAGGTAGCGTCCGCTTTCCAAGGTGCCCGTATATGTTCTACAGGAATTGCAGCCAGCCATTGGTCCCGATCCCGTTGATCTTTCGGAAACTCTGTCGCACAATGCCACTTTTTTTCGGATGCAGGACATGTGAGCCAGGCTCTTCACGCAACATCTTGGGTGTATTCTTTTCGGAGCCGATCATGGAAATTCACCACGGGCATTCACTACTCATCTCCAACTCATCAATGTACAAAACAACTCATCTTGGAGTACAGAACAGCGAGCGGAACAAACATAACTGCAAAAGTATCGCACGGCGAGCAGTTCCCGCACGCCGCATGTCGTGTCGTCTGCTATGGAGAGGAGAAAAAAAAAGAAAAAAGACAAAAAACGCACGGTCGGGTGTAGCCACGTGACTTCCGCCACTCACTCTCTTCTCTCCACTTCACCGACCTCCGTCGGGTCTCGGTTTCGGTTTCGAGCAGTTGCGTTTTTTGGCTTTATTAAAAAAATACGCTACTCTGTTGCAAAATATTAATTGGGTAGTCCTCCGACACCATAATGAAGTGCCTGGCAAAAAATAAAAAAATTTTTTTGAGGGGTGTCAGTGTCCCTTTAACTACAGTGAGTCCTCCGTAATTTAGACACCTGCAGAACACACTTTGATCGTCGACTAGGAAGATTTCGTTGTGGTGCCGAGATGAGTGCAGAGTTTTGAAGTGCGTCCTCAACCGCCTTTAACGTGTGTGTGTTTGCACGCAGGGTGTGGTATTGCCATCTGCAGCGGCCCTGCTGTCTCACTGGGTGCCCGTGCACGAACGGAGCCGCATGCTAAGCTTCAACATGATCGGCACCTCCATGGGCACCGTTGTGACGCTTCCACTGACTGCGCTTCTCTGCGGCAGCCAGCTGTTTGGCGGGTGGCCCAGTGTCTTTTACTTCTTCGGTAAGCTTCCTTGCAGCTTTCTTCTCATTGTTTGACCTCCTGCATGCTTTCGAGTGTTATCGATTGCATGTTGCTGTTTTTTATTTATTTATTTACACTACTGAAAGCCCTCTCGGGCTGTCTCTGGAGTGTACAGCAATAGAAAAAAACAAAATGAAAGAACTGAACATCAAGAGCAATCATTGCAATACAACCATTTGAGTACAATTTCAGTTAAACAAGAACACTTAATCATCACCACAGAAGAGTACTCGCACATCTCCACATACAAATCAAATAATACACTTTCAGACTGCTCAGCATTGTCAATCCAAACAAAAAGGTCACTATCCAAACTATTCCACTCAATGGTTTTTACAATAAAAGAGTGCTTAAAAACATCAAGATTTGGGAAATACGGCTTGCTTCCGAACTGGTTATTAACTCTAGGTTACCTTCTTCCAGGAAGCTTTATATACCATAGTTATTTGAACTGATGTTATAATATCTCTTGTAAAGTTGATAAAAAAACTTTAACCTTCCCATTTTTCCCTACTGACCTAAGGTCGGCAGCCCTGCGTTTTTTTTAATAGTTCTATTACCGATTCCGTGCAGCAATACTCTGAATAAACTAATTTTATGCTTGCTGCTGAATACGCTCAAGTTTATCTAATACTTGACATTTGGATCCCAGATGACGTATGCATATTCAAGAGACGATCGAATCTGAGTCTTATACGTGCATAATTTAACTGCATGCATTGTTTTTTATGAGTGCCCGTCTTAAAAATCCAAGTTTTTGCAAAGCTGCATTACAGACATTCGCGATATGTACAGTAACTTCCAGTTTAGATCGTTAGAAATTGTGACCCCTAAGTATATAAGAGTTTTGGATTGTCGCAAAAATGTACCATTAAGAGAACACGGAAGTTTGTTAGGCGACCTCTTCTTTGTGATTGTGACAAATGTTGTCTTTTCAAAATTTATCTTCACATCCCATTTCTCACACCACTCGTGCATAGTCATTAACGAGTCGTTTAGTAAAATTTTGTCGCTTTGAGAGTTAACTTTTATGTACATTAAACAATCATCTGCAAAGAAGTGGACTTCGACAGATGGATGAATTTTATATTTCGAGGGTAATTCTCAACAAATTGAAATTTGTTTGATGAGTAAGATTTGACCCAAGAAGCAATAGGCATAATTATCCCTAGGTCCATCAACTCTTTTTAGCAGCTTCGAGTGCGTGACTCAGTCAAATGCTTTTGATAGATCAATTGACATCACATCTACCTGCCCACATTCATTTAGAACTGATGCGAAATAATGAGTCGCTTCAAATAACTGGGCGACAATTGATAACTTCCTTCGAAATCCATGTTGTGTTTTATAAAACAAGCCGTTTTGTTTGATGAACTCTGTGAGATGTTTACAAATACTATGTTTGAGGAGTTTGCAAGCAGTAGAACTAAGAGATATCGGACGATAAGTTCCAACATTAAGTCGACTTCCGGTCTCGTGAATTGAGACCACCTGCGCAAGTAACCTGTCCTTAGATAACTTACTGTGGCTCAATGACGCCCTAAAAATAAGTACTAAAACCTCAATAATTCTTAGACAGTAACGCCTCAAAAATGAATTTGGAATGTTATCTGGACACGGTGCTTTTTTTGCATTGATATTCAGTAGCATAAAAAAAGAACACCCTCGTACAACACTACATTCTCTGTTTCGGGCAGACCAGTGACATTAGTTGTGACACTTTCAAGATCATTATCTTCAGTAAAAACAGATTCTTTCCTTTATGATTTCAATATCTCTAGGTTCCTTACATGACAGATACTGCCAGAATCTGTGTAGCGAATCTCTTAAGTAATCATTCAAGGTAGTCGGAAAGAACTCAGTTTTGGCAGCCTTGACCTTTGATCATATTCATGGCTTAGATTAGCAATCTCTAGAGCGTTCTTATTTTTCTGGTTTCTTTCTCATTTAAGTTTGTGATTAAGGTGAATTATGTCCCCTGTAATCCATGGGTTAGACTTGTTTTTTTTTATTGATTTTTTCGGTACAAATCTTGCGAAACAGTAGGTGACTGCTTGTGAGAAATAGTCTGATAAATAATCTACATCATTCTTCTGATCTATGCGGTCTAAAGATAGTACAAGATAATCTAATATTGATTTGTTCTGCTCGTGTGAAATCGTAATAATAATTGGGGTTGTGTGGATACTTATACAGCCTGTAGTTGGTCAGCCATTTCAAAGTTGCAACGAGTCACTCGCTGTGGATGAGCAATTTAGCCAGTGCAGTACAACCGCTAGCCTGAGGTCGTTAATGTGCACCACGCAATAGTGATACACGACCGCACGCCGGTACGATGCTCATCCAGATAGAAACGGGCAGGGGTGGGGATTGAACCCAGGATTCCTAGATTCTGCAGCGCGAGCTTTTGCTCCACGTGCTCCGAGCTGGTGTGCGCTAGCCCAGTCGGCCACCAATCCCCCTGTGAAATCGTAAACAATCTTAGGGTCTGTTTCTGAAAGTGTGGACTGCCCAACTATAATGTCAAGATGACCATTTTATGACCTGAAATTCCATTTTCAACACAAACTTTGAACCTCGAAAAGTAATCTGATACCAGGCAGAGATCTAATACATATTGGCATGATCCTTGAATTCCAGTTGGTTTGTTAACTACTTGAGTTCAGTCCATATTTAAGCATTGTATCAAATAAATATTCTTCCTGTGATTTATCCACTCTGCCTGGACTTAGTTTGTGCCAATGAATATGGCAGGTTAAAATTGCCCGTCTGTATAATTTTAGTTCTTTTTTACAGCGAAGCTGTTATGCACTAGGATCTGGAAAAAAATGTATATGCGGATGTTGACGGAAAACTCCTTATTGGTCGTGGCAAATATGAATAAAGAAAAAAAAAGAGGGGGCAACCAGCGTGAGCTCCTTGGCATTATTAGACAGTGAGGTCCTGATCTCTTGTTAATTATCATCTCTGGGCATCGTCCTCATGGTCGTCCTAGGCATCATTCGAGAGGTTGCCCTAGATGTCTTCCTTGAGGTCGTCCTAGACATTGTCCTCAAGGTCATCCTAGATATTGTCCTTGAGGTCGTCCTAGATGTCTTCGAGGTCGTCCTAGAGGTTATCCTCGAGGTCATTCTAGAAGTGGTCCTTGAGGTTGTCCTAGAAGTCATCCTCGAGGTTGTCCTAGAAGTCATCCTTGAGGTCATCCGAGGGGTTGTCCTAGGTGTCATCCTTAAGGTCGTCCTAGAAGTAGTCTTTGAGGTCGTCCTAGACGTCTTCCTTTAGGCGGCGTCCTTGAGGCCGTGGACGTCATCCTCTAGGCGACGTCCTCAAGGTCATCCTCGAGGTCGTCCTAGAAGTTGCCCTTGAGGTCGTCCTAGAAGTTGCCCTTGAGGTCGTCCTAGACGTCGTCTTCTAGGCATTGTCCTAGATGTCGTAGAGATAACAGCCTCGCTGGTCCTCCATCTTCATGTGAAGTGGAAGGGCTGTACAGTTTTTTTCACAAATGTTAAATAATCATCAATTTTTTCGAGGAAATTAATTTCAGGGCCCGGTGCCCTATACATGCCAGCAATTAGGAGGACCATCTTGTGGAGCAGTTTGCACCATACACTCTTATGGTCGTCAATACCAGGTAACGCCTCATACTTAAGAGAGTCCTTTATGAGAATTGCAACACCTCCTTCTCTAGTCCCTCTGCCCTTCCTTAATACGCTGTAGTCTTTTGCAAATACTTTGGAGTCGGCAAGGTTGCTACGTAGCCAAATATCAGTTACAACAATAACATGTAGATCATGTTAATTAAGAATACATTCCAATTCCGGTGCTTTGAAAAAAATTAGGGTGTGTGTATGTTTATACAGCCTAGAACTTGGTGTGCCTCAACGGGTGACGAGTCTCCCAGCTGTAGATGAGCAATTTAGCCAGTGCAGTACAACCGCTAGCCTGGGGTAGATGAGCAATTTAGCCAGTGCAGTACAACCGCTAGCCTGGGGTCTTTAACGTGCACCACGCAGTAGTGATACACGACCGCACGCCGGTACGATGCTCATCCAGATCGAAACGAGCTGGGGATTGAACCCAAAATTCCTGGGTTCTGCGGCGTGAGCTTTCGGTCCACATGCTCTGAACAGGTGTGCGCTAGCCCACTCGGCCACCGATTCCCCCAGTCTGGTGCTTTGTTTGGTATGCTCTGTGTGTTTATTGTGATTATGCATACCTCCTTCTTCTTTTTGTGTCAAATCTGCTGAGAAGCCATTGCCATTGGTATGACGTGCACATTCTGTTGAAGTTGTGTGTTCGTTATGGCACCCCATACATAGGCTACGTCATTTTAAAAAGTTTGTCATACACAGGTCAAACTTTATCTCTCTTACGTTTTTCTTGTTGTGCCAACCGCCAAAGTTGCCATTGCTTTGCCACTGTCTCTTTTGAATAGTCATTGGACACACTCACGCAAGTATTTTTTAGTTTCTTGAAGTTCTTGACCACCAGCTGCTTTTAGTTGTAGTCGTCTTGGGGATAACCTAAGAGGCCTTATGAATTTATTTTCTAAAAAAAAGGTGGAAAATAACTTTCAAGTTGCCTAAGTAATTGAGAAAATAGGATATACCAAACTTTGAAAGTAGTCATACATACTCGGGAAAAGTTTAAGCTGCAACAACCTGAGTAGAGTATGGTTGCTTTCGTTTTAGTGGCTGATGCAAAGGCGCTAGCTTGAGTAGAGTTATTAAAGTTACGTAATATATCATTTGGTTAGTTGCTAGTGTTAACATCTGTTCTGGCCAGGGTAGTAATGCAGGGGTTTGACCTTGCAGTTGGTATGTACCTATATCTACCACAATTCACTATAAAAGATGTGAAATTAAAATAGTGTGAATTACACAGCACAGGCAGCACTTTGTCATATACTGTAGACAACTTAATTTTTGAGAGAACCTCATTTTTATGCCGTATGTATTGTAAAATATTGCAGAAGCACCCACTTCGTTCGAGCGCCCACTAATAACATTTCCCGAACTTGGGAATTCTTCCAAATTATGCGTTAAGCGCCTGATTTGACCGGACAAGAGCCCACGTCCAGATTAACCCAATTTCCACTCAAAGTGAGGCAGAAGCTCACCTGGTATTTTGCGGTAGTTAAGCAAAATATTTATCCCACAACTGTATCACCTCATGGTAGAAGATACATAGCATATCCATATCGGAAAATTTTTTGCCTGCTAAATATTGCCCAAGCCTACATTTTACAAAATTTTTAAAATATTCAGCTTGCAAAAATTAAGTTGTTTACAGTATATTAGCTAATTGAATTATTTACAAGCACTACTGAAAGAAAAAAAATCTGCGAGATTGTCCAGTCTGTCTGTAAAGAAGAGTGTCGATGCGTATCTGTGATAACTTTCATAACTAGCACTCACGTGTCATGGATGACTGGTATAGTCGTACTTGTACGATTAGTCGAGCCGACTCTGTGAACCTGTCTGCAGTTCATGGAATTCTAGTTGACACTTGGGGCCTCGTGCATTGACAGTTGGCAGTTCGAAGCTGAGGGATTACAGCTAGCAAGCTTGCAAATCTTGTTGCTTACTGGACTATGCTACTATACTAGACTATGCTATACAAAAAGCTAGGACGAGGAAGAGACACATACAGTCTAAGCTCGTTATACCAGACCTTAATTTTGACCCAAGATTTTGGTCTGTTGTAAAAGGAGTATGTTGTATGCAGATATAAAGTTGAGTCAGTAGTACATAAAGGAAAACCAACCGAACTTCACAAGTCTGTATGTTATATCCATATGTCTGTTGTAACCAGGCCTGTTGTAACGAGCTTAGACTGTACAATACAGACTGGCGCTTGCATGTGCCTATCCCTCGTCTGTGTTCTTTGTGCTTTTAAAGGGCGATTCCTCTCAATTCTGTAAATTTGGGGATAGTGAGTGATTTCAAATTAGAAAGCACTAATAAAAGGCACTATGTCATTTTCTTTGCGAAAAATGGGATATATATTGTTAAATCATACTTTAAACATGAGCAGAAATCTAATGCGAAACTTAGGCTCCGTCTGGCGACACTGGCCTTAGGCAGCCAAAAACATGGCTGTCACGTGGTATGAGATGTCATGTTATCCTCTACGCAATGACGGGCAGGATTGAGGCGGGCCACAGTTGAGGCGGCGTGTGCCAGGCACAAGTGTTGTCTGCACCGCACTCTTCACCACGTTGTGGTGTCTACGACGCTCGACAAAGTCTGCCCAACTGCAGCATCAGTCTGCGCACATAGTATGAACAAAACTCCGAGAGACAATAATCACAATCGGTGAGACGATCGCGGCGGTTGTGACGCGGGATACGGCTGCAAAAAACGGGACAACCGGACAGCTCCCAAGAAGCGCGTTGCGCAGGCGCATTACGTTAATCACGTGGACTCTGCTGAGCATTGAGGGAAACGTTGCTGACATCACCTGTTATGTTTGCCCCGTGAAGTAGAATAAAAACGGAAAGGGGCAGTGGTGATGACGCTTAGTTCAATTTTGGCTATGCCAACGCCGTAGCCTTTGCTACGCTGTTGGTTGCGCATCAATTCGTCCGCTAGAGTCAGCCAATTTCGGCAACTTGGCGCATTGCAGATTTTTCTGGACCATTAAGGAACATTTAGACAGAACTGGGTTGTAATATTCAACCTGTGGTCTTCCTAAGCGATACTGAAAAAGACTGTATTGTTTTTCAAAAACAAAAATCAAGCAGAGTTGTTTTTGAAATTTTCCGGATTATAATGAACCAACTAGCCCAACCCAAAGTTTTAATTCGGCATATATTGTGTCGCTTGTAGTTTCCGCTCTTCAGTGGGCTTAAAGGGGTTATGACACGCTAAAAATAAAATATGAGATAACTATACTGGTAGGACCCGCTGTATTTTCCTATAATCCTGCTAAATTTGTATTGAAAATGGCGCGATAGTTTCGTGGATAAATCGATCTATATGCGGGCCCCTCGGAGAGGCAGATCCGGGCGGAGCTGGAGGTTGGCCACGTAGCCAGCCTCCAGCGTGGTATCTCCTTGCACGCACTCCCAGACTTGGCTCTCTTGGCGTATCGAGCCTCAGCTTCCTCGTTTACCTTCCACGTCTCGAGCATGCGGTCCGTGACGATTACGTTTACGGCGTCGCTTGCCTTGTCGAAGTGTTCGACATTGATCGCGGCGGCGATGAGAGTGATTGCTATCAAAAGATATGGGAAGCTGTTCATTTTGACTGCGACCCGCTGGCGACCAGCACCAGCGACAACGAGTTACGGACGTGCTCGCTGTGGCCAACGTCGTCCGGGAATATCTCGCAGGCGCATGCAGGGTGGAAGGTCAACGGGCCGGGGGCGAGAGCGAGAATAGCTTTCGGGTTACCGAGTTATGTGAGCGGTTTTGATCGTACCGCGACGAGGATAGCTTGAACGATCATGGGGGCGCCTAGAATCAGAGAGTGCTCATGGTCACGTGGTTTATGGACACCATGGTGTGACTAACTTGGGCAGTGTTGCCAGGTCACCGGATGAAAATGATAAAAATTCGTAAATTGAATATTGCAATTACCAGAGCTCTAAAAATCGCGTAACTTGGTGTATATACTAAGTAGCCTATGAGCATTCCATTTCAAGAATAATCTATCTGTTTAATTTTTGTGTCATAACCCCTTTAACCGAAACTGTAATTTTGCATTTTTTTTTCTTTGCTTCTTTTGGGCGATTTTTTCAAGGCACCTTGGGCGTCATCTGGTTTCTGGCGTGGACGGCCTTTGTCTACGAGTGGCCGGAGATGCATCCTAGGGTGTCTCGGAAAGAGCTGCACTACATCCAGCGCTTCAGGGGCAGTTCCTGCAACACGAAAGAGGTGAGCAGGCGGCAAGCAGCTCCGCACCAACCACTAAAGCAGTTGACGGTTTGGGAGACTTCTGATGAACAATACCGCCTTATTTTTTTTAGACTTTCTAGAGGACTCAGCGGGAGAAGAGGGCACGAGTGTTATTCAACTTCAAATTGTTTTTAAGGGGGGACACTACCCAGAAAAAACAATTTCTGCAAAAAAAAGTTGATTTTGAAAAATGGCATATTTACATCCACCAACATCTAGAGAGTATTCCCAGGAAGTTTCATTAGTTTACACTGCATAGTTAATTTTTTATAAATTATTTTCGGTCCACCGATGCTAAAGAAAAGGTAGATGTTGGAGCACTTTGAACGCATTTTTCTCCATTCCATTTTTTGGCATAAATTTCACTTTAGGAAAACTATTGTTTTGTTATTACGCAACTTGGACTAATTTTTATGAGTGTTTCTGGGTTGAAATTTTAAGGGGAAGATAACTATGAGCTTGTATTTTTTATTTTTGTCATTTGTCATGCTCAAGAACTAAAAGTTTGGACAAAGGATGGAAATCTAAAAAACTGTATTTATGTTTATGTGGCTTTTTTGTCATAAAAGATGTTATAACATAGAAATATAGCTCCATAGTTATCTGCTCTGAACTGTCCTAATAGAATGTAACACATGAAAACAACAAATTTATAAGTGATTTCAAAACGATAGTTTTCCTAAGCAGACATGCCCCCTTTCGTCTTTGAACGTTTGCAATTTTTTTTTTGTTCTTCACCCAGGTTAACAAAAATTGGCAAAAATGTTATCAACATCAACAGAAACAAGCCCTGTAAATATAATTTAAATCAGACAAGTGGTTCAAAAATTTACTTTTTTGGGTAATGTCCCCCCTTAAGTATGGGATGATTTTTATTGAAAGCCCTTACTCCCAGGATACGTCGTCACGCAAATACCCCACGTCACATGATGCCGCGTAACACTGACGTGATGTGGTGGTCACGTCATGTCACAGCGTCACAGGACACAATGACTTGATCCCATAACGTTATGTAATGTTTTATGTCCTCTAACAAATTTTGTGCACTGCATGACCATGAAAATGGAGGTCCCTGTCAATTTTTTTTAAAATATTTGCCCATCCCCAAGCAGAACGACCCCAGCTCATTTTTTTCCTGCTCCCCTACTCTCATACTCCGGAGCTTAATCGCCTCTTTTAAATGCATATACACACTTTTTAGGGCCAACATTTTTTTTTTTAAATATTATCTGTGAAAGTTTTATTTAGGTAAGAGGTGGTGGGCCTTTTCCATAACCATGTAAACTACAATGCATAATTTCTGGGTTCCAGAATCCTGCCTTCCGATACCAAAAGTGCTTTATTCCCCAAAAGTTTTAGTGTTTGTCTGGGGTCGAAACACTATAACCCTAAAATGCCAAGTGAATACCCGCGTAGAATTTTAATATGATCCTGAAAAACTGGAAGTCTGCTTAGTCTGAGAGAAAAAATGCAGAAGGGGCACAAGGTAGAGTTGGCTTCACCACTTTGCACCAGCACGCACACGTCAAGCTTCACTGCTTTACACCGGTGTGCATGTGTCAAGCTTCACTGCTTTGCACCGGTGTGCATCTGTCAAGCTTCACTGCTTTGCACTGGCATGCACATGTCAGGCTTCACTGCTTTCCACTGGCATGCCCACGTGAAGCTTCACTGCTTTGCAGTGGCCCGTACACTTCAACCTTCACTACTTTGCACCGGTGTGTGTGTGTGTCAAGCTTTACTGCTTTGCACCGGTGTGCATCTGTCAAGCTTCACTGCTTTGCACTGGCCCATACACGTCAATCTTCACTACTTTGCACCAGTGTGCGTGTGTCAAGCCTCACTGCTTTGCACTGGTGTGCATCTGTCAAGCTTCACTGCTTTGCACTGGCCTGTACACGTCAACCTTCACTACTTCGCATCGGTGTGCGTGTGTCAAGCTTCACTGCTTTGCACCGGTGTGCATCTGTCAAGCTTCACTGCTTTGCACTGGCCCGTACACATCAACCTTCACTACTTTGCATTGGTGTACATGTGTCAAGCTTCACTGCTTTGCACCGGTGTGCATCTGTCAAGCTTCACTGCTTTGCACTGGCCCGTACATGTCAACCTTCACTACTTTGCACCGATGTGCGTGTGTCAAGCTTCACTGCTTTGCACTGGTGTGCATCTGTCAAGCTTCACTGCTTTGCACTGGCCCATACACGTCAACCTTCACTACTTTGCACTGTTGTGCGTGTGTCAAGCTTCACTGCTTTGCACCGGTGTGCATCTGTCAAGCTTCACTGCTTTGCACTGGCCCGTACACGTCAACCTTCACTACTTTGCACCGGTGTGCGTGTGTCAAGCTTCACTGCTTTGCACTGGCCCATACACATCAACCTTCACTACTTTGCATTGGTGTGCATGTGTCAAGCTTCACTGCTTTGCACCGGTGTGCATCTGTCAAGCTTCACTGCTTTGCACTGGCCCATACACGTCAACCTTCACTACTTTGCACCGGTGTGCGTGTGTCAAGCTTCACTGCTTTGCACTGGTGTGCATCTGTCAAGCTTCACTGCTTTGCACTGGCCCGTACACATCAACCTTCACTACTTTGCATTGGTGTGCATGTGTCAAGCTTCACTGCTTTGCACCGGTGTGCATCTGTCAAGCTTCACTGCTTTGCACTGGCCCGTACACGTCAACCTTCACTACTTTGCACTGGTGTGCGTGTGTCAAGCTTCACTGCTTTGCCCTGGTGTGCATCTGTCAAGCTTCACTGCTTTGCACTGGCCCGTACACATCAACCTTCACTACTTTGCATTGGTGTGCATGTGTCAAGCTTCACTGCTTTGCACCGGTGTGCATCTGTCAAGCTTCACTGCTTTGCACTGGCCCGTACACGTCAACCTTCACTACTTTGCACTGGTGTGCGTGTGTCAAGCTTCACTGCTTTGCACTGGTGTGCATCTGTCAAGCTTCACTGCTTTGCACTGGCCCATACACGTCAACCTTCACTACTTTGCACCGGTGTGCGTGTGTCAAGCTTCACTGCTTTGCACTGGTGTGCATCTGTCAAGCTTCACTGCTTTGCACTGGCCCGTACACGTCAACCTTCACTACTTTGCACCGGTGTGCGTGTGTCAAGCTTCACTGCTTTGCACCGGTGTGCATCTGTCAAGCTTCACTGTTTGCACTGGCATGCACATGTCAGGCCTCACTGCTTTCCACTGGCACGCACACAAAGCTTCACTGCTTTGCAGTGGCCCGTACTCTTCAACCTTCACTACTTTGCACCGGTGTGGGTCTGTCAAGCTTTACTGCTTTGCACCGATGTGTATCTGTCAAGCTTCACTGCTTTGCACTGGCCCGTACACGTCAACCTTCACTACTTTGCACCGGTGTGCGTGTGTCAAGCTTCACTGCTTTGCACTGGTGTGCATCTGTCAAGCTTCACTGCTTTGCACTGGCCTGTACACGTCAACACTACTTCGCATCGGTGTGCATGTGTCAAGCTTCACTGCTTTGCACCGGTGTGCATCTGTCAAGCTTCACTGCTTTGCACTGGCCGGTACACGTCAACCTTCACTACTTTGCACCAGTGTGCATTTATCAAGCTTCACTACTTCGCATCGGTGTGCATGTGTCAAGCTTCACTGCTTTGCACCGGTGTGCATCTGTCAAGCTTCACTGCGTTGCACTGGTTGGTACACGTCAACCTTCACTACTTTGCACCAGTGTGCATTTATCAAGCTTCACTGCTTTGCACTGGCCCGTACACGTCAACCTTCACTACTTTGCACCGGTGTGCGTGTCTCAAGCTTCACTGCTTTGCACTGGTGTGCATCTGTCAAGCTTCACTGCTTTGCACTGGCCCGTACACGTCAACCTTCACTACTTTGCACCGGTGTGCGTGTGTCAAGCTTCACTGCTTTGCACTGGTGTGCATCTGTCAAGCTTCACTGCTTTGCACTGGCCCGTACACATCAACCTTCACTACTTTGCACCAGTGTGCATTTATCAAGCTTCACTGCTTTGCACTGGTGTGCATCTGTCAAGCTTCACTGCTTTGCACTGGCCCGTACACGTCAACCTTCACTACTTTGCACCAGTGTGCATTTATCAAGCTTCACTGCTTTGCACTGGCCCATACACGTCAACCTTCACTACTTTGCACCGGTGTGCGTGTGTCAAGCTTCACTGCTTTGCACTGGTGTGCATCTGTTAAGCTTCACTGCTTTGCACTGGCCGGTACACGTCGACCTTCACTACTTTGCACCAGTGTGCATTTATCAAGCTTCACTGCTTTGCACTGGCCGGTACACGTCAACCTTCACTACTTTGCACCAGTGTGCATTTATCAAGCTTCACTACTTCGCATCGGTGTGCATGTGTCAAGCTTCACTGCTTTGCACCGGTGTGCATCTGTCAAGCTTCACTGCGTTGCACTGGCCGGTACACGTCAACCTTCACTACTTTGCACCAGTGTGCATTTATCAAGCTTCACTGCTTTGCACTGGCCCGTACACGTCAACCTTCACTACTTTGCACCGGTGTGCGTGTGTCAAGCTTCACTGCTTTGCCCTGGTGTGCATCTGTCAAGCTTCACTGCTTTGCACTGGCCCGTACACGTCAACCTTCACTACTTTGCACCGGTGTGCGTGTGTCAAGCTTCACTGCTTTGCACTGGTGTGCATCTGTCAAGCTTCACTGCTTTGCCCTGGTGTGCATCTGTCAAGCTTCACTGCGTTGCACTGGCCGGTACACGTCAACCTTCACTACTTTGCACCAGTGTGCATTTATCAAGCTTCACTGCTTTGCACTGGCCCGTACACGTCAACCTTCACTACTTTGCACTGGTGTGCATGTGTCAAGCTTCACTGCTTTGCACTGGTGTGCATCTGTCAAGCTTCACTGCTTTGCACTGGCCCGTACACGTCAACCTTCACTACTTTACACCGGTGTGCGTGTGTCAAGCTTCACTGCTTTGCACTGGTGTGCATCTGTCAAGCTTCACTGCTTTGCACTGGCCCGTACACGTCAACCTTCACTACTTTGCACCGGTGTGCGTGTGTCAAGCTTCACTGCTTTGCACTGGTGTGCATCTGTCAAGCTTCACTGCTTTGCACTGGCCCGTACACATCAACCTTCACTACTTGGCATTGGTGTGCGTGTGTCAAGCTTCACTGCTTTGCACTGGTGTGCATCTGTCAAGCTTCACTGTTTGCACTGGCATGCACATGTCAGGCCTCACTGCTTTCCACTGGCACGCACACAAAGCTTCACTGCTTTGCAGTGGCCCGTACACTTCAACCTTCACTACTTTGCACCGGTGTGGGTGTGTCAAGCTTTACTGCTTTGCACTGGCACATATATGTCAAGCTACAACTGCTTTGCACTGGCACATAGATGCCAAGCTTTACTGCTTTGCACCAGTGTTTATGCACCAAAGTTTACCACTTTGCACCAGCACGCTCGAAAGAGCAGCTGATGCGGATGGGCAGCTTAGTGAGATGGGTGGGCTCAGAAGTCTTGGTTGGATGTTTGATTCTTTGCTTAGTTTCTAAACATTCTAAAAGTGTGTGTGTGTGTGTGTGTGTGTGTGTGTGTGTGTGTGTGTGTGTGGGGGGGGGGGGGGGGGGGGGGGCGGCTTATTGTGACATGGGCGCATGCTCGGGGTCTTACAATGTGAGCTCAAGAAAAATGCAAGTTCTCTGTGCACATAGCTCATGCACTGTGTGTGTTTGTCAGAAAAAGAAGCAATGCTAATTGCATTTGAATTGTTTGTACTTTCATAAAACAACAAATAACTATGATCTTAATTGGCCAGAGGAAATTAGTAATGCACTGCAAGGATCCACTCCTCTTTTACCATGGTTCTTGATGTGAAAATGAATATACTTAGAGATTGAATGTTTCATTCCTGTAGGCTTTTGTGTATCACTGCCACTTTTACATGCATTAGAAGTGCCAGGGGCGCACGATAGGGTGTGCCACCGCAATACCTCTCTATTCTCTCTTTATTTTTTTAGGGCATTTGGCAGCACCTGAAAGGCATGCCAGGAGGGGACGCGTTTACATTTTCGTAAAGTTACAAATATCATAGCTCCTGTTTCTTGAAGTGCAAATTCCTCGGATGTATTGCTCAAACTACGCAAAGAGTTTCTTGATCCTGTTTGTTTTGCCGAGGAACATGGATCTCTGTTCCAGCCACGTCTTGTTCCATGGAGGCGCCTGCTCTCGTCACGGAGTGTCTGGGCCCTGGGGGTTACCATGTTTTGTGGCAACTGGGGCTTCTATCTGCTGCTCATCGACCTGCCCAACTACCTCCGCGGCATCCTCCACTTCCCCATCAGCAGCGTGAGTGACGGGTCCGCGTTGCCAATGTTGCGACCCTGCCAACATGACACTCGGCGTTGCAGCACTGTCGACATTACGACACTGTCAGAATTGTGACTCAGCATTGCGACACTGTCAACAGTGCTACATTGTCGCAGTTTTGCTTGCTTTTTGTAAACGTGAATGCTTCAGATTTCATTGCACTCCCCTGTATGCTCTACATGCCCTGTGCAGCCAACTTATGACATTTTTTGCTAATAGCGATCTTTTGTTAAGACAAGCATGCATGGAGGAGGTAATGAATTTAGAGCAAGGCTCATAAGGTGTAAATGCTAGAGCTTTCATAACAAACTCCCAATAAAATTTGAAAAGTTTTTAGTTATGCACGTGAATTGTACTGTGCCAGTACAGTAAAACCTCGTCAATTCAACCCCCGCTAATTCGGAAATTCGGGTAATTTGAACTGCCGATCCGGTCCCGTCAAACGTATGTATTAGTCAGTGGCAGCAAACTCTCATTAATCCGGAGGGAACACGGCGCACTATGGTAAATTCGGATGAATTCGGCAGGTGGCGCTAGCTACCGTCAGTACCAAAAGGTATGATCGCTATCCATCCGAAGTGCACACGTGGTTTTTCCGGTTTTCCCATGGTTCTTCACTCTTCCGGCTTTCCGTGTTTCGCACCAGTTTTGCTCTGGATCGCCGTGCTTCAGCGCGTTACTCTCCTGGCATGGAAGCGGCAGAAGCATTGCTGCAACGGAAAAAGGGTAGCACAAGTGACCGACAACCGGAATGGCAAAATCGCGACACGCGGGGCTATTGTTCCCGAGCGTGCCAGTAGCGAGAGTGACAGTCACGTTTTATGCCTCAACGCGGGGATCCTAAAGCCCGCCATTTTAACAACTATCCTATCCCTCAATTTTTCGCCGGCCACCCCTGCATTGAAAAATGCAACGTGACTGGCACTCACGCTATCGGCGCTTGGAAAAACTAGCGCCGGGTGTCGCGATTTCGCCACTCCGATTACTGGTCGGTTGTGCTTCTCGTTTTCCGTTGCAGCTGTACTAGGCTAAGAATTTAGCGACGAAAGTGGAAATACTGAGGGCCTTGGAGGGTGGCGTCTCTCCACAAGTGATGGAAAGTTGCGACGTCAAGAGAAGCACTTTGGCCACATACGTAAAAATTGTGGCCGATATCCTACGGGCTTTCGAGAGCGAGAAGTTCAACGCGAAAAGAAAGGGACCTTGGAAGGTGGTGCTCCCGAAACTAGAAAAGGCCTTGCTGTGCTACATTGTCAGTGCACGGGATGCGTAGCTCTGACAGTGCGAGTGCGGTGGAGCACTCGACCGTTAAGGAAAGTTGCCGTCTCCGCCCAAGTATCGTCCAGAAAGCAGGCGGTAATAACAGATTTCTTCTCAAAATAAAGGTATGTCACAGGGAAACGTTTTCGCGCAGCTTTCTTTGTCCTTTCGATATTTCGACTTTCGGATAATTCGGACATTTCTGCCGGTCCCATGAGATCCGAATTAATGAGGTTTTACTGTATGAGTGAAGTTAAAATTTGTTGCATATTGAAGTTTAATCAGTGTAAACTATGCCTGTCTCTTAGGGGTGGCAGCTTGTCTTATTTTGTAAAAGTGCACCAGTGCAGTAGATCTGCTAAAGGCAGAGGCGGACTTAGCAATTTGCCGCCCTAGGCAGCCTTTAACAATACCGTTGGGAAAGGAGGGGGGAAGGTGGCTCACCTTGAAGTAAATATTTTTAGAAGTAACTACGTTTGGAGCTAGAATTTCCAAAGTAGCTAAATTCGAAGCTAGATTAGAAAGAAAGAGCCAAATAATTTGGGGGCGACCACAAATTGGCAGCCTCCAAAAATCTGTCGCCCTAGGCAGCTGCCTACTCTGCCTATTGGTAAGTCCGTCCTTGGCTAAAGGGAAGTTTTTAATGTGCATCATGCATTAGTGATTGCAGGACTATTCAACAGTATGGCTCTTATTGGGATGGAAATGGGCAGTGGTGGGGATTGAATCCCTGGATTTTTTAGCGTTGTCTACCTGATGTAAGGGAGTTTTGGAATGGTGTACACAAGGGCTTTGCGTACACAAAGAATAGCATCGTTGTCACTGCGCGTGCGCCAAATGCTAACTGTGTTTTGCGATTTGTGTGCGCTATTTTAGCGTACACTATTTTGCGGAAGCAAAAAGTTTTTGAGCTTGTTTATGCATCCCCAAAAAGGATTTGTGATGCTCGAAAAGTTGACCAAAGTCAAGACGAGCAAAGTTACAGAAAATGGCAGCTCCCAGGACCGTGGCTGTGGCCGCTTTGACAGTCGTCGTGAGCTCGACGTCGGCAGCACCCTCGCAACTGTGAATTTCAATACAGGACAACATTGGACTCTAGCGGGAGGTGCATATCACAGACGAGCAACTTGCTGCTTGTGATGCGCGAACATTTCTCAGCTAAGATTCGTGGTGGTACGGCTGGTCTGTACACGAGACCTCTCTTGCCAAGACGACGCAAGCGGACACGACCGGTCGACCACTCCCTTTACGTTCTCATATTTAAAGAAATCTAAAATGTCAATACTCTGGACCAAAAAAATTTTTTTTTTCATGTTGCAACATTTTGTGCGTGGCATAAAGAATGTTACTGTGGTGTTGTAAGCACAAGAGGCCTGGGTTTTTGCATCGTGGCAGAGATACGATGTTCTAAAACTCTCTTGCTTAGCGTACGCCTACGCAAGCACTAAATTTAGCGCTAGCGAGCACTAAAATTGCATACATTATTTTAAAACTCCCTATAGTGATGTTTTATGCCTACTAACAGTTTTGACAATGAAGATTCGCAAAAATTGCCCGACTAACTTGACAAAGGGTACGACTTTTAAAGGGCAACTCCGCTCATTTTTAACAGCTCGGGATAATGAGTGTTTTCACATTGAAAATGAAAGATGTTTACAAATCTCTGTAATGCGAAATTAGTGCAAAGCTCTTGAGGTATTTTGATTTCGCGATGTAGCGTATTAAACAATTTGAGAAAGAAATATATATACATATACCGTGAAATACCGGGGAAATGCCCACTTCACTTTCACTGAAAAATTGGTTATTCTAGACATGGGCGGCTTTGGTTGAAGCAGCACTTGCATGAGAAGTGAGGGAACTGCAGCAGCGTGCACCTTTATCAAGGTGTTTCTCACAAAAGCCCTGGGAGCACTGGTTTTGTTTCCAAGAACTGTTCATTGTCACACCACATTATGATCACCCCCATCGGTCCTGACATGGCTACAACTGGGCTGCTGGCCTCCACCATTGCAGGAACCTCTTACTGTACCCAAGTAACCTAGATAATACAGTTAATGGTTTCCCCTGCCCAATAAGTCTTTCCCTTTCCACTGCAAGGAAGCGGATATCCCCGTCATCCCCGCTGGTGTTCTCGTAGCTGCCACAGGGTGGTGAATATTTGCGGCGCATTGGAGGGGATGGGTGCTTTACATATGATCAGCATTCCCAAGTTTTGGAAATGTTAATAGTGGGCGCTTTCTAGATAACTCTCCTCACATACTGGTTCTGCATCCTCCTCTTCTTCCTCCTCCATACCCTCCTTCTCTGTATCCTCCCCTCCTCCTCCTCCACAAACTCCCCTCCCCTCCTCCCACTGCTTCCCTGCTAAATTTAGCTGGAAAATTGAGGCTACGTGACCTCAACACTAATTCAATTTCCCCGCTAAGTTTAGCAGGAAAATGACGTCACATGATTTTGTGTCATGTCACTTATGAACAATTTAGTGGGAAAATTGGTGTTGCATGATCGCAACACCAATTCAATTCCTCGCTAAATTTAGCGGAGAAACTGAATTGGTGTGTAGGTCTGTAACGTCCCATAATGTAACACTGCATATTCAGCTCCCCCCTAAATTTAGTGGTAAAACTCATCACATGACCTCAACACTAATTCAGTTTCCAAGCTAAATTTAGCAAGGAAACTGTGATGTCCCATAATGTAACACGCACGGTTACACCAACGGCAATGGCGATGCTGCTCGACGCGGAAACGAGCACCTAAGAGCTGCGCTGTAAAAGCGCTAATAAACGACACTACATCATTTGCTTCGTGAGAAATAGGATATATATTGTTAAATCTTACTTTCAACTTAGTCGAAATCGAAACCGAAACTTCAGCTCCCTCTGGCAACATTCGCCTTGGGCTGGCTCTACGCAACAGCAGGCGGGATTGGGGAGGGCCAGCAGGCCATTGTTGGTGTGGGCGTGTGCCAGACGCCAGTATCGTCTGCGCTGCACTCCTCACCTTGTTTTGCTGTCTACGACATTCGACGACATCTGCACAACTGCGGCATCAGTCTGCGCATGTAGTATAAACGAAACTTTGAAAAACGGTAATCGCAAATGGTAAGACGACGATGGCGGTAATGGCCAGACGGCTCCCAAGAAGTGCCAATCACATGGGCACTGCTGAGCGTCGAGAGGAAACGTCGCTGACGTCGCCCATTACACTTGCCCGGAGAAATAAAAACAAACAAAAAGGGGCAATGGTGATTACGTTTAGCTGAATGTTACCTACGCCAATGCCACAGCCTTGACCGCATTGTTGCTTGCGCCTCAATGCTGGAGTTAGCGAATTTCGGCAACTTCGCGTTCTGCAAGTTTGCTGGACCATTTAAGATACATTTAGTCAAAACTGGGTCGTTGTATTTGACGTGTGGTCTTCCTAGGTGGTACTGAAGAGGACTGCATTGTTCTTTCAAAAACGAAAATGAAGTGGAGTTGCCCTTTAAGGCTGTTTTATACAAACTATATTTGTGATGGTTTGTTACGAGTTTTTTAATCTGTCCCAAGAAGTGAGCCAAAACTTTTTTATCTTTTTTTCCCCAACAAAGAATGGCTACCAGAACGCAATGGTCCACATTGCGTCGGCCACGAGCATGGTTGCGTGCGCACCCGTAGCCGACCTGCTGAGGAAGCACAAAGTGTTCAAGGTCACGACGATTCGCAAGCTCTTCCAAACCATAGGTGAGCTTGGCCGCCTTTTATTTCTGCAGTGCTTTGCTCCGAGCGTTTGTAATACATGTTTCTCCGGCCTACTATAGTCCCAGACAGTGCGATAACAGCAGGGCGTCTCGTACTGCGGCCTCCACCACACACTTGTTGTTTTCCGCCATGCATTAGCTGCATGTGCACGCTCGAGACTCATGAGACGCCTAGGCGTTGTTATGGTGACCTGTGTGTTTGCCGCTTCCGAAAAAGTAAAGTGGTTCCTCGATATCTGCCTGATTACGTCGTAGGGATGTCAGAATTATCCAACGTAGTAGGGAAGGACTTCCCTGGTAGGTGGAAAGGGAAGTGACCCTGAGGGAGAAGACAGGATAAAACAACCCGCTGTAACCTGTCTTTGTCTTTTATGTCGCCTTCCTTTTGTCTCTGTAAGTTGCCAGCACGCTCCGATTCGTCGTAACTGTAATTGCGGCCGACTTTACTACGACGGCGAAAACTTCTGTGCCTGGAACGCATCTCTGATTGGCATGTTTTTCCTAGGGCTTTTGGGTCCCGCCTTCTGCCTCGGCATGGTTCCTTTCGTCGGCTGCAGCCACCTGCTGGCCATGAGCTTCCTCGTGATGGGGATGACGCTGTACGGCTTCACAGTCGGGGGCCAGACCCCCGTAGCGCTCGACATAGCGCCAGACTTTGCAGGTGAGCGCGGGCAACTAAAGGTGGGGTAAGGCTACAAGAAGAAGCGGGACTCAAATTATTTCTTTTTTTGAACCCAGTGTGTACATTCATTCATTAATTCATCCTCCTCTAAGGGCCTTCAGAGGTTACATATAAATCGATAAGCAAAAGAGTATAGGGTTGGGGAAGTATTAAAATTTTCAAATGGTAGTTTTCAATAAAAAATTAAAGAAGCCACTTTAGACTGCTTGCATGTAGGAATGCTTTTGCATTCCTACACATATTGCATTCCTACGAGCAGCGCGCCACATCTTCCTTTCGCACACGGCGCTCGGCGGTGACGTCACATTCCCCCATTGTGCAGGTGCAGTGAGACCCGTCAGCCCCACACCTTTCGTGGCGATCCATCTGCGTTGCTCTGCTTTTCTTTGTGATTTATTTTTCTGAGGCGCCTCCACTTTGACGTTGAGCGCCCCGCCGACTTCCATGACTAAGCATCTGCGTTGCTGTGCTTTTGGCCAATGGGAATTTAACTGCCGTTTCGCTGCTACAGATGATTACAGACAATGCCGGCTTCGTGCCACGGAAGAGTTAATGTTTTCGCATTAATACACTATTCGATGTTCGCCTCGAGGTGAACTGTGATATTCATGCTTTTCCAAGTGTTGATTGCGGCGGGATACCCCATTGAGCGCTTCTTACCAAGCACCGGTGCACTGCGGAGAAGCAACACTCGCGGAAGCGATCTCTGCGGGTGTTGCTTCTCTGCAGTGCACCGGTGTTCGGTGAGAAGCGCACTTAACGGGGTAATTCACAGCGATTAACACGTAGAAAAGTATGAATATCACAATCGCGAGCTTCAAAGAAAAGCACACTTTCGAAGCTGGATGGTGCACGCACGTGCATGGTATATTCAAAAAAAAGAAAGAGAAACTTCATTAATGTTGATATTTACATGGCAGTAACACACGTGCATGGTGTATTCAAGAAAAAGAAAGAGAAACTTCGTTAATGTTGATATTTACATTGCAGTAATATTTTCAAAATTACACTATGGCTGTCATGCAAGAGTATACGTTTGGCAGAGATTCCCTGACTACCTGCGCTCATCATTTGTGATTTTTACTAAATCGAGATTGAAGTAAGAATATTTGCATGTAGCAAGATTTATAAATCCACTTCTATAGCACTTCTATAGCTTCTATAGTGTATGTTTAATTTTATGTCAAATCCATCATTTACTTGCCTTCCCAAGGCATCGGACTTTCTGAGGCCGCAGTTCATAAATATAATTAGATTAAAATTAACTTGGCCTATAAATAAACAATGGAAGGTTGGGAACAGCCTTCACGAGTTCAATTGTGTTTTCTTTTAAGCATGGTGCAACAGAAGTAAAAAGCTTGGAGAAACTATTCACCATTTAATTTGAAAATAGTGTGCCAAAACTATTTTCGAATTAGGTAGCGTTCACTCTTTCCCCGAACACCACTGTCACTGCGCAAATCCTTAGCCCCAAAATAAAATAAGCAAAAAAGAAGAAAAGTCTTCGTCAAGTTGAGTTTGTCCACAACAACAGTTGAGCAATCGCACTTGGAACGCGGCCTTTGGTATTAGCAGAGACTCATGGAAACTTCAACTGGAGGTTAAGTCAACATATTTTTGTATATCAAATTATCGTTATATTGAACTATGTTATGGTCCCCTTTGAATTTGATATATCCGGGTTCGACTGTACCTACATCTTTGGCAATTTGTAATGCCCAAGGGTTAGAGTGGCAGCCTATATTTTGCCAAGAGACTTGCCGTAATATCCCGAGTCGCTGCCCACCCCCCTGCCACCTGAAATTCATAAAAAAGTGGGGTGGGTCTCGGTAGGTAAGCTCAAAAAGTGTAGAAAAAGCTAAAAAAAAAATGCCCATTTTTTTCCACTTTTAAAGTCAAAACTCGAATTAGTTTTATTGTTTTATGCAAGAAAGGCTCAAGAATGTTTTACTATCTCATAGTCTGTTGCTTGCATACGTGCGATGAACACCGCTGATCAGCATACAGCGCAAACATTTGTTCTGTGAAAGCACGTTTCTAACACTGCTGCATTCTTTTCGTTGGTGAAAAAAAAAAGAGTCAACAAGAAAATAGAAAAGCCAACCAGACACACCGAGCCAGCGAGAGAAAGAAGCGACGAAGAGCGATGTTGAGGAAGCGGGAGAGCCGGCAATCACATTGGCAAATACTGAGGCTCTTGCGCAACTTCCTTGTTTTGTGCATTCATGCATAGGTCTGTGCACGGCGTGCTATCAACGCGGGTTGAGGAGGTATTGCTGCGTGGCGTGCACATCACCACGGACACTGAGCTCGAATCGGAACACTCTGCAAACGTTTGTGTACGGTATTTCAACAAATCTTTATAAATGTGAAAGCATTAACTGTTTTAAGGAGCAAACCAGCATTACCTGAACGTAGCCAGCGTTATCGTTGTCTGTAGCAGTGATAAGCGGCTCCTAAATTTCCATTGGCTAAGCGAAACGGCACCTAAATTCTATCTGTAGCAGTGAAAAACAGCACTTGAATTCCCCTGAGCGAAACAGGACCTAAATTCCCTTTGGCTGTGACGCGTCGTGTGGCTTCATAGCAACGGCATCATCATTGCTAAGGAGCCAGCCGAACTGCTTGCGGCGCAGCGGGAAGGGGGGTTACACAGGTACATATAAGCTGGCCTGACATTAGACCTAACGTTACGCTTCGGGGTCTAACGTCATCAACCTTTACCAGCAGCTAGGGCGATGATGATGAAAAGACACGTGATTGCAGCACGCGCAACGCTGAGCTTCGCACCCCCGCCGTTGCCTCACCCAGTGGCGCAGCCGTCACCAGCGAGCCAAGGATGCTTTCGCATACACAACTCATAAGAAGTGCTTAGGTGTCCTCAGAGTTTTAAAGCAAAAGCCTTACTTCTCCCATTGAGCAAAACATAGGGGTAAATGGACATAAAAATGTGATTGCACGGCATGGCACCGCTCAATGGGCAACCCTACTTCTCCCATTACTTTAGCATTGTTCAAGCGGTCTTCCTAGAAGTCATCCTGAACCTTTAGGACGATCTCGCTTGTCACAGTACTTCAAAAAGAAGCGGCGTTAGCGTTGTTGTGCCCGAAAGATGGCCATAAAAATATGTCATCAAGCGTCGTCAGCGTAATTCATCAAGCGTCATCATACGTCATCAGCGTGATGCCACCACCGGAGCGTCGTGTGCTAAAGCTGCGCTTCGGACTCCATCTCTGCTTGTTGTGTGCTTCGTGCGATGGGCTGTTAGGTGACCGTGTCTACATCTACGGCCTCGACATCGGCAGCAGCGTCTAAATCTAGGGCGGTTCCGCAGGCGAACGTGGCCGCCCATGCAAATATGCCACAGCTTCCTTGAGTGTTTTCCTCTAGGCATCATTCTCGACGTCATCCTCTAGGCATCGTTCTTGACGTTGTCCTAGACGTCGTCCTTGAGGTCATCCTAGAGGTCGTCCTAGACGTCGTCCTAGAAGACGTCATTCTTGACGTCGTCCTAGAGGTCGTCCTAGATGTCGTTCTTGACGTCGTCCTAGAGGTGTCATAGATGTCGTTCTTGGCGTCGTCCTAGAGTTCATCATAGACGTCGTCATCTAGGCGTTGTTCTTGACGTCATCCTCCTAGAGGTCGTCCTAGAAGTCGTCCTTTGACTGGCTTTCACATTCTTACACACAAGCAGTCTTAATTGTACTCATGTAATATGACCAAGCCTTAATTGTACTCATGTAATTTCAGACAAAGCCAGTTGGCTTTGTCTGAAACATTGCACAACCTTGCCAACCGCGGTCGCGACGTTCCAGGAGAAAGAGCGGGTTTGCGGTGAGTTTACTTCGGTGGAGACGGACTTTGACCTTACACTCCATGGTTACATTCCAGGATATGGGGCATTCGCTGACCTCGCAATCCCTGAATGGGTTGCAGCTTGTGTTATCTTTTCGACTTCGCTTTTTTTTGTCCGAACAAACTTTTTCATAAGCAAAAGCAAAGTTTTATTCTGTTATCTCCATCATTCTCTTCTCGCACGCATGTACTACAACTTCAGGGTCACGAAAATCGGGAGAAAATGCCTAAACAGAGAAAAGTGTCTTTCCCTTCTTTGTTTTACTTTGTAACGGACGTCTTCCAACTGTAATGTTTGCGGCCATGTCACTTGGGTAGGATGAATGTTCGCGGATCGCGGAGTCTGCATTGGGGTATTTGTAGGGGTGGGCAATCACTCTGTTTTTTTTTTTGGAAATCGACATTCGGCTTAAACGTGGGGAGGGCGACGACTTGTGATGCTACAGTAGTGAAAACAGACAGCAATTGTATCAGCCCCAGAGAACTGCCTACCCACAAGTCTTTTAGTGAAGCATAAAGGCCGCTAGCATTCGTCCTGCGACTTCACACCCGAATGTTTCCTTTCTGGTTATCTATAAGTCGAATGAAATAGACTGTACAGTAGCGTCAAATTCAACAAGCTGTATTCCACAGGGACAGTGATGGGCATCGTCAACTGCATGGGCAACCTCTCTGGAATGCTGGCTCCATTGGTGACCGGCTTCTTCATAGAACACGACGTGAGTTGAGTTTTACTACTCCTACCATGATGAACAATATGTCTGTCAATCAATGTTTAGACTGATGTATAAAAAAAATTTCACTCAAAATTGATCTAGAAGCCTTGTCTTTAAAAGCTTTTCAGCTTTTAAAGACAAGCGAGCTGGCTTATCTGGCAGCGCATATGGCCCTGGGGCAGTGAATGAGAGGCAGCCGGGTCAGTTGCTAGTTGGAGCAGACTGGTGGCCAAAAAGGGGTAACTTTGGGCAGCTGCCATATCACCGAACAATAGACCCTTCCCGAAATTCAGTGACATCTGGTGGCTATAATGGCAGTTTAACTTTTGCCGTACGAATGGCGGCAATGAAAATAGAGTCTTCCGTATTTTACTGGGCACCGTCACTTTGGCAAGTCAACGGCAAACGACAGTGTGCATTTCACAGTACATTTCCTTCTCAATCTCTTTCAGTAGCGACAGAAACAAAGATGCAACCAGTCAGAACGAAGCGTCACCCCACGCACATGGCTTGATAAAGTTTTACAAATCAAGGGGCTTTGGAGCACCTCGATGCTACCAACAGATTGGCTGGGCCCGAGCTAGAAATCAACGCTTACGCAAATCTTGCTTCCAATTCCTGCTTCGCATCGTGCTAACGTCACGAATGTATAAGCCTCGAATTATCTGCTAAGGAGCATCTTCAACTTCTTCGTTCATCAGTAAACAGGAGGCTGCCGTTAGTACGGCACATATGCCATTTTTCCGATGATGATGGTGATCAAAGTAGCCAGACTGAATTTCGGAAAGGGTCTATTCGGCACGAGCGCCGCGGCACGGTTCGGCAGAGCACTCAGACTTTCAGGCTCGAGTTTGGGTCCAGCGATTGCGACTGCGGACCATCTCAGAGTTGCGAAAATTCTCCAAAGAAACGTTAATTGCCCGGTCGGTACATACATACTTCATTAGCGATTCGGAGAAAGTTTATGACTTCCTATGCGACGAGAAACTGAGAGAGTGGAGGAGATGAGGGCGCACGGGGACGTCAGAATGCCGAGCTCTGGTTGGTATGATTAGGGGTTAGACCACAGCTATAGCAGCCTCTGTCCCCACTGTACTCATCGAACACATTCGAATGCGAGAGCCAGACGCCGTTTCAATGAGTGTGGTGGAGAAAAAGGCTAGCTTTGGGTCCACCCACTAATCCTTCCAATCAGAGCTCGCCGTTCTGACGTTCCCTCTCGTCTCCTCCTCCACCTCAGTTTCTCGGCACATACTTTGTTTCAGCTTATGATGGTGGTAGTAGTAGAGCCAAGGCTGTAGCATGAGTGTGTTGCCTTGTATTGAGTCTGTGTGAGCAAGAGAGCTTGGGGAATGGAGTACACAATGACTTCTTTGCAGACACTGCGGAACCTTCTTGCAGAGCGACCTGTTCAGGCTCGGAGCTGTTACTGACATGTCAAACGGAGTGCATGTAAAAATCACGACATAGTATTCATTGTGAACACAATGTTATGCTGTTATGAACACGACATATTGTGAACATTGTATTCATTGAATTCTTTCTTGTAAGGTAGATGAGACAACTAGAACTGAATTCTACAATGTTCAGCTGGGTTCCATTTTAGCCTCCAAGGCCAGCGAGGCTTCTCTCAAACGCTTGTAGGAGCAATGTGCAAGTTTTTAACCTGAAGTACGTAATTTTACCGCCGGCTGCATGTACAAATGCGAGGTTTCTTTCTGGGCGCTCTTATGCATGCCTGTGTAAGTTTACTGCCTCATTTCAGCCATGAGTGTGCATAGTACAATACAATTTAGTACTTTTATTTGATCATATCAGTCGACGAAGGGGTAGTCTATATCGAAGTTTGTAAGATGCTGCAGTAAAGCACCATCACAAGTAGCTCACTCACATTGGCATGTACCGAAGTTTTCACTATGGCTAGATGAAGCTAGCGCCATCTTCGCCCACATGGCAGGTAGAGATGGAAGATGTGCTGTGCACGGGCGCTCGGTGCACGTGACAATCGAGCGGACTCCGGGGACCACATCGGACGTTCCCTTGACTCAGTCCTTCATACTGCATTGTAACGGAAGTGAAAGTACTTTCTGCCTCTAAAGGCTGGTCCCCCCACTGGCGCACGACCGACCTCTTGTGAGCTTTTAGGAACACGTGGCGCCATCTGTGAGGGGACCCTGGAATTGCATTTCACTAGAGCGAAGTTTTTGCAATATTTGTGAGATCAAATCTATACACGATACTGTCTACGAGAGATGGTTGTCTATAACATTGTCAAAAGTTTTGAGCCAAAATAGAAAGAATGATACATGAAAAAACGTAGGCCTGATCCAGCCTTAGTGCATGTATTGTAAGGTCGACAAAGCAAAATCCCGGGCAATCAAAGTAACCGATATTTAAGCTTTTTTTCTTTTCTTTTTTTCTGTTTTCAGGAAAGTCTTGTGCAGTGGAAGAAGTTGTTTCTGCTGTCCTCCGCCATCTACACCTTCGGTGCGTTGAGCTTTCTGATGTTCGGCTCGGCGAAGCTGGAAGACTGGGGCGCACTGCCCACCGAGAAGAGTAGCATAGTGTCTTTTCGCCACCCGGACTCGGGCAGTTCGGACAACGAGGAAGATTTCAGGACGGCAGCGGAAATGCATCTCATGTGACACCGGCTGCGCTCGACGCAGAGGACGACAGACTTTCCGTGCGGGAAATTTCGGGTTCCGTCGTATTTATCGATTTGCTTTTGTCGGCGATACTTCGGATGTGATATACGTGGGGTAAGCTACATTTTCTACTGGAATTTGTGAGCTGTTGATTTTGGTGTTGTGATATGCACTGGGGATTGCATGTTTTTCTTTTTTTTTTTTTTGTGCTGAAGTTTTTGGGTTTAGTTCCATTGTCACATCCTGGTTTAACACTCTTGTTGTGCGTCTCTAACAATATGCCTAGGATTGGTTATTGTTGGTGACAGAATAGACTTTGAGGGTCACAAAGACTCTGCCTCTTTACAAACAGGTCCTGCAATGCCGCTTTGCAGTGCCAAATTTTTTTAAAGCAATCACTTTTGCTTGTTGCCCATGAAAAATAGGTGGTTGGTTGTCAAGACTAAACATTTAACAAAACTTTGTATAGGATGTCAAATGTGAGCTTAGATTATTGTACAAGATATGCAGAAAGCTCACACTGAGCACACAAAGTATCCAAGTTCGAGTGATACGTAGTATAATCGAGACTGGGTGAATTTTACACTTGGTCTTGATTGTGTTGATCGGGTTCAATTTATTTCACAACTTTCATCTTGTTTCCTTTGCAAAATAGCAGTAAGGTACCAGATAGCCCTTGTTTGAGATTCCATGATATCGTATGGAACTAACTTAAAACAAAATCTTCAAGTTGGACGTTGTGCTAGCTGTCAGCCTTTTTCTTTTTTTGGCTAGTGTTTTATTGGCTGTTTTTTTGGCTAGTGTTTCATTGGCTGTGTGAGCATTCTTGCTTGTTGTACCTACTGAGGCACTTCTTTCTTTCGGTTTGGTATTTTTTTCTACTACTATTCTATTGTAGCATTCATACTACACTGAAGATTTCTTGTTTACATTTTTTGGTACTCTTTGATATAAACAGTAATCCCTCGTTATAACGAAGTAAACAGGATGGGCAAAAAGATTTGATATAAGCGGTAATTCTATAAAAGTGATAGAGACAAAAAAACAGTGCCAACAGCCTTGAAGGTGCACTGGAACACTGCAGAACACTCTTACCGTATATCAAACAAACCTTGGTTATGAACATCTCGTGACAGCTTTACTGAGTAAAAAAATAATTGAGTGGAACTTGACGATAATTTCATCCGGGCGTCGGTCCTCCTTAAACTGCTCCAGGCATCGCAAGAACACTATCACCGCCACTGCACTCCACTTTGTTTTGAAACAGCCATAGGACGTTTCGCGTCTCCGCAACTGTCGGCATTTCCTGAGGTGCCTCCAACCTTGGTGATTCTCCGACGTCACCTCGTGTTTACCCTGGCCGTGGCAGAAGCAACAACAAAAATGTCTATATCGACAAGCGCGAACGAATCAAAATTATCCCCGGTGGCCTTGCCAACATGTTTTCGCACACTCTTGTAGAGATCATTGCGGCTATGTAAATTATGCGCTACTCGCGAGAAAAGATCTGTTGTGCGTGGAGCAGTTGGCGATTTTTCATCTTCGAATCGCAGGCGCTCTTTCTCGTGCTATGCCTTGTTTGTTTTGCAAAATGGTGGACAGTGTCGAACAGCCGATGCCAGAAAGTCAAATTCTTTGATGATTTCGCACTTGGGCCGGCCACTTTTTTCAACCTCGCAGATCTAAGTGACTTTCGGTAAACGCTCGCAATCTCCGATACGGCACACGTGTGCATGTAGTACGCCGCAGGCACGCCCAAGCAGGCCTGCGCGTCGATATCTCCCAAAGGGATGACTTCCTCCGCGCTCCATCGTGACCCGATTCCGACAAAAGTCGGGCAACTTCTGCTGCGGGTGCCGGGAGTAACGTCGGAACATTGACGCTGCTTTCGCTGTTCTCGCGTTCCCGCGTCGGCGTACCGGTATCGGAAGCAACGCTCTGCCAGCTCTGCGCTCTCTGCCCTCCGTCACCCCTTTACTCCGTTTTCCCGTTTGCCTCGATGGAGAAAGGGGAGGGAACGCAAGGTTCTCCGTGCGCTTCCGTGTAGGCTTGCGTGCTTTTGGCATGCAGCCTTCGTAATAGGCGTAGTAGGCTGCCGATACACTTAAAATAATCCGGTTAAAAATGTGTGCGTTTCGGTAGAGACCACGTTGAGCTTCGATAAAAGCGATAATTCGAAAAAAGCGATTTCGTTATAATGAGGGATTACTGTACTTTCAAATCCACTGCCCCTGCACATTTACACAATATTATGGTCTCGTTGGGGATAACTCGTGCACAGAACTCGGGTTAATTGTTTTTTTAGAATTGGTTGAAACAGTCACAGAAATTATCAAACCGTCAGAAATTATATACTTCCGCAATTCATGCTCTTCCGCATTTTTTTGGTTCACTTTATACTTTTTAATTGAGCTGGTTTGCAACAAAAAATCTTTTGAGAAACCTTTACACAATGCATTTTCGAAATATTGAGAAGCTTTCTATTGTGGAAAATTTCATTTATTTATGACGGGCATTTCCAAAACTGTTACCTCGAAATTTGAATGTCTTTTTAATACATTTAACTTTTTTTTTTTTCCGTGTAATTTGAGATGCAGTTGACAGTACTTCTGGCATAATGATCGGTTGTTGTTCTACAAGCTTTGGGCTATTCTTTGTTGACCACTTTATAGCAGTTATTTATACTTCGTATATATATATATATATATATATATATATATATATATATATATATATATATATATATACACATGCTAGTATTCCTATACAATTTTACTTACAGTACGGTATATGATATCATATATTTTTAATCCAGCAAGGTCGTTTTACAAATAGGCTTTTTCGAATGACACTCCTGGTGAGCAAGAACAAGGCACTTGCGAGTGCCTTGCTGTAAAAGTCCACTGGGTTATGTTTTCCCGGAAGCTCCTGTTTTGTTTTAATATGAACATATGTTATGCACCGCACTGTGATACATGCATTTTTCCACTACTAGTCGACAACATTCCTGGTGTTTTATCATATCATCTCTTTCGAGAAATAGGCTGCAGTATATATTTTTACATGAGGCTTACCTTTTTTGTTATTAATGCACACAACATTCCCTGCACGCATGTAATTTTTTGCATGTTTTTTTTTTTTTTAAATGAAACGTTTGTTTTATGTTTTGTGTTCTGCTGTATTTCGTTTACCCCTATGTTGACAATGCGGTGGAAGCTACATGCTTGCTGGATCAATCAGCTGCTTCCTATTCATCACCTGACCCCACTCTCTGCCATGGGTAGGGGAGGGAGCGTGATGAAGTGGCGAAAGATAGTCATATGTGTGGTCCAATGAGCCCATAGCTTCCACCGCACTGTCGGCTCGAGGGAATGGAGTATGGATTTTTGTTGTCAGTCCTGCGTTGTGTGTTTGCATGTCTCTTCAAAACACACTTGCAAACTCAGAATTCCTGCGAGGCAGAAGATCACCTGAGTTTTCTCCTCTCTCATCTTGAAGATAGCTAAGGAGGCGATTTCACGAGCAACAAGTCAAGTGACAGCGGCCTGTTTTGCTGTCGCTCGGTCAGTCGTGTGATGAGGCAATCCGCATGAAAGCGACGGGAGCAAGCGACCAAGGCGATGAGCGATGTTTGCTACAAATAAAAAAAAACGAGCGATGCGAGGAGCGACAGTGAAAAAATCTGCATTGCTCGTCGCTGACTCTCGTCGCTGTCGCCGTCGCTCGTCTCATTGCTCGCTAAATCGCTTACAAGCGGTTCAACCTTTAAAAGGTGAGAAGGGAGAGGGGAAAGGAAAAGCCAGCAAATCTGTAAAGCAGAAATAATGCAAAACCAGAAATTAGGATTGGACTAAAATAAAAAAAAAATCTTCCTTTAAACTAGATTTTTTTTTAGAGCGCAGCTTTTAGGGGTTTGTTTTTGGGTTGAGCGGGCGTCGGCCGTCGTCGTCAGCATAACCGCGCATTGCATTATGGTATATTATTTATAATGACGTCACCTGTGACGTCACAAGGGTAAAATTTTTCCACTAAGTTCATTAAAGAAATTTTTCCCCGAAATATAGCGGGAAAGTTTTCCCGCTAAATTTAGCGAGAAAACTTCCCCGCTAAATTTAACGGGATAATTTGCTGCCAAATTTAGCGGGAAAATTTTGCCTTCGTGACATCACACATGAATGAACGTGACGTCATGTGAAATGTAGCGGAAAAACTTTTCCTAGCGGGGAAATTAACGTCACATGACCTCAGCACCAATTCAGTTTCCCCGCTAAAATTAGCAAGGAAAGTTTTGCTAAATTTCTTGTTATAGTTTGCTAGAAAATGTTGGTAAATTTCCATCGAAATTTGGTGGGAATATATTTCCCCGCTAAATTTAGGCGTGAAATTTTCGCTAAATTTAGCGGTAAATTTAGCAAAAATTTTCTGCTAAATGGGAGGGGAATAGGAGGGTAGGGTACGGAGGGGGGAGAGGAGCATTCCCTCCCCTCCATACCCTTCTTTCCTTTTCCTCAAGAGCTGCACCCCAATTCGGCATTACAGAAAATTGTAGACGTCTCATTTTTTTGCACTGCGTTAACAAAAATCTTTTTGGTAATGTTTGATGCACAGTTTGTTTCAGAAACATTTTATTATTATATTGAATGTATTGCTGCACTTCCTGTGTGTTTTTTTTCTTTCTTCTGACAAGTATGCAAATTTTATTTTATGGGCGTGTCCTTGACACTGTAAAGTCTGCAATAAATATTGTTGAATCTTATTTGTACCTCGATGTGCTTGTGTGTGATGCTTCCTTCTGTTACTTCTATTTATATTTCAAGATATTTTAACATTGCGTTTTTACTTCCTGAAAGGATAATGTTTCAAGTTTTGTTATACATTTGTGTATTCAAGCAGCACAAATATCCTGTGAACGTCCGCAGGACATCCCTGTGACATTAGGACATCGTAAAGACGTTCACAGGACGAAGTGTGCTACTAGGGTAGGTATTGTTTGTTTTGTTAATTCAAAGTTCTATTCCTTCCTTGTATAAACGCATTCTTGCCAGCAAGTGGTGTGCAAGATTTCTTTTTGACATAATCATAGGAAACAAATTATTTTTAAAATCTACAATATTATGTGACTACTGTAAACGACTCAATTTTCGCGAGGTCCTAATTTTCGCGAATCGCCTACACTTCGCGAAAAATATGTCCCGCAAACAATTCGGGCAATATATGAACGGTACGGAAGCTACGCTCAATTCATGAAAATTACAACCCGCAAATAATTTCAAACTTTCAGCTTTGGCCCGAATCGCGAAAATTTGAGCCCGTGAAAATTTAGTCGTTTACAGTCTTCCGAATTAATATCTGAAAAAATGTGTCAGTTTATGGAATGCATATCCTTTTACATACAACAATGGCTATACTAAAAAATTGCCTTTAAAAGTATATATATATATTAAAACTATACTCTGTGTCAGTACTTGTGTGTAGTGCAGGCGAAGGGAGGAAGGGCGAACACTGAGAAGGCGGGACGGGAGAGGAGGGCAGTGGAGAGAAGAGAAGGTGTTGCTATCCTCTTCCCCAGCCTTTCTAGTGATTGCTCTTTCTCCCCTCGCCTGGCGTTTCCTTCGCCTGTACTCCATGCAACTAGTGTTTACTGAAAGGGGGTGAGAGAGAAGAGGGGAAAGGGCTACCGGCGCTTTTCCCCTTACTAATGTGTTAGAAAGAGTGAAATTCCCGGATGAGAGGCTTTGCCGGTGTTGGGTGTATGTTCAGTTCAGAAAGCGTTTATTGGCCTTTGTGGAGGGAGAATGGGGCTGAGATCGGTGGCTTACAAGCCTGGATCTATGGCCAAGGGAACAGAGAAGAAAATGCGAACTTCGTTCGCGTTTTCTTTTCTTTTTTAAACTCCCGAACTTAATTGAAGCCACGGGCGTCGATGGCGACAGTCCCCCGGTTATCGGGACACCATTGCTCATATAGGGTGCACGAATAACGACAGAAAGCGGGCCTAGAAATTTCGGCCCGTGCAGCGCTTTATGCAAGATGCCTTGAGGTCTACCAATAAGAGCTCAGCGTTCTGATATCGCAACCCTTGTTCAAGAAGCAGACGAACTTGCGCTCCACAATTGTCAGATAGTACATAGTTTTGTGTGTGTGTGTGTGTGTGTTTTTTTTTTTTTTACTTTACCAAACATAATGCATATGACCTCAGGTGCCTACTCTTATTCCTGATATTTCAGGGAATTTCGTACAGCAAATAATTTGTCTGCAGAATATGTTAGCTTGGGTCGGGACAGCTGAAAGGACTGACTCTAGAACCTAACCAGTCTTAAATATTGCAATAAATGTAATGGGCACAAACGAGTTGGTGTACATTAAACATAATTAAATAAAAAAAAAAAAACGAGATTGCAGGTAACGACAGACACACTCAAAAGTCTTTTGAGACTTTTTGAGTTGTGTCGTTACCTCAGCAGGAGGAATAAACGTCTTTATTTGCCTGCAGAGCTAGGTCAAGCCTAGCCGGTGCGGCCCACACCATACGACGCCCCAGCGCAGGGGGCCCGAGTCTCGGTTTTGTTTAATCATTTTAAATGTTCCCGCTCTTTAAAAATATGTTGATGGTAGTGGCAGTAGTGATGCGAAGCGAATCACGACAGTTCATAATAAATTTAATCCAGATTTTTTTTTTTAAATCATTATGACTGTCAACAAAAAAGATTGAATCGAAAGCGTAGTTGTTTTTTTTTTCTCTCTCCCGAGACCTAAAATATTCGGACGCAAAAAACTACGGTACCGAAAACTTTGCTTTACTGCTCAAAGACGGCGCAACCGATTTTCTCGCCATTTTGGTTTTTTGTTTTGTACATTTGTTTCTTCGGCTGTGTCTTTTTGAGAAACTTGTAAACTGGTCCAATCCGCAAGGTGCTGCCGAATTTCGGCCAAGTTTTTCCTCCGTTCCTCACCCGAACCACGAAGGGTGCAGTGGCCGTTACGAACAAGCAACAAACGCTCCACGCTCGATGAATATCGCGACTCGCGATCGGGTAAAGCCGACAAGATAGCGGCGGCGCAGGCTTCAGGCTTTGGCAGCAGCAGGGACGTCTCGAACGACGGCATGATGGCTGCTACGTGGGCGTATGACAACCAAAGTAGTAGCAAGTATCCCGCCGAAGCGACCGACTTCACCAGCGGCGAGGCGGTCACCTCGGCGGGATTTTTCTCGTCCGATCTGCGACGCCACGAAGACCTCAAGAATATGCTGGACAGCAGCAAGGACGGGCTCAAGCTGGAAGCGATGAAGCGGATCATTGGCATGATCGCCAAAGGCAAGGACGCGTCTGAACTGTTCCCGGCGGTCGTGAAGAACGTCGTCTCCAAGAACATCGAGGTGAAGAAGCTCGTGTACGTTTACCTCGTTCGCTACGCCGAGGAACAGCAAGACCTGGCTCTGCTTTCCATCTCGACCTTCCAGCGGGCCCTGAAGGATCCGAACCAGCTGATTCGGGCGAGTGCCCTCCGAGTGCTGTCCAGTATTCGGGTGCCGGTCATCGTGCCCATCATGATGCTCTCCATCAAGGACGCCGTGAACGACATGTCGCCGTACGTGCGCAAGACGGCCGCGCACGCGATTCCCAAGCTCCACAGTTTGGACCCGGAACAGAGGGACCAACTCATTGAGGTGATCGAGAAGCTTCTGGCCGACAAGACGACGCTGGTCGTCGGGAGCGCGGTCATGGCCTTCGAGGAAGTCTGCCCCGAGCGGATAGACCTGATCCACAAGAACTACCGCAAGCTGTGCAACCTCCTCGTGGACGTTGAAGAGTGGGGTCAGGTTGAGATAATCCTTATGCTGACCCGCTACGCAAGGACGCAATTCGTGGATCCCAACAAGCTGGACGGAGGAGGCGGCGATGAGGAACGGCACTTCTACGACTCTGGCGACGAAGACCGAGCTCCGTCTATCGACTCAGACCTGCGTTTGTTGCTGCGCAACTGCAAGCCGCTGCTCCAGAGTCGCAATTCGGCGGTGGTGATGGCGGTGGCCCAGCTCTACTACCACTTGGCGCCCAGGAGCGAAATCGGCATCATAGTGAAGTCACTCATTCGTCTGCTAAGGAGCCACCGCGAGATCCAGACAGTGGTGCTGAGCAACGTGGCCACCATGTCGACGAAACACAAGGGTATGTTCGAGCCCTTCCTCAAGAGCTTCTTCGTCCGCACAAGCGACCCCACGCATATCAAGCTTCTCAAGCTGGAGGTGCTCACCAACCTGGCTACAGAGACCAACGTGTCCATCATACTCCGCGAATTCCAGACATACGTATCCAATCCGGACACTGAGTTTGTTGCGGCCACCATCCAATCTATTGGTCGTTGCGCAAGCAGCATCAAGGAGGTCGCCGACACGTGCCTCAACGGACTGGTGTCCCTCCTCTCTAACCGTAATGAAGCTGTGGTTGCAGAGAGTGTGGTGGTCATCAAGAAGCTGCTTCAGATGCAACCCTCTGAGCACAAGGATATCATTGGCCACATGGCAAGGCTCATGGACACCATAGCAGTTCCCATGGCAAGGGCCTCCATCCTATGGCTGCTTGGCGAGTATGCGGACCGTGTGCCCAAGATAGCCCCAGACGTCCTGCGGAAGGTGGCCAAGACATTCATCCAGGAGGAGGACATAGTCAAGTTACAAACACTCAACTTGGCCTCCAAGTTGTACCTGATCAACCCAAAGCAGACGAAGCTCATCACCCAATACGTGTTCAGTCTTGCCAAGTACGACCAGAACTATGATATCCGAGACCGCGTTCGGTTCCTCCGACAGCTCATCATGCCCCAAGGAGAGGCAGGAACAGCACTGTCGAAGCATGCCAAGAAGTTCCTGCTGGCATCCAAGCCTGCGCCAGTCTTGCAGTCAAAGTTTGAGGATCGGGACCAGTATCAAATGGGCTCGCTCTCGCAGTTCATCAATGCCAGAGCCAACGAATACCGTGAGCTTCCAGACTTTCCTGAAGTTGCTCCAGACCCCTCGGTAAGAAATGTGGATATTGCTCCAGCATGGCCAGAGAACAAAGTCACCAAAAAGAAGCAGGTGGCTAAGAAGAAGAAGTCATTTTACTCCGAGACAGACACCAGTTCGCCGGAAGATGAGTCTCGCTCTGAGTCCAGTGGAGAAGGGTCCTCCTCTTCGGAGAGCGGGTCGGAGAGCGAAAGCGACTCGGATGACGATTCAGCCGAGTCTGGAGTGGAAGATGGATCGGACGAGTCTGCAGACAGCAGTAAAGTGAACGGGGAGACAAAGGACGACAGCGAAGACTCCAGCTCGGACAGCGACGAAGACTCCGAGACATCCAGCTCCGAAGAAGAAGCTAAGGCTCCAAAGAAAAGAGATGCTAAACCGCCTTCGAGAAAGAATGTGGATCTCCTTCTCGACCTTGATGACATTGCAACCGTCTCCAGCGCTCCACTCCAGCCATTCTCGGCTCTCACCATGACATCAGTTCCGATTGCCGCACCCAAGCCAAGTGGGCCCAAGTTCGCGGTTGTGCCAGTGCCAGCTTATGTATCTCACGAGCGAAAGGAGCTATTAAACAAACTTTCGGGTAGCGGGCTCAGCGTGAGCTATCGCTTTAGCCGCTCACCAAACATATTTTCCCCGAGGATGACATCCATCGAACTCGTGCTAACAAACCATGGCGACAAAGAGCTTCAGGAGCTGTACGTCCCAGACCGGAAGTCTGGACAGGTTGAGATTAAGGGCTTCCCACGCAGTGGAACTCCGTTGGGTCCTGGATCGTCAATCGTGGGAACAGTTGGAATTGACTTCAACGAGAGCACACAGCAGGCAACCCTGGAGGTGCGTCTGGGAGACGACCTGTGCTATCCGGTCGCCCTCAAGCCACCAGTAGGGGAGATCCTGCAGCCGGTACGCATCTCCAAGACCGAGTTTCTGGCTCAGCAAGGAAAAATGAGGGGCATGAACGAAAGCTCTTGTCCCCTCGATGTAGAGGATGGTGGCAAGGCAACGAAGCAGATCTATGCGGCTGCCAACTTGTTGCTCCTGGATGAAGCGGAACCAGGGGTCCTCCGGTTTGCGGGACAGACATTGGCATCGGCCAGCTTGGTCCTCGTCAGCATCCAGCTGTCGGATGGCACGTGCAAAGGCTCGCTGACTGTAAACTGTGAGAAGATGGTGATTGGTTCCATGCTGCTCAAGGAACTCAAAGAAGCCCTGTCTTGATTTGGTTTATAGGTCCATGGCCGCATGTGGAGGGAGGGTTCTCATTGATACGTCCACAGTAGTCGCCTGGTTGTCAGTGCGACGCCGCAGTTGATTGATGCAAGCTCTGAAAGTTATGGACTCGTTACTATTCTAAGATGCACTGTTAAGGGTATAGTATGCACTATTAAACTGCTTGCCATCCGACCATTCCTTTTGGGAACTGTTGCTCTGAAGACTTTGGGGCATTGTTTTCAAGAAAAGACATTGGAGGAGGTTTTTACGGGTGCCTATTTTCTGTGAGGTGTATAATTCTCCCGTACCTTATTTTTTAGGTTATGGATAACCTTTGAGTACTGCACCTGATTATCAATAATTATCATTCAATTTTCACGGGAGCACTTGCCAGAACCAGAAGTCATGTTGGATAGGGCAGATATTACTGCTACATGTTGTTTGTTTCAACGAGGAATTATTTCTGTGACCCAATGAAGAATGATATTGTAGGGAACATCTTTTTTTGTGATCAACTTCATGATAGATTTGTTCACAACTTTTTTCAATGCAAACGATCGAGTTTATATAAACGAATTACCTTGATGTGTTTGGTGTCTTTCTTAATCTAAACAAAAGGAAAATCCCAAAAGAGGAAACTGCCCCCATAAAAACGAGAACTTTATTCATGGTCAACCATTTCTTCCCTTTAACCGACCATTTGCACTTTGCTAGCAATATCTCTGGAGGAAAGTCCATATGGGTACTTAAAAGATATACCTAAACCCCTAGTGATAGAGTTAGCCTTTCGGCGCCATGATAAGAGACTCACAACTCTAGGCAGAGTAAGAAAAATGAAGTTCCTGCTACACTTTACAGTGACTTTAATCTTAGACGGAATGTTATGTATGGGATTCGGTAGCTACCAACATCATGACCGACGTGAACGGGACTATTTCATAGGTATAAGGTTTTTAAAAGCGAAAACACAGGGACAATAGAAAATAACACAAACGGCAGGGACAAGGTCCTGTCTGTTTGCGCTTTTAAAAAAACAACTAGCCCAAACCAAAGTTTTAATGCGACTATTTCATCGACGTTTCAGTTTCGTTTCACCTTGCCCAACTTCAGCCCAAAGAGGGCGCGCCAGTCGCGTTTTTTTTTTTTCCCCGCGCATGCGCACACGTGCTTCATCTCTTCAGCCATTTCGTTACTCGAGCAATGGCGTCAGCGGTATGCTGTCGGGCGGCGATGTTTCCCACCAACGTGCACTGAAGTTCTTGCCCCAGCTCGGTTCTTCGGTGCTCGCCCTCGTCGTGAATGTGATCGCTGACGCACTCGAGGCACCATGATTTTCAGTTCGAGCGACGTGCTGACCCCCCAGCAGCTGAAGCGGCTCTCTGAGCACCGCTACAGCTGCTCCGGTTCTTCGTTCGTGGACCCATTCATGCAGCCTTTCTGGAACTGGGTGACGACCAAGTGTCCGCTGTGGCTTGCGCCCAACCTCATGACCATCACAGGACTCGCCGTGAACATTGCCACATCACTGCTGCTCGTTTGCTACAGCCCGACCGCGACGCAAGAGGTGAGAGCGGCGAAGCCAGTGTGCATCACTAAATTTGCTAAGCGGTTTGAACTTCTCGAGTATTTATTACTGTAATAGCTTGTTCCAGGTAAACAATGCGTGGGAAAAGCTACGGGTGGGGCAATAGAGCGCTACACGCCTACTTTGAGACGTCGGCGGTCGCTCTTGGCTTCCCCGTGTCAATCGTTGGCACTTGACACAAGAATCACGCGATATGGGTCGCGGCGACTGCTCTCCATTCAATCGTAACCTTGAAAACGGACTCGGCGACACTTGCCTGGAGGGGTTTTCAGCGGCCACCCGCTATTTCGCGTGGGTTAACGTGCGCTGTCCCAGGATTGCAACATCTCCTTCGCCAAGTAGGGCTCAAGCTCTCCCGCGGTCCGCCCGCCCGTAGTGGCAAAACAACATATCAAACCCAAAACTGCTGCCGCAACTAAAATAAAAAATGCAGGTTGCGGAAGGTTTTTCTTTTTGTTGCTGTTGCGCGGGTGTGGTTGTTTTGTTATTGTCGCAGTTACCGTTAGTCGGAGGTAAACTCGAGCTCGAATGTCGTGGCGTGGCCTGCACTGATGCCGGAAACGGAGAAAGCAACAGCTGACTCCATCGGCGTGGCGTGATCTGTACCGCTATCGTTCGTAACTACTCCACTGTATTTGTTTCCCCATTTTCTTTTTTTTCGGACTCAATCGTCGTAACACATAATCTCGATACTAGAACGCTGTGGAGTAAATAATAGAAATTACTTAGAATTAAAAGCCAGAATGAGGTACAATCGTGAGGGAAGCTCCCTTCGTGTCGGTGGCATGACTCCGATCTCGTTATCTCGTCGACCGCGTCGAGTGTGTGTGTTTGTACAGCGCATGCGTGTTTCACCCACAGTACGCTTCCTTACCTCAGCGCTTTTCTCTCTTCTTTTATAGTTCTACTTTATTTGTTAAAGGCGGCAGGAAGTAAATGATATCAGTAATGTTCTCAGAAAAGACAGACAGGAGATAAGCTTTCTTGAAGCCGGGAGGTGTGTGTGCAACGTGCACGTGTGCTAAGAGGCCGAGATAGGCTGGCCAGTATCTCTTTTAGCCGAGTAACCCGATGTCGAGGGTTGTAGCACAGCTTCGAAAGGTTTCTCCGACAGAAAAAAAAGATAAAATAATGCACTGCGCTCGCGGTATGCGTTGATAGTGAAGGAGTATGTCGTTAGAAAGCATCGGAGTTCAGTTTAGAGCACACTGGATATGTTTTTCATTGCTTGCTGTAGAGTATGTTGCTCGGGTTTCTATTAATTTACATTATACAGGTTTCTTGAAGACAGTGCGAAATCACAGGCAAGCTGGCGTATTATTTTGCCCATGAAAAAGTTGTGCGTGCTTGACCTTTTTTTTTTCTTTTACCAGTTTGAGGTGAACCACGAATTAAGCTACCCTTTAATAAGTGACGGCACTTGGCCATTTTTGTCTCCATGATCAATGTTGCCAGTTATCCGAAGCTTTATTCGTAATCGAAATAAACACTTTTTATCCAGGAAGGTTAAAACAGTCGGCAACAGGGCAAACATTATCACCCTTAGTTCAGAGCAGACACTCTTGACGTTTGCTGTACACTAAGCACCAACATGACGGTACCCACATGACGATTGGGGAACGGAGTGGCGATACTCTAAGCATAGCTTATATGTAGTGGCTCTAGGGTGAATTACAGATGTTTCCTGACATGGAAGTGGTTTCACAGGAGAGGCCAAACAAATGAACCAGAAAGAATGTTGTTTGTGTTTCTCAGGTCCAAAGTTTTATGTGTGTAAACTACAGCATGTCCCGTGGTGCTGTAGTTTAGTGCTAGTGCTGAAACTTTGCCATCCGGTTCGAACATTACATTTAAACAGAGTGAGCATTCGGCGATGCTTAGTTCAATTTTGCAATAATAAAAACACCTTTTTTTTTCTTCTTTTTTTATTCTTTCTAGGGGGGTGGGGAGGAAACATGCTGTAGTCTTTTTTTTTTTTTTGTTAGAAACACGATTTTGGTGGTGTGAAACTTATATTGCATAAGGTAAGCACTCGGCAGCAAGGCCATTACAATGACAGCTGATGTAACATCAGTACATGCCACGTATGCTAGCTGCAAGCATGAAACATGTTTCCACAAGGCAGTAGTTCCATAAAGGTAGACTGTCAGCACAAACAAACTAAGTTTTTCTCTGAGAATTAAAAGGCTGCAATGAAAACTACTAGTGAATTGGAGGGTGCTCGTTCAGCACACTAACGGAACTGGTAGAATTTATTGTTTGTCAGTACTGTGTCTTAGTAAGTTGCCGAAAAATCCCAATGTTGTGTTTATGCCAGCTGTGTCGTGCAGCGTACATCAAATATACTGTGGAGCTGTCTTGGTAATGCAGCTGTGACCCTGAGATGCCCCACTTTACTGAGACTAAAGCATTTGTATTGGATCAAATTATTGTTTGTTGAGGTGATGAATAGAGACAATGTTCTTTGAAGGAACCTACCTCATCTCAGTTTTATTTGTTTGTGTATGTATTCATGGAAGGTGACAATAACACATCCGAGCGTTAGCTTGTAATGTGGAGCTTTTGTTTGAAAGGAAACTAGGTATTTTCCTCTCTTTCGTAGCACAATAGGAGGTAAGGATTCTTTAGGCAGAGAAAGCACTTTGTATTAATTTCTTTGTATGCCATGGTATTTCTGGCATTTCCTTCATGTGATCTTTCTTCTCCTTTGAGCTGGATTGAGTGAAAAATCACATTTCCAGTTTGTTTTTAATTTTTTTCACTTAGGGTTTAAGATGAACCCTGAACTATTTTGAAAAGGCTGCAATGCCACCAGTGAGGGGCAGAGAATTCTTTGAATATTGAGGCTGCTTTCAGTCTTAGCAAAAAACTGTGTCTTGCTTGCTTACTGGTCAGTGTATCTTACAAGACCTGCTTTTAACAACATATACATCCTAAGCACTTCCACTAGTTCTCGATTTTCACACAAGTTCAGAAGTATTGTTTTCAATTAAACCCAGGCGGCTGCGGCCTCTTAGATTTTATTCTCACACATGTAGACGCCTGCTGCAAATATTTTAGCTGGAATTTCATGCCACAGCTAGACTATATTGAAGTCGAGTGCCGAATCTCCAAATACCTTTGAAAATCGAAACTTAAAAAGTTAATTAAAACAATTTAGTTAATTAGCTCAGTGATTCTCAAACGGGGGTCCGCGGATCCTTTGGGGTCCGCTAAGACATTCTAGGGGTCCTCAAAGCCCTGCCTCATCACTAAAGCTTGGCAATAAAAGTTGTCTTTGTTCAGATCGAGAAGAAATGTTTCAGTTTTCGGGTGCATTTTCTAGTGTGTGTGTCCATAAGAGAAGTCTACTTCACACTAGCTCTTAGTTATATCCAATGATTAAATTATTGTTATATTTAACCTATACCTTTCCCCTCCCTTCACCACGAACGGGGTCCTCCATATCCGCCGATCCACAAGGGCTCCGCGAAACGTCAATGATTGAGAATCGCTGAATTAGCTAACTGATTAACAATATTTGCCTCTTTTCCAGTGGCTGCCCCTGCCACCAATTTGGCCACAGAGCTAAAAAAGCCTAATGCAAATTCCCTCTTTTTTTCTTCTTTTAATACCGGACAGGCTAAAAGAAACGGCCAGCATGCGCAAGTCTGGGCAGCGTGCCGTCACGTTACGCCACGACTCGACATCCAACTTTACTGGGGGGATCGGTGGTCGAGTGGGCTGAAGCGCACACCCAGCTCGACGCGCGTGGAGCGAAAGCTCACGCTGCAGAACCGAGGGATCCTGGGTTCGAGCCCCACCCCTGCCCGTTTCGATCTGGATGAGCATCGTACCGGCGTGAGGTCGTGTATCACTACTGCGTGGTGCACGTTAAAGACCCCAGGCTAGCGGTTGTACTGCACTGGCTAAATTGCTCATCTACAGTTTAAACCAGTGTCGCCCCTACTGGCAGACCAACCTTACGCTGTATAAATCACTCAAACGTCCAATTTGACTTTTTTTGACCCAACTTTACTGTCACGTGACTTAACAACGAGTCACGTGACTTAACACGAGCTTGTGCGGCCTGATGCACGTCACGGGGTCGCACAACCACGTCGCCCACATGACTGATGGTGGCGTCCTGCTAAATTCATCCGATGACGGCGTGGTATTGCTACAGCGACACCACTTCTACGCAAACCCACACCTAAAAATTGGGTCAACGCATTAGTAGGCACGTCTGAACTAGTGGTAACCCAAATTACGAGTCACAATATATATATATATTTTTTGTGAAGCTATTGGGTTTTTAAATTTGGTCTGCGAGGTTCTACTGGCAACAATGTGTACGGGTCGTCAAGTGTTGTAATACGAGGGGGGGGGGGGGGGGGGCGGCGGCGGGCAGAACAGCTTGTTCCCAAAAGGTTACAAGAAGTTTGATGGTGTGGAACGAATGCTGGGGAAACTCGCACTAGCAAAACAACAAATTTGAGCTCGCGATATACCGTGTTTCTTCTTCTGCCTGCTTGACTCGCAGGTTATACAACATGCAATGTCATCCCGCGGGAAAGCGCAAGAATATTTTTACGCCGCTTTTTGCTTAACCTTTATCTTTTGTTTTCTCAAGAACTATCTCGAATCTAGAGATAATAAACTGTGTCTTGAAAAGAGCAAAGGCCGGGCGTTCCAAAGAAATGTGTTTAGATGTGGTAGCTCGAAAAGTCTTTTTAAATGCATTCCGCATCAATGAGTCACTGTGGTGGCCTATCCAGGTCCCCCGGTGGGCGTTCCTGCTGTGCGCGCTGGGGCTCTTCGTGTACCAGACGTTAGATGCGTGCGACGGAAAGCAGGCGCGGAGGACGGGCACAAGCAGCCCCCTTGGGGAGCTCTTTGACCACGGCTGCGACTCCATCTCCACAGGTAGGCCACATTTCTTTTCTGCGGACGCGGACGTCGTGCGCTCTTGGGTGTTGGGAAGTGGCGTACGTTGTAGTCGCCACCGAGGTGGGGACGGCAGTGGGGAGCTTCGGCTCTCCCGCCTCTAGAGCGAGCTTTCCGACCTTCGACAACACCTCAATGTCTCGTGCACCTTGAGCGCGCAGCCTAGGCGTGCGCGGCAGAAGGCGTGGAGTGCGTCTGGAGGCTGGACGTCCGAAAGACGTGCCCCGTCGTTCTCGTTCTGTAGGTTACCATAGTAGGTGCGGGAATAGAAACAAAGGTTGTGGTCACGTTTGGTTCTTCTGTTTGATCGCGCTTGGTTATGCTTAGGGTTCCATGTTTTCGGAGTGTATTTTTCATCAAATTCAGAGGGTGTTTTTCGGAGTTTATTTTTTTGCCAAGAATTTGGAGCTTATTTTTGTTTGATTCCCAATTCTCCGAAATTCAGAGTTTAATTTCGCAGTGTTTCCTATTAAAAATAAATAAATAATATCCGGGTGCAAACGTATGCTAGACAAAAGAAAAAAAAATGTACTTGTATCAATTTATATTTTTTCCAGTTGGATTTGGTGTTGGTGCCATTACTACTGGCAATACTAATTTGTCCTACGGCAAAAGTTGCACACAAGTGTTGCTTCGATAAATGTGGATACTTTAAAATCAAGAAACTCTTAGAGGTAGTCGCTGGGACGCTTGTATTCATTCCATACTATTCCATCAATTCCATTTCCTTTCTAGCAAAAACATTTCACATTGTCCTCCTTTCATTTGTAACATCCACACACGAGATAAGAGTACGGAAAAAGATGCGTCTTATATCCAGATGAATGTGGCAGGTTTTCCTCTGACTTATGAAGTGTACAGCGACTCTTTGATGACAGACACACTCAGATTGTCATTGGCAGAAAAATAAAATAAAGGTCGGCACGGTTGCCACCATTCACGCGCAAAGCCACGCATGCTCGTCGGGAGGTTGCGGTGTGATCCTTGTCTGACCGTCGCTTCAGCCGTTGTCCGCCGTTCTCCACCCAGTGTTTGTGGCCCTGGCGGTGTGTATAGCGGTGAAGCTGGGCTACTACCCGTCCTGGATGTTCTTCCAGTGCTTCGTGGCCATTGCACTCTTTTACTGCGCCCATTGGCAGACGTACGTCTCTGGAAGCCTCCGCTTCGGAAAGTAAGCATTCCTTTTCTTTTGTCCGGTGCCGTCACGGCGTGCGGAATGCATCTCTGATCGGTGTGCGTAGCATTTAAACGCCTATGCGTCTAAGTGTCCCTGTAAAAGCAGCAATATTTGGTGCAAGGGCCCAAAGAAACACTGCCGATGCCAGAGGTCGGTCGTCGAAGCGACGACGGAGCAGATGAACTGGCATAGGTACGGCACGTCTCCGACCAGTGACATACCACACATCAAAAGTGGTCCCGAGCTGGGAACAAATGACGTCGCAGAAGCTGGAGTGTCGTGTTGTCGGATGTCGCGGTTCGGGTGGTCGGTGTCGAAGTCCCAATAAAAAGTATGAGCGAACGCGAGTGTCGAGGTCGTCGCATAGTCCCAGCCCCTGGCTGCCGAAGCCTCCGTGGGCTGTCAAGCTGGAGAGGGACTGGCACCAGAACAGGTATCTGTCCCATCCACCATTGTGGCTGTGACACTGCCGTTGAAAAAAAAAGGCTAGTTTTAGATTTTGTGACGTGCGAAACTTGTCGCAGCGAGGGGCGACGAACCGGAGAGACTGTCCTTCCCAGTCGGCAATGTTAGCTTATCTCCCACCATGACTAAGTAACACCATTTCTGCCGAGGTCACCTTGGGCCAGGGCCCTGCAATACCTAGAATTAAGCTAACTTTTGGTGTTTCTAAAGAAAAAAAAAGAAAAAGTACCAAAAATAGGGGGAAGGTCATCTCTCGGAATATTACGGTAGTTTGTTTTACTTTATTTGCAAGTGAAAGAGATGCTTCAAGCATGAGCATGTTGCCTCGCACTGCATGAGCCCGCTTGCTGAGTAGGGATGCTGAAAGCCAGGTGCTTGCTCTCATAGCTTCTGCTACACTCGCATTTACAAATATGGAAAATCTTTTTCAATTCCTCCTTTCCATTCGAGCAAGAGGGAGACCCTCCTCTCTGCGGGGAGTAGTCCAGAGACTCGCTCCTTTGGGGAGAGGAGGGTAGAAAAGTGTGAGAGGTAGTGAAGGGGGGAAGGAAAGTGGGAACCGGATTTTGTCCCGGCAGAAGACTATCCTGTTAGGCGAAATGGAGTATAGGCAGAAATTGAGCGGGCAAAACTAAGACGTCGTACCATGTTAATGTGATACGTTAGGCACCACTGTAGCGGTATATTTGCTGTATGCTTCAAGTTTCAGTAACCTTGGCCAACGTGCTCTTTGGAATTCCACGCAGGTTTGACGTAACGGAGGCGCAGTTTTCCGTGATGATCATTCATTTGGTATCTGCCATCTTTGGGCCTGGAGTTTGGGCAACACGGGTAAGCTTTTTGCGCGTGTGTGCACTTTTGGTGTCAGTTTTATCTTGGTGGAGTTTACTTTTTTTGTGCAAAGCTCTTGCATTTTTTTTAGTTTGTGCTAGCTTTTTGTTTTGTTTAAGACCACATAGTTTTCTGGGTTCTTTTTCTTTTCATTTTAATATTTTAGAAATTAAAAATGATTACTAGAACTTGTACAAGATATCGTAAGATACCAACCATGTTCCCATGTAACAGTAAGTGTCCAGCCACTACTTTTGAAACATTTTAAATGTAGGTAAAGGACATACAAAGTGCCCACTCCAGCAAAGTTCTGAGGCCAGCAAGCTAACCAAAGTGCTTGTTTGTGTTGGCTGGTCTTCCAAGAAGCCAGCTTTATGCACGTGCACCAGTGCAAGGCAGTGGAGCTTTCTGCACGTGCACTAGTGTGAAACGGTGAAGCTTGACATGAGAGCACCAGCACAAATAAGGTTTGACGAGGGCAGTACGGCTTCTTTCTAAATTTGTTGGTTTCACCAGACCCTTATTCTGCTTCTCTATAGTTCCATTAGGTCAAACATCCTATCTCATGCCCTTTATGCTTTTCTGCTCTTGGAGTTAGAAAGCATCCATACCTATATTTTTGTGCTTAGTTTAAACTTTTGTTTGGGTGCCTGATCGGCATATTGTGGTATGTTCAAGTGCAGTCTGATCTTTGATAATTTCACGATTCTTTCTGAAGGTATCTAGTGAAAACAATCTCTAGAATCTCTTTGAGACGGTGACCATCTATGACTATATTTGTCGGGTACCAGATTATGCTGATATTTTATGTATAGTGCGGATAAAAAAAGTATCCTTTGGTCTATTTCCCAACCTGCTGCCCTACCAAGATGTCCATGACCATAGTTGTCTGAAATAATATTGACTGTTTATTTGAGGATTGCAAGTGTAAAACATATTATATTCTTCGTAATACAGAAGGGTTTAAGAAATGATGTGGGAGTGGTATCTATGTGTTTCAAAGCTTCCACAGATGGGATGGGACTCTGTTTCATGTCCATGTAGGAGTCTGAGCGCTGCTATTGAAAGCGATTGACATGATACCGTGTCTTTATTGATCCCATCTTGTTTGTCTCCTCTCCAGTAGCTCACGGTGCACTAAAATTGAAAAATGTCCTACTTATAACAATATTTTTTCTAGCTCCTCTGTTTTTTGGCATTGTGCATTGTCTCGGTCAGGACGGCAGTTCCGCGTCGCTTCAGCTTAAGACACGCCGACACGTCCCGACTCGACCAAGGATTCGCCCACAGGACTTCTTTCCGGCTGGGTCGTCTGCCTTTCGGAGAGCGCGTTCGGTCTAAATACCGCCCTCCCGCAGATGCCCCCGTTGGGTCTCCCGCTCAAGTTCCTGCCCCTGATTTTGGGCGTGTCCGCAGCTGCGGTCGCCCTCTGCAGCTACGTCGGCATCATCTTCACCGGCGGCGTGGGCAAGAACGGCTCGTCCGTGGCCGTAAGTGGCCCTCGTCCCAGCGCCCTCGGATCCACGCCGGCAGAGCGTCAAAAGTCGGAAGAGTCGCCGCGTCGCGACGCCGCAGCCGCCACACTAAACGCCGCCGGACGTCTTCCGTAATCCCGACGTTAACACGCCCTGCTTCATCTGCTGCCCTTTCGTTTTTTGACACCCCCGTCTGCTGAGTCTCCGGTCTGACTTCGTTGTCTGTGAGGGACGTCTTCGGCGGCTCTCGTCGGCGTCGTCCGTCGTCTCCACTCACATTTTTTAATCCTTGTCCACTGGTCTGTCGGCGTTTCGTAGGTGAGGCCTTTGCATGCTAGAGGTTGTGGGACTCCACGAGTGCCTCGGGTCCGTCAGGTCTTCTCGGAACGGTGCCGCTGTGGATTGACTTCCGGCTCTGGAATGGATGGGCAGATTGGCGTCGTCATTTAGGTGGAAGCCTGTCTGCTTTCGACCCGTTGAGAGCCAGAAGTGGACCATGTGCCACCGATCTGACTTTTTTACATGCGTGTGGTAGCGACACTTTCTTGATAAGAAAGCCAGAGCGCTGGATATTTTATGCCTACGGGAGGTCAGCACGGGGCACAGGTTAGACTCTGGGACTTTTTAAGAATGCCAAATAATGAATTGCACATCAAGGAGCGTGATCATAATAGTCCTCACCCCGCGTCTCTTGCGCTCTTAGTAATCATAGGTGCTATTGGAAATCCAGCACTCTGGCATTGTTATTTAAAAAGTGTTGATGACATCCCGACCTGCCAAACTAACCCTCGCACCCTTCTCTTCTTTTCCTCTGCTTCCTCTCTCAACTACACACATGCGCTTCCGGCCCCGCTTGGATCGAACAAACGAAAATACGGCAGCTGCCCATGCTGAATGTGGAGCTGAGGCTGGTCCCAGTGGCGGTGGCGCTGTCGGTGTCCCTCATCATGTGCTACACGGACATCGCCGTCATTCTCTCGGGCGGGGTCGGGAAAAACGGGTCGACGGTTGCCGTAAGTCGTGGCGCATTGTTCGCTCGGGACGTCGCGGGGAGGCCCCTTGCGGGAAACGCAGCTCATGGGGACAAAGGCAACGTGGCCCGTTGGCCGGCACCTTATCTCGGCAACCATTTTTTTTAGAGCAATAAAAGCGAAGTTGTTTATCGGGTGTCCCCTAGAAAAATGTACCGTGTTCTCCGAAAAAAACTTACCGTGTTTCTTTCACTGTAAAGAAAAACTCTGCACCGCCAAACACTTTCAGAAGTTTTGGAGCTTGCCTTTGTCTCGTTAAAAAGATACAATCAGTTTTCGAAAATTTTCAGTTGGAGAAAGAATGGCCGACGAAGAGCACGAATACATGGAGATGAGTGGCGTCGGCTACCGGGAAACGACCCCATTTTCTCTCAGAAAGTTTGAGATAATAGCTCGTAACTTCTTAATGAGGTACTAATAATAAATTCTGAAAGCTTGGCGTCTGGTCCTAGTTGCTAGCATGACATTTAGGTGGAGCCTGTGCGTTTGGGGATGCATAGTTTGTTTTTGCAATGAAAGAAATATTGCACACTTTTTTTGGGGGGTGGGGAAAGGAGTGATGGGTGACACGCCGTGCATGCCACAGGGCTGCTGTATGCTTAAAGTGCGGGAAATTAGGGCTTGTGTAGTTTCTGACGACTTCGAAACGGCAGGACATTGTAATTGCTCTACGCAAGTTTAAGAACTGGTTTTCGTAATCGTTTTCCGCTCCGATGACCCACGCTTTTCCGGGTGCTAGCAGTCTCGCAAGCGTGCATTCCTCTTCATGTGAATGGGTGGAATAGGTATCAGATTATTTGCAGCATGACTGCTTTGGCTCACTGAGTCCATATTTCGGTCTCTTGCTTTGTGAACTAGTGCAATCTCTTGCGGTTTAAAGGTTGCCAGTGATTATAAGTTAAGCTATTTTTTGTGGCGATGTTAAATGTATTGTAATATTCGCTTGAACGATGGTGCTATGTCTGTGAGCTGGGTTTCCTGCATCAACCTCTGGTGTATTTGTTGTGCAGCTGTTGTTTCCTCTAACACACAACTCTTGATGTGATTGCATGTGGAGTTCTTATGTTTACATACAGATGCATGAATCTTGTAAGAACTAATGGTTATGGTTAATTTTCATCTAATGCAACAGAGCTATATTAAATGAAAACTTGGTTAGTGTTAGCACAGCTTGCACTAATGTAACCCCAGTAATTAGTGCACTTAGGGTTATAGCTAGCATAATTGTATATATGAGCAAGCCCATTTTTTTCTGTAACTGGTAACAGCAGTGTTTGAAGTAATTAACTTTTTACCAGTACACAAACCTGAGGATCAAGATTATGAACATTGTTTAAAACTAATGTCACGTATTGCAGATACTTGTTCTGTAAAAATTAAGCTTAATACATTTTAGGACTTCCATTACATTAAGACCATGTCACTGTTCCCTGTTTATCCCCTTAATTCTTTTGTCCTTCGAGAGGAGCGGTCTGCTCCAGAAGTGAAGCAAGCATTAAAGAAATCTTGCAGATGAGTGACAGCTACTAACTAGGCTTGACAAATAATTTATGAAGAAAGAGAAAAAAATGCAGGCAAGCTGGTGAACGATATTCATAGTAAACTCAAAACAGGAATAATAATAATATTAATAAGAAAAAAAAAGTTTTAGCTTTTCTAGCTGTGTTCTAGACTTCATTGTTCTGTCTGTTTTTTTAAATTGTTCCTCTGTCTCGTGTTTACTATAATCTCTAAATAAAAAAAAATATATACATATTTTTAATTTAATTTATTTATTTATTTAACAAATTTTTCATGGTCTCGCAGAAATGCACGTCAGCCTTTCCAATTCGTAGGCAAACATCAATTTTTGTTTGCAACTTTTTCATTCTATCTACGCAGACTCTTAAAGCCATATGTGACAAATGCACCAGGGGGACACACATCTGCAAGACATTCCCTTCCCTCGAACAGTGTACCCCTGCAATTCAAATCCATTCTTAATCTTGCCTGGCTCCTGGAGCCACGAGGCACATAAAATCAGACACTCGAGCAATGGCAACGTTTTCCGTGACCCGGCTAGTCGGGCAATTGTTCCCGTCCGAAGCGTATAGGCCGTTAACGGTTTGACGTCACATCGGCAGGGCACGAGCGTGCTCTCCCCCAGCATCCCCATCGCCCTGGTGGTGGTGCCGGCCTTCATCATCTATCAGAAGTCGACGACCAGCATCTACGAGAACCACCCGTGTCTCTACATCATCGCCTTCGGCATGGTGGCGGCCAAGGTCACCAACAGGCTGGTGGTGCGTGCCCCCTCCTCCTCCTGCTTAGGCTGTGAACGTACAGTCGCCATTGTTTTTCACATACCGCTTTAAAGCAGGGGCAGCGGGCCGAATCTCGGCAAAGCGGAGACTGAGCGGACCGGACTTAGAAACAGAAATAATCTATAAAAATAAGTCTAAAAAAAAAAAGCCTACTAAAAGTGAGATGCAAAGATGCTCTCTTAATTCAGGCACACGTGACATAAGTCTGCTCGAGCCCCCCTCTCGATAAGATTTCGTGTGTCCAACATTGCTTGCCGCGATGCAAACGTTTACATTAAAACTCTTAACTGAAAGTCTTAAAGCATTTCGGAGGTGGTCGTCTGTCGTTCGCAAGACTTATGTTTGGCTCCACGGTCTTCGTCTTTAAAAAGTATGTTCGCAGATATATGCGCGCCGTAGAAAACACTTCGTTTGAGGCTGTCGCGAAATTTGTAGGTTTGAAAACTTTAATTCAGGGAGTTAGGCAGAAAACTTGACGAAGTCGTTCGCTGCAAATGCATTTGCCGATTGTTTTCTGTTTGAGAACCAGCTGATCAGCAAACTCTCATCTGGCAAATCTCTCGAACTTGTTCGGGGTTAAAACATAGATTATAGCGGGTTTGCAACCAAACATACCCCTGGAAGAGGGCTTTTCTTGGGGGCCAGGGTCATTTTTGATGGCATGCGGGGGGCTGCGCAATATTGCCTCATGTGCCGGATGGGGCCCGTGGGCCGCCGATTGCAGACTGCTGCTTTAAAAACCCGAGGGATCCCTGTATGGGTAAAATGGAAAATAGATGCCGACATCTTGTTTGGGCTAAATGTAAAGCTCTCTGCAGTACTTGCATCCAAGACAAACAGTGACTGGTTTGGATTACGACCGGTGCGGCTCTTACTAAGATGCAACATTGGCAATACACTGTAGTTGCTAGATCCTGCGATAGCGCTAGTGACTTTATCATACAATCAACAATGGTTAAGCTTCTAGTTTCTCCTATACAGATATCGTAAAATACCGGGCAAGCGCCCACTCAAACTTTGGAGATAATTGCTTAAAAATGGGGTATGGGCGCTTGTCCGGTCATCCGTTTTTACATATAAATGTACTGTGCGTATTTTCTCAGATCTTACAAATTTGGGAATGGGCGCTTAGCGTGGAATGGGCGGATGCACGGCATTCTACGGTAGGCGCATAACTGCATCGGTGTTGCTTGTTTGATTATGACAAATCGGAGCGGTCGAAGCGAGGGAATATCACTTTCCCAGACAATATGCCGAGTCAAGTCGGCTTATAAGGTGGAAGTCGGTTGGGCATAATAATGTTTCTTTCCTTCTTTTTTTTTTTCGTCCGGATTTACACAGGTGGCTCACATGTGTCGAAGTGAGATGGACTACATGGACTCGATACTGATTGGTCCGGGTATGCTCTTTCTCAACCAGTACTTCAACACCTTCATCAACGAGTATGTCATCCTCTGGATATGTCTGGTGAGTGCTGCAACAAAGAAAGCTGGATTCCTGCTTCGTACACAGCCTCTCTGTAATGAGGACTGATCTAGTAAAACTGTGCATCTTAATGTTTCTTGAAAAAGAAAAACGAAATGTCTGCTATTTTATTATACAGGTACTGTATTGTTGGTATAACCTAACAGTGCTGTGGTATAACCTAACATCGTCCAAATCAGAGTATTCTCTTCACTTTGAAGACTGATGTAGGAAAACTATTTATCCAGAAGCGAAGCAAAGTTATGGTCAATTTGAGACAATGGCATGAAGAGTTAAGGTGCTTGTGTTGTCAATGGCGTTAATGTAAAAGTGAACATCGTCTACATTAAAGTTTCGAGCGCAGTTAGAACGGCTTCAGACGTCGGGTGCCGTAACTCTTAATGAACTACATTTGCAAAGGGTGGTTGCGTATCGCAAGGTTGCACAGAGGCACGTCCAAATGTAGTTGGCATTATGCACATTCCAGAACTACACATTCGTGAAAGGAATGCATTGTGGTGTGACGTAGCAGGGTAAAGGCTCGTTCACACAGTCACATTTGGCCGAGTCGAGACTGCTTGCATTGAGCTGTTACCATGGCGACCGTTAGGACGAGCCAATGGGGAGGTGCTGTGCAGCACGACGCAACATAGTCGCCGCAGCTGCGTGAATGAGTCTTAATGCAGTGCCGTGGCACAGCGGTGCTGTGCAGCAGTGTGATGCGGCAATGTGCTTTCCCATCTCGTCGCGTGCAGGTCTACTCCGCGGCGGACCTGCTCCACTACTGCACGATAGTGTGCAACCAGATCTGCGGACACCTGCAGATCCCCCTGCTGCGAATTGCGCCAAAGTTTCCCCCCAGCCTGGTGGACCGATCCCCTCCAAACCCGTCGCCTGGTCAGTCGGCTTGACTACTTGGTTGCGGGACTCAGTGCATCTGCGCTTCTATGCGCACGTCGATTAGCGTACAAATCGAGACATACCATATTTTTGGCCTGCAAGTTGCACTCCCCTACAAACGACCGTTTTCGCAACAAATTTCGTAAAGTTGCAATTCTACATTTTGTACGGTCGGCACATCGAAGCTGCATCGGTGAGCTCGCATATACGTATTGCGATCTCAATATATACTCGCAGGCAGGAGTCAGTTCTAACATTTGTCGACGATTCGAACGAGGAACATAACCCTTGCAGCAAATTTGTGCAGTTAAGGTCGATACTCTGATGAAATCGATGCATACAAGTTGCGCCGTTGCATAACACGTGCCAATATAAATTTGATTAAAAAAAATGAGACTTGTACGTTGGAAAACCCGCTAAATATTTCTGCATCTCGAAATGGTTCACTCTCTAAAGGCTAGTTCACATATTTTGCGTTCAAGCGCAATCGACTGCATCGCAACCGTTTGCGACATCTTACGAGAGGACCGTGTGGCGTCGTCTGTCGGCTAGCTGCGGAACGCTTCCGATATACGGATATATTATGCGTCAATCTTTCTCCATACACTCAAAATAATTCCGACAGTTAAAAGTAGCCTGTTTCTCATAGGCAGTCTATTGATTTTATCTCACAGATACTGCGAAACCTTCGGTCTAGTTATGTACAATAATCGGAGGTGTTTCCGGGGCGACCCGGCAGACAGCGCCGGTGTTTTCTCTCGTCTCGGGCTGTCCCGAGTGGTTCCAACGGAGTCAGTCGCACTCTGGAGCAAGTGTGTGGACCAGCCTTAACCCATACCATCGATGCAATGATTGCAGTTGACCAAGTGCGGTGCAGGTTGATGATGCTTTACATTGAGCGGGGCAAAGCCGTGGCGCTGGTTTACCCCATGCGCCATATGACCGTGGTTCGAGAGTGGCAATCCAACCCCAAACAGCTAGCTTAAAAAAAAAAAAAAAACTGCCGCCCACACTTTTGTTACATTGTGTGGTGCCAAAAAGAGAGGTGTTAAATTTTATTACGGCGGAGCTGTTAAGGGCTAGTTTCCCCAGTATTGTGTCCGCGGGCAATCAAATGTCGACACAGAACCCTGGACAGCTACCGGCATCTATGAGCGACGGCGGTAGCCAGACAACCGGCTCGCCGGTTGTCTGGTTCCTGCCGTCGCTCATGAATGGTGGCAACCTTTTCAGCCTTTCCACTCTGGTTTTCACCGGAGTGGAAAGGCTGAATTTCTCTAGACGTTGTCATAGAAATCGTCCTCGGGGATGTCCTAGAAGTCGTCCTAGAAGTCGTCCTTGACGTCGTACCAGAGGCCGTCCTAGGTATCGTCCTCTAGGCGTCGTCCTCAAGGTCGTCCTGGAAGTCGTCCCTGAGGTCTTCCTAAACGTCGTCCTTGAGGTCATCCTAGACGTTGTCCTCCAGGCGTCGTCCTTGAGGTCGTCCTAGACGTCGTCCTCTAGGCATCATTTTGGACGTAAAGAGAACAGCTTTGCTGGTCCTCCATCTTCATGTCAAGTAGAAGAGCTCTACATTTTTTTTTTTTTTTTTCAGGTTTAGAATTTGATTTTGATACAACTATTTGAAGGATAGTGCAGGACTAAGTGTTAGTGGCATGAGAAAAAAAATGTCTCGTTGCTTTTATTGATTATAGTCAGTGATGGGCTAAGAATTTAATAGAAACTCTGCCTCCAGCTCATGCTAGGTGCGTTCCGCCAGGCTCCGCCAGGCTTTGGTGGCACGTGCGACAAAGCGATATCCAAGGCAGAAAGCTCGCGCTGGAGGCGGAGCATCCACTGAATTCTTAACTCGTCACCAACTGTGGCATCTGGTCCAAAGGTTTGCTGTAGCAGGTGCATTGCATTCGCTTCTTGACTGCGTTTGGAGACCAGTGTAAGGAGCATGTGAAAGGCTAAGGCTACAAACTAGAAAACTGTAGGGTGCAACTGCAGACTCTTGGATGAGTGTGAAAGGTCTTCACCCTGCCTCGAGGATGCTGCTCTTTGCCTATCAACTGCAAGCCCTCTCTCTTTTTCTTCTTTTTTTTTTTTTACCTCGGCATTTAATGTGCGTGACAGTATGGCGCAATTTTTTGCAGAGTACAGTGCGGTATAAGGTTTGTTAGCCTCGAAAGAGGTGTCTCCAGTGTTGGGCAAAGTGCTGAAATCCTGTTCCAATGTGGCACATAAAGAATGGTTGCCATCTTTCTTTGTAATGTGTTGGTACGGTGTCTCTATGTTTCAATAAGGCCACTTGCCTGGTATGCTTGTGGTCCCCTCCCCCTCCTAGAATGCTTAGAAGGTGTGCGGCACTTCCACGAAGCTTTCGGTTCCAACCAATTTAGCTTTTGTTTTGCGATGACCGCTATAAAACAGCTGCCCCATTTTTTGGCCTCGAGCCAAATTCTTTCCAGTTTTGTGAAAAAGAAAAGAAAACCGCATGTAATTCGTTAATCATGTTAATTTCCCGGCACATGTTCTTTAAGTTTGGCAGCTATTGCCACAGTACACTATAGTTTTGCGGCTAATTCATTGTGTTCGACTGCAGGTATAGAGGTGCACGGAAGGCCAGGGGCGGATTTAGAGGGGGGGGTCCGGATGTCCTGACCCCCCTCTTGATTTCTGCATGTGTAAAATCTAGGGTGGGAAACGGGAGAGGGGGAAGGGGTTCCTAAACATATGGCACGCTGACCAACAGCTGACCCCCTCCTTAGGAAATTCCTGTATCCGCCTCTGGGGAAGGCCCTGTTCTTTCACCGTTTTCGGCACAACCATAGTGCAGAGAAGACGTACCATCCCCCGCTATTCTTCCAAAGCGTTAGAAATAAGACAGTCGAGCTCAATTTTTCTGTAGTTACTGACAGAATGAGAACGACGAGGCCAACTTCCGAACGCCCGGCCTCCAACATGCGCTCCATACAATTGGCCGTCCCTTGGCCGCACGTGCGCGCTCGAGGCACATGAGACGCCGATGCCTTGTTGAAGGAGGAAAGTTTGCAATGGAGGCAGGATGACTGGACCTTCCTCTCGTCCTCACCTTGTCGGCAGCTATGGTCGAAATTGCAGGTATTCTGCATTCAAAAGAATTAACGAGAGCCAGGATTGATTCGGTGTGTCCCCCCTCACCCCTCCCCTCCCCAAGATTGTGTCATGAGGGGATCGAGGGGGAAATGTTAGGCGGCGCCGACGACACAGAAACGCGATTCGTTGCAAGTGGAGCACGCACGCTGATAGAGCATGGACTCTGTTCATCCCGTGTGAGTGTGTGTTTGTTTTTCCTCTCACGAGTGCCATCTTTAAAAGCCGTTAGTCATTCGTTCGGTGTCCGTCTGTATTCTGTCTCATCGTAGCTTGGCAGACGGTGAAGGCTATGGCCCCGGTGAGCCAATTTGCCGCAGAGAGAGACGTGCGACAAGACCCTGTCCCGCTTTTCTGTGCATTTTAAGTGACGGGCTAATCTCGGAGACGGACAAAACGGACGTTCAAGACACAGAAGAGGGTTTGGATAAGAGAGGAGTTCCTCCTTTCTCTCTTCTCCAATCACCTGGGTTAGGCTCTTGCCCCTGTACCTTTGGTAAGGGCTGTCGCCTGCTTTGCCTCCATCACTCATTCGCCCAAAGGGACCATAGCATTGGCTCTCTGCGATGTTGCGGTGAAACAAAGTATGCCGTTTTCATCAGGTCCATTATCTGCCCCTGCAGAGCCACAAGTTTCGCCGGTCTGCAACATACCTTTACGAAAGAAGGCTCGTAGACAAGCTCACTTGCGAAATAGACTGGCAAAGCTTATTGATTGTTGAGACACTGTCGTAGCTTTTAATGTAGTCCGGGCTAACTAAAAGCTGAGCAGGAGTGGGCTCTGCGTTTACCGGTGGCACCACTGAACGTGCAAACCGTCACCGACATTATTACGCGAAATCACACTAACGACTATGCCAATACTCGGGGGAGAAGGTTGTGTGGCCCTAATTTAGTTCTTTCACGTTTCTAGGTCACTGACATAAAGGGGTGGTAAGTTCGGTTCAATTTGTCTTTTTTTCCCGGGGACTGGCATCACTCACATGCTTACCGTCTCATTTCGAACACACGGTGTCGGGCTGATGCAGCATTATACTGCCGGTGTTTTGTGGTCTGGGTGTGAATGTGAAATGCATTGCTCTGCCTTCTCTTCTTATGCTTTAATTGCGATGGAGCGCTTTTAATTGTCGCACAATTATGTATGTGTTGATGCAGCCTGGGTATACATGCTTGCATGCTATTCTTTCCTGGTTCTTTTTAGGCTAGGTTACAGAAGGAATGTTTACCTAGTGAATAGAATAGCAGTAATTCTTCAGGCAAATGTAACAATTGGTCGAACCATTCTCTTCGTTGCCTCGGATTGTTTGGGGTCTAATGGTTTTGCAGTGGGTTGTCCAAATAGCAAGTCGGGTCAACTTTAAACATTAAATCCAATGTAATGCTTGGAAGTCTCCTCCCCATCCTCCCCCTTGTGGACAAGAAAAGTTTGCTTTGACCTTAGTATAGCTTGAGACGAATAGTTGTTTTTTTATCCCTTGCGTTAGTCCAACGCTTGCGCAAACATTTTAGAAAAGGTGACTTAATAGTTTGAAGAACTGTTAACAAATCATCCTAAAGAGAAAAAAATAAAATAATAATACTCATTGAGATTAAGGGTCTAGCACAAACGTTCAAGGCGAATATGACTGACGTTAGCGGCGGAAGTCTTTCGGTGGCTGGTTAGACACGTCTGGTGACGCTGTTGGCTCGTCAGTTGATCTTTGTGTGTCTGGTGATGGAGACATCGAATCTAGGGTTCAACCGCAGCCGACGCCACAACTGGAAGGAGCCAATCAAGCAGTGCCAAAAGTGCACAGTCACGGCACTCGTCTCTGCTTATTTACCATTCCCGGCTGAACCAGTCGCACACAGCGAACGCCCGGCGATCCCGTGTCTTTTTTCTGCGCACGATTGGTTCGGCTGAAAAGAGAAAGCGCAAGGTGACGACAAGCACGGCGAAGACTCACTTTTTCCGCCGCTCGATTGGCCCCGTCGAATCGTAGCATTGGCTGTGGTCGGATTTAATGCGAATCGGAGTATTGTTGATTCCTCTTTAGTGGCTCTTGGACACGAACAACACGGCAGGCCTTTTTTTTTTTCTTGTTATAGACGTGCGCCGCCCAACATCTCTTCTGCAACCCCACCGCTTGCGCTCTTGACAAGAGAATGGGACGCCACGTTGACACGCATTGTGGCACACCGCATCCGCAGTGCCGCTTCTCGACCCTCGGCAAGGCGGGTTCGGCGGCGGCGAGAGACGACAACGCACCAGACTGCGAAAGTGACCGACGCCACGGAAGATCGAAGAGAGTGTCGTCGACTCTATCGTGAAAGCGAGACGGGCAAACCGTTTGTCGCAGACGTTGACTTTTCATTTCCCTGGCTGTGCAAAACGGACTCAAATTCGTCCCTTTCCGTCCTGATGGGCGGAAAATGTGTCGTACGGTTCAACCTTGCATTTGGCGGAAGAGAGTGAGGGACAGTGCTCAATGTGTGTAGTTTGTGGCCAGTTGCAAAGGTGTTGCAGTTGGTAGACTAGAGACTGTCTGCATTTTCTTTGAAAAGAAAAAAAAAGCAGTTTCATTTATTCTTTTTTTTTTTGTCACTTTATTTGGTTTTTGATGTGATGCAGTAGTGTGTTGACTATAAAACTCTTTCAAAGAGAGCAGAACGAGACTCTGTTCTTGGTTTGAGATTACGCATCAAAAACAAATGCTTTTTTTTGTCTTTTCTTGCTTACGCGTGAATATGTTCTCGTTTCGCAAGACACTTGTGAACCGCAGGTATCTTTGGCGAGACTGCGCCGATACTTGTAAGGGTTGTTTTAGGATTTTACTTCGCGAGGTAAACAAAGTTGTGTCTCCCTCTAGCGAACAGAGGAACAAAACTGTGACAGCATTTGTAGCCGTTTTTTTCTTTTTAGTTTGCCAAAAATAAAGGGAAAGAGGTTAAGATATGCTAGGAGCCTGCATTCCCATGCCACAGTTGTGGAGTAGAAGTGATGGATTGTTTTAACTGTGTGAGAAGTCTGTGGGTAGGGCTGCATAGAGGTTGCCATAGTAAAGAGACCCATCAGTGTGGCAGCGAGTTCAAATGTCATTGTGCCGCTGCCAGGCCCTTGTATATTTTATCACTCTTCGCGTAGCGCGAGTTTTCATTTGTGAAGGCTCTTCGGTGTGTGCCCACCCAGTCAAAGTGTGAGATTTTGTAGGAGAGGAAATAAAAGTCTAAGGTTGTTCCTATCCGGCTCGACTCGTTTCTTTGGTGAAGACACTTAATGTTGATCTGCTCCACACCTTGTAAGCACCCCTTGCTCGAAGGACGCTATCGTGGATTGCGCGCAAAGGCAAGTACAGTTATCATTAGCTCATTTCAATTCCTGCCAGGTTTTGAGCAGAATAGCGCCACCCAAAAGAAGGTTTCGTGGCACCTCTACACTAATCACCGCATCTATTCATAGTTAATGAACGTGGCAATTTTTGTAGCACCTCTATTTGTCTCTCGTTGCTATGAGCAGCATTCTCTCCAACACCGAAAGATCGCCACACTTTCACTTGGGTTACCGATACTGCTGGTACATATAGGTTTACCTTTACTCAAAAAGACTATGTCTTTACCGATGGACGTACCAACCGGGGGGGGGGGCAAGGGGGGCACTTGCCCCCCCAGTTCTCTGAGTGAAAGGGTAAGGCATGGTGTTTTGCCCTTTCTGAAACAGTCGCCACTGAGCAGGGCAAACACAGGCGGGCGGCGCTCATGGGATACCAAGGGCACCGCCCCCCGGCACGGGGGGGGGGGGGGCTCGTTTGCCCTCCCCATTCAAAAACAAGTTGGTATGCCACTGTCTTTACCACATATCCTTAAGAACGTGCTCTCCGTGAAGCAGGACAAAATATAATAATTTAAAAAGTAGCAGCATTTTCTTTTTTTTTTTTACTGCAGCCAGATACGTGCTTAGAGCGCTGAGGCAATCGCCAAAAGACTAGCACAATATGTCGAGTGGGTTGTTCACGAACTGGTGGGTGCAAGAATGTGCACGCACGTTGCCTCCCACGTAGTGGCGCATACCTCCCTTCTGGTATCGCTGCGCTAACGCCCTTTTCTGCGCACAAGCTGCATACCCATTCTACTTCCTCTGTTCTATCGCGTGCAATGCCAGCCCGTTCGCAACACTCATTTTACGCCGCGTTCCACGTCTCGTTTCAGGGGCTGAGGAAGCGTGCGACCTGCTGACCAGCGAGGAGCCTCCGCCCTATGAGGAGGTCCTTCCGGAACCAGAAGCCACCGTCCGCACCTGATCTCCGACTAGCGAATGTCCGCCCCCTACGTCTTCCTTCCCTCGAGCAGAGAAATTTGTCCGCTCTCGCCTCAGATGCGCGTTATTTATGGCCCTCATTACTTTCGGTCTACGGTGTCCGCAACACGTCTCCGACCCGTTGTGTTTACCACGGCCTCGAATGCGGTCACCTGACCTCCCGAGGGCGTTGCAGAAGTGTTTTGCTGTTGCCTGCCTTGGTCCTGGCGGTAGTACAGCAGCAGAGGAGGAGAAATACGGCATGCTCCCATTCTGCTCCGGGTCGCTTTCCAGCTTGACACTCCGCGGAAGCTTTAGAAGCCAGGAGTTGGGATGTCGCGATGACAGTGGCACTCGCCTTCGCTCGTACTTTCTGCCGGATCTTCTACTACCGAATGCCAGGAGTGCGACATCGGACAGCAGGACACCAGCTTGTGCGACGTCATTCGTAGCCACCTCTGGGCCTCTTTTGATGCACAAGGTGGCATGGGGCACCGAACACACCAGCCGGGGACGCGTTGGGGGCACCGTAGTTAAGGGTGCTCTGAATCCGAGATGTTGCCGTGCGCCGCGAGTCTGCGCACGTCTTGTATGTGTTCCTAGGTTCTGTACCTTTAGTTTCGAATGAACGATGCGAGTGCAAGATCTGTATTTGCTTTTTGTGCCAAGAGCCGACTTAGTTTCTTCGGTGGCAGCCCTAGAAGAAGACTAAGCGAGCTGGCGGCGTTACTTTCGTACGGGTTTACGTCTACGGTGTGCTGACCTGCCCCTGAGAATCCGTTCCTCCCGTCTTTGTTGTAGAGCTTTCTCCAGCCCTTTTGTTCTTTGTTCTGGACAGGGTGCCAACTGGAATAAACTGCATTTAGACCACAGTTGTCTGGAATGGTATTGAAGCAACTTTGCACTATTTTTGCCACTGTACAAGCACAAATTTTTGTTTGTTCACTTTAAGGTGCAACTTTGTTTATATTTGACGGTGGGCAATCTATACTTTTACTTCTGCCTACAAGCTTCACGAGTTTGATTCATTGACAATTTGGATGATTTCAGGCAGATATGTTAATCAAGTGATGGTAGATACTTCATGTAAGCTGTTTATCCTAGCTTAAAAAGACAAAAGAACTAAAATAGGCAGCATGAAATGATGCATTTAATAATGAGCTTATTTGGATATACTTGCAAATGGTACTATGTATATACAAACTGTCAGTGACTTATGACATGATCACCTAAGGACATTGACACAAAATAGATGCATCAGAAGCCTGTTGCTAGCATGTTTTTGGCAGCAACATAAATACACCCTGTTCAAACCTCATGATAATGCAAGAATGTGCTGACCTTGCTTTGAACACACAAGCATCTGCAATCGGTGGCATACAAGTAGGAGTTGGTGACTTGTAGCTCTTCAGATTGCAACTGCGCAGTATCACATTCCATGACACTTAATCATCCCACGTCGCCACGTGGAGGGCTCTGGGCGCGAGTAGTTGAGTGTGAAACGCTGACCCATAGCGCCTCCAGCGGCTCCCACTTCATCTTCTGGAATCGCTGGTCGAGGAACTCCGTCTGCACGGCGAGGTGCTCCAAGCGGCGCCGGGCGCGTTCCAGTGGCGGACTTCGTGCGCTGCTGATGCTTGTGCTCTTGTCGTTACTTTGTTGGAGATCGCTGCAGAGACGGGTATTGGATAAGGATGATGTACGATATCGTCACCACAGGGGAACTTCAAGTACCTTTAAGGCCATTTCACACATACAATGTAGCACTAAGGAAATACTAGGAACAGCGCTGACTTGAGCACAACTGAACATTGATGCAGAACTGCCTCAGCACTGTATCGCTAATGTAGTGCACAGTCAATATTGCGTTGGCAAGATCAGTGCTACTTCCAGCGCTGACTAATAGCACTGAGGTAGCACTGTAGTATCTGTGCAAATAGGCCTTTATATGAAGTGCAGATAAAGAGTCGCCAAATTGGCTCCTCGCGCCGGCTTTTCAAATTTCATTGTGGTGTGTGCTGGTCTTGTGATTCTCTAATCGCCTTTCGTCTTTAGGATGCTGATGCTACAGACGCAGAACATAAGACATCTAAAACTTCCTCCTCAAGCATCCAACCTAAGAACTTTCGGCAGTTTGATACTTAAGACCCATGTTCCGGACTAAAAACAAAAGGCGCGGGATGGCCAAAAACACTCGTTCCATGTAAGGCTCTTCAAATTATGAGGTTTGGAGCAAACCAGCCTTCTGCGTTTAGTCCTTATTTCGAACTCTCTGTTCGCGTTCCACCCATTGAAAAGCATGCGGTAAGTGCCTCGGCACTCGTCTCGTATCGCTGCACTGCAGTGTTCTTCTGCAGCATAAAGGCCATCTGCTTTCATTGCCGTCACCATAGCAACGAACGCCTAATGACCTTTTCGAACTGCGCTTGTATCGCTGGGGAGCATGTTAACCCATGTTCACGCTGCCTTGCGGTGACAGTCTGCGGCTGCTCACTACAAAACTATTAAACTTTGGCTAGCAGACAGCGTTCTGAAAATGGCGTTGGCTGTTGCTGGCTTCACGTGGCGGTACCGTGCGTGCTTCCATTCATTCGGTGTTCGTTGCCATAGTGACGGTAATGAAAGCAGACGGCCTTTACGCAGTGGAAGACCACTGTGGCGCGACGATACGAGGTGCGTGCTGAGGCCCTTTCTGCATGCTTTTCAATGGGTGGAACACAAACAAAAAGCATTAGAAATAAGGACTTAACGCAGAAGGGTGGTTTTCTCCAGCGCCTCATAATTTGATAAGCCTTACACGAAAAGCATGTTTTTAGACTGGAGTTTGGAGATAGTTTTTTTTTTTTTTATAACAATTAACATGGATCTAAAGTGTCAATGTGCCGAACTTTCATCTTTAAGTTGGTCAAATCCAAAGGAACCCACTTTTGGGTTCAATCGAGAGTATGTGGAAGTTCTAACTACTGTTAAGTTTCAGGCAAAAGAAATCGGTCGTAAATTAAACAGAACAAGATTTCCTGCGTTGCACTCCAGATTTCTAAATGAATGTGGCTCCTTTAGAAACAAAAGGAGCTCTTCAATTTTTTGCTTTTATTGTAGAGTGAACTTGCCTGGAGGTAGTAAGAGTGCTGGGACCTTGTCTTGAGCTTTCGGCATCCACACTGCTAACTGCCGTAAGCACTGACAGATGGTGCATTGACTGAAATTGGAAAAAGAAACACTTGTTTGTCATAAGTGATTGAAAAACCAACGGATTCCAGAATTGAAGAATGTTATATGGTGGCTTGATAATTTTTGGTTGACAACTGAGTTATGGCTTTTAAGACTACTAGTACAAGGTCAAATTTGGTTACTGGGTGTCTACTCTGTGTGGGTGGGTCTCAACTGTCCACACCTGTCACCTCAAGAATGCTGAACTATCGCGTGAGTAGTTCTTTATTTATATATTAGATCTTGTCAATAACTTTACAGAGGTTGTTTAGAACAAAACACTAAATCCTACAACCTGCTAACAGATGTGAAATAATGTAGCGCAATATGGTCACCAATAAGTGCAGGGGACAATTTTTAATAAGTACCAAACTGCACATTCATTAGCAAAATTGCAAGTAGTAGAAGCAATACAGGTACTACTATTAGGCACAGACATCAAGCATATTTATTAAACAAAGCAAATGGCAATTTAGAAAAACATTTTCCAATTTCTTTGGGAATTTTATGTGCCATCTTCCATGAAACCGATATAATTGAACAGAAGTTCTGCTCTGTGGGAAGGGAGAATGTTTAAAAGGATCCATTTTACATTGTAGGTAAGTGACATTAAAGCAAATAAAGATGAACTAAGTAAGAAAGATACAAACAGTCGAGATGCATAATAGTATTAGTAAAGGTAGTACAATACAATATAAATTGTGACAGAGCTTGCAACTGTATTGCATGCAGTCTTCAGTACAGCATATAGTTTTAAATTTAAACGGTACTAAACCCTTGAACATTACAAGTTCAATTCTGCTACTAGTACCAGTTCATGTGATACAAGTTAAATATACCCGAAATTCGCAGCCCTACTGCAGCGCCTTTAGAGCAGTGGCCCTTAGAGCAGGCAGACCAGTCGCCACATTTGGAGGTAGAATACATTTCATCTGGTAGAAGCAGCCATGTAACAGTTCTTAACAACTTTGTGTCAACTATGTCTTGGAAGCTACACCAGCTTGCAACCACTGACCTGCTGCTGGTTTTTCCTTGGCTGATTGGCACTCCCGCCATGCTGGGCTTCGTTCAGTTGTTGGTTAAAGGAGTCCAGTAGCTGCTTTGCATCCTCGGCCACTTTCTTTAACTGCTGAAGCTGAGCAGCCGTGCTGCATTCTCCAGTTCCTAAGGCAGAATCAAGAGGGGTTCATCGTGAGATCCATCAACTTTTTTCCTTGCCTTATCGTGCCAACAGCATCAATCGAAGATCACCAGCAGTTCAAAAATGCACTTTATACAGTATGACTAGGAGCCATTTTGCTGTACTAATAATAACTGCCTTTTGTTTCCTCATTCTATAGTTTGTAACCGCACCTCCCTCTAATGCCCTAGGTCTTGAGGATACACAAAACAAATAAATCGACTGTACTGACCCCAGTTTCTTTTGTCCCATTTACCTCACTTTGGTTAACCTTTCAGAGAGAATAAAACAACCTTTCACATTGGGCTGAGCAGAGCTCAAAATAAAACTTTCATGTGCAGCAAACATGGAACATACATGATTTTGTTTCTTGCACCCGTTTTTAGTGTCTAGTATCAAAGAATGTAAAGCAGGGTACTCTCTTCTCACTCGCTTTGGTAGAGGAAGCTTTTGCATGTTCAGTGCGAGGTATGACCTGGCGCATGGGAAGATGAAAGCAAAGCTCGCACTGTGTGGAAGGCATTCTTGCCTCAAAGTCTATCATGAGAAGCTAAAAGGAATGGCTTTTCCCAACGAGTTTAGGCATATCGGGAATATGGATAATCCTCAAGGTCTCTTTTCGGTTTTCAGAGATGTTAACATGGGCTGTAGGATAGGAGTCCTCTTTGATTTCGGAGATTAGTCCGAGAAAACAAAGTTGTGTTCAGAAATAGGCTGAGTATAATCCATAATATCCGTAAAAGACAATCCCACATTTGTATTTTGAGCCTGATAGCTGTATTTTTCGTTATAAACGGCCCATTCTGGCAAGCGGTCGGAGAGCAGCCAGATCAGAGCACGTGACATCCAGCGCAATCATCACATAGATTGTCTCGGGACGAGCAAAGCTGCGGCGAGGCAGACGTCGACAGGATATCCGTTCCACCCACCGAAACGGCCGAAGCACGCCAGCAATCGGGCCACTACAACTAACCCCAGAACTGCTTTTGTATGAATTTTGAGCAACTGGTTAATCTTCTTTAATCTTGCAGAGGGACAATAGTGACGTCTGGGACACACAAAAGAGAATCCCGGTGGGAGGGGAGTTCCTTCTTCACCCCTTCTCCCGTGGTGGCCGGAGACTTGGTGGGATAACGTCAGGTTCAAGGCATGCATAGTTCTAGGCGAGACAGGCATCGTCACTGCCTGTAAAGGCCCCTAGATGGGTATTACAAACGATCAGCTTTAGCGACATCCCCAGGGGGCCCTTTGCTAATCGTTAAATTAGTTTTAAAAATTCCTTTTCTTGTCTTTTCAACAAGAGATTGATGTGTCCAATGTGATACTGCTCTTTGGAACACGTATAGATTAAGAAATAAGCGCCGAAATTTCTTTGTAGTTTCCCTTTTGGTTACACTCATTTGTTCAGGGGTGTCAGAGGTGTTCAGGGGACTGGGGGGTTTACCTCCCCTTCTCCCGCATTGTTTAAAATAAATATCTTAATTATATTGGAGAGGCCAAGCTTCTCCGCTCCGACGCCACTGCATTTGTTGATGGTAGGTTACTTCGAATGCGAGGGAACCATAACGGTGGCACATGCGAACTCTCGTCTCGGAGCAGAACTCACGGTCAGCCATAAGGGAGGTTTGTACCGATGCCGTGACCTGGGCCCGCATCATTTGATCGACCACGTGCTGAAGGACCGGCACGGGCCGTGTGCACTCGCTCCTGGAGACGTGGAGCAACGTTTCCACGTCTCGGACTGAGAAGGACTCCTGACCGATCCCAGACTCGCAGGCGAGGGTGCTCAGGGTGTAGTTGTAGTCCTGGCTCGAGAGGTACTCTTGGATCAGCCAGTGGACAACCTGGGTAAAGGTAGCGAAATGGAGGCTATGCTTAATGCTGATTGTGGCTATCCTATTATAAGGACTGGGTTTGTGGCAAAATTGCCTCCCCCCTTTTCCCGCCCAAACATGCCCTAGAGGATACATGCTTTTTCTTTTCCCCTAGTAGTAGAGGTGGTGGTAGAAGCAGATGCGGTAGTAGAAGTAGTAGACTTGCAACACTACAAACAAGTAGTTGGCCCATACCTGAGGTTAGTGGTGCCCCGATACTACGGATAACTTAACCATGCAATAAAATATAGCTTATCCTGCGGATTAAGTAGGGAAACACAGTAAGACAATATTTTGAGGAAGAAAGTCGCGTTTGTTTGCGCAGGACGGCTATCTTACCTGATGTAAGAGCGTCTTTGACGTCTTCGTTCTGCTTTGGCTCGAAATCTTGAGAGCTTCGACGAACTTGTATCGGAGCCTGGCGCGGACGTCACTGATGATCCCCTGTTCTTCCATGAAGCGGCACACTTTAAACTTCATTTCTTTGAAGGACAGTTCCGTTGGATTAGGTTTATCGGCCATGTGTACTGACTTTCGCGTGCGATCTGAACCCAGAAAATGCCTTGGGGTTGAAACGCCACTCAGCACCACTCACGGCAATTCAAAAAGCGAGCTTCTGGGGGCGGCCATGTTCGTTTGCAGCGAAAAAGTCGAAATTCAATATTTTACCCGGCTGATGTTTTAAAAAACTCTCAAGAAACTTAACGCATAGCTAAATTAAACATATTTAAATATATTTTCATTTAAATAATATAATGTAAAGCATTTATTTTAAAAACCTAGTGATATTGCCCTTTCCGAGTTTCTTTCTGCTTGTTTCGGGTTTCTTCTAATCGATGGCGCGTACGCGTAGACGGCAAATGAAGGTTTGAAAATTGGTTTGAACGATTGTCGTGCCGTGTTGAATTCTCAAGTCTCGAAACTGTGGATGTTTTGGTAAGTTCTTTCCTTATATATTAGCGGAATTTGAGTCATAATTAAAAAATCCTCGAGGCAGGGAAACAAAAAGGGGCATGCACACCACCGTCCCAAACGAATCCCGGACAAAAGCTCACCGGACAAAACCTCACCCACTCTTTCACAGACCCGGACAAAAGCTCACCCATATTTTCGCAGACCCGGACAAAAGCTCACCACGAGAAAATTTCATGTTGGTCTTAACACGAGTGCGGACAACTTGGGTGCATGCGTGCGACACAAAAAGGCAGCGATAAATTAAATCTGACAGGCGCATGGTTTGCTGATTTTAATAGAAACAAGAATATTTATCGATTGGTTAGAAGCGAATGCAGTCCCCCACTAGCTCTAGCAGCCTTGGTAGATCTCGATGTACATGCAAGCCCTCGCAAAAATTTCTAAGACAATTCTGCAGGTGCAGAGCAATTTTTCGCACCCGCTTTACGGTGGGCTCACCTCTCCGGGCTTTTGTCAATGCCGTGGCAACGAGCGCCAGATTTTACTGTAGGCATTCAATCAGCGTCAAGACACTTGGATGGGCGTGGCCGACGAGCTTCTGGAACCCGGTACTCTATCTTTCGCAGGTGTTCATCCGGTCTTTATCTTGAAGAGTGGTGTCGTACATATTCCACCGTACCGGGGGAACTCCGGTCGCCGTCGGCGCAGAGTCAGGCGAAGGGAACAATTCGCTCTGGGTGCCGCCGCAGATGGAACAGAAGCATAACGGAAGCGGCTGTTGACATACGTGCAATCAAAGTAGTCCAGCAGGTAGCCGATGTCACCGGTAGAGTTTTCCCTGGTGGTTAGTTCTTGTGGAACAAGCTGTGGTGGAAGGAACTCGAGCCTATCTAAAATCCCGCACAATTTTCTAAATTGGTCATCTGTCTTGTACTTTTCCAAAAAGCCGGACTCCCGTTCTCTCCAAGTATTTAAAAAAAAATTCGCAACTCAATGGAGGACGAGGTACAAGTTCTCCTAAAAATGGTTCAATGTACATTGCGTCCGCACTTTATTTCAGCCCGTGTTTCGCCCGGGTAGGAAAAAAAAAAAAAATTCGAGGTGAGCTTTTGCCCGGGTCTGTCAAAAAACGGGTGAGCTTTTGTCCGGGTCTGTCAAAAAACGGGTGAGCTTTTGTCTGGTGAGCTTTTGTCCGGTGAGCCTCTGTCCGGTTACCGTCCCAAACGGTGGTGTCGGTGGTGTGCATGTCCCTTTTTGTTTCTTTGTCTCAAGGTTTTATTTCTTAATTGTGATTGTTCACCACTAGCTCGCCTGCGTTTTGACTCATATTTCGGCATTTGAGTCTTGCTTTTATGTCAAACCCTTTGGTCGGGCTGCCCGTATTAGTGGTTGTGTAAGTACCATATTCTTTTGGCAGCGCGCTGCTGATTTGATTATGGGATAATATTTATTTGCACTTAGAGAGATGCTGGTGGTTGTTGCAGATAGACCGAAATTTCGTACCATAAACCTGCAGCAAAAAAGAAAAGGATGTGGTGGCATTATACAGATGAGAGAAGAGGTGACTAGGGCTAGGTTTGCACGTGCGACGTAACCTAATGTTGTACAGCCGGAGGCTGTACAACCGAAGGACCTCCCTGTCGTTCCCGTTCTGCCCGATCAGAACGACAGGGAGGAGTCTGTCGTCCTATGAAGACGATAAGTCGGTATTCACTGGCGGCGAATCTGAGGGCAAGCTTCCGCAGTGCTTTTGCGCCGTGCATTATGTACCATCAAGGCTGCCGTTTAAGTCGTGGGCATGAATTCCTCGGGGGTGGCAGCTGTCTCCTTCGACTGGGCCACCTCGTGGAGCCTGCTGTCTTCACCGAAGCGTGCATGTGCACCACCAGACGACCAGTGCTCTATAATCTGATACCTATATCAAACAACTTGCCAGGTCACTTCGGCTGGCTCGCCGACTCGCCTCGACCGTTTCCAAACTCCCGAAACTCGGGCAGAAGTTTCCCCGCTCTCCAGGGTTAACAATGTCGGTTATTCTTGACCAGCGCACCTGCACCCTCGCGTTACCTTCGTTGAATAAAAGAATGCATCTTCCTCATCTTTTAAATTATGTCATCGCACACTCGGTGTCACTAGAAGCGGTGCCGCGGGCCAACATTGTACGGGCTGTCGCCTTCCTGCAGTGGCGCGGCTCTCCCGAGCCAATGAAGGTTATTGTTATTACTGTTATTATTATTATTCAGTTGTCCCCAACCCCAGTGCGAGCTTCCTAACTTCGGTAGAGCTTCGGCGTTCTGTAAACCTTGGGCGCGCACGCACGGCCAAAGCACGGGGGAATGCAACGAGTGTGTGCTGGAGGTCAGGCATCTCAAAATGACGCCCTGCCGTTCTTACTGTGTAGTGACCATAGTCAGCACAGCTATAGTCGGTTACAAGTCAAGAAGGTAGGAGAAGCTCCTCCCACAAGCGTGATGCGCCCGTCTCAAATTTCTCCGCAGTCGAAAGAAGAGTTCGCTGGAAACGCTCCTTCTTCCGCTTCAATGGATTCCAACTTGTCTCCGATCCCACTTTTTAAGAAAGCGACCTTTGTGTTCATCGGGGAGGGAACCGAGCCCCTGAAAGCAGCCTTTGTATCCATCGGGGGGGAAGCTAATCCCCGAAAGTCGTATTTGTTTCCGTCGGTGGGGGAAAACTCTAATCTCCCTCTCGTGGCTTCCACAATGCTAAGTCGAAGTCGAAAGATAAAGCAAATATGTACAGAAAGGCAAGACCCTCCTCGCGCGTTGGCCGCGACGTCACGGAAACGATGGGACGCTATTGGATGCGGAGGTGGCGGAGGGATATAGGATTCCCTTTGAGGGGCATTTGCCGCTACCTTCTTAACCTGTAACCGACTATAGTCAGCAGATCTGCTTAAAGAAAACTGCAAGTTGCTAAAAAAAACTGCAAAGTGTATGTAGTGAACTATGTCGCCGTTCAACAATATGTCCTTTAGAGCACGGCTTCTCGCGGGATCGAGGGAATTGTATTGTTCTGGAGATTTGTGTTTGTCCTTTGTCCCTCTCGTTCCCCTTCTCCAGGGATTATTTTCGTCATGTTTTGTTTTCGAGTCATTGGCAAAGTCACTGCATGTTGTTGCTAAGTACTGCTCTGTGACAGAACACGGGAACACCAACATTTGCATTCTAATAAATTATTAAAAAAAAATTGAATAACCCCCCTCCCTCCCTCCCTTTTGGACAGGTTGAGTGTTCCCTCAAGAAGCGACATTCGTCAGCCTTGCCCAAATCTGATGCTAGCCTAAGCGCCAGAAATGAATATTGAAGATCTCCAGAGTGAGAATGAACGACTGACGAAGGATCTTCAATATGCGGCATCCATTGGTGAGCGTCTTCTGCCATGAGGGTTGCTCCTATTAGATGTTTTACGTTCAAGGCCTCATAGATCCCTTTCAAAAGCTTGCCTAGCTGTGGAATCCCCGCACAATAGTGAACGCAAAAGACTTCGCCAAACTTGGGATAATATTGCCCAGTTTCCCTTCATCTGCGACCATAACGGAAGCTACCCGAGAGAGCTCTGAGCTTTCGGCGTCTGTGCCAAGCGGCCAAGCAAACGCTCTCGCGCAGCGCGAGCATTGTTTTGGGACACGTGTTCACGCTTGTACAACTTTGGCTTCATCCGCACTTGAAGTGAAACGCAATATGGAAATGATACCGCTTTTTTTTTCGTTGCCATTTTATGTAATATAAATTTGCACGTTCGGCGGTTGATTGTGCCGTGGTTTGGACCTTTTAACAGTTGGCGCGCAACTTTCGAAAGGGGTGAGTTAAGTTGGGGAGTGCACAATCATTTGTTATGGAGGATAGAAAAATATTACAACGAATCACTTCATTATCGTTTCAGCAAACTGATATCATAAGGAAGAAATTAAACTCAGTCCTAAACTGCTCGGATGCAACAAACTCCATTGACAGTATCATTTTTATTGCGGGTGTTCAGGTGGATAGTATCCACCTCGCAAATGCCTTTAGTGACTATTTTGTAATCATCACAAAACGTGCGTCTGCTGCTAACCGTGATTATAGAAAAATTTAATCAATAACTATAATTTTATGCCCTGTCACTGAGAATGAAATCATATCAGTGTTCACGGCAACAAAAAACAGTAACTTTTGGGATGTAGACAGTTAACGTTCAAATAAAACGAGTTAAATATGGGGTTGACCTACTTTCTCCGCACTAGTCTCATATCTTTAATCTGTGCATTAGCAATGCAACATTTCCTGAAAAAATGCAAATTGCAAAAGTGTAAGTCATACATAAAAGAGGAGATAAAAATAATATGGGCAGCTATAGGCCGGTTTCATTTCTTCCAGTATTTTCAAAGGGGCTAGAAGAAACAATTTGCACTTGTTTTACAACATTTTGTGACAAGCATAATGTACTCATTCAGGTGCAGTTTTGATTTGGGAAAAATCGCTCCACCTAATCAGCATTATTTAAGGCAAAAAAAGTTTATTTAAAAAATTGTAGAGCCCTTCCACTTCACTTGAAGATGGAGGACCAGCAAAGCTGTTATCTTTACGTCGAGGACGACGCCTAGAGGACGACGTTTGGGACGACCTCAAGAACAACGCCTAAAGGACGACGTCTAGGACGGCATCTAGGACAACCTCGAGGACGATGCATAGAGGTCAACATTTAGAACGACCTCAAGGACTACTCCTAGGACTACCTTGAGGAAACGTCTAGGACAACCTCGAAGACGACTTCTACGACAACCCGGAGGATGGGCCTCAAAGGCAACTTCTAGGACAATGCCTAGAGATAGTGAGGGATCAGGGCCTCACTACCTAATAATGCCAAGGGAGGCTGACTCACGCTGTTTGCTTCCTCTTTTTGTTTTTATTTATCCATACTTGACCCCTCTTTTTGTTTTTGTTTATTCATACTTGCCACAACCAATGGAGAGTTTTCTGTTGACATGTGCGGGCGCATTTTTTCCCAGACCCTAGCGTATCACAGATGAGCTGTAAAAAATTTTTGAACAAAAAAATAAGGTGTTAGGACTGTTTATCGATTCTACAAAAGTCTTCAATTACCTAGGCCACAACTTAAAACTATAAAAACTTGATTTCTATGCTCATGCTTACCTATAAAATTAATATGTACTGTAGTACGACAAGGTAGTATTCTTGGGCCCCTTTTATTCAATTTATATCTTAATGGCATAGTTAACATTGACCCATTGGCTTCGTTCATAATATACGCTGATGACACCGCAATCATTTTTTCAGGAGATGATTGCAACAGAGTTAGTAGTGCGGCTAATATTCTATATAGGTTGTATGATTGGAAAGAAACTAATCGTTTAAAAATCAACACAAATGAAACAAAATCAATATTATTGTACCTTAGAAATAAAAATATTAACTTATGCACTGGGCTTTTGACAAATTACTTGCCGATAGAGATTGTTCAGGAATTCAGAACGTTAGGCGTAATTTTCAATCAACATATGTCTTCGGATTCCCACATCGGAAATATAATTCTAAAATTAACTGGAGTCATTGATCTAACTTATAGAAATCGCTTTGTGCTTCTACCGTTCGTCAGAAGGGTTGTGTAGAGATCGCTGTTTCGCTTGTATCTCAACTGTTGCTATCTCATCTGGGGTACGACCACAGTGACCAACTTAAACAAAATTTACTTAAAAAAAAGAATGATGTGTGTTATATACAACGCCCTGTACAACTCGCATATAGAATAATGTTTTAGACATCTAGACATATTAAAAGTTCATAACTTGCACAATTAGACTAATTTCTATCTACAAAAAAACGGACATATAGCCATAATGAAACATTGTAGGAGTTATCAATGTTGACTAGAAAATAACCCCGGGTACGAAACTCGAAGATGGGAATGCTGGCAGAGGATTACTAACAAAACTACATACAGAGACCAAATCAGAAGACACACTTTGCCAAAACTACCAAACCATCTGGCAACTAACTTCATAACTGTACATAGCATGTCTCTTAAACAATTAAAAAAATTCATACAGCCATTGCATCAATGTGAAAGAAAGGTGTGCTCACTGCAGGGTGAGTGCATTTGACATAGAGTTTATTTTGTATATTAATTATGTGTTCGTTACTTTTTCAGTGCAGTTTAGTGAACAGTCTGTTCTTTGACCATTTTCCAATCTTTTTCTAGATGCGTTATTCTTTCTGTTAAATTACACATTCCTGATTTCATACAATATATGTATGAAAGTTCTTTGTATGTTTGGATGTGTCGTTTCCGGTACTGTTTTTTTTTTGGTTGTTTGTATTCCATGATTTTATATGTTAGGAATATCCAAGCATTAGCGCTTATCACTATGCTAACTTTTTATTGTTTTTCTTCGTATCGCTGCGACTGCCTTGTAGAGGGGCCGAGGCAGTGGTGGCAGAACACTCATTTTAGCAGATACAGGTTTTAGTTGCGGACACAAAAACAATATACCACACTTTATATTTTATAATAAACCACTATCATAGCATACTACTACTAAAGAAAAAAAAAGAAAATTGAAAATGGGGTTTTGGAGAAAATGGATTTCAAATTCGCAAGATTTTTTAAACTTTGGTTAGCTCAAATGTATGCAGTAAATATTTTATTTTGCATACAATATTGAATTTATAATTAATGAAAATAACTAACTTTAGGCTTTCTTATTATATCAAGTTGATTAAAATATCTTAAATGAATAACGCGTAAAAAATTGCCAAGCTTTGCCAACACTAATCAGACACAGTTCGACTTTTTTTTTTTTCTTTTTCAATATTCTAAAGCATAATCACTTTTTTTTTATTTCGATAGCATAATGAAAATTATTTTGAAATTGTTTGATTATTGACAAAATAAGCGAGTGGTCAAACATGCCATCTCCGACAGGCTGAAGAAACTTCAGTTTTATGCCTCGGTCACTCCATTGGCCAATAACTTAAAAACAAAATCTACCAAGCTTGCCGTTTACGCTGCCTTTCATTTCAAGAATGCTGCCAAAACATATATTTTTCATCAAAATTAAAAATTCTAAAAGAATTTCAATGCATTTTCGCTTTCGCCTCGCATTTCCTCTTTGTTTCCAGGACAATCGTTTCTCGAAAAAAATGCCGAGCTGGAAGCTGAGATGGCCAACGTCCACAGCCGTTACGTCGTCAGAATTGAAGTAAGCTTTCGAGGTGTCAACAATGGAGGAAAGACCTAACAAAGCATTCTTTTTCATCTCACTTACAGCGTTTTATCAATTACCCGCTTGAAAAAAAGGATTAACGCAACTAAAATATTAATATGATAATGGTCAACATTCTCTCTCAAGGTTCTAGCTTCCATGTCTAGCCGAACCCTGTTCCCCGTAGTCGCCGGCAGGACTGGAAGTGCAGGAAGGTCCTTCAGATAATACAGGGCGGCACAAGGGCATCTCCCGCCATAAGACGAGCCAGAAAATTCGACGCCTGCCCATAAAAAGCTACAACTTTCACCGAATGTGCACTGAGCAGGTCAGTTTTACCGTGGAAAATTTCAAAATGCAGTTCTCTCCCCTTAAAAAATGAGGGCAAAAAAACTTGCCAAAGTCAAGGTTGGACAGGTTCGCAGACAGCAGACTTGGTGACGCTACATATTTATGCGTGGCGCTATCTCCCGATGGGCACAGGGAGCAGCCGACCCACTCCGTCATCTACTCGCCACGCTTGTCGATAGATGGCGCTACGCGTAAAGAGTGTCTCTAACTCAATTGTCTGCGAATTCACCCAACCTTGACTTTGGCAAGTTTTTTTGCTCTAATTTTTTTACAAGGCGAGAATTACGCTTTGAAATTTTGCACGGTAAAACTGACCTTTTCAGTCCAGACTCAGTGAGACTGTGAGCTTTCTGTGTGCAGGTGTTTATTTTTATGTCATCTTTGATGGCGGAAGATCCGGTTGTGCCACCTTGTACTTCAACATCTCGTGAGCGTCGAGCACGGCAGTAGGTAATACGCGTGTACTGGAGGTCATGCGTCCAAAAGACACCCTGTCAGTGACCATAGTGATATTGTCGACGGAATGCTCGGTACTTATAGTATCTTGGAGATCTCAATGCTCACTATATTTGCACTCTCTTTGCACGCTACAGTTACTGTTGGTTCTGCCCATTTAGAAACTGGAGCAGGAGTGCCACAGCTTGCGCATGAAGCTCGACTGCAGCGTCAGTGCAGAGAGCAGCCTCAGTGCCGAAGTGGACGTCCTCAGAGACCAGTTGAAGAGAGCTAGAGAAAGCGGCTCCAAGTCTGAGCTTGCATTGAAGAGGCTCGAAGCATCCCTGACCGAGGTTTGTGACCGGCGCACGTTTGATGCTCTCTTGCAAAGTACCGCCACCGTCTGGGGTTAAAACGACTCTGGGGGCACACCAGCCCTTTGAAGCGCACATCATCGTTGGGATTCATCCCTCATCTAAGCATGCCATGTGTATTCCCTCATGTTATTAGTCTCTCTAATTGAGATGTTGCTGAACTGGCAGGTGCTCGAATGTGACATCTCGGAAAGGTTGAAGGAGCTAATGGCTGTTGCATCGTCTCCTTTTAACAGTTAGGCCACCCTCCGTTTTAGCAGACTGATTCCTTTGATTGTTTTGTATCACTAAGACACTGAATTTAAGAGGTGGAAATGTTCAATTGCTACAAAAATCTCTGATTGATGAAAAGAAGAAACGTAAACCTCATATATGCACTTTTTTATAAAAAAAGACAGCATGTGTGAGCAAAAGCAGACGTCTGTCTGGTGGTTTTATGAATCTGGAGTATATTATAGGAATAAACAGCTCAGTAAATACATACAAAGAATAGAGACAATCACCACGGGACACGCTGTACTCACAACTGAAGTTTAAAAAGCAACTCTGCTTTATTTTTGTTTAAAAAAAAAAAAATGCTGTCCTTTTCAGTATCACCTAGGAAGACTACACGTCCAATATTACGGCATAGCTCTGTCTAAATGTTTCTGAAACGGTCCGGCAAACTTTGCAGCTCGTCAAGTTGCCAAAATCAACTGACGCTAGCGGGTGAATCGAGGCGCAACCAACAGCCCAGTCAAGGCTACGGCGTGGGCGTGGCCAACATTGAGCTAAACGTCATCACCATTGCCCCCTTTTGCTTGCTTTTACTTCTCCGGGCAAGCGTAACGGGTGACATCAGCAACGTTTCCTCTCGGCGCGCCTGTGCAGCTCGCTTCTTGGGTGCCGTCCAACCTCGTCGCTGTGGTCCCGCCGCTACCACCGTTTCTCGCGTCATAACCGCCGTCGTTGTCTCACCGTTTGTGATTATTGTCTCTCGGAGTTTCGTTCACATTACTGACACTACGTGAGCAGTCTCATGCTCCAGTTGTGCAGACGTCGTCAATGTAGTATTCATGAAAACGTGGTGAAGAATGCGGTGCAGACGACGCTTGCGCCTAGCACACGCCCACCCATCGTTGTGTAAAGGATTACGTGGCATCTCGTACCACGTGATAGCCATGTTCTTGGCGGCCTGAGGCCAATGTCGCTGGACGGAGCCGAAGTTCCGGTTTCGATTTCTGCTCATTAGATTTAAAAATATACCCAATTTTTTGCGAAGCAAGTGACGTAGTGTCTTTTACTAGGGTTTTTTAATGCGAAATCACTTAATACCCTGAAATCTTCGGAATTGAGCAGAGTTGCCCTTTAATAGCCTTGTCATCGATTGAACTTCCTAGTCACAAGAGTAGCGGCATCCTGTTGTGGTTGTGTGTTTTCATTCGCTCATTTGTTTATCTCTATTGTGTACAACATTTACCAACTGGCCCGATTTGCTAACTTAAAATGTGAAGTGTTCAAAGCAATAGTATGCCAAAAAAAAAGTTATTTTGCTGTTGTTTTTAAAAAAAAGACCTGCCAAAGGAGATGCGCTATACTCGTCCAGTCATCGCTATCCCTACCTGGTTTGCAGACTGGGCGAGTCAACAAGCTTCCGTTACCAAACATGTTACATACATAATGGAGCCAACAAAGCATAAAACTATGTTGTCTGGAACACTTCTTCAGCGTGTGCTTTTAGTATCTTATCCTGCCCATGCATTAAAAGTGGTCCCAAAGTGGTAACAAACAACGTCGCGATCCTGGCGGTTATCACAGATGCATTCCAGGAACCCTAACAGAACTAGAAAAGTATAAATGTTGTTTCCGTTTTTTTTTTCTTTCTTTTTCAGAGGCAACAGTCGGAAAACGACAGGAGGGCTGCCATCGAGCTGCACCTGCGGACTCGGGTGAAAGCCTTGGAGGAGCAGCTCTCTGAAAGCCACAAGCTCAACGAGCGGCTGCTTGCCCAGGACTGCAACAGCATGCTGAGTGAAGAGGGCGGTCATACCTCCGTGCTCGCGGCCCGTGAGCAGGAGCTCGAATTCCTGCTCAAGCAGGTGCAGGCCGAAGTCGAGGCTCTCGGGGTGAGCGACAATGTTGTCGGTACATTGTGGCGACAAGACCACTACGCCCTGGGTGTTTAACGCGGAATGTGTTATATGGCTGGCATCCAACCATATCTGGTTGTGTGCCAGCCGAGTGCAGAAGCAGCGCTCGTCTCCTCAGTGATAGGACACCAGTGCCGGATGAACCCCTTCCTCGAGTACCTTCGTGTTGCTTCCGGCGGGGTTAAAACATTGCGTGTTCAGGCATACGGCACCGCTTTGCTTTGTGAAACGAGCTTACTCCGGACTTTCCCAGAGAAAGAGCTCAAGCTAGAGAACGACAGACAAGCAGAGAGAGAGAAAAAAAAAAGCGGACTCCTTTGCTGCAATGGGTTGAATGAGGAACTCTTTCAACCCGTCACTTTGTTTGGTTCTCTCGCTGCAAGTTGGTGTCAGGGCTCCAGTGGCGCAGCCAAAGGAGGGGCTTATGCGGCTTCAACTCCACCTCCCATCTGAAATCCTGCCAACCCTATACTGTCGAGACCGTTTATAACGAACAAAGTCAATGGGAATCTGAAATCGCTTTGCTATAGGTTATAGTCTTGTGTGAATAGTGGATTTTAAGTTCGAAGCGAATTGTGGTTTTGGCCGAATAGTTTCGATTTCGATGCCTTTCACTACCATGCCTTTCACTACCATTGCATAATGCTTAGGTGAAAACCCAGCTAAACTTGTGAAGGTTGTTCCACTTGTTCATTTATAAGCTAAGTTTAATATATCTATAGTTATGAACTGTGACCTCAGAAGGTCTGATGTCTTGGGACGGGAAGTAAATGACGGATTTAACATAAAATTAACCCTGTAGAGATGGCCAACTATATTCAATTGAGTGAATTTACTTATTTTGCTGTATAAAATATTCTTTCTTTAATCGCAAGTTAAAAAAGAAAGAATCGTGCATGATGAACGCAGGTTGTAAGGGCATCTCTGCATAACAGTCAGTTTAATTTTGAAACTTTTACTACAAAAACACATTCACAAAGTTTCCATTTACCTTCAAGTACAGCCGGCACGCATGCACCATCCCGCTTTAAATGTATGCTTTTCTTCCAAGCACGCAATTGCGCCATTCATACTTTTACAAGTGTTTATTGCAGCGGGTTAGCCTGTTGAGTGCGCTTCTTACCGAGCACCGATGTAATGCATACCTGCCAACTCTTCCGAATATTTCGTAAAATGTATGAATTGGGACTAATTTTACGATTTTACGAATCTTGCTTCAAATCTTACGAAAAGTATATTTTTTAATTTTTTTATTTTATTTTATTATTTGTTTTTGTTGTTTTTGTAACTTCGTTGTTGGCGACATCTTGCACCGCCATAAGAGGACGAAAGGTGCCATTCACAGCAGCGTCGTGGTTTTTACTATCCGTCTATCCGGTGGCTACGGATCGAAAACCAATCCAAAGCTCAAAGCCTTTGTTCGTGTGTTCGGCGGTGCACGTTGGTTCGGCGTGTTCAGACATTGTTGGGCCTCGTTGCTTCGGCCAGTTTCGAGGCGAGAAGTACGGTGTCTTGTGTTTGTTGCACGTGTAATTGTAGCATTCTCCTGGTCACTGTGGTTTCGCGGCGCAATACCGAACTCCAAACCTCGAAAGAGGTACTTTCAGGTGTTGCCGAAGTCCTACACGTCGAAATATCCGTGCTTCGTGCCGCCCAAAAAGCGAGAGAAGTTTGGATTCTGTAGCACGTGCACGTGTGATGTAAGCGTTTCGCACGCTGGCCAGGCTGACACTAAGCTGCACATCGCTTTGCGTACCCCCCCCCCCCCCCCCCCCCTCTGCCCTGCCGCGGCTGCGGGACCTTTACGAATTTGAAAGTCCACAGGTTGGCAGGTGTGGTAATGCAGAGAAGCAACACCCGTGGAGCTCGCTTCCGCGCATATTGCATCTTTGCAGTGCACTAGAGCTTGGCGCGCTCACTGGCGCTAATCAACACTTCGAAAAATGCTAATAGTGCAGTTCTTCTCGAAGCGAATACTCAATAGTGTATGATTTGAAGCTACTATTTGAAATTTCGAATACACATATTCACACAACCCTACTGGATTAGTTCAATGGGCTGAAAGTTGGTGCCCAGTCTTATAGGTCATCATTTTTTTATTATGATTCTAAATTGACCTCCAATTTTTAAAAAGCAGTTCCAAAAGAAATATGTGAACGCCTTTACTTTCACAGGGCGCGAAATGAACGAAAATGAAGCTTTATACAGTATTTGAAGGAATATGTGGTACTTCTTTACAGCCTTGAAAGTTGACATAAAATAAATTGCTGCATAAGGGCTGCTTCCTTTCTCATTTGTAAGCCCATAGAATAGTCAACAATGCTTCTGTTTTGATGGATAATTACATTTTTTTACTGCAGTCCCATGAAAGGACACCACCCAAAGGGGTCAACTTCTGAGCCCTTGCTTAATATGAATGAAATTTAGAGTATATACTGGCAGTCACGAGGCTAAATGCTGTGCAAAGTTTCATTTGCGTACATGAATTGTGAAAAAAATTGTAGTCGTGTTTACTAGGAACACACTGATTTTGTTTAGTAAAAATATCAATCGAAAACTAGTGTAATACCCAATGTTTTTGTTCACTAGATACCCAGCAGAATGCCTGGAGAGTGCAACTGTGAAAACAAAATTTCCAGAAAGTAATTTATTTTATGCTAGTATCGGCGGTGAAAAATGATATGAATTTTCTGCCTTTTATGTCGTCGACAAAATCTTACCGTCTTTCATAAAAGACATTCATGAAGTAGAAACAAATTCCACAGTTGCATTGACCTTTCGTCTCTTTACCAAACAAATGTTTTTCTAAAGTGAGATTTATGCCAGAAAGTGGAACGGAGAAAAACACGTCCAAAGTGCTCCAACCTCACCTTTTTTTTTTTTGCGTCATGGATCGAAAATATTGTATAAAAAAAAATAACTATGGAGTGTAAACTAATGCAGCTTTTTGGGAATTCTCTTTAGGTGTTGATGGATGTAAATATGGCATCTTTCAAAATCAACCTTTTTTTTTCCAGAAATTCTTTTTTTTCTTTCTTTTTTTTCTGGCTAGTGTCTTTTTTAAACACAATTCTACGGAAACTGCAACATGGCAAATTCCTCGTTTGATGTGGACTACGATTATCGCTCTGGTGGTTGTTAATTGCGGTTTGATGAAGGGTTAACGCAAGGTCTCGCCTCTGTTTTGTTCACCAGGTGAGCAAGCGTGTGCTAGAGGCCGAACTCGCGGAAGCTCAAGGCCGGCTGCGAGAGACCCTGGATTCGCTGACCGTCGAGCGGGCAGCTACTGTGAAGGCTGAACGAGAGGCCACGGAACTTCGGGCACAACTGGACACTCTTCAGCTGAGCCAGGTTAGTCTGCCCCCTCAGATTGTTCTGCCAGAACTGCTTCAATGGCTCCGAGACGTAACGCCATTCTACAAGACCCCAGTCAGGCCGTCTGCCAACTTAAAAAGCCGGGAGTGTCGGTGAATCGGGTGGGTCTGGAGAAGTTGGAAAAGTTCTGCCCCAATTGGCGTCGACGAGGGAAATTGGACTTTCCTTTCTTTGAGCGACAGTGAGAGACGTTTGTGTTACGTGACACACATTTCGGGCAACTCGGCCAGCGTGCCGACGCAAATGTCTGCTAAGAAACTGAAGTCTTGGGTGGACCCTGGAGATTCGGCTCGAATCGCCTCGTCTGAAAATGTGCAAATAAAGACAAATTCCCCCCTTTGGGTCATATTTGCAACCTTATACAGACTGCTCCGGCATGTGACACCTTCGCTGAATGGCTTCTTGACACAAGAGCTCGTCTTTTGTGCCATCCGCTCTCACTTCTAGATAAAATTTCCGGCTGTCCACGGCATGGCAGTTCAGTTAATTTAAGTTGCTCGGGTGAGGACGTCTCAAAGTTTAAACCGGTAAAGCCGTCAGATATGCCGGTGTTTCCACACCAAAAACACACTTGAGACACGCCCTGTTCTCCTCGGAGTTAGTCAGGAAAAGCCTGGAAAATTCTGAGAATTTGGAAACTTTATTTTGGCCGACACCGTGCCAGTCAGCAAGTTTGGATCCCAGCCGAGGTTCCCACAATTTGTCAGGCGTATTGCGAAGAAGGCGTCGTGCAACTCGGGTTTTCGTTGCACGTCGTAAGATCTCCGAGGCGGGTTTGCTGATCGATGCGGGTATGGAGGGAATTTTACGCTACGTGACCAGCTTCGTAGGGACAGGAAGATGCCTAGCGTTCCTGTGCCAAATGGTTGACAGTGTTTGTCCTCGCTTCGACCTAAAAATGCAAATCCGCTCGCAGGACGCGGACAAAAATAGTCTTAAAAATGCCTCCAAAATAAATCTAAACAATCTCCTTGAATATTGCATATCAAAGTCTGTGGTAATTTTGGGAGGGGGCTTCAGTATAGCTGCTTTAAGCAGAAGTCTACACTGTTTAGTTTCAATGGAAAAGTTGCTCAACTGGAAAGTTGCTCAACTGGAAAGTCGCTCGACTGGATAGTTACTCGACTGGATAGTTACTCAACTGGATAGTTACTCAACTGGATGGTTGCAGATATTAAGATCATTTTTTTTGGCAGGGTTCCATGGTATTTGGGTAGTTTCAACTGAATAGGCGCCGATAGCTGCTTGACTGGATAGTTACAGACGGCAAGATAGTTGCTCTTATAGTCAATGACAAAACGAGAATAGCGTGGCGTCTCTTTTGAAAGCCCGGCCTCTATTACGGGTTTTGTGCCTTCCTCTATGCTTCGGCTGCATGCACGCATTCGAAGTGCTCGACGAGTCGAAGCACCGTTGACGGTAGGAAGTTCGCACCAGAGGTGGGACAACTAAGCTCCTCCCTGCCATTCTCCCGGTGTTTAGTTTTGACTAGAGCGGCCCTTTAAAGTCGCTTTTCTCCCGACGCAGGTGGACCCCAAGCAGAGGGGCAACTCCCTCTTCTCGGAGGTGGAGGATCGCCGCCTGAAGCAGGAGCGGGAGCTGCTGTCGCTCCGCACGCGCTTCCGGGCACTCCACGAGCAGGAGTCCTCCCTGCGCGAGGAGGTGCGCAAGTCGCGTGCGCAGATGGCGCAGCTCATGGCCGCAGGCGGGCGCCGGGCAGACGCCAGGCAGGTCGTCCTGCTGCAGGTGGGTCGCTGCGTCCGACTCAAACTCTCGTCTTTCCGCGGCGTTTTACCGCCCGGGGAGTTTGGAAGCATGGTTGCGGAAGCCTCGAGAAATTTCTGGGGTTGCGTTTCCATTGGGACGGCAACCCAACTGTCCTGTGCCTCGATTTCTTCCTCGTCCTCGATTGGTGAAGGCAGATACGGAGAGGCTTGCAGACGAACAACGCTTTCGTCAGCTCCTTGCAGCCCTTATTGCAAACGCGACCCATAAAGTATGTGACCCCGGCCGAGTGGTTGGAAACACTGGAGTCTAGGCGCACTGGTATGTTCTCTAGTGCCGTCTCGTCGTAAGGGATCACAAGCAGGCATTGCGCTCTCGGGGCACGCTCAAACATTACCAGCCTCGAAGGCCGACCCGCAGAATCGTCTTTTGCTAGGAGGAAAGCCGGTTCTTTCTCTCCCTTCCCCTTCCTCCTCTCCGCAGGAGCGGATCTTCGAGCTACTCAGTGCAGAAAGGACACTGGTCTCCCTCTTTCTCGAATGGAAAGGAGGAATTTCGGGGGACCTCCCCTTCTTCCTGGCTACTCGTCGGCCTTTAAAGAGACCCAAAGCAACCGATTGGCATTGTGTTCAAAGTTACGAGGCAAATAACTTGTTCCGCGCTCTGTCCAACAGGACGCACTGGCACGCGCGAGGCTGGACATTGCGCAGCTGACCAGGGCCCTGCCCAGTCAAGGTTCCGGAGCCGGGGCGACTTCGGAAGCCCCGTCCGTTCCCCTGTCGGGCCTCCTGGAGATGGAGCGCAAGAAGGTGCAAGCGCTGGAGCGCGAACGGCTGTCCCTGCTTCGGGTGCAGTCCGAGAGCCACGTTCGAGAGGACCAACTGCTGCGAGAGTTGCACCAGGCCTCGCTCAAAGCGGAGGCGCTCGAAGCCCGCATGCTGAAGATGATGGCGCAGAAGGACGACTGCTCAGGTGAGTCGCACCGTGCGTCTTGTCCCTGTGGAGCGGTTGCCTACCGCAAGTGTCGAGAGCAGCCTTCGAGTAGCCCCCTTTTTGCATTGGCAGCCGTCCTAAACAGATCCGCCCTTTTTGTTCGCACGAACTAATGCTGCGTGGCCGCAATTGAAAAATACTTTGTTGTTACCGCCTTTGTCCTTTCGGCAAACAATTGCTCGCCTTTCTTCGTTCCATGAAATTTGTATTCATGATTCAGTCCTACGCGACATATTGATCACCCCCCCTTTTTATGTTTCTTCTCGTCTTTATCGTCATCACAAGGTTGGCATCCCGAGGTTGATCACAACGTTTCATTCATCTTTTGTCTCCCGTATGTCACGGAACTGGAACCATCGTCCAGGGGCAACTACCACAGTAACGGACTAAACTTTTCAGAACTACCCCTAGTAATCATACTCCTGTTGATTATGTCTATTTCGTAATTTCTTATTGTCCCAATTTTTTGCTCTGCTCTCTCCCTCTGTAATGTCGTTGGGCCTTGAGGGAACAATAAATGAAATTACATGAGATGGAGAGAGAGAACGAAGGACCTCTGTGCCTTGTAGTGTTTGTTCTATGAAGCACATAGTACTTTACGTGAAGTGCAAGAGGAACAAAACATCCACAGCAGAGCCTCATAGATACATTCTTGCCTAATCTGTCTTCCCAGCTGTTACGGTTATTAACGCCAGTCCCGTTGAACACCTATGGGGATGTGTATATTAATTTCCCATTCGTTGCATTTGCCTTCGGCTGTTACGTCCAAACATTGCAATCCGACACGGCCGGCGTAACGCGTTGAGTTGTGGCCGCCCCCTTCGCTGCGCCTCATTCGTCCTCTTTATGAATTTTTTGCCTCTCTGCATCGTGCCTATTGCATTGTTCTTCCCGAGCAGGCATGACCTCGAGCTAGGCTTGGAAGGGGTTGTGGCTTTTGCAAGAACCCGTTCACCTTTCTGTGCCTTCGTCTCTTCATTTTGCATGGTCTGGAGTTCGTAATTGTGCACCGCATTTGGAGCGCTCTTGTTGTGTGCGCGTCATGCTTCACTGCCTCATTCCGGTGTGTTAGGAATAGTAGCTGATGCAGTGTAGCATCTGTATTAGCACAGTAGGCTCAGAATTTTTGCTCTCTCTCACAAGTCGACGTTCCTTGGCTACGACTGTAGCCGCGGAATGTCGACCCCCAATTTTAAACAACTGTTCTGAAAAAGAAAAAAGAATTCTACCCTGTATTTGCATAAATAGAGAAGTTCTCCAAAGTCCATGCGAAATAAATTGCTGTGTGGAAGTTGTTTCCAGTGTCGTCTATTAGCCCCCAGGAAAATTATCAGCTGTTATGTTATCCCAGATGATACGATTTTATCGAGGTCCTTGAAAAATTTATCAACATGTTGCTGTACTTTGCAGAAAGTACAGTGTAGACCGCATATAACGTATGTCGCGGGAGTCGCGAAAATCCGCACTATAAGCGGTACCGCACTATAACCAAAACATCAATTTTTCAGGCCAAAATACATGCCATGAGGCAACTTACCTTTGTAAAAGAATTTATTTTATGTTAGATGAAAAATAAAGCTTAGTTTGAGGAAAGTCTTTATTTCACCAGACTAGTACACTTCTCTCTCAAGTGTGTCACACATTTTGAAAGAAATGAGCGACTTTCGCCTGGCGCAGCTTTTTAACGCCGTCGCAGGTTGTGGACGGACGTTGCGAGCGTTCAGGATTGCTAACCCTAATCACTTTTCTCCGGTGATATAAACGCGTGAAAATTCGCATCCTTTATACGGTACGCGCCAGTAATACCTTCAACTTGAGCACAGGCATGAAATGCTCTAAATAAGAAATCCGGTCGATGTTCGAAAACACAAATGCTTAGAAGTCACCACTGTAGTCGAAGTAAACAAACGCGACGACACGGGCGTTTCTGCCGTTTTGAGAGTGCCGCCACGACATCGCCGCACGAGTAGGTAGATCTTCCCTTCTAGTACATGCTGGGTTATTTGCTCCCACAACGAAAATTCACAGTCAAGGATAGCGCTTTTACGCGGAACGATGAGCTTCAACACTCCGTCTACGTCGACGATTACAACCATGTTTGCGGATAGAAGCAGCCGGCCGGCGATTGGCATGCAACGCGCGCGAACACTTCTCCTCGACCTGCGATTGGTCTGTCGTTGCGCTTGTTTTCCAACGCAACGGAGGGACGCACGCACGTGAACAACACGTGTGTGCGTCCCTCCGTCGCTATAGCAACTGAAGCCTCTCTCTTCGCTTCTCCCCACTTCGAGCAACGTCCTTGCCATCCTTGCCCCGCGAGTGCCGCTTGCGACTAGCGCCGTTATCTAGTGTCGCACAGGGAAGCGTGATCGCGCCGTTGGTCGGTCGGCAGGCTGTTCCAGAAACCGCACTATAACCGGTATTTCCCTTCGCGTGCCTGCATTTTAAGCGGTATGTAATTACATGGAGTTCTATGGGAGGCGAACCGGTGGTTTAAAAAAACGCGTTATACCCGGTCCTGCACTATAAGCAATTACGATGTAAGTGGTCTATACTGTATACGTTTTCTTCACCTTTTACCTTGTGAAGGAAAACTTGTTCTTTATGCAAGTACAAGTTTCCTTCACCTTGCGCTTTACGTTAAGTTGTGTATAAATAATCAAACTTGCACATTATGCAAGTTATCTGTACGTTCACATTGTATCTTAATACACAGCGATACTTTTTAGCATGCATGGAATAGGTAAAGGAATTTCGGGGCTTCCTGCCGCAATTTCGGACAGATGGGATGAACGGATATAAAAATGTCGTAACAACTAAAGCGTGGTGGGGAGCAAAGTAAGATGGAAAGCTTGCTAAAGTAGAACGAGTAACACCATGCACATGGTCGTCTGTTTCCAGTTGGAAGGAAAGACGCAGCCGTCCACGAACAGCTTGGGGTGGTGGAGGAAGAGCCGCCAGTCCTGCGAGAGCGGATAGTAATGTCCCACGCATTCCGACGGGAATGCGCTGGTGTTCCCAGCTCAAAGAGGCCGAAGACTTCTTCCCACGAAGACAAGGAGAACACGGACAAAGCACCAGACAACGAAACACAGAGTGGCAACACGACACGGGACGAAGCACAACGTGACGAAGCTCTGGTTGAACACGGCCATTGTGACGAAGCCCAACGTGGAAGAGCAGAGGAGGTCGTGAGGAAGCCCAAGGTTGCGTTTCAAGACGACGCCGGGGAGGCGGCGAACACTGCCGTTGACGAACGCGCGTCTCTTGGAACAAAGCGCAAGTTGAGGCGGGGCTCGGTGGTTGTGCCGCAACAGAAAGTAGAGAGCTCAAGTACTCAAGTTGAAGTTCAGCAATGTAAGCAGCAGTAACGGACAGTCATCGCTGCGGTCGGGACTTCATCCCGGGCTGACAGCGATGCAGGCCCTTTATATTTTTATCCATTCATATTTTAGTGTTCGAAAGAAGAGGGAGGAAGTTTTATGTCACATTTTTTATTTGTAAAATAAACAAAGTTCCAATCCAAACACCTTCCCCTACAGACTGATTAAAAGCCGATAATGAATCAATTGTGCTGGCGGCAAAAGTGCACACCGTGGGCGAGGACGGAAAAGTGTGGTCACCGGTGCAGTGTTTGACCAAACCTTTGACTGCTCTCTCTTTCTTGGATTTTAAGAGCTTTTGGTTTTGATTTTATGCTAAATGTAGCTTTTAAGTGCCCCATTTTCTGAAAAAATGTTTGTCTGAAACTTGTGTTAAAAATCCAGCGGAGCTGTACCCGATGCACTGTGTGCTTCTTCTTCATCATCGTCTGTTTTTCGCGCTGTTTCCTACGATGAATTCCCACCAACGCGCCCAACTATCCATTCTTCTATTATAGCTGGAAAGGTTGCCGCCATCTACGAGCGACGGCGGAAACCATACTGGTTGTGTGCTTTCTGCCGTCGCTTATAGATGGCGGTAGCTGTCCAGGTAGGTTTGTGTCGACATACACGGACACGATCCTGGGGAACCTAGCCCTTAACAGCTCCGCTGTAAAAAAAGATTGGGGTTTTTGCAGCGGGCCTTCAAAGAAGCCAGAAAGAGCATTTTTAGAGGCCTCGTGTGAAGTTAACTTGTCGGTCCTTTAAAGGCCCCAACGCTCAAGAATGGGCTGTACTTCTAATGCGCAAGCATTAACCGTCCCATAAAGCGAACCGGGGTTATCGACTTTTGAAGCCATGCCAAACGGCACCTAAACTCCCCTGTCCCAATGTGGCGAAGCCTTTCGTCTATAGCAGCGATCTGATGGATAGGCTCCCATTGGCTGGCGCACTTCATAGTTTCAAGGAACGAGCCTCCTACTGGCTCTCGCGCGGCGCAAGTCCAAAAAACTCCACCAGAGAAGCCCTCTCCATGGTGGCGCAGTGGCTGGCCGCTGAGCCAGCGGAGCCCGCACAGGCATACTCTGGAGTGGCTGCACGGCCGTGCTCGGCGTGGCACAGCCACTTCACGAGAGCGCGTGATAGGCCGTTGGCTGCTACCTCGGCATTAGCGAAACGTGGCCGTCCACGCCAGTACGCCGCAGACGAACTAAGGGAGCGGAAGAACGACATTCATGCTTCCGCATTGTGCTTAGCTGTCCTTGGAATTCTTTTTATTTTACTTTTGTTAACTTTTTTTTTGAACTGGGAGCTGAAGCTGCGAGCTGTATGCAGATATCCTGTGTTCGAAACGTTGCAAGAGGTAATTGTGTTGCGCGTTCCTTTAGACAGCGGGAAATTCCCCAATGGGCGTCTGGTGTCTCTGCCATTAATGAGAAATTCAGCCAATGCTGTACCACTGCTGTGGTACTGCATTGGGTAACGTGCGCCGTACAGTAGAGATGCACGACCGCACCCCGGCACAGTGCTCTTCCGTATCAAAACGGGCAGGGCCAAGGGTTGAACCCAGGACTCCCATTATCAATCCCCACTCCTGTCCGTTTCAATCGGGTTAAAAGTCGGTTAACTGTTTCAACATAATTCTTCACCAGGGGGTCGTACAACATACAAAGGGAAGAGCAGATAGCGCATAAATTTGTTTCTCCGATTTCAAGTGAGTAGGTAATAAAAAGGGTGAAAAAACTTTTAGCCTTTCCACTCTGGTGAAGAAAGAAGACCAACGAAGCTGTATCATGGTGGGACAACCTCAAAGACGACACCTAGAGGACGACGTTTAGGACGACCACAAGGACGATGCCTAGGATGACCTCGAGGTCAACCTCAAGGACTACTTCTAGAATGTCCTCGAGGACGCACTTATGGCCAATGCCTAGGGAAATTCAGGTTTTCCACTCTGGTGAAAACCAGAGTGGAAAGGTTGCCGCTATTTATGAGCGACGGCGGCAACCAGACAACTGGCAAGCCGGTTGCCGCCGTCGCTCATAGATGGCGGTAGCTGTCCCAAGTTCTGTGTCAACATTTATTTGGTGATGGACATGAAACTGGGGAACTAGACCTTAACAGCTCCGCCGTAATAACTTGTCAGTATAGACCAAAAGGTTACTTTGTGCCATTTGATCTTCTTTGTTTGGTCTTCAACGGTTGACCTCCAAAAAAGTTTTTTGCGTAGGTATAGTTTTTCCACCTCATAGTCTTTCTACTTCCTTCTTACCCAGTGCCCGGCAAGCAGGGAGAAACTGGGAAACGACGAGTCTTTTCTTGTAGGTTGGTCTTTAACCCTTAGATCGCTGGGTTTCGAGGAAAGCTACCATGCCCCTGTGTGGTGTTTTTTTTTAATATAGATTTGTACACAGCCATCTGATGCTACCATTTATTTTGAAGTAAAAAAATTCTTTCTACTACGATGTCGTGTAACCAGGACAATTTCAAGAGTGCTGTGTAATACCTCTAAAGGCGGGTCCATATCACAAGAGTGAATGACATTTTAGCGAACAGCGACATTTGAGCGAATGGACGTTTTAGCGAATAACGGGGGCGCGCGTTAACCCATCCGTCGCGCTGCGCTTTACGCCGCTTCGCGGCGACAGTCTGCGGCAGCTCATTACAAAAATGCGAACCCACTTGGCCCACATGAAAACGCTGCTTCGCGGCGTCCGACTATTCGCTCAAGTGTCATTCGGTGAGACGTGGGCGTTCGCTAAAACTTCATTCGATCAGGTGAGTGCCTCCCTCTTAAGGCGTGGGTTCTCGAGCTGGGTTTCTAGGAATCTAGAGGTTTGCCCGAGTACCTTCAAGGGTGCCCTCTCCTCCTCAGCCATCCCTGCCCCTAAGCATGCATTTTCTCATTTAAGCCAAAGTGGAGAACAAATATCAAGATATGAATCGTTATTCAAATTAGGCTTAAATCGGACCAGTTTTGCTACGATGATTTAAATCTAACCTTTTGCGCAAAAGTAATCACAAAAATATATTTTTATTAACTGTGTCTATCATTCAATGCTTTCTATGTGTATTTGTTTTAATTTTAAATTAAAGATGCCTCAAGCAAGAAAGATTTATATCTGGCTAAACACAAGCATTTGTAGCAAGTCTGAGCGTTGAGCATTCCTTCCGCCTTCATCAATTACGCAAGCAAATCGGAATACAAAATAAAAAGATTGAGATACACCTAAGCACTTGTGAGTTGTGAATGCAAAAGCATGTATACGTCAATCTTGCTCTATGCCTGCTGGCGCGCTGACTGGTGTTGTCTAGAGTTCCTGTATAGGCTCCCTACGGGAGAAAGGGACCCATACAGGAACTCTAGCACTGACGGATACGCAGCCTGGTCGACGCACGCCAGCCAATGGGTTCACAGCGGTGTAAAAGGTGCCGTTGGCTGTGGACGCGCGCTAGCCAATGGGATTAAAGCGGTGACGTCGGCTCGCTCCACGAGACAGTTAATGCCTTCGCATAAAAAAAGTCAGAGGACACCTAAGCACATCTTATGAGTTGTAAATGCGAAAGCATGAATGTCGTTCTTCACGAGCGCGTGCGCTCGTGAAGAGGCCGCGCCGCGCTGACCTCGGCCATGCAGCCTCTCCAGAGTTTGCCCGAGTGGGCTGTGCGGCCAGGCCCACACCGCCGCACCTCTTACTGGCGGTCGAGCCACTGCGTGCGCTGCGCCGCCATGGAGACGTCTGGTGGCGTCCCTTGGAGTTGTGCTGTGCCAGAGCCAACGGGAGCCTATCCATCAGACTTCTGCTACAGACGACGGGCTTCGCTCCACCGGGAAAGGAGAAGGTGTCATTAGGTGCAGCTTCAAAGCTGATGACGTCTGTGCGCTGTTTGGGACCAGTTAATGCTCTCGCATTAAAACAAATGCAGCTTTATAACTAGTAAAAAAAAAAAGTTGCTGTTATTCTAGTGTGGCTCAGTTTACACTAATAAAAAGTTCCTAATTAAACTACTTTAAGTTACAGTAACACTCTTCTGCATTGTTTTCGGTGATTGAATGAATTGGTAAATAAATTCGCCATCTTTAAAAATATGCCCAATAATGATAAAGGATCACAATTTCCTAGCTACAGCGACCTCATACCTGCCAACTCTTCCGAATTTTTCGTAAAATGTACGAATTGGGAGTAATTTTACGATTTTACGAATCTTGCTTCAAATCTTACGAAAAACCTTTTTTTTTTTTTTTGTCGTTTTTGTAATTTCGTTGTTGGCGGTATCTTGCACCGCCACAGAGGACGATAGGTACCATCCACAGCAGCGTCGTGGTTTTTACTATCCGGTGGCCACGGATCGAGAACCAATCCAATGCTCAAAGCCTTTGTTTGTGTGTTCGGCGGTGCACGGGTGCACGTTCGTTCGGCGTGCTCAGACGTTGTTGGGCCTCGTTGCTTCGGCCAGTTTCGAGGCGAGAAGTACGGCGTCTGTGTTTGTTGCACGTGTAACTGTAGCATTCTCCTGGTCACTGTGGCTTCGCGGCGCAATGCCGAATTCCAGACCTCAAAAGAGGTACTTTCAGGTGTTCCTTAAGTCCTACACGTCGACATTTCCGTGCTTCGTGCCGCCCAAAAAGCGAGAGAAGTTTGGATTCTGTAGCACGTGCGCGTGTGATGTAAGCGTTTCGCACGCTGGCCAGGCTGACATTAAGCTGCACATCGCTTCGCGTCACCCCCCCCCCCCCCCGCCGCCGCCGCCGCGGCTGCGGAACTTTTACGAATTTGAAAGTCCACAGGTTGGCAGGTATGCGACCTAAACCAAATAAATTTAACTATGTAATGCCCTCGAAGTTGTATGTACAAACCCAGACATGACAGGTCAGTGTTAATGTCCATCACAAGACCATTAAACAATCCTGTCCAAGCAGGTTGTTGCACCTTTTATTCGACATAGCTATCGCACTCTGGATGTCTTGCCTTCAAAACCTGTCCAAATGCAATTTCCATCCCCCCCCCCCCCCCCATGAACGACTACGCTAACTCTGCAGCAAGGTTGCAGGCTACTCTGCTACTCGACCGGCCTCAACACGATGAAGCGGGAGAGTATAAATGCCACTACACATGTGCCAAGCACGAAACAGACAGCGAAGATGTAGAAGGTCTCTTCGTCGAAGATGTCTTTGAATGCCGGTATCTGTCCGTACACCTTGAAGAAGAGCTCCGCCTGCGGCGTGAGCTTTTCCGACTTCGCCATGTATCTCGGGAGGTGCGTTCACTCCTTGACGACGTCGTGGGTGGTGGCAACCTTGTTCATGGTCTCCAGCACCTCGAGGTTGGTCAGGTAGTCGGTGCGGATGATCACCCGGTGACCGTCCACTGGAATACAAATAAGGTAGGGTCACTAAAATAAGCTACGCTCCAGGGTATCAGCACGCCATTACCCGACTATATTGGTATGTCGTTACTTTTAAGCAGTAACATGTACAACACCATTTAAACAGCCTGGTTTTAATTCTAACCTAAATATGTGTCCCTTGCGACAAAGGCAGATGGGCAACGCGAAAAACAACTAAAAAGTAGGAGAGTATAGCAACGTTTATCGCTGCACACGTCGGTCGATTTCTACAACCCAGCGGGCACAATAAAGTTAGTTGGTTGACCCTTCTAGAATCTTGTTTTGATTGAATGTAAACCCGGAGGTTGACAAAGACGGGAAGGCACAGAACCCATTACCAGCTTCAAACTTCTGAAGCAGAGAACAAAAGAGGGGAATCACAGATTCATTAGCTCTTCCTGAAGCACAAAACTTTCAAGCCCGTCAGTATAGAACTACTCTTCAGTGTTGCCGGAGATGTATTCTCAAGGAAACGGGTAAAGATAACTGGTGAAAACTTGGAGAGACAGCTACTGCCTAAGTGCAACAACTACTGAAAAGAAAACAAACTACGAAACAAAAGCAGTTTTGTATTTGGCCGTCATAATAATGAGAAAAAAACTCTCTACTCGGGCACCTAGCCAGGATTTTGTTTCGGGGGGGAGCCCGCCCATGACTAAATGCCGTTTGAGGGGGAGGGGGGAGAGGAGGTCCCAGCAAAATAGAAAATTTCGGGGGGGGGGGGGGGGGGGGGGGGGGCAACTACAATTATGAGTACGACATGGCAATATCCCACACTGCCTGATGAGTTACGAAAATGCAGAGGGGAAGCAAACTGGTTTATAAGTGCGAGGGGAGAAATATTTTTGGTTTCTAGGCTGGGTGGCGCAAGCTACCGCTCGTTATAAGGGCTATATACAGCCACTAGAATTCATCCATCCTATGGCTGAAGTGACATTACTTCTAGGAAAAGGCATTGCAAGTCCACACAGGACACGACTTCCTTTGAGAAACTTGGCAATAAGTTACGTATATGGACAGCTTCTGCAAAACTGGCATATCTAGTGGCTAAAGCAAAAAGCTGAAGAAGCAGGCTTACCCGCCAGTGTGCTCGCAGCAGCTGGCGGTCGAAACACGCAAGTTCGGAAACATGACAGAATTTGCCATGACTGCTGCAAACTTTAACATATGTTTCTAATTTTACTGTATCAAGTTCCTTCCAAGTTAGAATCATGAGGGGAAAAAGCTCCTTACACTGGAACTTCCCCACACCGGTGTTAGCATAGCTGTGAATAGTAGCAATTCTGAGCCATTTCTATATCGAGGCTGAATCCAATTACGTAATTCAGCGAGGTGACTACTTGTTTGATATGCGATGTGAAGTTACCTAGCCTGACAGGCAGAGAAAGAAGCATCGTATAAATGAGATTTGAGCTGGCAGTCGAGAGCATGCAGTGATGGAAGCGGCATTTAACCTTTTGCGGAAGTTTCTGTAGCGGGCAGAACATTGGCTTGCAGCGGTCATTGATTTTGACTAACCCCTCGTGCTAAGTATATACCAGCCGCTGCACCTAGCGCTCTGGCGCAAGGCGGTGAAGCTTGACACGCGAGCTGGTGAGGCGGCATGGAGGCATGCGGTATACATGATAATTAAGATATTTCGTAAGAGGTACAAGACCCTGCTTCTGTCTTATCACAGTAGACGCTCTCCTACAATTTGGCAATGTTTTCACGCATTGTTTAGCTTCACATCACCGACATAGAGTGGAAATTGAGACTATGTCGGCGATCAATCCGTCAGCCTATCAAGCGGTTCACAAGCAATCTCAGTACTTCGTTTCACCTTAATTTAAAGCGCAGCCGCTGCTACGGGTCAATGGAAACCAACCAGCATCAAAGCGCAACATCATAGCATTGGTCCACCTTTGCACTGCGTGTTTTTTTTTATCGTCTAAACGAATCAAGTGCTGCGAATCTCCCGTGATTTGTGCTTTCAGTATGTGTTCAAGCCTTCGACTGTACACTGACCTAAGATAAAAGAAACTATACGACCAATAATAAACTTCTCTTTTACTTCATTGCTTTGCCAATCTCGGCCCAGGTTTGGCGCAATGGACCTTTTGTACAAACATTGGTTCGAGAGTAAATGGTTCCAGTACCCCCACTCTCTTCCTTCTGGCGCCCAGCAGAGAGCGAAGATGGTTTCTTTGTCTCGACTTCAGGGCAGAAGATTAAACACGATGGGGACAAAGGTGAGTTTGGGGGAGCCGTATCTAGGTCACAGCGCCTCAATGGGTGAACAGAATGTAGCCGACGTTTTGGGAGGGGAACGGGTGGGAGAGGCCTTGGGCGAGCGTTGTTTTCTAGCCACTTAGTCTCGAACCAAGTCGCGTGTCTAGGTGGCAGAACATATTCGCCAAGAGGTCCATTCTTAGCAAAAATGGCACTTCGGTACAAGATGTCTCGTCAGACCCTCGTAGCACTAGCTGGATGGATGGATGTTAATGGCTATACCCTTTGTGACGGGCGGTAGTTTGCGCCACCTAGCCTAAGTCTAGAACGACAAAAACGTGATTCCTCCTGCCCTTTTAAGACCAATTTTTCTCCCCCTAACTATCACCAGGCAGTGTGGGATATCACCAGGTTGACCTTTGGGGGATCGGGCATAAAAAAACTAAAAACATCACCCCCCCCCCCCCCCTGCCTCTTCCCCCCGGCGAGGGAGTCGCCAATTTTCCTCTGTCCCGCCTGTTTCCAGCTGTGCTAGTTAGTTGACCATCATTTAATTTTCCCTCGATAATTTCCACCAATGTTTTATCACTGGAGCGCATGGTTTGCGGTCAGCGCAGGACATCGCCACGTCATGTTTGTATATCTGCACCACTGGATGCGGTCACCGTCCAAATGTAAGCAATTGACCAATTTCAAATAATGCAACAAATAAAAAAAAAAAAAAGTGTTCTTACGCAACGTGAGCTCGATGGATGGGTCGGAGCGGTCACAAACAACGTCGGTCTTCAGCACACAGTCGGGGTTCGTTTGACGCACCCGCAGCGCACTAACCTGGTGAAGGAAATCTCTGGAACACAAGAAGAGAGAACAAAGAAATCTTAAGCATTGCGAAAGCCGAACTCCGCCTTCGCAGCTGTGAAACAAGCCTTCCCACGGACAGACGCTAAGAGGGAAAGTTCAACTCTGCTTTCGAGGGTGGTAAAGGAACCTTCCCCAACCTGATCGGGGTGACGTTCTTGTGAAAAGGATCGAACTTAACGGTAATTCGTTTGAAAGGTCTCAGTTGAAGATTTTTGGCTGCTCGGCGTACTGCTATTTGGACAGGACTTATAGTGGACATTGTTTCAGTCTACAAACAGTTCGGCCATGCGGCCACATCGGCTGCTTGAAAGCGGAAGTGGCGGAAGTCTACCGCAAAATGGCTGCGGAGCTTAAATACAACATAATTACAAAAACGACAAGTAATAACTTGAAACTAAATAGTTTTAGTGTTTTTTTATTAAAATCTATTTTTTATGAGTTTTATTTGAGATTATATTTAATTGTAAACGTGCATTCGCTGCGGACTCGAGTTCTTGTTCAGCTTTCGTGTTTCGTGCGTTTGTTCTACGCCATTTTGAGCAGGCTTCCTTTTTAAACATAAAACAGTTAATTCGACGCCAAGTAAGCGTTTATAGTGTGTTCTTTGAGTTCGCAACAGTCTCGCGGCCCTACGAAAAAATATATTTCTTTCCGAGGGACCCACAAGTAAGTGTGTTCGACGATCGTTTCGCTTGACTTGCGGACGCCGAGGTATTGCGCAATCACACCTTGTAAACGTGTATGGGACCTTTTCAAGATAGTTTGTTTCTATTTCGTTACTTACGCCGGTTAGGTATGAACATTTAGCGTGCATATGTATGACCACATTCGGAGCGTTTTCGGTCGCGGCGTTCACCAGACTGGTACGCGCCAATGTTTGCTGCGTAGCTAGGCCTAGCTGGCTCTAACCACCTGTTTTGCGCCACTGGTAACGTTTCTTGCGTATCTTGATCGGAAATACGGAGAGCCATACCCGAGTAATATCCGATCGGAGTTTAGCACTGACACCCGTCAATATGTTAACGTGACCAACTTCGATAGATATTAGTTTCCTTGTGCTTTGAACCCATGGCGGCTTCCAAGGGGTCGCTTATCTCAATGCTGGTTCTTTAAATTTCGTGCGACTTAAAAGATCTTTTGAGATTTGTGGGTTTTCATTTGGTCGTATTAATGGGTGCCCATGTAAAGTTGACATTTTGTTTCGTCGAGTTTTTCGTATGCTAACGCATTTAGGGCGGCAGCGTTGGTATTTTTGGGGGGTAGGCGGTTAGGCCTAAGATAAATCTGGGAGTTTATTGCGCATTTTTATGTTTTTCTTTTTCTTGTAGGTGGCATCAAGTTGCGGATTTTGGTGGCTCCGCCGTCCGTAGCGATGCCTCGGTCACGTAAACGTCACCACTCGCGCTCGGAGTCCCTCGATTCGAGGAGTTCGACGAGCAGCTATCGTCACAAGCGTCGAAGGCCTTCCAAAACGTGAGTGGTTTTCTCGTCACTAGTGTTTGCGTGTGGTTTACAACCGTGGATCGTTATGGAGCCAACCTCGGTGACCTCATATTGTCATGCTTTTCGGCGGCGAAGTTACGTGCATCTGTTTCCTCGGTTGGTTCGGTGGAGAGGTGGGAGAGGGGTTGGGTGCACGCCGTGTCTAGAAGGGCCGTATCAAAGCGCTCTCGTCAGCGGAGAAAGCTCGTACAAGAGGCGTGCTGTGTTTCCCCGCGCATGTAAACATCCTGGAGGCAACGTACTGCGGGGTCACAGGATGCTGTAAAACATCCTGTATTTTTGTATGTGTTTCTAAGAAGGAAGTGTTGCTGAACGTTGTTAGGCTGTAACCGACATCGTAATCTAATGGAGTTCTTTGAAATACGTCCCCCCCCCCCCCCCCCCCCCCCCTCTTTCACTCCATCCTTTTTTTTTTGGGGTGTATTAATTTTTTTGTTTTGTTTGTTAGCTGTTGCAGCAGCACACCATCTGTGGCTAAGTGCTACAGATGGTGTGCTGCTGAACGTTGTTAGCCTGTAACCGACATCGTAATCTAATGGAGTTCTTTGAGCAGCAACGTGCCCTGCTAGGCAAGATTTGGGGTGTAGGGGGGGTTAGTGGGTTTAAATTTCATTTGACTTTGAACCTTGTTTTCTGTCTAGTGGAGAGAACAGGCCATTGGCAGTGTTCATCTTGCACGGTGGAATTGGTTTGGCATGCCTTGGTCGGTCAGCTGGAGATGAATGCCTACGATCGCAAACTTTCCCAGTCCGATAAGTTTTATTGCATAAAGAAAATGCTATGAATCCTGCTGATAGTACAAGGTTAGGAGAGTACCAATTAAAAAAATAATTTTCTTTAACGGTTGGTATTTTTTCGCCATCAAAATAGTTCAATATTCCATTTCACCCTGCTTCCGATGGCAGCAGATGCTACAAACTATCTCAGCCAATCCAGTTCTGTGAATGTCCCGTCACTGCGCCCCCTTTTCAAGGTCACGTGACACTGTCACGTCCTTGGGTTGACTATGCCTTCGTTGCATCTTGGCACAGTATGGCCATAGTAGCTTTGCGCCATAAAGCCCGTAATCAACAGCCTTAGTTGCATCTGCTGCGGTCGGTCATAAGGTAAAACGGAGTATAGAAACGAGACTTGGCTGGCCATAATTTTTGTTGTTGTCTGGAGACAAATTGGATTTATCCCAATATAGCTCACACTTGCAAGTATCCCTAGTTGTACTGCAAAATGTGTCTTGTCTGCTGTGTTTTTGTGTTGGTGAAGGAAGATGTATCCCCATCCGTCTGGTGGATAGGTAGGATAATAGACTGGCTTTTAGGGGGTTTGCTCATTGTTTCATTTATTGCAATGTATGTGGTGCAATCACCGCAATATTGGCACCAAACTGTGCCAAGGTATTCGTCCCTGCTGCTCCCTGCTACCGTAAAACACCGCGCAACCACCCTCCTACATGTTACAATATAAAATTAAGAAAATGGGATGGGCGGAAAAAAATAGTGAATGCTCATTAGGCTTGAGAGCGGAAAAGCAGAAAGGTGCATGTAGCCTCGTTCGATTCAATGATTTGTTATAGGAGTAGCATAGGGAAATTTTCCCCAATTTTTTTTAAAGCAGCAGTGCTGTACCACTTTGCACTGGCATGCACACACAACGCTTCACTGGTTTGCACCGGAGTGCTCGGAGGAGCAGCTGATACGGAGAACCAGTTCAGGAAATTGAATCAGGGGATTTGTGGGGTCGACACTTGATGTGTCCTTTGCTTTTATTTCAAATGTTTCAAAAAAGCAGGGGGGAGTGCTCATTGTGACATGGGTGCACACTAGGTATTTAATTATACACTTGAGCAGAATGCAAGGATTTGATGCCGCTGCCACGTAAAAAAAACCTAATTCCTACTCTTAACATTAATACTAATAGCTCAGAATCCACTACACAATATGATTCAACTGCTGTATCAAACAGCGACAGTAGGTGCAAGTTTCACAAAATTTGTTGCACACTGTATGTGGGCCGGTTAGTTGGCTTTGTGGAGCATGCTTCCTGCCACGCGCTGGTGCACTGCTGAGAAGCGACATTCTTGTGGGGTTGACGCCGCAGTTTTGCTTATCTTACTACGCCACAACGCAACCAGATGCTTTGGAGAAAAGCACTCCTCCCGAGTGGATGGTTCTCATAGACTCATATTTGCTTTAGGTACTTGGAAAATTAACACAGTTAATCAATTCATATTGTAACAACTCCTCGGAGTATTCTTTTTACTGCATCTATTTGTGAGGACATACGAATACTGATGTTTTCCCTAACGAGTTGCATGCATATAGCGATATAATTTTTAAATGTTAATTGGGCATAAATGGGCAGCAATACAAGTTTAAATTTTAAGTATAATCTTTCATTTCTTTATCAATTTTTTTTATTAGTCTCCAACTGTTTGGAACCACAACCAGTGAAGTTTAAAATAATAAAACTGAATTCGCTTTAGCAGTAGACAAAAACCCTTACAAGCACACCTCTATATTTTTAAAGAACTACATATTTATTCTTTACAAATTGATGTCCATATTTTAAGAATTTTACGTTTTATCCCAACTTTCATAGCTTAATTAAAACATGCAATTTAGTACTTAAGTCATTATTTCTGAATGTCACTTGAGTGGAGTACCATTTTGATTTACCTTTGATTCCATGCATAAAATATACATCCACAGATGTTCATTCTGCTTCCTTCATCAACCAGCGTTGGTTTTAAAAGCAGCTGCTGCAATGAGCCTTTGGAATTGATGAAAGGAAATGAAGGGCTTTTGTCATTAGATATTAAGCCCACCAATAAACAACCAGCTCGGAATGATAATGGGGGGTTGTCGTTTGGTTGTACTCGACACGGGAGTCTAAGCTAGTACGTTTGCAGCGGTACCACTGCAAATTGTGTGGTGCAAGAGGTTCACCTCGTGTGTGTATGTAGGCAGAACTGGTCGAACGTAGTGTATACCACTTAGTGGTGGAGGTTGTTTCATAGGAGAGGGGGCTCTTTTGTAATTTTTAACCAGGATAAAACGAGCCCCCCCCCCCCCCCCACCTTCCTAGGCTGACGTCGTATGCTGACGTCGTATGCGCGTGGTTGATCCCTTTGGTAGAAACTAGGCGTCGATAAAACAAAACTTCCTGTTTCTTACTTTTTTTTTTTTCTCACAGCAAAGTTGGGCGTTTAAGGAGAAATCGGTTCTCTTTCTTATGAATGAAGGTTCAGGGTTTAATCTGATTATTGGTTAGCTGAGAGCGTAAAATCGGTTTGTCGTAATTTAAACGTAAATATCGTTGTTGTTTTTCTCGCAATTTTTAATCGTGAGCGTTTCCTTTGGAGCTCGTACACGCGGAAAAACAAATCAAACGTTCGGAGATCGGATTTTTTTTCTTCTTTCTTTCGATGTGTTTTACCGTTGCCGCGACTAGGAAGCCCCTTCCCGTCGTGTTGTGACTTTGCCCCGGCTCCGGTGATTCGGCCTTGATCGATCGGGCGCCCCCCCGTCGGTTTCTGTGACAACCACATGGCGCCGCGCGTCGACTTCCCCACTGCCCTACCTTTGGCGAGGTGGAGTCTCCGATACCAGAGGGAGAACAGCGTCAGGGCCCGCTTCGTCGTCGACCGAAGCATCGACCGCGGCTCTCTAGTACCGCGGAGGGGAAGAAACGCTCTAGTGGGGGGGGAGAGGGGCACGCAATTACAGCAGCACGGAACAAACGAAGGGGAGGCGGTCCCCCCCTCCGTGTTTATCGATCTCCGCGTCGCCGGTGGCAACGCGCTCGGGTAGGATAGTGGGGGAGCCGGAACACCGCGGCTGTTGTTTCCCTGCCGTCGGAGGAGGAACTCGTCGAGACGGATCATCCCGACCGGCGGCGATCTCTCCCCGTTCTCCCTAGGCTCCTTTGTCGGGTTTTGGTTCCCTTTGTAGCAACTCGCGCGGTCCGTGTGCTTGTCTCCCGAGTCGTACGAGCGTCGAGTCTTCGCCGCGCCTGGGTCCGGGAGTCATGGCGATGGGCCTGGTGCTTTGCTGCTCCGTTAGGTAGGGGAGTCGGTACTACCCCCCCCGCCGGCCGGAGGGGGCTTTCGCAGCCTCGCTAGTTCCCGTTCGTCGTCGTCTTCCTCCTTGACAGCGGCGAGATGTTAGGCGAGCACCCATCGGGGGCTCGCGGGCGCAGCTTTCGGCCCCGGGAAGTGGACGGGGGTCGGTCGTCGGGCGAGCGTAGACGGACCTAGCGACGGCGTGTTTTTTTCTCCGGTTGCGCAGCGAGCGGTACGGCGGCGCGGGAGGCGGCGGCGGCGGCCACCGCGACGCGAGCCCGGCGTCGCCGTGTTCCTCGTCGACGGCGAGCCGGCGCCGCCACCGGCGCCACAACCACCACCGGGACCACTCGTCGGACGACGACCAGCAGGGACACCGGCGGCGCCGATCCAGCCGGAGCACGCGACGCCGCGGAGACCGAGGACACCACTCACGGGTAAGCCGAGCTCGCAGGGCTCCCCCTCTTTCTCGGGGTCTCCCACGTCGTCGGAAAAAAGTTGGCTCGCTCACGCGCCCGCGCGCGCGTGGTCTCCGCGGTAAAAAGAAGGGGGGGGGGGGGGGGTCTATTTCGGGAGAACGGGGTTGCCACTCTAGCCCGGGACCCAGGGGGAGGTAGGGGGGGGGAGCCAGAGGCAGGCTCGCGGAGCCCGCTTTTTGCGTCTCGCTCGGTGGGGGAGTCAGTCCCGTTGGCAATGGTGGGCCGCTGCGCGGGCCGTCCGGATGCTGGGCGCGCTTCCCTGGCTTGCTCCTCCGGCTCCCCTGGGAAGGAGAGTGTGGCCAGCGGCATGTCGTCGGGCTCTCAGGTGAGCGGGACCAGTGGCCGTCCGGACTGCGGCCCCCGTTCGTCGCGCCCCCCAAAGAGCGCCAGGGCGCGTCCGCTGACCGGTCGGGGAACGAGTGGTCACCCAAGGGATAGGCTGTGGGGGTTGGGGCCCTATTTTTGGGGAGGAGGGGGAACGGCTGGCACCCTTCCTCCCTCGAGGGGTCCCGCCGGGAGCGAGGGCAGGGCCCGGACAGGGGGGGACGGACTTTGGTGCCCCGGACTGTTTGGTAGGCTGGCCTTCGTCAGGCGCCGCTTCCGTGGCCGGACCTCCGCCGAAGAGGAGCTCGTGAATGTAATGTGGCTGCATGCTCTCCGGGCAGGGCTTGACCTGCCGCAAACCATGGCTGGGCCCTTCCGGTCTGGCTTTCTCTCTCTTGCCCCCGGACCCCTGCATGTCCCCTAGCATTGCGGTGGTGGTAACTGTTAAGCAAGACTGACATAGTTTGCATCGAGCCGCCAAAACTGTGCTGCTTAGTTGTTTATTTTGTAGAGCCCCATGCGCACATACTCTAAATATTGCACGCATATGGTTGTACAAAGTTATAAGTTGTAACAGATGCTGTCAACCGGTGGGAACGAGTAGCAGCAGTTGTGTGTCACAGCTCTTGCAGAGGGTCTGTGAGCACGATTGACGGGCCGGTAATCGGAAGGCCAGCCATGGTTTGTGCGGAGCCTGGGGTTTTGGGTGGAGGGCCGTCGTGGCACTGACTTGCCTCTAAGGGGGCCACTGCTTGCCGCCGTGTCCGGTGGGGGTTTTATGGGGGCAGGATGGCGGAGAGGGGGTCTTGTGTGACGCTGGTCTGACGCACGGCCCTCTGGTGCCTCCTCCTTCTCTGTTGTTGTTCTCCTTCATGCGGTTTGCGCGACCATCTTGCGCCCCCATTCCTGACCGACCCGACGCCGCCGTCGACCGTGGTATCTGCGGGTGGCTGTCTTTGCGCTGTCCCCGTCGTCGGATGGACCGTCCCTCGTCGTCCCCCCTGCCGGTGCATTTGTTGGCTGTGCTGTGCTGGGACGATGCTGTGCTGTGCCGGGCCGCGGGGCGGAGCAGTCTCCAGTGCGGAGGCCACCAAGCGTCGAGGATGACGAAGAGGGACACCTGGTGTACCGGCCAGGAGACGTGCTCCAGGACAGATGTACTGGTCCTCCCTTTCTCTCGTGGCTCTTCTTCCTTCTCGGACGACTGTTCTTCCGCGAGAGGGCAAGCAACCCCGGGCCCCGTTGCGTTAGGGGTAGCCAGAGGCGCAGCCGCCGCAAGCCGTTTTTTTTGCTAGTCGCGGGCCCGTGCACGCCGTGCACACTGGTACGGGGAGTCAAGGGGGGTTCAAATAGTTGGTGGGAAACTGTTTACTGGCTGCCAACGTGGACAGCCCGTGTTAGCATCCATAGTTTAATGTGTGTCCACGTACCTATCTTCCCTTTTTGCCGGTTACGGGAGAACCAATTCGTCCCTCGACAAGAGAGAGGGTGGTTATGGTGGGGACAGTGACTGTGGGGCGGGAACCCTTTTATCTTTTATTTTTTTGGCTGGACGTGGGCAAAAAGTTGTATGGTGGTTCCGCCGGACTTCAGTGGCTCACGTGTTCCCCCCCGGGGGCCCGTGTCTTTTGCAGACAAGATTGTCACCACCCTGGGAGAGGGGACCTTTGGGAAGGTGGTCAAGGTGACCGACATGCACACGTGAGTGGTTCTGCGCATGCTTCCCTTCAAATGGAGTTGCACGTTCCAGTCACGTCGGCGGGTTGCGTGTTTTCTACCCCTCCTCTCCCCTTATGTTTGACGTGTTGATTCGCTGGAACCCCCTGTCTGATGTGATCGGAAGACAGGACTGAGAAGGACAGTGCTCTCCCGCCCTCGTGTACATGGTCTCTAATGTTTTGCATCGTCTCTGGGAAATTTGTGGGCCATCTCCGATTGCAAGACTCGCAGGTGGCGGTGTGTTTGTTGCTTTTCGGAGTTCTTACGACGCCTTAATTAAGCATTCTGAACGAAAAGAGGCAAACAGTGAGGAACTCCAGTATGTCAGCCATTTATCGCGGATCATGGTGCTACTTGTTAAAATTATAAGCTGCAGATCTGCCATCATTTCTGAGGAAGGTCACTTAATTTTTAATGGTTGGCATAAAACTGAATAGGGTCCGTAGGTTTCTCTAACCCTGTTCTAATTACGTAAAGCAGTATAGTGCTTCCGGACATTTAATAAGCAGGTATATTGGCAGACTTCCGGGAGTTCTCAAAGTTTAGGCAAAAGATTACAAAACTCTAATCTCTGGTGGATCCCGATTGGGCACGGGGAGCTACAAATGCTCGAACCGTGACTTCGCCATTGCGGCTGAAATCCATCCCTCTGTGTCAAGCTTACGCAGGATCAGAGCTGGAGTCATCTTTAACTGCACTGTGGAAACACTTTTCTTCGCGCAACCGGTGTCGCAAAGGTGCCGGCTGTCGCTCGGTGTCATCATTTTGCCACTACCCGCCTCTTTCTCTTTTCTTTTTTTTCCGCTTCTCCCTCTCTCGTAGTTGCCGCCTGCGCTCATCGTCTAATTTTGAGCGTACCCGTCTACGCGTTCAGGTTTCTGGGTTGCCAGGTCGAGAGGGGAGTGGGTCTCGCTTTTCGAACTCCGTCGTAGTCCGCGAGGGCCTCTGACGGAGCCCGTGAAGTGACGCACTTTCGGCTTCCGCCGAAAGGTCGCGCAATTTAAATTTAAATGCGGGGAGGGGGTCGGTCATGTGATAGAATAAAAGGTGAAGGAGGACGCCTTGTGTTCCGAACCGAGCGGAGTTGCTGTGTTGGCCCCTCTTCCCTTTTCTCGTTTGCGCGCAGTTTCGTTGGGTTTCTTTTCCTCGGAGTTTGCTTTTCAAGTTTAAGGGTTGCGCTGACACGTTTGGGGCGAGAGGGTGAAAGGATGAGAGGCATTCCGGTGGGCCTTGGGGACTTCTAAAAACGGCGCATTCCCCCCCTCCTCTTTCCCTCCGGGTGTCTTTCTGGCCGTTTGGGGGAGGAGGTGACGTGTGCGCAGTCTGGGTGTTTGCGCTCGCAAGGCACCTGACTCCTTGGCTCCTCTGGGTGTCTCACGAGTCCCGGTGTTTTGTTTACGCGCCCTCCTGGTTTACCCTTCCGCTGTTGACGAAATTTTATTATTTTATTCTCTTTTCCCTTTTTCAATTTTGTGAGATGAGTGCTGCCCTGTGTGCTCCTGTAGTGCCTCTTTGAAATAATTTATATCTCTGCTCTTTAATTTATATTTGAAGTGTAAGTGGGGAGGTATCCTGCAGGTTATGTAGTTGTATAATATTTGTCTTTTCCCAAATCGGCTTCTCCTCATAATGGTTGGTTGAAAGGGTCGGCAACTAATAATTAATCGGAGGATGCATGTTGTAACAAACTTTTCCTTCTTCGGGTCCAAATATTTTACTTGTTTTTCATTAGGGAGGCACAATGTGTCATGTTCCTCGTGAATTCCTTGTTTGTGAGAGTTTTGCATGTCCTTAACATGCACTATACAAAATTGTGGCATTTGGGCATAATAGAGGAAGCAGTGTGCAGTTATGACACTCCAAACTTCAACCACACGCCGCGCCGCGGGACCTCCGCAGAGAGACCAAGGAAGGTTTCGGCTCGGCTAAAATTTGGCAGTCCCGCACTTGACTCCCTGGCTGGCCATGCGCCCACATTTTCTTCCGAGGTATTCATCGCGCAATTCTGCTCCAAAGCCAAAGTTTGCTTTGAAGAATTCTTTTTTTTTTACTGAAAGACCGGAGAGGGGGAAAATAAGTGATGGTTTGGATAGTTTGGCTGCATCAAGGTTTAAAGTCTGGATGCTGTGCGAATGAGTCAGACGGGCCGTTGATATTGCATTAATAGCCCCAGCTTAAACCGAGCATTCACGGCTCTTGGAATGGTTTGGTGAAATGAACCTACCTTGGATCAAAAGAGTTGCGCGGACATGTGTATGGAGGTCAGATAGCTGAATCGATAGGATAGGAGACAAATATGTTAGCCTTCATCTTTGCGGTGGTCTGCTACATCATATGGAAACAAATTAAAATAAGAAAAAAGAAAGGCATGAGAGCATGGTGCAATGCTGTCTCTGTTTTGACTCTAGCACTTGTGCGATGTACTGCTGTGGCATTGAATGTGGTATAGTGCTTTTGTGGCAAATATTTTTTCCTTCGTTGTTTAAATGAAATTCATGCTGCTTCGCTGCAATTTTTCGAGGCAAGGTCATTGTTTCGCCAGTTCGAATACCTCCAAAATAGTTGGGGCAGTAAGAAGAAATTTCCAGCTCGTTTGTGCTCTTCCGGTTTGTAAACAAGTGCCCGTGTAAGCAAACTCGCACCTTTGGCATTTGCTACTGGCTTGTGCAATTTCACGATTGATTTGTACAACGGCGGTTGTAGGAAAGATGAGGCACTCGAAAGACAAACTTTTTGGCTATATAGGTGGGGAAGTACAGCCTGGTTTCCTCTGTGTGCAGTGACCAGACGATGGCACTGAAGATCATAAAGAATGTGGAGAAGTACCGTGAAGCCGCCAAGCTGGAGATCAATGTCCTCGAGAAGCTTGCCAATTGGGACCCCACGGGCAAACAGTGAGTATCGTCACAATCGCAGCCCTTCTCTCGACGTGTGCCGCCGAGAGTGGGAAATTAATATGCGTAGTCAAGACAAGAGCCTCCGAAGAACTGCACTTTATAACCAAATTTCCGTTACATTAGAGTTGGTCGTTAGAGTTGGAAGCGGTATTTACAGTTAGAAAATGTGACTTTCTGAGTCAGGTATGGATTTAGACACTCGGGCGATACTGTCTTGCTCTGTTGCAAACTGTTTGAAAGGATGAAAAACTTTTTTTGTGTGTGTGATTTCAGATAATGCTTTAGCAATGATTGTAATACTGAATTTTCTAAAATGTTGGTTACCTTGAAGTGTAGCTTTTTCAATGGCCCTGGTCTAGACCAAGTATATCGTGCAGAAACTGCGTGGATCATTCGGCACTGTGTGTCCTTTCAAAATCTTGGTGTGCAAATGATGTGGGCAGTATAAATGCTTGCTTTCCTAAAAGATCAGTTCTGCATTGTTAATTTTTTTAAGTGTTTTAATGAGCTAATTGTTGAAGATGCTCCCAGCTCCAGTTTGCAGTATTCTGCTTATCTCGTGAACAAATAAAGAGAACTTCCAATGTTTGTTTTTTGAAAGTTTGTGCTTTCCTCTTGCAGTCTCTGTGTGAAGATGTTGGATTGGTTTGACTTTCACGGCCACATGTGTCTCGCCTTCGAAATGCTGGGCCTGAGCGTCTTCGACTTCTTGGTGAGGATTGTATCTTTTTATTTTTTTTATTCTGCATGGAGGTTGAAGTTAAGAATGACTGACTCAGTGGTGCATGTTGGTGACAAGTGTGGTGTGTGTTTTACCTGAACAGAAGGACAATCACTACCAGCCATACCCCATCGATCAAGTGCGTCACATTGGATACCAGCTCTGCTACTCCGTCATGTGTAAGTGTACCCTTCTTAAATAGTTCTGGCAGTTTATTTGGTTTGTCACAAGTGTCCAAAATAGGGTGGTATTATTTTATGTTTTATTTCGTGGGCTGTGTTTTTGAGTTTCATAGAGTTTTGGAAACAAATGGAGGGCTGCTGGGTGGCTGTCTTCAGAAAGCACTATCATTTTCTGGGTGCCAGTGTTGGCTTAGTGGAACGAAGTCCCTACCTGCAATAGTCAACCCCAGTAGGATGGATGCGAAAAGGTCGTCGTGGCCTTGGCGCTATACGTGTGGTGGGCGAGCATTTATAACTTGTTGGAAAGCATAATCTAGTATTAAAGGGGCCCTGCAACAACTTTTTTACTGATTTTTAATTTGCACCGATCCTGAGCGCACTGAACGTAGTAACTTAAACTTTTCTTTTCTCGAATTTCGCTTTATTTTAAAAGTTATAGGCAAATTAGAATTACAAAAACAAGCAAAAAATAACGTCCTTCGTGACGTCGTAGGTCCTGGCTTGAGTGGCCGTGAACTAGAGGAGGAGTAGTGAGCTCATCGAGCGCTTCGGCTGCCGCACTCCGTGTCGACCGCTCGAGAGGGCGCCACTAAAGCATGTGTTGGATGGGCTGTGTGAAGCGGACAGTCAGGGCGGTTCGCATTGCATTTGCTGCACGATTAAAGACTAATTTGGCATAACACTTCATTGGCCTCAAACGACAGCAAATACGGGGTAAATATCAGTTCAGAACGGGAGCCACTTCGCGCTGCCATACCGCCAAATGGCAAAATCGCCAACCAAGCCCGCGCCGAAAGCCTTCGGAACGCTCGGAATTGATCGGATCCTCGAGCCGGTATACGACCGCAGCGGTATACGACCGCAGCGCCGCCGCGTACATCCGGGACCTTTCTACGCACGCCGTTCGTCGGCGCCTCATCCCACTAGCCCTTTCTAGTATGCGCCGTTTTTTTCCGCCGCTTGGTGGTGGGTATGTCGACGGGTCATTTCTTGTTTCCGTACTTTATAAACTGCATGTTTCTTTTCTGATCTAAAATACTGAACAAAACTATTTTCATACATAATTGAAACGGTTTGCGACACTTATATTTTGTATCTCGACTAAAAGAAAAGATTTTAGCGGTTCTGACCAGTAGTAAGCCCAGGACCAAAGACGTCGCATATCGCGCGCTTTCGCCAACGCAGGTCGCCCTCGTAGGTGGAGGAGGTTTCAGCGTCGTCCGGTTAAAATATGTCGCACTGATATTTAGTTACTCTCCGTGCCCGCTGGCTTGCCTGAGCCCCAAGAGACGTGGAAACCGCAAAAAAGGTAGATGCTTAAATATGATTGCAGGGCCCCTTTAAGACTGGGCTTGACATTCTTGGAAACAACATTGAGGAGATGCTACGGATATTCAGGAATTACAGTGAAGTCATTGTATTGCAACTTGAGGTGTGCCGAGTGTTTCCAAGTGTCCACTCCTTGTGAATGGGCGGCTCACTTATCAATTGTTTCACAGTTATTAATCACAAAGGGCTCACGTATGCCCGAAATATTGAAGTTTTTATCTCAAGCTGTGCCACCTCTATGTAGCAATGTGGGAGGCACTGACATAGGTGCATGGCTTTATACAGTACTTTTTTTTATATATATATACCATAAGAAGGTGAAGAGAAATACCTCCCATAAACTGCAGAACCTCCTGGGTTCAATCCCCACTCCGTGCCTGTTTCAATCTTAATGAGTTCATACCGGCACGCGCTCGTGTAATTGCTACTGCATGGTGCGTGTTGAAGACCCCAGTTAGTGGTTGTACTTCACTGGCTAAATTTCTCATCTACAGCGAAGAGACTAGCATCAAGGCTGCCTAAACATACAAGCAACGAAAATTTTTTTCCTTCCATAAAGCTTTTTGCTTGCCGTGATCGACGGTTTCCTCCTCCCGCATGCCTTCTCAGTGTTCACTTCACTAAAGTGGAAAGAGTGGAGGGCTTGGTGGTATGAACCTGTCCGGCTATTCTTAACCTACAACAGGCTATAGCTCTCACGCAAACAGTGCATTATGCATTACTGAGCTCTCATGCCTCTAGCTTCGATAGCATTGCACACAACTTGAGAGATGACTGCATTGAGTGAACTGCTGTTGTCCAGAGTGCCATGGAATGAACCGTAGTTCCTTCGTTAAATGCCCTTGCATTGCACTATGCCTTTGCAACTTTATTGGCATAGTCCTAGCTTTCTCGACCCGAATCAATTGCCGCATACACACAGTGCCTGGAGACATTTTTAGTATTGTGCAAGGAGCCTATAGAGGGTGGTGTAATTTTGATGTCAGTTCTGGGTGCTAAAGCATTGGAGTTTGAACGTTCTTTGGGTATGCGGTGGCTCTAAGGGAGTATTTGCTGGCAGCCATAGCCGAGTTAGTGGCTGCTGAGCTTGTGCGAATAGGTGACATCCTGCCATTGTGTGGACTCTGAGCTGGCAAAGCTACCCCAGCTTTTCCTTGGCCATGGTTGCTTGTACACAGAAGTAACTCTGTTCCTTGTGTGTTTCTTTTCTGGGGGCCGGCAGTCTTGCACGAGAAGCAGCTGACCCACACTGACCTGAAGCCCGAGAACATCTTGTTTGTCAACTCGGATTATGACATCAGCTACAATGCCAAGAAGGCAAGTGCCACAGCCTTTGCGGTGAGCCAGCACTGACCGGAATTCCCTAGGAGGGGCCCAATTCCGTCCCTAGAAGTAGCCGTAAAAAAATTTAAAAAATTTGAGTTTTATATTTGATTTACACTTGCCCTAATATTGTTGCTCAGGGAATGCTAGTTAGTCTGGCTTTTGTATTAAAAATATTGGTGCTGTAGTAATGATCAAACGAGCACCGAATAGTTGTTCCGATACTTGTGGTAGCCATAAGCACAGCTTGGGAAATGCTGAAGAACTTTTTTAGTATGAAAGGGTGCCTGTTTTAGCCCGTTACTTTTGTGTGTCGGTCCAGCACACAGGTGCAGTAACCTTGTCTCATAGAACATAGTTGCGTAGACAAAAGTATTGGCCACAACTGAGGAATATGGAGGGCAGTTTTCTTGTGTAAAAAATTGGAGCTGTCATTAGACTATTGGGGAAGTATTAGACTAGCAATTTGGCTATGGTCTATGCAACTGCTACCTTACATATTTTTAATGGTATCTCTCTGCAGTATGCACTAATTTATGCCTTCCAATCATAGCTGGATTGATTGTGTGCAGTGTTATCTGTTCATTTATTTGGACACACTAAAACTTTGATTGCAAGGCATTCGGTTTATCAAAATGGCAAGGTCCTCATTTCGCTGCAGTGTCCAAATCTGGCAAGGTGACGAAATGCAGTCGTGCCATCTGTCCTGGCATTAGTCTAAAGCTGAGGTTGAATTTCGCTATCTTCCAAAATGTGCGACTTGTGAAGAGGAAGCTTTTTAAATCTTGAGAGAGGCAGCGGACGCTAAGGTGTTGTTCCAAAGAGGTCTCCTAGAAGGACCAACGGAAGCTACCCTCGGTACTTCCAAAAGGTTGCTTTTTATTTAGTTCTTCCGACGGGCTTTGCGAGTTGCGCCGCAATTGTAGGGCCAAGTTCCCGGTCCGTGCGTGTTCCAACTGACCCCCGCGTTCCCTCCTCCCCGGGCAGAAGCGGGACATCCGGCGTGTGAAGGACACGCGCATCAAGCTGATTGACTTTGGGTCGGCCACCTTCGACGAGGAGCACCACTCCACGATTGTGTCAACGCGGCACTACCGGGCCCCTGAGGTGATCCTGGAGCTGGGCTGGAGCCAGAGCTGCGACGTGTGGAGCGTGGGATGCATCCTCTTTGAGCTCTGCCTCGGGGTCACCCTGTTCCAGACCCACGACAACCGGGAGCACCTGGCCATGATGGAGCGCATCCTGGGGCCACTGCCCTACCGCATGTGCCGCAAGACCAAGTGAGTGGGCGCACCGAGACGCAACCGATGCCACTCCGGAGGCGCCAGACCAAAGCCACCTAGACGGCGAGGCTTGGGGGCTGCATTTAGTACGTCGCGTACAGAGGCAAATCTGGGAGTGTACGCAAGCTCTGCTGCGAAAGCTTGTATACGCGAAGTCCATTTGCATTCGCAGAGGTAGACTCCATGGAATTATAGCGCTGCGGAAGCTAGCTAGCCTCGACAACGTTGCACAGGTGGTTGACGCACAGGCGGTGGGGCGCACCAGTGGGACTTACGCGACAATGGTGCAATGTTGTCGATTGAGTCCAGTTTGTGCGGTCTGCTAACTTGAAATTCCAGGGGCCCTATGCTACGCAACGGGACCAAAGACTGGAGCAAAGCAGTCTGCTGCGATTGGTCAGCGGTGCTGCGCTGACCAATCGCAGCAGACGACATTGTCCCGGCATAATGCATCAGCTTTCTGCTTGACAAGCTTTGGCACACTTAAGCTGTGAAAAAGGGTGCTGTTCTCGTTTTCACTATAATTGTGAGTGAAGACCAGTCTATGGCACGTTGCCCTGAACATCCCTCAAAGTATGAGAGTCGCCCTTATAGTTAATGCAATGCTCATGCTTGGGGTGAAACGAAGAATAGGTACTGTTGCTTCCTCGGGACTCGCTGTCGCTAAAATCGTCGTAGAAGGATCGGAACATTTTGTCTTGCCTCTAGATGAGTTGCTTGTTTGTATTTTTGTCTCGCGGTTTTATTTGTTACTACTGGCGACACACAGATCGCCTAGGGTATCAAAATTCTTTCTAAGACTCCTGGTTACTCTTGAGCGTGCAAATATTTTCTCTAGAAAAGGATGTTTGTTGGTTAGAGGCCATTTATGCTGGCCTCTGTCCTGTCCCCTGGTGTTTTTTATGACACAATGCTCTAAATGCGTCCCAATGTGCAATGAAACGCATGTGTGAGATCGGTGTGATACTGATGGTCAATTAAAACCATTCTTCGAGGCCCCTTTAAATTAAAAATTACTGCCAAGCAAAAGTCGTTTGACTCTTACTTGGTGGGGGTATTTTTGTTTAGCACCAAAGTGCACGTAAATTCAAATTTCATTAATGAATACCTGGGGACTCTGTTCAAAGCAATATGCATCTGTTAGAACCCCGGGGCAGTTCATTATTGTTGCGGCAGCATTTCTTCTTATCAGCTGATAAGGGCGTGCTTCCCCTGGGAATACAAGCATTGCAACGTTTTCGAAGTCTCTATTTGTGCAAAGTGGGAATCCATCTGACCTTTGGCAAAGTAATTTAGTCTCAGGATTGTTTCCACCACAGTTAGGAGAGGCACTTGCGTAAGCACCAGATATGCTGATGATGGGCTGTTGGGGCATTCCAGCATCTATCGGACGGAACAATGAAGCCTCTATCAGCAACTGCTCAGGTTTTCCGACTGTAACTTCCCTTTGATAGGACTTCTTGGCGAGAATTCTGGCTAATCTGGACCAATGATAGCTGACGTTGCCCATTTTCTGAATTCATTTACACAGTTCTTTATTATTTTTCTTTATTTAACTTATTAACTACCCACCCCTACTGCCACGACGAAAGAAAAAATGTTTTTGTTTCCCAACAAAACAAGCAGTTTTTAGGCGACTTGAGCAGTATTCCTCAGTACAGCCTGTCCTCAAACATGTTGATGTGCAAATGTAAAGTAGGCTGCCAACAAGCTACATTTGGCACGACTGTAAGAAGTGTTTGCTGCATGGTTGCCTGGTGGGAATATGATCCTAAGTCACGTGCCTCTGCTTGGGGAAGATGCTGTGGTGTCATTTCAAGGGGCTGTACAACAATATTAATTTTGGACGTTTTTCCACATTACACGGGCTTATTGGCACTAGTGGGATCCAAGTATATCCACACGTAACACCACCGATAGGAAAAACTTCTTTGTTGCGGTGTAATTTCATGTAAAAAAGCGCGTTTTTTCTTTCAATCTTTCTTTGCAAAACCTGCCAATGTACCTCGGAGTTTGCAGTGTTGGCATAACCCCCCCCCCCCCCCCCCCCCCCCCAGTGATAATATTTGAACGCTACTCATAGATTGAACCCGAGCATTACACGAGCACTTGATTTGGGCTCTAGATAATGAATAGCTTGCTAAGCATTCGAGTAGAGGCTCATATCCAGTCGCTGTAATGACGACAATGGCCAAACCCTAACAATGTCTGGAATTCGGTGCGTGGCTGTGATTAACATTTGCACCATATAATCCACCCCAGATCTCGTGGCCACTCGTTCTGGCTGTAAATTTTAAAAAATGACGCTCTTTTTTTTTTTTTTTTTTTTTTTTCAGTTTTTGCAAGGGGAGAAAAACTAACGCGTGTTTCACAGATTATAAACATTGGGGATTCATTCTAAGCAGTACTTGCGCAAAGTCCAAAAATCGTCGCACTGCCCCTTTAATTGCGCGGTTAATACATTGACTACCAGCCGAATTGAAGGCGGCAGAAGGGCCACACACAAGGTTGGTCCCTTTTCTGTGGGGCCTCCTTCAGCTACTAGAGCTCCATCTGTTCCATAACCACTTTCTGTAATCATCACAGCCATAGATGCTTCTGCACTATAAAACCACAATCAATCAATGAATCAATCTTGAGGCCTCTAGCTTGGCTCTCAATCGTAGATCATTTTTTTGTCGCTTGGCGAAGGGACGAGCTTATGCCCGTGTCTCTTTCAGGACGAAGTACTTCTACCACGGCCACCTTGACTGGGACGAGAAGAGTTCTGCGGGCCGCTACGTCAAGGACAACTGCAAACCTCTACGGGTGAGCTGCCTTTCTAGCTTTGTCTGGCTTGCGGTTTCTTGGCTGGACATTGCCTGGCAAAAGTTTTACAACGGGCATTATAATGCACTAATGCTTTCTCAAGCACTTGGCGGTAGATTCATTAAAAATGCCTTCTTGCATTGGTTTTTTTTTTTTTTATTATTATTATTTTTTGGGGCCGCCTTTACACATTGTAACCTCTGTCTAAAAAAAGAAATGCTCTCAACGATAAGTTTTGTAGTGTTCCCACTACAGTATGTTCCTTTGGGCGCTCTTGTTTTGAAGGGGACAGTAGAGTCTTTTCTGTGTTGCAATGGTGGCTAAGGGTGACCAGGTGGATCAATCTGTGTTAGTTCTAGTGGCAAATTCTCCCCGTTTTCATTCAATCAATCAATAATTTCACTTCAGACATTACAGCCTCATAAACGTTGAGGAGGGCGTGAAATTTGGTAGCTGTTGGTATCGTCTTGCCGTATTTGAGTTCTTTTGCATTCAATTTTTCTCGTTTTTTTGAACCAGCAGTCTTCAAAAATTTTGCATGCTTGTGTTGCAAGACCGAAGGAGTTTCATTCATAAAGCTACAACTGTTGCCCTTGTTAAAGAAGAGGAATATCTAAGGAAAATAAAACACGAAAACTGTGGGGACAAGCAGAAGGAACACACACAGTGCTTTCTCTTACTTGTCGGTGACTTATTTACACTTTATTGCTGTCGTAAACGCCGGTTTGCAATTGCTCGTCACCGCTTACTAGAGTACATGCCGCTGCCATCTATCGGGCAGCCCTAGAACATATCTGATTTGCAAATATTTCCTAGTTTCTTACGGGTCACTTTTTAACGATGGACTCAATATTTCTGTCAATGTTATAAAAAATCCGAATCTCATAGGGAGAGCGTACGTCTGACCGCGCAAATACTGCGGATCCTCTAGTCTAGGCATACACCGATCGGACGTACCGACTGGCCCAAGTACAAACGTAGTTGCACGTTTCCAGCGGTACATGGCCCTGGACGACGAGGACAGCCGGCAGCTGTTCGACCTGATCTCTCGGATGCTGGAGTACGAGCCGTCTCAGCGCATCAGCCTGCTGGAGGCGCTGGACCACCCGTTCTTTGCCTCCCTCCCCGAAGAGTACAAGCTGCACGTGCAGCTGCAGAGGCAGGGTTCAGCCTGCTCCAGAGAGCACAGCCTGAGCAGGTGACCCTAGTGGGACGCCCCCCCCTGGCAAGAGGAAGACGACGACACCAGAGACGACACTGTGCATATTCTCCGCATTCCCCTCTCCCCCCCGCGTCTCTGACCTTCTGTAGATACTCTTTTCCTGCGTTAGGACGTTAATAAAATGGAAAACCTCGCTTTGTTACCACCGTGGTGGCGTCTTGTCTTGCGGTGTACTTGGCTCCCTTGTGGCGCCGTGCCGGTGGTTGGCGTCGGAGGTTATCTGTTGTTCGAGGGTGTGAGAAGCCGGCAGTGTTGGCGCGGCGGTCAGACTAAAGGGGATGTTTTGTCCAGTTTTCTGCAGAGCTCGGTGTAACACAATGCCTGTAATCTGGATTCTTTGTGGTCCTCCTTGATCGAGCACAAGGCATAGATTGGACACTAATGCTGTGTCATTGTTTTACTTATTGTACGGTGCTTTGCTTATTGAACACGAGCCCCAGCTGAGCGGTGACACAGCTCGGCTGCCAACCATTATCAGAAACTCGAGTGCAGTACATTTCCTTTCCATACCAGTCGTAAGGCACATGCTTGCAGGGAGTGGTACGTTGAGTGCTTTCGGTGATTACTCGTTAATACTGTACTTAAAAGTTTTAGTAGCTGCGTCTACTAACGAGCTCATTGCTTCCACCGGATGCCACTGGTCTCGCACGCACTCGTTACCACACCGTCTGCTGCATAGCCGCCTCCCTGTGCGGGAGAGGGGAAACGTCACTGCGTCGCGTCGGCGAGGGGACTACATTAACGACCAGCCTTCGCGAGCCAATCTAGTTTCGGTATCTCCGGTAATCCTAGCGTCTCGCACGCAGCGGTTACAGCAGCGTTGCCCTCGGCACACACTCGTGCACGAAGGGGGGGAACCGAAGAAAGCCTAGAGCCAGTCTGGAGATATCAGCGGCGGAGAAACCGGTTGTCAGCGCGAGCACCGAACTCGGAGCAGTGGAAAGCAGGCGAGATTTCAAAGGTAGCCTGGACGGTAGCGTTGCTGGCTGGTGTAGTACGTCTGGTGCTCAGTGTGTGTGTGTGCCTCTGCTGGCAACCGGTTTGGCGAAAGTGTTCCACCAGTGCCGTGTCCCGCTGGCCTCTCGCCCTTTGCTAGATCGATTTCTAAGACGGGCCGAGCACTCTTGCAACGGACGGAAGGGTTCCGGCGAAAACGTCCGCAACGCTGCACGCAATCGGTAAGGACTCGGCCCTCTGTTTCGTTGTCCCGTGACATTTCGTTTTTTGGCGCTAATTTTAGAGGCGGTGCATTGTGCTTTCGACGCGCGCAAGGCGCTCCCCCGCGTGCGTTGCGGAGGAGCGGCATGGGATAAGCGTTGAGGATGCGCTCTTTGCGGCCTTGGTCTTGCGAAAGTTATCCTAACGGTACTTCCTGTTTTTCTGGCCCTTCTCCCACGATGCGCGCGGGCGCGCGCACGCTCTTGGCAGTGTTGCCGCAGTCGCCACGTAAGCTGCGCTTTAAAAGTTCCCACCGGGATCATCATCTCCCGATTTAGGCCGGGAAACGCAAGGTTTCCCGGCCTAAAGCGTCGAGTGGTAAATCTAACTACCGGAAACGGAAAATAAATTTGCTACGCCATCGTCTGCAGCCAGGCAAAGGAGAACGGGGGGTATGAGCCTGCATATATCAGTACAGGGTTCCTGTTGACAAGACTAGTTTCTTACGTGCCTTTCAGCTAATAGAGGTAATAAAATATGTCTAAAAGTTTTTTTTTTTTTTTTTTTTTTTGCAGTTTTGTGAATGTTGTAGGGTGTGTGTACAGTCTTGAGTCTCCCTCTAACATGCCTGCAACTAGGCAAAGGAGATGCATAGGCTTCCGTATGACAAACTAGCATATGTCGGTCGAGGCATTGTGTGTGTTGGCGAAACAATAATTTCTTCCACTCCTTTCTAACAACTACGTTTTCAAGATTTTTTTTATTACAGTTTGTTAACAGTATGCTTAGCAATTCTAAAAAAACAATATTATTTAAAAAAAAATATCGCAGACCTGTCTTGCAATCTTACTGTCTGCCCATCTGTGTAGGCAACATCCTGTCTGCACGTTATGCGGAGCGCAAGTTCGTCTGCTGCTTCTGCAGAGGTCGTGGTGACGTCAGAATGCCGAGCTCTGATTGGCTCTGGTTGAGGAATAGGGGGTAGACCTTAGGTCTACCCATTATCCTTCAATCAGAGCTCGTCATTCTGACGTCACCACAAACCCAGCAAAAGAAGCAGACTAACTTCCGCTCCGCATTTCAATCGTTTCCGTGGAGCAGAAGCCCGATCGAGTCCTCTGCCTTTCGGACGCATATCGATTTGTCAACTGAGTGACAAATATGTTTTCGCAGTCTCGATGTTCCGTCACGTATGGCGGACGTATTGACACGGTTTGAGGTCCGTGCACCCCACCGAACCCGGTAGCGCCGAAATCACGGGGTACGCCAAAGGGCGGGCTGCTAGTGCTGGTTGTACCTTACATCTGTCCAGTTTGACCCAGATATGAGCGGCAAATTGGCCGGTGCGCGCGACTACCGAGCCAGAGAAAGCGCCCCCCTCTGTAACCCGTTTTGTGCCGGCGTTCTCCCCGCTTGTTTTCTTTGCGCTTCCTGCTTGCTTTCTTTGAATCGTTTTTTTCCCCTTTTCTTGGGTTTGTTTGTTTATGTGCCGAGTTCGCGGCTTGTTTTGACAACACGGATGTTCCGTTCCGTGCGCTACTCGACGGCGGCAACTGCTGCTGCGTGCGTGCGGCCGCGCTTCGGGATGTTTTCGGTTTCGCCGGCTCGCGTATCTTCCTTCCCCATCGACGCGGCAAATGTTTAATGGTTTTGTTTTGTTTTTTGTCGACCGCGGAACGCCGTTTCTCTTGAACGCTCGCGTGCCTTGAATGCGTCCCTGAGTTCTGTGGACAAGAAAATAAAATATGAAGGAAAAAAAATCGTTTACCGAATTTGTTGGATTTTTGTTGAGCACTGAACGGAGCGTTCTTTTCGGCGGCAACACTGGTTATGCTGCCACTTTCGCTGTCTGCGTTTGGTGTTTGGTTTGCTGTTGTTTTGACCGCGGAGCCATATTGCATCTCTTAATTAATTAATCTGTTCGCCGTGTAACCCAATCAACACTTCTGGGATATTTTGACACTTCTTCCGGACATATCGTAAGGTAAGAAATAGGGAACGCTTGTCATACAACGAGCGCCTGCTCGGCGTCCCCACTGACTACTGCTCGTTAGTTTGGAGAATACTGGAGCATGCTGCTCAACATTCATGTCGTCTACACAGACAGCTTAATAATTTTGGGTGGGCCTGCTGTGATCGTGTGCTCGTGAAGTTGAAGCGTCGTTATGGTGGGTTACTAGTTAGCCCACCATAGTGTCGTTCAAGGATCGTGCAATCCGTTAACATTCATACATGATGCGACGGCCTGGAGCTGAGCCGGTTGGTTTGAATACCATACATGAATTTCCTCTGCGTTCAGCTGGTATTCAAGGAAGCATACATGATGCTTCTAGAACCTTGTATGTTGAGCTTCTTGCAACGGTTTCGCTCGAACTTGTGATGAGATAGAGCATAGGCATGTAGCTCTCAAGCTTGAGCAAAATCTAATATTTTTCGGTTGTGCGTCTTTACGTTCTCTCACATTGCTTGCGGGAGCCAAGGTGGCAGAATGGCAGAATTTTATTGGTTTATATAAATCTTCGAGAAATAACTGCAGGAAATGCGTTCTTATTGTTTTGATAAGACGGTTTTCTATTATTTATTTAACCATATATATTTTTTACTTCTTTCGTACTCTCTGTTACTGCGCGTAGACAGATGCTGACACACGCTTTTAAAGGACCCTGACTTGTGCATTATCACCATCAGGGATGGGCAAAATACATGGAAATATGTATCGAAATACAAATACAAAATACTTCGTCGAAAATGTATTTAATTACAAATCTAATTACATTTCCAAAAAAGCATTTAAATACAAGATACAAATACAACCAACTGTATTTGGTCTCCTCCAAATACTTTTCCAAATACATTCCTCAAAATTTGCGTCAGCGACATCAGGGCACCTGCAACGGGTTTCTGGGCATCTCATTTTAATTTTGCATCGCACACTCGGGGGTTAGTGTGCGAGACTGTAGTAACGTAATAGAAATATAATCACAAAACAATGTAATCAGCTTGGACGTAATAGGTGAAAAAAGTACAGAGCTTCAACCAGCTTTCTTATCGATTACATTTTGGTATAGACCAACAATGAACCGAGACGACCAAGACGCGCAGCACTAGCTAGAGAAGTTTTTACAAAAATCTGGACGACCCGCGCATTTAGAATGTTCCAGGCAAAAATATGGATGGAAATCAGGCTGGAAAGTATCACAAGTTGTCGCAGGCAGTTATTTAGCCAGTCTGCCTGTGTGCGTCGATTTCGTCACTATTGTTGCCCTGGACTAGCACCGTAATCACAAAGTCACTAAACGCTTGTGCTTGATTGAGAGACACTGCATTCGGTGCAGAACATAGTTTTCTTCCTGCTCTGGACAGTGCCTTTAAAATAAAACCGGAGGAGAAAAGGAAAAAAGCCCCATGGCCGAATAAAGGATAGAGACTATATCTTACTACCACTTGGATAAAAACAAGAATTGCCGTGACAATAAATTTGAGGGATGTATTTTCGCCCACAAAATTGCATTTAATTACAATTGTATTTGAAATATCCACGTTTTAGTATTTAAATACACACGTAAAATACATTACCCGATTTGTAATTAAATACAAATGCAAAATACACAAAGTATTTAAAATATGTATTTCAAATACTTGTATTTGAAATACTGCCCATCCCTGATCACCATTAATCAAGCCCTGGCCTAGAGCAAGGGGCCTATGCGGAAAGCAAGTCGTCTGCTTCTTGCTTTGGTGTTGCGGTGACGTCAAAACAATGCCGAGCTCTGATTAGCCTTGATTGGAAGGATAGTGGGTAAATCTTAACGCTGCGTTGAGGTCCATCCACAATTATTTTAAATCGGCCAATAAGAACTCGTCATTCTTACATCACCACAAAACCTGTGCAAAAAGCAGCCGAACTTGCACTCCGCATAGGGAGTCTTCACACGCATTTCCACTCAATGTGTGTGAAGGATACCTAGTTAATCATTTCAGTTAGTGCAGCCAATGATGTTTTATACTTGACAGCTGGGGAACGTCATAAAGTTTGTTTTTCGGAGGAGCTCTGCGTGCTTTGTCTTCGAGAGCTTTGGCAGCTGCTGTTGGTACGACGTATTTTCAGGAGGACCGTACGTCAATACGCTGAGCATACATATCTAATTGGTTGCACTGTTTTTCTCGAGGCTTCGCAATTCGTAATAGTGAGCATCATATATGTTAAAGGATCGCACAATATTCCACATCACAGTAAGTTGGCCACTTATTATGGAAACCTTTGTATTAGAGAAAATGATCTCTTCTGGACGCTAAATTCCTCACACAGGCCAGTCTTCAATTCCTTTAGTTTTGTCAGCGTATACACATCCCAGCACCGGTCATGTGACATTTTTTGACTCTTGACACTTTTTCCATTCCAGCCTTTTAATATCCATCATCCAACTTCGACACATCCTTCAATCCCATTAATATTTTTCTCTGACTGTGGTCTTTGACAAGTCACTACCTTACATAACGTTTTCCGCAAGGTACCTTGTCTGTTCCTGCCACTTGCCCCTTGTCCAAGACAATCATCGCCGACAAGCAAGCAGCTCGACGGACACCACCGAATTCATTGTGCATGCTACTGTGCAGGCCATGAACAGCTACCAGATCAGAGGACCAGGCGGTCCCCCGGGGCGGTCCCAGTACCACCAGAGGCACCAGTACGAGCATCGGTTCCCGGAGCACCCCAGTACCAGGCCACGTTGTGCCAGCCCTCCCCACGGCCAGTACCGGCAGGCGACACCACCACGAGGCAACCACAACAATCACCAGAGGTACACCAATTCTAATGCGCTTTGGCGCTCTCAAAAGGTTTGAGTCTGGGTTGCTCGACAGTTTGTTCGAGGGGCTCTAAATTAGATTTTGACATTGTCTTCCTACAATGGTTCCTAAGTCCACGTCCCAAGCTTCCTAAGAAATTCAAAATTAAAGCCGGTTTTCAGAATTTGCGTTAGAGTGCGTTATAGTGGATTACAACTGCTCGTAACTGTTTATGACTGGAGAAGGTGGTAGTACGCTGCTGCCGCCTGTTGGGTGATCCCGGAATACCTCCGGCCCGAATGTAATTTTAGACTGAAGGTTTTGCAGTACTTATGAGATAGGATTTATGCACTATCCATGCGACATGATTGCTTATAAGATTGTCACGATTATTTGAAGCCCACGGTGAAAGAATGAAGCGTAAAAAATATTAAAATATGTGCACGCAGTTTGGAAGTGCTCCGGGGCTTCAGCATGTTCTCTCTTCGCAAGTGGCAACAAAGGAATGCAACGCACTCAATGAAACGCGAATGTTTGAACCAACTTTTACGATCACGCGTGGCCTTTTTATGCAAAACGTGACCAGAAATTTCGTTACGCCCTTTTCCTGAGAAATGCTCTGATAAAGGGAAGGGTCGTGGTGTTCGGCTCGTTTTTAATGAGGAAAAAGGACCCGTGCAATAGTATTTTTGTCTTCTGTGACGCTTAGGGTGCGTAGACGGAGTTCACAACAGTGCAATCCGGATGAGCAAATTGGTAATTTAATTTGATGGAAAGTTTGCTTATCTGCACATCTGGATTATTTATTCTCGGAGACCTCGAAAGGATTATGAAAAGGCCCTTCAATATACAAGTGAATAGATAGACTGGTGTAACTGTGAGTTAATTTGTCATGAAGGGGTCATGTCGAGTACATAATTATCATTCTTTGAGTTCATAGACGGGGGCTTGCTGAGTGAGAGGTTTGGTGCAAAGGACTGACTCTGCCTGTGGGGCGGGCACAGCTATGTAAATTATCCGTGAGTAGCACCATTAATGAGGATGCTTGTTTACGTAATAATGTTTTCCTAAGACACAATCAATATTTCATCTTAACTGTCTCATTTTGGACACTACAATTATAGATTAAGTAAAAGATGATGACCAACCTATCCTAAACATAGGGCTGCTATGTTATACATGCACTATCTAAAATTCCAGAAGGACTTCTGCTGTTTAAACCATTTCAATCCGTTTGTCTGCTGATATGCGTGAGAGGAGACAGTGAATTGATGCTGATTAATTTTATGTTTGCGAGGTGTTTTTTTGATCAGGTTTCATACTTTACAAAGAAGATGGGGAAAATGGGTTTTATTTTTTTAACTGAAATTTGCCAAAACAAGTGCTGCCCCCATCTTTGCCAATTTTTTTGAATTTGAAAATCAGAGAGCTTTTTTCTTTTATTTATTTTATTGCTTAAAAACAACCGTTTCAAGCTATATGTCTGCCGATGCTACACAGTCGAAAGTTTATATTTAGCACTTAAAAACCAATTCCTGCACCAAGAAAAGATTAAACCACTTCTCTCTTTCTCCTGACCATTTTTCCTAGTTCCCTGCTGCTTGGAACTTTTGCGACAAGGGCTTAGATTGTCGAGAAGGGCTTAGAAAGGGAAGAGAAAGGTCAAGAGAATTTCTGCCGGGCAGAAAAAGGTTGCACGGGTCTGCCTGTGCAATGATTTTGTCTGGTTGTTTTGGTTGGAATTATGTGGGTCCTGTCACAACTGTCCATATTTGCGTCGTGTTGTGCGTTTGTTTCGGCAGGAAGTTAGTCTGCCTTGGTGGTTGTCTGTTGCCTCAGCCATAGATAAGAAATTTAGCCAGTGCTGTACTACTGCTGGCCTGGGGTATTTAACATGCGTGACAGAGTAGTGATCACATATATAATGACACCAGACACCAAACAGGCTTGAAGGATAGCTCCATTCTCGCTTGTGAGTTTTTTTTTGGGGTACAGTAGTCGCTAAAAGTAGGTTGCATGCAGAAATGAAGGCCACTATCTGTGTGGTATACTTCAGAGAGGGATGAACCTCTGGATTACCGTCGAGCCTCTCACCTATCATTTGCTGAACATTTTCGTTCTTCTCGTTCTTCTTCTCGTCTCTTGGTGTCAACTTTTGTGTTCCCTGGTCTCGGGTTGCTTCAAAATGTGCAGTATACACCAGCTCATTTGTGCCCTTACGTTATGCTTGTTGTCGTTTGCTTTTTTTTTTATCGTTGTAGAAGTTTTAATACTCCCTTGACCGTTTTTAGTTTTTGTGAATTTCTGACCCTCAACTGCCTTCAAAATCATATTTCTATCCACAAATAAAATAGAAGAAAAATTAGAAAAATAATTCCGTGCTGCCATCTGTTGGCAGAGCCACAGTCTAAATCATGAGCGAGCCTTGGTTCGTCCAAAACGGTTCGGTGCGTGAACCGGGGAAAGCAGACAACCTACACTCGTCTCGAAGGGTTTGGGGACGGCTCCACATTGACGAGCTAGGCTCGTCCAGGACGGTTAAGGGGTTAATCGTTGTGCCTACTATTGGAAAGGAGATCAGACCATGGTGCCTCGAGCAGTTAACTTTAGAACTACACGGATGGGGACAACAAATACAATGACTCAGCGCTCGGCTGACTTAACCGAACGCGGCGTCAGCTTTCGGCTGGAGTTTGTGTCCTCCGGTCGCCTGAGGGGACGGAGGGGCTCGTTTGTTGCTACTCCAGCCTGCATGAACATTGCAGCATGCACGGTGCCCAGCTCTGTACAAAAGCCGAAGTGGGTCAAGTTCTCTGATGACTGCTTTCGGGAGAGGTCCGGCACTTAACGTCACTTCGTTTATTGTTAGTATTTTTACATTGAAATGACCATGTCCACAAGGCCTGTTGGCATCTGCATAGGCCTTGTGTTGGGTAAACACCGAAGTATGGGGACAACAAATGGGTCAGCGCACCCCCTACAGTTTGATCTCCTCGCCAATACTTCATTCACCCCTTTGCTGGCAGAGTTGGGGGAGCCAAGGACTTGCCGGACCAATCAGCCACCCTCTTTTCATCGCTTGACCCCGCTGTTTGTGTGTGTGTAGGGGAGAGGGTGTGATCACAAGGCTAAAGATAAACTTACGACTGGTCTAATGAGCACACAGCTTCCACTGCGCTGTTGGCTTAGTTGTGAACGGAGTATTGAGCTATGCACTCACTTAGTTTTTTTAATGATCTTTTTTTTTCTTTTTAAGGGACTACTACTGTACGAACCGAAGGCGAAGATCAAAGTCGGCCGAGCGCGGCCATCCCGAAAGCCACCGGCCAAGGACTTCGTCCTTTGGTGAAAACGTCCGGACCTCAGAGCGCCGCGACTATGTTCGCTCCTCACCAGTTCCAAGGAGCCGTTCGCGCCACGCCGACAGGTACAGTTTTAGGATTTGTCGTCGGAGAATGATGCAATAGTATTCTCTTTTAAAAATTTGTATTTTGCATCTACACCTCCGAAATTAGAATACAATACATCATGGTATTGTATTCACGAAAATAACCCCTGGAGAAGGGGAACAAGACGGACAAAGGAGAAATACAAATCTCCAAACACAGCTAGGTGACTGGTGCGCGACAGAAAAAATCCGCCTGTTCCTGGTATCGAATCAGGGACCTCTCCATTCCCAGTAAAGTACTCTACCCTTCTCTAGAGATGATTTTCGTCATTTTTGTCCAGCTCACTTGCTCCTTTGCATTCAATTGCATTATCATTATAACCTTAAAAATGAAAGCCGTTCATCCTTGTTGGTGTTAGAATGGTGGCCGCTGATAAGACCCGTTCGCTCTACTGACTTCTAACTCCTGGTTAGCTCAGTTGGCAGAGCGCTCCACTGGAAATGGAAAGGTTCCTGGTTCGATACCAGGACCAGGCGGATTTTTTCGTTCGCACACCAGTCACCTGGCTGTGTTTGGAGATTTCTGTTTGTCCTTTGTCCCCCTCTTCTCCAGGGATTATTTTTGTCATTAAAAGACCGCCCTGTCCCACTGCGCTATAAATTAATCCTCACTTTTTTGCTGTGCCGTCCAGACACCTTCTATTTGTGTGAGCCGTAACCTCCGTTTCCCTTCTTTTCTGAGCTGTGCTGCTGGGACAATGGCAGAAATTAGGTCTACTCTTGGCTCTTTCTAATCGTACAAGGCAGTATTGTCTGTGCCTAAAGTTACAGACCTTTTGGGTTGCACAGCAGTTGGTTCAGACACCGAGACTATGAAGACGGATGGATGGTTGCGTACAGCTAAACCCTCCGAGTTGGGCGGCGTCTTGGGCCACCTAGCCAGTGTTTTTAATAATAATGGTTAACATCTGCCTAATACACATAACAATGTGGTTAAGCCCTTAAGTAGGAATACTATAAAAGCAGAGTAGTGAAAGTGACATCTACGACTATAGTCAGTTACAGGTTAAGAAGGTAGCGGCAAATGCCCCTCAAAGGGAATCAGATATCCCTCCGCCACCTTTGCATCCAATAGCGTCCCACCGTTTCCGTGACGTCGCGGCCAACGCGCGAGGAGGGTCTTGCCCTTCTGTACATATTTGCTTTATCTTTCGACTTTGACTTAGCATTGTGGAAGCCACGAGAGGGAGATTACAGTTCTCCCCCACCGACGGAAACAAATACGACTTTCGGGGATTAGCTTCCCCCCCATGGATACAAAGGCTGCTTTCAGGGGCTCGGTTCCCTCTCCGATGAATACAAAGGTCGCTTTCTTAAAAAGTGGGATCGGAGACAAGTGGGAATCCATTGAAGCGGAACAAGGAGCGTTTCCAGTGAACTCTTCTTTCGACTGCGGAGAGATTAGAAACGGGCGCATCACGCTTGTGGGAGGAGCTTCTCCTACCTTCTTGACTTGTAACCGACTATAGCCCCACCAACCGATGTATTTCGCCGGTGCAGAGCCCGGCCACCAGCCATGCCGTACGGGCGTGGGAGGTCAAGGTCGCGCTCAAGGTCACGGCCCTGCTCGCCCAAGCAAGTGGTCCCGGGAGGAGGTTGCATGGCTTTCCCTCAGGAGTTCATGTAGGGGCTCCTTCTCTCTCTGGAAGTATGAGTTGAAAGGGATTGTGTTTGATAATACATGCTGCCTTTTGTTCTTTCGGGGTTTTCAAGACGGCTGCTTGGGATTTCTTAGTGTTGGAGACGGATAGAGTAGCTTCAGCGGGTCGGCAGTCAGTGGCAATGTGATGCCGGAAGCAGCCCAACATTTTAGTTACAACGCACCGAAATTTTGTTTCATCCATGTCTGCTACAGCACCACAGACATTATAGCTGGCTAAGTTTTTTAGGTCATCGGAATTGCATTCTGATGTGCCGATAAATGGCACCAAAAATTTGCGGAAAAGGTTTATTGACTACCTCTGATTACTGGGTGTTGAGAGCTACCTCTAACAAAGATCTCCGCAACAAGTGTACTCTGCTTTACTAACTTTGTTTTGTCGGATAACTTGTTTTAAAATTGTGCTTTATTGCACCTGACTTACCTGCACGCAGGCCTGAGCCAAAGAAGTACTCCCCGCCGCCCAAGTCTCCGCTCTTTGTGCCCGTGCGGGAGCTGCCGTTTGAACAAGCCCCACCCAGGTAGGCATGGACATGTGGGAGGGAGAAGCGTCGTGAACCTCCATTTGACGAAAATCGCGGCGTAGCCTATCCTTCCATTTAAGTCTCTACTAACACACGTCTGTCGAGTACAGACACCTCTTTGTCTCGATTTAGCAATCTAGTTTAAAGCAACATTATTAGAAATGGGGCTCAGTTGTGGAACTGCTAGCGATGCCGGCTCGTTGGGATATTTTTGTCTGTTGGCAGGCTCCTTCGACAAATGCCGTAGGTCAGTGGTTTGGCACTAAAAAAATAAAACCGAATGTGCAAAGATGTATAATGTGTGCAGGGACGCTGTTTGTGTTACAGAAGGAGGCAAGCATTTTAAACCTGTTTCGTTCCTCCAGTAACACACCAGAAACATATTATTGAAAACGCAAAGCAATAAGTACATTGTGACAGACAATCATCTAAAATTTCTTGAAAGCTGTTCATTACTGTTCTAATGCAGTACAGAGAGTAGTCTATAAACCCTTCTACAGGCGGGACACGAAGAAGCCTCCTTCCCCTCCGGGGCAGAGCTCCAGAGCTGAGTTACTCTGGTGGCGGTGGTTTGAAGTAGTGTGCTGCCTGGAATGCACATTCGACTTGTGTGTTTAGCATACTATAATGCTTACACCCAAAGTGGTAGCAAATTGCATCACAGAAACCAGCGTGTCATGCTGTCAGTTGTCACAACCCTGGCGGTTGGTTATAAAAGCACCGGCGAAGAAGACGATGGGACACGGGCACTGTTGTTATGTCGTCACAACTCGCAGCTGCTTCAGTTTCTGTTGGCTGATCATCTGCAGAGCGGGCTGCAGCAGAGCAATGAGCATCTGCCTTATTCGCCCCTACTGCCTCAATACTGCCAGCATTGTAACTATACTTCGCTTCAGCTGAAGTCCAGATGCAGCCAATGCTACAAGCGCGAGCTCCGGGCTTTCAGCGTCTCTGCCAAGCGCGTGCGCTCGTGCAGTGCAAGCACTGGCCAGGGCCACATGTTTGCGCTTGTAGCTTCGGCTGCGTCTGGACTTAAATTAAACGAAGTATAGCGAAGGCACAAGCCATTTGTGACGTCGAAGAATGGAAACGGGTCCTTTTCGAAATTCAGTCTGGCAACTTTGATCCCTATCATCATCTCGGCGTCTGGCATCTGCGCCAAACTGATGGTGGCCTTCTTGAGGCCGATGAAGGAAGATGTTGGAGATACCACCAAGCGGAGGACTTATAAGGTCTGTACGTTTGAGACCTTGGTATACAAGACGACGCACGAATTACAGACAATGGCTGCATAAGTGTTTTTTTCAGAGTGTCAGTCTTTTGGCAAAAGTTTGACTATGAATTTTTGAAGTGCGAAAGTGATAAGATATGGTTTCGTGACCGCCATTAGTTTGTTGAATGTGAAACAAATTTTCGAGACACCTGACGGCACTAATTTAGAAACAAAATTTGGCGTTCGTGTTTACACAGCATAAGGTTGGTCTGCCTTCAAGGTGTTGCAGCACCGGTTTATGCTATAGATGGAAATTTAGGCTGCGCAGTAGGACTCCTAGCTTGGGTTCATTAGCGTGCACCACGCAGCCTTGAGATATACGACTGCACACCGGTGCGACGCTCATACAGATCGAAACGGGCAGGGGTGGGGATTGAACCCAGGATTCGGGGGTTTTGAAGCATGACCTTTCGCTCCTTGTGCTGCGGTGCGCTGAATTGCTCGGCCACTGATCCCCTTACCAGGTGGCACCGAATTTCGAAAAAAGTTCGTTGAGGGGACGCTGCAGATGCGGCAGTTGGAGACACGTTTTAGACACTTCAGTTTGGACCGCATAGCCATCCAACATGCTCCCATTTCCCGCAGGTTCCCTTCCCCGCAAGTGCAGTACCGCGAGATCCCCGAGGAGCGTGACATAGAGCGGCGCATCCTGGACCCGACCCAGATCCGGGTGGTGCGGCGGGAGGGGGAGGGCGTCCGGCCGCTCTTCGACCGCCAGGAGATTGTGGCGGCCCCCGTGGACCTCCGCGAGGACTGCCTGCGCAGGGTGGTGGCCGTGGTGCGGCCCCGCTGGGCGCCACCCTCGCCACCCCCGCCGGCGACGCGCCAGTCCCGGACCGGCCCCGGCAGCCCGCCCTGCTGCAGGGGACGGTCGCCCAGCTTCGAGCCAGGTGGGGTGGCGCTTCGGCTCTGTGCCGGCCGGCTCGAGACGTAGTCGGTCGATCTCTAGGCACGTTCACGCAGCACCGCTTGCTTGCCTATGTTGCGTTATGTTATGAAAGCGGCTGGTTCACACACTTGTGTCCTTTGCATTCAAAGCTGCTTCACACATTTGTGGCAGCTGCATTCACAACAACCAAAACGACAGAAACGACCGGAACACCGGAACAACCGTGACTCATAATTGCTTCGCAACAATACCTCTTGCATCGCTTGCCACATTGTTCACGGCAAACACATGTCCTGGTGACTTCGTTGTTGCCGCTGTTTCGGATGCTGCAAAAGCACCCGTCACAAATGTGTGAATTAGATTTCGGAGCAACGAAAACGACAACAACGACCAGAACACCGGGGCAACCGCGACTTACCATTGCTTTGTGAAGCTTCCGTTCGCATTGCTTGGCATGTTGAGTACGGTGAGCACTTCTCGCGGTGACTTTGTCGTTTCGGTTGTGAACGTTGCGCAAAATATGGGAATCTGTGAACCGGCCTTTACATCTGCTTACGTCGAGTTACGACCGCGAGTCACCGAAGAAAAGTGGCATTGAATGAAGCGTAGCAACCAATTGAAGGAGCAGCTTTGCATGCGACATGCGAGGCAATCCTGGTTACGTACAACATAACATAAGAAAATTTAAGCAAACTTTTAATAAATTGTGTTACACAGACTCTTCATCACAATTATGTAGATTAGCTGATCTATCATCACTTGACGAAAAGGCTAAGATTGCGAGACTGAAATTTTTGTTAGAAATTATCAATGACAAAACTCTCATAGATAAAGCTGACTATCTCAACAAGCACACGGCAGACTACTAACAGAACAGCGAAGTAGTAAAAATTTTTTTAAATGCTAATTTTTTTTTATGGGTGTTGTCCGAATGGAATCGCTTGCCTGACACCATTGTTCACTCCACTTCTGCAGATTCATTTACAAATGCCTCAGACCATTATTTCACATGACGTTGTTTGTTGGTTTACTAATTACATCATTTTAATTTTTTCCCAATGTATTTTTGCATTTTTGCTTTTATTGTTTCTTTTAAATTTATATAATGTGTATTACACTGCATTATGGTTCATATAAGTACAGTGCTTCCCAAACTTAACGCCGCCACTGGGTTCCCAAACATTGATCTATATTTGTCACCAAAACGTTCGGGATGCCTTTTCAGGGTGGGATAGAAATCAGGAATCCAAACATTCTTCAGATAGTAGTTCAATCGGCAGCCGTAGGGATTGTCAGAAACGGCAAATGCAGTGTCGACTTTAAGTTTGAGGCGCACTCTGCATCCATCTGTGGTCTCATTATATTCCCCTGTTATTTGTGTAAGCTGCTCCCCCTTACTGTTTGTTCCTAAACAGCACTACCAACTAACGCATGATCTTTAAACTTACGTAGCCACCCTACTAAAGTTCCGAACGGAACTGACAGTATTACTAAATAAATAAATATTCACTCGATGCCATTGCTGTGTTTGTTGCTGCTATGTCTGTGCCAACAATGAACTTGTACATTGCTTATGCAACATATGTTTTGCTTGATTGTGATTATTTGTTGTTTTTGGTAGACAGTGAGTAAAAGCTTGTTCTTTGCATGCAGTGAGCATTAACACACTCAACTATGGCAACCACATGAAGCAAAGTAATAGAAGTTATGTTAGCAGTCAGTCTGAAGATAAATGAGAACGTAACAGTAAACAGTGTTTGACGATATCTTTCAGTTTTGACCCTTTCGAATCCCCAAGACCCCTAGGCTACAATGAAAGTGCCTTGCTTTGAAATGCATCTAGGCTGTCTGAGTGAACGAGCTAGCCTGGACTATGAGTGTGTTTTTCATCACCTTGGCTTCGTAACTGTGCTTCAAGTCAAATGAAGCATAAGACATCCGTGCCACATTAGTAGATGCATTGCGTAATTTGCTCCGAGAACAAGCAACTTGTGCACATAGCTTTCACTGACACGTTGAATGTAATAGGGATGAATAGGGCCTTCTAGGATGGCTGAATTTCGTTTAATGCTCTTAGTGCCTTGTTGATGTGCAGTGGAAGGCAGCACGGTGTTTACGTGATGCAGGATGCAGTGTCCTTATCGTAGTTCAGTGCACTAGCACCTAGAATGTTTGGCAGTTTGATACTTTAGACCCATGTTACAGATAAGAGAAACAGGGTGCGGGATGGCCAATAAAATGCGCCTTTTGTGTAAGGCTCGCCTAATTATGAGGCACTGCAGAAAACCAGCCTCCTGCATCCTTATTTCAAACTGTTTTTGTTTGCATTCCGCCCATTGAAAAGCTTGTGGGAAGTGCCTCAGCCTGCACCTCATATCGCTGCGCCATAGTGTTCTTCCGTAGCAAAAAGGCCGTCTGTTTTCACTGCCGTCACCGTGGCAATGAATGCCAAATAACCTTTTCGGACGGCACGTGTATCACTGGGGAGCGTGTTAACCCACTCCCCGCCTGCGTTCACGCTGTTTTGTGGCGAAATACTGTGGCTGCTCATTAAAAAATGAAAGCCGCTTACAACTCCCTGTAACGCCGAATTAGAGCGCAGCTCTTGAGGAGGAGGAGGGAAGGGCACTGGGGGGGGGTTAAAATAACCAGGGGGGGGGTCACGTGACCCCCAATGCCGATGATGTCATCACTGACGTCACTGATGACGTCATCAGTGACGATGACGATGCGGGTACCGATGACGTCATTAGTGACGTCACTGATGACTTCACCAGTGATGATGACGATGACGATGCGAATGTCGGTGACGTCATCAGTGACGTCGCTGATGACGTCATCAGTGATGATGACGATGACGATGCGGATGCCGGTGACGACATCAGTGACGTCACTGATGACGTCATCAGTGATGATGACGATGACAATGCGGATGTCAGTGACGTCATCAGTGATGATGACGATGACGATGTGGATGCCGGTGACGTCATCAGTGATGATGACGATGACGATGTGGATGCCGGTGACGTCATCAGTGATGATGACGATGACGATGCGGATGCCGGTGACGTCATCAGTGGTGATGACGATGACGATGTGGATGCCGGTGACGTCATCAGTGATGATGACGATGACGATGTGGATGCCGGTGACGTCATCAGTGATGATGACGATGACGATGTGGATGCCGGTGACGTCATCAGTGATGATGACGATGACGATGCGGATGCCGGTGACGTCATCAGTGATGACGATGACGATGTGGATGCCGGTGACGTCATCAGTGATGATGACGATGACGATGTGGATGCCGGTGACGTCATCAGTGATGATGACGATGACGATGTGGATGCCGGTGACGTCATCAGTGACGATGACGTCATCGGGGGGTCACGCGACATCGGCGGGGGTCACGTGACCTCGAGGAGGGGGCCACGTGACCTCAGGGGAGTCACGTGACTTCGGGGGGTCACGTGACCCCCCACGAGGTCACGTGACCTTGGTGGGGGGCTCGCGCGGTGCATTATGGGACATTTCCCATGATGCACCGCGCGGTTACGCCGACGCCGACGGCGACGCCGACGCCGACGGCGACGCCGCTCAAGCCGGAAACGGGCCCCTAAGAGCTGCGCTCTAAAAACTATTAAACTTTGGCTAGCAGACGGTTTTTGGGAAATCGGCGTTTGTTGCCTAGGAGGCGGCGATGAAAGCAGACGGCCTTTATGCTGTGGAAGAACACTGCAACGTAGCGATACGAGGTGCATGCTGAGGCACTTCCCGCAAGCTTTTCAATGCGCGGAACGCAGACAAAACAGTTTTAAATAAGGACTTAACACAGAAGGCTGGTTTTCTCCAGCACCTCATAATGTGACAATCCTTACACGAAAAGCATGTTTTTAGACCGGAGTTTGGAGATAGTTTGTTTTACAACAACATGTCTAAAGTATCAATGTGCGGGATGTTTAACCTGTCCAACAGAATGACGCTGTTTGGCTAGTCTCCCGTTTGGACATGAATGAACATGTCAGCAGATTTATGCGTGGTGTGCTTGTCATTTATTCTGTTCCGTTGTTTTCTCTCCGATCGCTAGACGTCAGCTGCGAGCGGTTTGAAGAACAAGAGAGCCATGGACGCTATCGTTCCAGCACTCATGCAGAGCCTAGGTCTGTCTTCCGAATTTTGTTGCATTCACTCCCGCTTTTGTTTCTTTCATATTATCTCTGGTGTTCAACATCAACCATTGGCCTGTTTTGAAAGTGTTTTGTTCTTGTTTGTGAAAATGTTATTATTGTTGAGCCCATGCACTCAAATTGAAAAAGTTTCAGAAGATAGAAAGTTGGCTAGTTGTCACGAATATATTGCAGAAAACAGTGCAAAAAGATGCGAAGGAAGAGAGCTGACAAACCATCGCATGATCTTGTCAATTCTCATTCTTTGTGCGTCCTATCTTTTTTTGCTTCTTTGCCGTAATTTAAAGGGTCCACCACAGTAGCCAGTTAGATTTTTTTTTGTTTCTATCTTTACATTTCTCACCGATGTGAATTGTAGCTCTCAGTGAGCACGATGCAACACGGTAGCAGCCTTACGACACAGCTGTTTTAGCCCTTAGCCCAGACATCCCATTTTGGCCGGGAGAGTCCCGTCTTAAAGGTTCATTCCTGCCGTCCCATCTTTTTGGTGGGACGGCCTCATGTCCCGTTTTCATGGGAACTTGCATAGCAGTTGCAAGCTTGGTTCAGAGCAAATGGAAAACCAAAAAAATGTTTACTTGGCACAGACATAATGTTATAAAAATAGACATACTATGAAACTCTAGTTGCATCTGGTAATACATTTTGCTCACATAAACGTATGTGTGGGAGGCTTTTATATTGCTGAATTTGATATGCATCGGTTGGCAACATCTCTTCCTCATTGTTTAAAAAATGGGGAAGAAAAACACTTGTGTCCTGAAGAAAGAACTTTGGAAAATCGTGCATGTTTACATTTATGCGAAGCGGAGCTTTTTTTTCTGCCTCGCCCCCCCCCTTCCTTTATGTCTTGTTTTGCAATCCGAGGATTATGGTCACCCTACTCTGGCTTCAGTTCCTTTCAGTTTTCACAAAACAATTACAGTCAAATCCTCATTAATTCATACTCTCTTAATTCAAACTTGCGGATAATTCAAACTAGCATCCAGGTCCCATCCTATGTGTCTCTACGGGAGGAAACTCCCAGTAATTCAAACTTTGCTTTATTCAAGCAAATTTTCGGTCCCCCTCGAGTATGAATTAACGAGATTCGACTGGAGGGTGTGAAACGAAAAACTAACCTTCCATTCTCTGTTTTTACACCTCACTTATTCGAGGAAAGAATTCAAAAGCCATGTTATGGGCTGCCTCGCACCACTGTACCTATGTGGTACGGGTATTGTTACGGGAGGGCCTGTTACTGACGTCTGCTTCGTTGCAATTTGACTTGGCAGGTATGGCAACGCAAGTCGGAGGCCAGGCTACTGGCCGGATGCACACAGAGGTGAGCAACTACGTATTCGTGACACTTGCGTTCATCAATCTTCGTCGGTGGACTGGTGGTCGAGCGCATTAACGCAGCACAGCACGGAGCACATGGAGCGAGAGCTTGTGCCGTATTACCCGTGGGTCATGGATTTGATCCCCACCCATGCCCGTTCCGATTTGGATGAGCATAATGGCAGCACGCGGTCGTGTAATCGCTACTGTGTGTGACGCGTGCTAGAGACCCTGGGCTAGCAGCGGTATTACACTGGCTCAACGTGTCGTCTGCAGCGGAACCCATTGGCGATGACTAGCCTTCTGCTGTTGAAACGTACAATGGTCACTTCACTTTATTTGTGCAAAGTAGTGATTATTCCTCGGTGTAATCCCTAATGACTGTAAAACAAATGCCTTAGAAGTCTTGACACCCTGTGAGCACCTAAAAAAAAATGGGCAAAGTTCAAATTAATTCTTTTTATTCTTGCTTTTACAATGGTATGCTGTAAGGCCCCTTTTATCGTCTATTCTCATTGTGAGATCCGGGTGTTTTGGTCTTTCATTTTTAAAGTCTGCCAGTTGCTTGGTCTTTAATAGGGGGTAATCGGTGGTCGAGTGGGCCAGCGTGCACCAGCTCGAAGCACATGAAAGCTTGCGCTGCAGAACCCAGGGATCCTAGGTTCAGTCTATACCCCTATGCGTTTCAGTCTGGATGAGTATTGTACCGGCGTGCGGTCGTGTATCACTACAGTCGGACCCGGATATATCAAATTCAAAGGAGATCGTAAAATAGTTTGGTATACTGTTTTTACTCGCATAATGAACCCCACAACAAATACCAATATTTGGACTTTTTTTCTTTTTTCCTCGCGTAATCACCATATTTCCAATTCTCGGCTCCGCGAGTTTCGAATTGCGTCCAATTTAGCTAGCCACCAAGCCAATTTTCTTTCGTCGCCAAGCGGTCAGGCTAAGTCAAGCAAAGTCAAGCCACTCTAGTAATGGCCGCCAGTGCATAGTTGCGGTAGTGATCAACCTTGAAACCAAGCGGCACGCACACTGGACAAAGCTTGGGTCGAAGAATTGCCCAGCCCCGGACATTCTTCGCTTATCGGATACATTGATGCCAACAAACACGCCGTGTTTGTTGGCATAGTGTTATCAGGCCCTGTTCGCAAAGCCTTCGTCATATAAACCCGCTCTCATTCCCAAGCTGTGCAGCGTGTGTGCGTGGTCTAGTTGGCAGTGTCAAATGATGTCACATGACATCACGGGTGACGTCACATGTGACTGTGATTTCATGACCCTATCGACCCGCTAAATTTAGCGGAAAATTTTCCTCTAAATTTTCCCCCTAAATTTAGCGGGTCAATAGGGTGACGAAATCACAGCCACGTGTGATGTCACATGTGGCTGCTCACATTGCATTATGGGACTTTTTGGTCCCACTGACGCCAACAGCGGATTTTCTTCGACAAGCTCCTAAATACTATCACATTAAAATTTTCGGAGACGAACTGGGTAACTGCATGCATTTTGGTGTCATTATTACGGACAGCTCACATTATGGACGTCTTTTTAGGGGAGGGAGCGGGGGGGGGGGGGGGGGGGGGGAAGGAGGGGAGGGGGGAGTGGGGGAGGGAACGGATGTGTCAATCTTGGCAGGGCATGATTGGGAGGAGGTGTCCTTTCACCGCTAGCTTCAGTTTTAGCTGCTCCCACTAGCGTGACAAAACAGGTCTCTGCTCCGCCGCCAAATTTAGATCAGCTTTGTGGCAGCCCGTGCAATCTCCCGTAGTACCGCTCGGTTGCGAACTTATACTTTTGCAAACAATCGAACAGCTCCCAAGTGCAAAAAAAAAAAAATATTTCAGAGTTGTATTTGTAATGTTACTATAGTGAGTTGTGGTCCTTAGAGGAACTTTTTGTATTCCTATGTACGCCATTCACCCCTACGCCGACAGTGCGGCGAAAGCCACATGCTCGCTGATCCAGCCAACTGCCTCCCTTGTCATTGTCCCGCTCTCTGCGCGTGGGTATGGGTAGACGTCACAACTAGTTCATTGAGCAAGTAGCTTCCACCGCACTGTCAGCTTAATGATGAACAGAGTTCTTCTAACTGTTCATGTACTTGTTTGTGCATGCGTGTACAAAAAAAAAAAAAAAAAAAAAGGAAAAAGTTTGCAATTTTTTATGACCGTTGCAGCTCAAGAACCTTGGCGGGGAGAGCGACGAGAGAACGGACGCGGAAAATCGCCGCCGCCACCGCCGAGAGCCCGACGGTCTCCGGCACGCTGGGAACACGACATGTACCACGCTTGAAAAGAAGGAAAAGCTTGTCACGTGATCACGTCGTGCAACGTGCCAGTGCAGCAATGTTCCCTCTCCACCTCAGCGGTGCACTTCAGGATTGAGCACTTTTTCGGACACTTTGTCGTCACACTGGCTTTAGCGTCGAATCTCGAGTCACGGGCGTTTTTTTGCTTCTACTCGTTTTTGCGAGCATATCGTGTGTACAAATATCCAGTGTGCTTTTGTGCTACGCCGACGTTTGGTTCAAGGGGGGGGGGGAGGAGGGAGGAGGGAGGAGGGAGGAGGGAGGGAGGGAGGGAGGGGAGGCAAGGCAAGGGAGGAGGAGAGGAGGAGGAGGGGTGAAGGGAGACATACCCAGATGCTCAGGTTTGAATCTACAAGGAGCGTTTTTTTTCTCTTGCCTCACTTTCAGTGCGAGCTTGCCGCATATGGCCGTTGCGAGCTCTTGAGGAGGGTAACACCTCGCACGTGGGTACTATCGTGAACGATACGAGCTTGGACGCCCCACCAAGCTCCTTGGGCTGGAACTTGAAGTTTGGGTTCTACGCTGAACTTAGAGATGACTGGGATTGTGGGGGCCACAGTCGTAATAAAGGCAGGGTTGAGTGTTGCTCCTATCGTGCGTGGGTGTACCCGTGTAGAGTTAGCAAACTTGGTAGAAGTGCAAACACACTGGCAGCTTACTGAGCTGCTAGGCTCTCTTTAGCCACATCCTGTCAATTCACTTTAATTTGAGGCAGCAAACTTAAGCTAAACAGTGCTTTGGGAAGAGGTGCTGTCATTTGCAATCTACCTATGGGTCTGCCCATTTCATGATAAGAAGCTGATGAAATTCCTTGAATACTGCATCTTGTTTTTTGTAAAAATGTCTTTTTTTTACCAACTTGCCGACTTTGTGCATGAGTGACATGCCCAAACTTGTTCGTTAAGAGAAAACATTGTGACCCTGTCGTTCACTATATACTTGACAAGGAACAAATTTAAAGCCAAGTCATATCCCACTTCCAAAAGGCTACATGGTCTGCGCAGTGTCTAGAATGCTTTTGCGAGCTATTTTCATTTTGGGAATCTCGTCAGTCTCTTTCTAAATGACCATTCTAGGGTAAAAAGAAACAAAATGGGGAAGGACTGGTATAGATACAAAAGGAAATGGATGTCGGTTCCTAAAAGACTTACAGCGTGATGCCTTGAACGACAGTCAACAAACTTGCAAGCATATTGGCTTACAAGTTTGTCATTCTCTCTGTACCCTACCAAACGCTTGTTAGCAGCTTGCTAAATGGGCCGACGGCATCCACAGAGCATTCATCGGCAACATTTCACTGCAGGTTTTGTCGACCTAATGTACCCTTTTCAAGTCCCCACGAAGCAACGTGGGCAGTCGCCATTTTTCGGGCACGAAGCATGTGAATGGATGGGAGTCCTTGCCGAACGCCGATGCAGCACTCGTCTTCGATACGAGCTGGGCCAAGTTCACGCCAAACGCTGACTTGGCCCTCGTGTGTCTACTGCGTGCTCAGAATACGTGCCCAAGCAGCGGCCAACTCGGATAGTATGCGCCGCAGCTCCCAGTCGGCGCACACTTTTGGAAAGTGGTCTAGAACTTCACCCGTGGGAATGTGTAATATAAGCCATGTTGTCACTGACTGTCATTATTAGCCAAGGACGAAAGCATGGTGGCAAAGCATTTATTGTTGTACTGTAGAGTGTCGAGATAGCTGCCACTGTACCGGCACATTGCGTTTTCAGAGCCATTTCACCGCAAGGAATGGGAGTCTTGCTTTTTGTGAATGCCCTGGTCATCTTGATTGCACATAAAATATGCCTCCAGAGTTGCACAAAGAAGCCCACAATGTCTCGATTCTTTGACCGTTCCCGAGTTGCTTTTGCAAGTGCAGAACATGCGGTGCACCTTGCACAAAAAATACACCAGCGGCAGTAATGGCGAAATGACCGACACGGCTTGACGCCGAAGCTTTGGAGCCTTCCCAATAAAACTAATAGGCTTTACCAGACATCCATCTCATGTTTCTGGCACAAAAGCTCTAGTGTTTAGTATGGATTTAGACATTGAATGTTCAAGTTGGCATAGAATACTCGAAAGAGGCTCCTGGTAATTTTTTTTTATTTGTAACACTTGCAGGTTACTCTTTGTTAGTTCCTTGAATTTAGAGGTGCATGAATTTCGTGTACTTCAAACTGGTGCTGCATTGTCCGTAGATGACGCGGTGCGAAAAGGTGGATCACACCGTCTCGGCTTCCTTTGTGCAACGCCGCTCATGCATCTCCTCGACCGTAAGCAGGAATCAAAGAATGAAGGAACACGTAGCTCTACACTGCCAGCAGTCGCGTTCCAGTTACCTCTCGCAACATATTTATTTTTTCTCTCCTTAAATATCCCGAGCCCTGGCCAGAACCATGCGCTGCAAGCTGAGCTCCAGACACGGTTCGCAGTCTCCACCGGTTTCAATCAGCCCGAGCATCGCGGGGATGCCTGCACGCTTCCTCCCCCGCACGTTCGCGAGCGGTGACGCCCGCCCCCACCAAAACTTAGCCCCAGGACGTCGGGGGCGGGCGTCTTCACTTGGCGTTCTGGAGGCAGTATCCGAGGTGGTCGGGGGGCGGCCGTTTCGGATACGCGCCAGACCTCGTCACGAGCGTCGAGAGGGAGTCGAGCCGGGGGAACCGTGTCGCCATGGGGTGGCGCTCTTCTTCCCCCGGCACGTGCACAATCATTCGCTCCACATCGTGCGCGTCCGCGTGCACCCGCTGCACGTGGCTCCGGCAGTCCGACCGGTTGTAGGACTGGTAGCTGCATCGCGTGCACTGGTACCGGCTGTAGCCCAGGTGGATTGCCGCATGCCTCCGCAGGTTGGAGAAGGTTGAAAAGAGTCGGTCGCAGCGCAGGCATGTCAGCCGGTCGTAGTCGATGATGGACAGGATCTTGCGTTCGACGGCTGGCGAGATGCGCTTGTTAGGTGGGCCCGGAAGAACCGCGTGCGTATCGATCTTGTTGGCAGAGCGCCACTTCAGCGTCTGGCTGTTGATGAAGTCTTTGTTCATCTTCTTCTCGGCGATGCGCTTGGGCCGCACGTTGGCTCGCGAGCCTGACTCCGGGGGCTGCTTTGGCGATTCTGGGGGCAGCTTCGGCGGCTCCGACAACTCGGAAGGAGGCTTTGGCTCCGGCGAATCCAAAGGCCGCTTCGGCTCTGGCTCGGGAAACTCTAGAGCGAGCTTCTCTTCAGAGTCGGGAGTCTCGACGGCCGAGGACTCCGGGTCAGACTGTAAGGAGCACGGCGGGCTCGTCACTCGCAGAACGACGTGGGGCGGGTCCGCGCCGGATGGCGGATCCTTGAGAGGAGAGGGGATCTTCTTGCGCGGGATTCCCTTACGGGATCCGCGCGGTGCCTTGCGGGGACCTTCGAGGAAGCAGAACTTTTCATGGCAGATGCACGACGACCTGCGGCCGAACTGGCGCCGGCACTTGCTGCACTGGTGCAGCTGGCGGCCGTCCGGCGGCGATGCGTGCCCATTTTGGCGCAGTAGCCCGTCTGCCATCTGCTGGAGCCTGCTCTTGCGGAGCAGCACCCCGCTCTGAATGCTGTCTTTGAGCTGCATGATCTGGTCCCTTGTCTGCTTGTGCACGCTCACCAGGTGTCGGGTGACGCCCCACATCTGCACAAATGTGGTCTTGCAAAAAGGGCATGAATAGTAGCGTCGCGTCTTGGAGTGCAGCGACACCATGTGCAGGTACAGAGTCTTCACTGAGGTGTACTCCGTCTTGCAGTTGAGGCACGTCAGCTTGGAGAAGTCGCAGTCGGTTCGGCTCGACAGGTAACTGGCTCGTGAAGACGTCGCAAGGCTTGTGGGCGATTGCGACGACGACGGTTTCTTGTCCGATTCTGGGCAGGGTTGGGACTCTGGGCTCAAAGGCTTCGCCGAACCACTAGGCGTCTCTGACACTTCGAGCTTTGGAGAGTCCAACGGTCTCTCGGGGACGGTGAGCTTGACAGAGTTTGCGAGCTTAAGGGAATTTGTAAGCCGAAAAGAGTTGCCAAGCTTTTCATGGCCTCGTGCTTTGCTGTCCGAGCACCGAGGTGGCCGTACGGGTGTCTTTTCCGGCGGCGGCGACAGGACCTTCTGGAAGACTGCATTTGGGTTCCCGTCGACCGGGGTCAAACGGATCACGGGCTGGGGAGAAGTTTTTGTCGGCACTGCGGGAACTGGTTGAGGTATCACCGTCACTGTTGTATCGGAGGCGGGCTCCGGGAGGCTGGAACAAAGCGACATTGTCTCGCACAGGTGTTCCGTACAGTAGATCCTCTTGTGGGCCAGGAGGTTCGCAAGGCTGCGGAAGAGGTTCCGGCACACTTTGCACTCGAAGAGGATGCTGCATTCGTTGAGCAGCACGTCCTTGACCTCGCGGCTGCCATTGCTCATGCAGTGAAGTATCTGCTTGACGTTCTGCGTCCCAAGAGTGATAGGTCGCTGCAGGACGGAGTGGTCCCACTCTGGCTCCGTGGGCGCTGCTTGGGCCTTGGACTTCCCAGTGGCCATCCCGTCCACGCTCCTAAAAACGGCAAAACAAAGTGGTCCGGTCAAACAATGTACTCGATGTTAAAATGCTCGTCATATGTGTGGAGTGCACACTCTTCTATGTTTAATATTAACCTGATGGAGCGTCTTAAGGGGAGGGCATAGCTGACGCACTGAACTATACCCGAAATTGCGGGCGGTCATCGGGGACAGTGGGCGGTTACCCACTAAACACGGGAGGAGCGCGCGCCTGGTGACGCAGTTAGCGTTTCTCAGTTGAAACAGTTTGTCGCGAGCAGGTGTCGGAAACTTCGGTTCGCAAACCGCCGGAGCTCGAGGATGCGCGTTCGTCCGTTTCAACACACGTGCGGACGGGCGGCATCCATTCGGGGACGGAAGCGACGCGACCGCGGTCAACTGGCACCACGCCACCGCCATGAAGCGAGGCTGGGCACCACCGAGCGTGGTGGTGCCCTTTCGAGCGGAGGCGAGACGCATCTACGTGAGGGGTCATCTCGAACGTCTACATCGCCGTTTGTTGGACGGAGTGACTTCGTGTACGTACCCGCTTAGGCGGTGACCTCTGCCGACAGCAGCTCCCCGCGGCACATGTCCTTTTTATCGAAGCTCCAAAGCGGCAGGGCGGGTGGGCTCTCCGTGCGGTCGGGCGAGGTGGGCCGTCGCTACTGGACGGATGTGCCGGTGGGTCGGTGCCGTTGTCGCGAACGAAGCGGGCCAGGCCAGTGGCGGTGTGAGGACGATTCCGGGTTAGCAGCGGTGCTGCAAGAAAACCGATACATCCACAATCGTCGGGGGAGCCGATGCCCCATACGTGGTTACGGAGCACGACATCGTCGTCGTGCCCTCGGTTCTGGAAGTAGTCGCGAGGGGGCGCTGAAAACGTAACGTGCATCTATGTGTGATGATTTTAATGATTTACTATGTCTAGCCATGCAAATTTGTTTTTCATTTTGGGTCTTGCACTGTTTTCACAAACCTTTGTCTTTATGGAGAGGAATGGTTCAGAGTTTTATCGCAAATTATGCAATAAATTTGTGTTTGTCGTTTTCAATACGTCATTCGTTTTTCGTTTAAAAAGTTTAAAGCCATATTGGCCATATCAGCTGAATCGCCACAAACATCATTTTCGCGTTTGTTGTCGGTTTTGTGTTTGGTTTCCCAAGCCGTGGTTTGTTCATCTAATAATGACGCCTAATGATTTAATTTGTCGCAAGTTTGGCTATTACTTGACCGTGTTTTTGGTTGTCGCTGACTACTGTGCCACAAGTACTTACCGCAACCGGGAGGCATCGCACGGTTTTACGGACATCTTTTTATAACAGCGGACCTCCGTTGGGTGAAGTTGCTTTGGGGTCATGTTGCCACTGGTCGTGCCCGCTGTACTTTGCCTTTAGTTTCTGTATTTTTTTCTATCACGGCGTTTGTGACAGTTTTCCGGGCGAATGTAGTTACTAGCACCAACCCGTTAGGATGCTTCGAACTCTGTTCTGTCTTTGTCTGCACGAAATTCAGGTTGGCGGTTAACAAGGAAGCACTCGACAGTGATTAGTACTTCCCTCATGGCCTAGGCACACGAGCGCAACGAACTCTATTTTTATTCGCGGACAGAATTAACATCTCTTTTGGCGGCCACAAAAAAAAAAAAATCTCCCTTGGAACTACCGGCTCCTATGTGGTGTGGCCAACTAGTAAAACTCGAGCGTAAAAAAAAAAAAAAAAATGCAAACAATTTGTTCGAGGCATGTCGGAAAATAGAGCGTTTGTTGCTCGTTTGACTAGTAGGACGAGTGTTTTTTGTGAGCGAGGACTGTTCTGGTGTGTGTGCTCTGTATTCATATTCAAATGTTTCACTTTGGAGGAGTGTCTGTGATTATGTGTTCGAAAAGAATGTTTGCACCTTAAAGTCCTTAGAAACGTAAACTACAATGTTACATGTTGCGATCTCTCGCGATACGTTAGACAGGTCACACCGTGTAAAATGTTTCAGGCCTTGATCTGATTTGTTTGGAAATGCGAGAGGAAAGGGTAATACTTTTTATGACGGACCGACAACTGACCAGCGTGGATCACCGTGCAGCCAGGAGAAAGTTTTGTTTTGACACAGGGTGCCTGTACACTTAAATGCACCACCGCTTAAAGGAGGCAGGTCGGAAAGCATATGGAACCACAACTTTCCTTTTGCGTCCAGTTCCGGGCTCTCGCCTGTCGCAGGAAACGGCATTTTCTGTCCTTTCCTACAAGCATTGAATTGGAACTTGAAATAATGTCTTTTCTTTCTTTAATATATGAAAATTGACAGAGATGTTGGCACTGCCTTCACAGTTCTGGCTACTACCTAAAGAATATGTCCATGTAAAGTTACAGAGTTTTACATCCATTCATTTTCTCTTAATTGAAACTGCGAACCTTCTTTTAAAGCGCCCGTTATTTGCTGTTGTCCGTGGTTGTGCCGCATTAAGCGAGCTTTGCTTATTTTCACATGTGTTGTCGTCATTATTGTTTCTCATTTATTTTCAGGGATCACCTTTTCAAATGGAACACATTTAGGCTGTCATCAGCACTGAAGCTTGTCCAGATCAAGTCCAGAGAATTTCTGAGTTTGCACAACTTGTTTCTTTTCTTTGAGTTGATTTTCCTGCGAGTGATCATCGTGCCATGAAATTTTTGTTATTTGTTGTAGGCAGTGAAGTGTTTCAACAGCAGCACCTGCTTGCATCATGCATGAAGTGATGCGGCTTTTTGTTTGTGAGCTTGGCTTTCATGTTGTGCGGTTGTCACTGGGAAAGTAGATTGTTGACTTCATTCGTCTCCCGCCGCCTTGGGTATGATGTGGATGGATAGAGAAAGAAGAGATGTCTTAGGCTCTCTAGTTTAGTGTTTTGTCACGCGATAAAAAATTCTTTACAATACGTCGCACTGAAAGCAGCAGTTCCTTTTGCACAGTTTAAATGCATCGGGCACGTAGCCTGGATTTTGTTTGACAAAATGCTGTATGACAAAATGCTGTATGAGGGGGGAGAGGAGGACCCAGCAAAATGGAAGATTTCAGGGGGGGGGGGGTGGCCGGGCCCCTTGCCCAAGGCTACGTGCCTGAAATGCATACTTCACCAAATAATTCAATCTCAAATATTTTTTAAGTGCCTTTTTGCCATTGGTACATGCGGTACAAGTACTTTTAAAGGGATACTACAACAAAGTTTTAGTGATTGTTTTTTGGTCTATACGTGTTCAAAGGAGCAATATCACATTGGACACAGCGATATATTGTTAAAAAAGACTCGAAAAGGAATTTCAAAACATGGAACGATTAGCAAAAAGCACCTGGTGGATGTCGCTAGAGCCTCGTTTGTTATCCCCCCTCTCGGAACCTTCACATGTAGTGACAATAACTGTTTTGCCTCGAACTAGACATGCTTTAAGCCTGACGTCATCCTGACAGCTCTACGGCCAGTACAAGAGAAGAGGGGAGGGAGGAACTCCTCACTCAACGGGACTCTCTTTTGTGTTTCCCAGACGTCACTATGCTCCCTCTACAAGATTATAGAGGATTAACCCGTCGCTCTAAATGCACACAAAAGCAGCTTTGCGGTTAGTTGCAGTGGCCCGATTGCTGGCGTGCTTCGACCGCTTTGGTGGCTGGAACGGCTAGGGCACCTTGACGACGTCAGCTTTGCCGCAGCTTTGCTCATTCCGACACAAACTATGTCACGATTGCGCCAGATGTGACGTGCTCTCCACCGGCTGCTCTCCGAGCGCTCGCCAGAGTGGGCCATTTATAATGAAAAATACGGCCATCAGGCTCAAAATACAAACGTGCTATATTCATTTACGGAAATTGTGGATCGTATTCAGCCTATTTCTGAACACGATGGGTATATTTCATATTTTGTTGTATCTCTTTAATAGTGTGTGTCTTATTTATTGACAAGAGAAGCAATAGTATCCAGTGTCCACTATTTTTGTTTTTTCCTCATCAGTAAGAAGGATTGTTCCCAGAGGCATCTCTTACTCACAAGTGTGCTTCGTAACATAGTTCTGCTTTTCTGTCTTTGCATGGCTTGCTGTCTGGCTTGCTTTTGCTCCTTAATAGCTTTCCCTTTTTCGTGGTGAGGCAACTGTACTGTAAAAGGCACCGTATTTGCGGTCTTAATATTTAAGTTTTTGTTCCTTAAATCTCGCGGAGATAAAATTTTGCAATTTGGTGTGAACTTAGTAATAATCCCTTCTCATTGGCAGCATGTTCACATGGCCATTTTTCAGTTTCTAAACTTGCAAAAAGTTAGTTGCCCTGAAATAAGTTATGTACAATACCCGTGCCGAGTGGCTGCTGTCACTTCCCTCGGAATGTGCGCAATACGTGGTCTTGTTTGTTGCATATCACGAACACTGTCCTGCTCGAGATTTTTTTGGGGGGATGTAGATTAAGGAGTGTCTGTGTAGTGACTCAGCTGTCGCTTCATATTTGCGCATGCCTGGCTGCATGTCAGGTTGGGAAAGTTTTCCGACGCTGTGGTGCACTCCTCCGTGCATGGAGACAGAACGTCAGCATGAGCTGTCTTGGTCTGTGCTGCTCTCATTGATATCATATCCATATCAGTGCCTTATCCATATCAGTGTCTATGCTAGTTCATATCCGGAAAGTGGTGTACACAAGTTCTTCCTTCTTTCATGCTGCTTAAACAAGTGACTGCTCTTCTTTCTCCCTTTCACAAAATTATCATGTTCATGCAGTGGCACACTTAATGACATTTGATTGATCATTTTTTGCGTGACGATATGCGGGAAGGGTCAGTGGTTGAGTTTGTCGACTCGTCGCAGCTGGTTAAAAAGGAAGCAAAGGTTCACATTGCAGACTTTGAGACAAATTAAAATTCATCCCCTGCCACTTTCAAATAGGCATTGCACCAAGGTTCAGCCGTCTGATCACTGCTGCACGACGCACATTAGACACCCCCAGTTAGCATTTTTACTACACTGGTTAGGTCTTTCTTCACAGTAGAGATGCTTTTTCAAGGCAGTCTAATTTCCGACTGCCTAAACTTCTGTACAGCCTATTTTACCTTTTTTTCTTTGAGGATGTGGTAGTAATTTTTTTATTTACAATTTTAATTGACTGGATTTGTGCTGCAATGGCTGCTGTATCAGCACGGCAGGGCCTAAAAATCTTCACCGACACTAAAAACTGGTCATGGCTGTGTGTTGTTTGTCACAATTGATATAAAAAGGTGTTTTCGGCCTGAACTCTTTTTTTAATGTATCGGAGCTCCTTTTACTGATCTGGAGTGCCCTCGTATTTCATGCGTAACTGAGGGACCTTGCTTGTGTGCCTTTTTTGTTCAGTGATGTTGATTATGTAGTCATGCAGCATGGTGCAAAAGCTAAAGATAGTTTCAATTCTGCAGACTTTTCTTGGTAACTCAAAGCTGTTTTCGCACTTCCTTTGAGTTGCGGTGTGGTTGCTTGAAGATGGTTGGTATTAACTTCAGCATTGTGCATTTGCGCATTCTGTTGATTTTCTAAACTGTGCAGACTTGCATGATTCACTCTTGTCGTGGTTGAGGTGTTATAACGTGACACCAACGTTGTCAGCTTGGTGCAAACTAGAACTTGTCAGCTAGGATTTATGAGAAATTCTGAATTGTTATTGATTTTTTAATAGTGACTATTCAATTCGGTATACTTGAGTAATTGTGATTGAGGTACCAGTTCTGCATTCATGAATGTGACGACCTGCCAATGTCGTTTGACGGGAGTGGCGTAACCTCAGGATGGCCCATCTTGTTCCCAGGAACAGTGTGCCGAAGCTATTTCTCTTCTTTCTGCAAATCTGCCTGATGATAGTAAATGTTGATTTACCCTCAGTAACAGTATGTCTGCTACGTGCTTTACAATTTTAGTTGAAGTCGAGCCACACCGACACCGGGATGAACCAAGCACTCATTTGTCGTAATAGTCAAACGTCCCCGGGGGTCTCACTGCCACCTCATGTCGTATACATGGCAAAGAAATGCTGAAATGAACTAACGACAGTTTTCTGGAATCTTACGTTTTCAGCAGATTTTAATTTGAGTAACCCTCAAATACCCACCCCTGCCTGCCGGAAACAATTCTTTGTGTGCTTTCCTGCCCGTATCCAAACCTGAAAGCATCAGATTTTAATGCTTCACAGAGAAATGAGGCATTAAATTTGGGCGTGAAAAGGTTTCCACATGCCATCGCTAACCATTTTGCAATTATCCACGACCTGTCTGGTTGTCTGTTTGTTACATTATTAATGTTTGTTTGTTGCAGTTTTACTACCCCATTTATCGTACCTGCTCCCCCCCCCCCCCCCCCCCTTGCCCCCAACATGCCTTTCAGACCCTGAGAATAGACTTAATAATAAATAAATAAATAAAAACAAAAGAATGTATATAAGTTGCGCAAGCTTCATGCAAAGGAGCCGACGTGACCCGTCTGCTTTCTCGTCTCCGACAGGGTTCTCGACGGTGCACGGTGTCCACCACACGAATCGGCCCCACCGCTGCCACCTGTGCTTCCGGGCGTTCGGCAACAAGGCGCACCTGCGGCGCCACCTGCTGAGCCACACCGGGGAGAAGCCCTTCGGCTGCCCCTTCTGTGAGCGGCGCTTCTCGCAAGCCTGCAATGCCAAGGTGCACGTGGCCAACGTGCACAGCCAAGCCAAGACGCGCAGCAAGCCGGCGTTTGAGTACCCGGGCGCCGTGAGCTTTCGATACGCACCGCGCTCTGGAAACGGCCAGCAGCGGCTCTAGATGGCCGCCGCTTAGGTGTGGTGCCCACAACGCGTCTCCGACCAATGCGTCTAACGTCCTACGCCACCCGTGCATCAGAGTGTCTTGAAGCGACAAACAAATGGGTCAGGAAAATCTGCCAAAAAACGCCGTAGGTTGTCGTGATCCCGGCGATAACCTCAAGGCAGTGAAGAGGAGGCAGCTAGCCGGCACGGCTGGTGACCAAAAGAGGCAGCTTGGGGCAGGCCGTGCTACCAAATGATTGGTCACGAGTGCCATGTCACAGTTTGGCTGGGCTCTGGGACGTCTGCGCTCAAAATCGAGTCCGACAACCTTTGCTGCGGGCTGTCCCGGAGTTTCAAAAGTTCCGTTTAAGACGTCGCTACCTTTTGAATTAAACACCACCGCCCGGTCGGTATTGGTTGCAGAAGCATTGGCAAACGAGGCGAGTAGATACAGGCGTGGCCAGCGTCGCAGCGTCTAATGCTGAAGCTTTCAGCGGCAAAGTGAACTACATCGGAACGGTGCTTCGCTTTACCTATCTACTGCCCCACTGCGCAGGCGTGACATTACGAGGCAGTAAACAAGACGCTGCAAACTCGCCGGTCGGAAACTCGTCGTGGGTGCCGCAGTTTAGGGAGAGTTGTTGCAAAAAATGTGCTGTCTGCTTTGTGATGAACTGCCAAGACCCTTAAAGAAGCATCTAGGAATGAAGCGTTTATGTACAAGCTGTTCAGCCATTTCGGCTCTTGGGGAGGTCTCAAAAGCACCGCCAATTGTGCTATGGCAAGAATTTTGTGAGCTGAGGCATAAGCAAAAGAGATTAAGTCGGATGTAAACTCAATGCAGTATTTCCTCTTGAATGCCGTGGGTTCGCGTTTTGATAAAGTTGCCGCCTGAAAATGTATCTACGTGATCGTCTTTTTGTCTTCGCATCTTTACGTTGTACAGTCCCCTCCCTATCGGTTATGAAAATCAAAGGAGGAACCACTTTTTGAAGAAAGCAAAAATTCTAAGGTGTTGCTTTTCGGTGCAGCCTTTGTCTAGCAGTCAAACAAATTCTAACCTAATTGTAGTCTGTTGGCCAGGAGTGTCAGTAAAACATATAGTTACAGTCTATCAGCAACTGAGATTGAATCCTAGATGCATACTACCAATTTGACATCCAATAGTTCAACTTTTTTCCTTTCTTAATTTTCACAAAAGTGAGTTTGACAGTTTCATAGGGGAAGAGTGCTGAAGTTGATGTGCCTCGTTGGCTTCTTCAGTATTAAAAAATCTGTAAAGCAGTTATAAAAAGAAAAATTCTTTATTCTATACATTTGAATTGCTATTCAAAAAGCATTGCTACAGTTCAGTTTGAAGAAAGGCCTGTGGATCAGTATGATCCTCAAAATATGCCGTGGGTATATTCTCAGTGCAGCACTGATTACCATTCGTAGGCTGTTGCCAGATTGCAATGCAGGAATCTTTGTAGCGACATCAGCCTACTCTGTCTTTGCAATGAGCAGAAAGACAAGGACAAGAATGGACCTTATGCATTTTTGGCGCCGCCTATCAGCACATTGTCGCAATTGCTGGGCTGCAACCTTCAAAGATGGTAGCCTTTTCGTCTGCGTTTTGAACCAATTCTGGACGAGGAGTTTCAGAATCATGGTAACTGCTGGTTTTAAAAAAACGATTTTTCGCACGCTGACATTTTACAAGGTTTGTTATCAATCACAGTATACAATCATGATGCGTTCGTTGAATCTCCTACTCCCAAACTAGCAAAAAGTATTTTTAAACAAGAAGAGAGCTAAAAAGACACATTCTGAAGATTTCGGAGTTTATTATCCAAACGCACAACTTCACGATTTTACCAAACAAGGTGCTAGGGATGGCAGGGGTGCAGGGTTCAGAAATGGCATAAGCCTGGCGACGTCTGGATACTTTTCGTAACAAAAAAAAATACCCAAGGAAGAGAATTTATTTAAGAGATTTGTGTAGATCAAAGATGGCACTCTGCCATCTTCGAGGCAGGTTGAATCATCTTTCCGGTATTTCCGATAGATGGCGCCACAAATATGAATAAGGTTTATTATGTTGCTCCGAGGCGAGAGCGTCGGCCTACGGATCCCCATGAGGGGGGTTCGGATGCCGGCCGAGGTGCCTGCAATCTGACGGAGGCTTATTGCGGAGAAGGCACCGTGGTAACCGAGCTTTCGGTTGCACGTCAAAAGATCCCCAGGTGGTCGAAATTAATCCTCAGTCCTCCGCTGGGGCGTGCCAGATGCCCGTCGTTGGTTTGGTTGTAAAACCCCCAAATTAGACCTTAAGGTTTATTATGTTTAAATTGCTGATCAAAAGTTTTATGCAGCAACGATTAAGATATGCGATTTTAATGCTGGAGTGCAAAAGGAAGTGAAGGGAAGTCTACGTGACCAAACATTGGCAGCTTTTAGAAAAATATTTATTTTTGCGTAATGCGAAGAAAAAAAAAAAACTAACTTTGAATTTTGAGGTTTATGTCCTCATATGTGCATTTACTATCCTTTAGCATGCCATCTCTGGGCCCTCTCAGTTGTGTTTTTCTGGTGAGGGGTGGCAAGTAGGCTGCCTTATGTATTTGTATACCATTTTTTTTTATACAGACAGAACCTCCAACTCATTTTAGGGCAATCGTAATTCACTATTACCACTGTGTAACGGTGCAGCTATTCTGTCTGGCGACGTATTAAAGTTGTACTTCTGAGTACTTAATGCTAAATACTCTACTTTCGCATACTATGGGGTGTTTATCTGGAATCGATTTGGGTTAGGGTGTGGCGCAACGAGTGTCCCGTAAGGCTCGAATACTAGATAATATGACCCATTTCAACTTTTTTTTTTTTAGTTTCATACTTTTCAGTGTAGTTCACATCATTTGCAAGGAAATGCGAGCCCTGGTATTCGCATTGCATAAATAAGCTTGCGTCGCAGGTTAGTCTGAATTTCAGCCGAGCGTGGTGGGTCTCGTTTCTTAAAGTGTCCGAATTCAACGGCATTATTATAAGGTTAGAAGTCACTCTAGGTAAATGTTTGATAAAAAAAAAAAAATGGTGTCCAGCAGAGCTCACATGTGCAGGGAAATGTGTTTGCTGCCAATACCAGTCTCTGCTTTCCCATTTAGAATAATACTTGCATACTGTGTCCAACTTTTGAATCAGCATATTGTTCTAATCTAGAAAACTCCGACGTATTCTTTCAACCGCCAGAGTTGTATTCGAGCTAACTCGGAGCCATTTTTGATGTGGAGCTTTATTTGATGATATGCAAATAACGGGTCTTGCTTTTCTTGTAAACTTTCTGTACTTTGAAATATATTCGCAAATCGTTTCGAGGGTGCTGGTGTGACATTTAATGGCTTTACAATTTTTTTCTCAAATAGTCAGTCTAGTTATTCAAATACTTAGTCCTTTTTGTGTGCAAACCACTGTACTTATCGATAAGCACACTTGCAAGAGAAGGGAATTTGGACTGTAATTATGCTACAATAGCAGTAATGTGATAGCTGCACCATTTCTGCCAAACTGCTCCAAAGTACTTACCCTGCCACGTCTCGTTGCATATCATTAAGACGTGAGGAATTTTCACTTGCGTTGCACCAAAAACAAATTTCACTTTTTTGGTATCAAAACTAATTAATGTCAAAATCCCGCTACACCGCCAGAATGATATGGGAGGCATGGGTGTGTTTCGAAAAGTATCTGTTGTTGCATTTTGTCATTGAAAGTATTGGGAAGTCCCACAATATTGCAGGCCATAAGAGCATGTTGACATTTGTTTACACGGATTACGCTTCCTTCTGCTTTGTGGTCGGCGCAAAACGGATTAACATTTTAACAGGCGGAGAGTTGGTCACCGCAGAAAGCGATTTGAAGCGATGTGTGTAAGAATATCCCTTTCGTTCACCCCATTGTGCGCACTTCCCACTGCACACTGGTGTACTGTGGAGAAGCAACACCGACAGAGTCAGTGTTGCAATCCTGCGTATCTTGCTTTGCCACGGTGCAGTTGCGTGTTGAGGGAAAGGGCTCTTTTCCAGTGTGGATGGTGATGATATGGCTACTTCGCCATGCAGTAAAACAATCAAAATAAAACTGCTGCTAGTGGTCAAGTATATGATAGACCTTCATGTCCGGACAAGTTATGCGCATCATTCGTCGAAGTCGCGTTTCTTAGAGTTTAAGATTAGAGAAGAGGTATGGGTATACATAGATAACTTTTAAAATAACCTTAATCTGGTATAGCTGGGTTTCTCGCTTTGTTGTCGCCTCTCTAAAGTCCTCCAAAGGCTTGAGAGTATGGTCAGTGAAGTTTAAACTAAAACTAAATAAGCTTTAGCAGTGGACGAGTGGAAGCTTGGGGATCGCCTTTACGAGTTCAGCTCTGTGTTTTAAGAAGGCTGGCATATTTATCATCCGCGTGGTGATTTTTCATCATCATAAAACTCTATGCGTAAAGTGTTGATTGATGTGCATAGTTATGTTATGATGGCTTTGTCTTGTGACCGAGATGAGAATCGCAGAGTTTTCGTGGTAACTTTTAAACTTGAACAAAACATCCAGTTTGATGCTCAAAACTATTTCATTCATACATTGTTTTAGTGGAATACTGTTTGATTTACATTTGATTTCACAAGCATATGTGACCTACGTATGTGCTTGTGAAGTTCTTTTTGCTGCTCCAATAGGTGGCCCAAAATTGCCCAGCCCAGTCACATCGCCGCACTTGTGGAAGGCCATAATTTCAGTCGAACTAGACACTTTCGGCCTAATATCAACAAGAAAACTGGCACTCATTTCATTCTACGGCGTATGCTGCTAGATATTTGCAGCTCCTGTTTGCCGAGGTGATTTCGCTTAGGTCTGCTTACAACGTGTCCTTGTATTAGAATTTCGTACTGTCATCTTCTGGCTTCACTCGGTACAAATTTAGTTCAGGTAGAGTGGTGTATTTTAGCTTGGGCACGCACTGACTTACATATAACCGCATGAGATTTCGCCAGCCCTAGCCTCAATGCCACTGATCATGCTGAGTGAAGATAAACATGCTCATAATCATCATTGTTAGGGTGGGATGCAGTGATGCGAAAGAAACCTGTGATGCGCTGTGGTATGTGTGAACTGCTACTTATATTTTCATTACTGTTGATAAATGCTAGCAAAAGGTATTGTCACCCATCCTAAATTTCGGTGCCTGACGGAAAAGGCAAATATGGCACTGTGAAACTTGCGGCTGGAAAGACACGAGTGAGAACTGGACAATACTAAGGACTCGACTGTTGTGAACGATGTCTCAAAGACTGCTTATCTCACATACTGTCTCTGAAAGTGACTACTTCATCCCTTCTTTTTGGTGGTCCCAGCAAAGTCTGATATGACTATCGTTGGGGACGTTTATTTAAGATGCTTATGCTTTTACAGTTTCATTTGACTTTTGTGTACAACATTTTATCATTGTCTTAAATTCGTGGCCATGTTTCTGCCACGTGTATGTTTGGGCTGGAAGAAACAAGGTTTTATATTATCCTGTAATCACAGTTAAGAACTATGTTTTATCAGGTGTCTTTGCACTAGCCTACAATGCCATAATGTTATTGAACTTGCAAAGTTCATGAAAGAGTCTGCAGAGATGGTGTCATTGAGCCTAATGATTGTATTATAGCTGTCTCGACCACTCTCAGTGCAGTTGAACAGTTTTTATTCCTTGATGAAGTGCACTGGTTTTGTGTTTTGTTTTTTGGGTATTACAATAAAGGGTACAGCAAAGGTCGAACCTGAGCCCGAAATTGTTTTTCACTGGTTTTTTGAGGTCCCATGAATGCATAACGGTATTTCTCAATGTACTCAGAGAATGCCCTCTTCAGGTAGTGGCTAAAAATGTCAAGATAGACCGTCCTCGAAAACTGTGTCCCCCATGTCATACATCAGAAACCTGAACTGTCACTAGATTTAGTTTCTTTACCGGACGACGTACAGCCTCGGTTGCTTCAAGGCAAAGTGCCAGCCTACAGATCCCCAATTGGCGAGTTCGGATCCCAGTTGTGCCTGCAATCTGACGGAGGTTTATTGCGAAGAAGGTGCCGTGTAACCGAGATTTCGGTTCATGTCAAGAGATCCCTAGATGGTCGAAATGAATACTCAGCCCTCCGCCTGTGGTGTGTAGATACTCTTCGTTGGCTTGGCTCGTAAAACCCGAAATTTGATTGTTGGATTACATGCATTCGTTTCGTTGCTACGAAGTTGGCTTTGGTGATCGCTTACATTTTTTGTAATCTCCACTCACTTTTTGTTTTCTTTTTTTGTAATCACCACCAATTACTATTATGTTCAGAGTCATCGGCATGTTGTTTAACTTAGGTTTCAATACAGATTTCATGTTGCGTGAAACGCCTTGCAAAGTTGGTAGATGGGGGCTCACTTTTTAAGAGGGTTTATTACGCAGCTGCGTCTTCATACGACAGGTTTTACGAACGGTATCTATTTACCTTGTAGTCTTGTGCTACAATTTCTTTTCATAGTTTAAATATTACCATCATTGTTTTGGTCATGTGAGGGTGCTAAGGTCACGGTCATTTGTAAAGGGTGCATGATTGCCATTATGTCTTGAATTTGGATACTGCTTCAACATATATGTTTATTTCCTGCTCTGCATATCATGGCAGTTTGTTTTAGCATACCGTAGTACACTTAATGATCTGGTAAGTTAAACACTGGCACAGATGATGCCAATGCATTAATGGTACTTGCTTGGCAAAGATCTTGTTTAATGAAGCTGACTCGACAAGTTTTCCGGTAGTCCACCATACTGTCTTTCTTATCTATTCTTATGCATGCCTCTATTTGATATCTTCACACATAGCATTTCAATAGGCATGCCTTGTGATTGTTCTTTAATACTCTTGGGAAAATCAATAATAATAAAAATGGAACAAGTTTTGTACAAGCTAATGTTTCGATTATAAATGTGCATGCTGGCTTTCTAAGTTGTGCCTAAGAGTGTGTCATCTGACAGGACTTGTCACAAGTATTTTGAAATGCCCTTGGAGGGTTAGGCTGCTTCAAACCTGTTTTCCCCAGTTGCAGCGAAAACTGCTTGCAGTCCAGACTGTTAGTGGACATGTGTTTTGATGGCAGTGTGTTATTAGTGGATAACCTCCTCGTAGATGTTTGTTTTTATGTGGATAACTCTTGTGGAACAACAAGTACCTAGAAGAAAGCTTTAATTCAGAAATGGCTTTCAAAAGCAACTGACTGTAGCAAATCTCAAAACTTTCTTGGAAGATTATTTCAGTGGTCACATTACTGAATTTCAAACCTTGACTCGTGGTGCATAAAGCCTAAAACGGGATTGTGCAGGCTTTCGGATATGTCAATAACATGCAGCACTGAATTGTTTATTCTGTGGCAGAAGCAACCTTTCCTGTTGTTCAGACTCGAACGATTGATGAACTGAATGCAAGTGCACAAATGGGTTAGTGTAAATTGAACATAACATGAGCCCCGAGATTGCGAGCCAAGAAACCATACGGAAACCGTCTGTTGTATGCTTCATTATTTACCTGCAGTCTCGGGGTTTATGTAGTGTTTAAACAATGGAGCCTTTGCAGTAGGTTTCATTCTGATTCTCTGCTGACAGTTGCAGGGCATATTACATGGCGGCTCTTCAAAATGTAATGTCAAACTAGTCACTCGTGTTTGTTTCGTCTGTGTCTGAAGCTAGTTCACTTTGTCCGGTCTGGAGCAGAGCGAAAGTGTCGGCCGTGCTTTTGGCCTCTTGCAACGTAAGATCTGCAGGACAAGCTCCGCCTCCGGCATGCGCTCCTTGCATTCTGTTGTGCTTTAGCTGTGCATGCTGCAGTGGCGTACAGCCCACCTCCCCCAAAGAAAACATATCTGGCTATGCCACTGTAACATGGCCAGTGCCGTACCTTTTGTCACCTTAAGGGGAAAATGCGGGGCGTGTATTGAACACGAGCGCCTTGTCAGCATTCGGCCGAAGCTCCTGTCCACACCGACCCCTGACTTCGTCGTCTAGGAGGCACGTGTGCTAGAGACTGAGCTTTCACCGCAAATCTTGTGCTGAGAAGGGGCATTGGTGAAGTGCATATTCCAATTTGGTTCCTCCCCCCCCACACTTTGTGCTCTTTCGAAGAAGACGGTGCATGGTGTCTGCCTTCCCGTTGCAGTTGCGTGGCAGACGCAGCTCGGGGCGTCGCGTCCCTTCAAGTGTGCCTTCTGCAACTACACAACCAACTACAAGGGCAACCTGCCGACGCACGAGCGCAAGCACACCGGCGAGCGCCCCTTCCTCTGTGGCTGGTGCCCGCGGCGGTTCGGGAACCGGTCCAACCTGACGCGCCACGTGAGGCTACACCGGGGGGAGACTCCGAGGCGCCACCGGGTGGCGCGTCTACCGCAGGCGTCGCAAGCGGTGCTTCCTGACGATCCGCCGACTTCAACAGATGACGTCCCGTTCTGACCGTCGCGTCGTTGTGGACTGGGAAGGGACGTGGTTTCATCGAGCGCTCTCTCTTCTCGCAAATGCTTCCGTGGCCGGTTTGGCCACCTTTCCCTTCGGGTGGAGTGCACCCGGTTCGCCGGTGGCGAGGCTGCCCTCTAGTGAGCTCGTACGTATAAGAAAGCATGTTTTCGTGTTTTTTTAATGTTATCTTTAGTTACTTTTATCAGCATGCTCTTCTTCTACAGGACTGTTACACTTAAGTTTTAGTCAACCTTAAAACAGTGGTATTCCAGGACTCGAATTTAAGTGCTGCGCATTTGCTTTCCCCAATTCGAATACCAAGTAGGGACCATTTTCAAATCTGTAGCCACCTTGCGGTTATTAGCAGGTTCTTTGTCCACGTGAAATTACATCATGATGGACGGGCAACGCGGCAGGGGTTGCACATGGGTATTAGCTGCCGGTTGATCAGGGAGCAAATTTGTATCGGCGGGTTTTTTTTAACTGCTCGAGTCGATGCAGTAGTACTAAGATGCAGCCTCGGGCTCCAGGTTTATGTCGGCTCGTGTAAATACAGTAATAAGAGATAAACCAGTCGGCTCCGCTAGCAGTGTTACCACACGTACAGTTTGAGTAACGTGACAATGACAAAGGTAACATGTGGCCGTTCATTCATCATCACCTCTATAGCCTAAGAGTCGTGCACTGTTCACATGCAATAGGTATCACCGCTCCTACAGTCATTGTAGCATTGTGGCCCCTTGTTGTCACCACCTCTTTGGGTGCCTTTGCGCCCATATAACGGCCACACGTTCGTCGTCGTACAGACACACTCATTGGCTAACGGCATCTGATTGAATGCTAACGCTGCGCTCGTGCCGAATCGCTGTGCCCCCTCTTTTGGCTAGACATTCATGTCCCTTGAGATCGCGAAAATCTTACTGCAGAGTGCAGTGCCATGCACTCTGCATATTTTAGACATGGAGGATTGAGCTACGTGTACTTTTATGCAAGTGTAAAGTCATTTCTTTGTTCCCTTGTGTGACAGTTTAAAAAAATTAAAGACGTTTACAACTCCCTCTAATGCCGAATTAGAGCGCAGCTCTTGAGGAAGAGGATGGGAGGGTATTGAGGGGAGGGTATGCCCCTCCTCCTCCTGTGCTTTTTCCCTCATCCTCTGCTCCTCCTCCCTTCCTTCTCCTGCTCCTCTCTTGAGGTATTTTGATTTTGCGATATACCGTGCTAAACAATCTGAGAAAGATAAATATATATATATATATTGTGGGTATTCTTGCTCACCGCATGTCCGGAGAAAGGAGATATAGTTCTCACATCTGAAGCTCCACTCTGTCTAAGTTCTGCCGGTGCCAGGAAACAGGACAGCAGGAGCAAGGCAAGAGAACGAGACAGCGTTAGAGTCAACACTTTGATGAGGCACGTGATACTCTCGACGTCATCCTACTTGCTGTTAGCTCTTTCGAAGACTGCTCGGCGTTTTTGATTTCCTTAGCATTAGTCTTGAGCGTGCTCCCCTGAGATGGCATTGCAGAACAGCAAGTGCACGTCCCTCGGGGCCAATGGGATGTTTTCCTGCATGACTGATATGAAGTTCTTTGTCTTGCGCGAAATATTTGGTGAGTGCTGTAGGTGAGAGATACAGAGCTACCACGAGCAAGCAGTTGTCGACCACGGCGGCACACTATTTACCAACTTCGTCTGACGTGCCACAGAAATCGATAGGTGCAGCACAGACCCGTACCCATGTACATGGCCACTTGGATAACGAGTACACCATGATTTCATATGTGCCCATCTGTGATTTATGAATGGTGATATCATTTGCCTGCACAATGGGTAGCTGGCATCTCCCCTCCTCCTCCCCCTTTCTGGTCCTCCCTCCTGCTCCTCCTTCCTCTTTCTCTCCTCCTCCCCGTAACGTCACGTGTGACGTCATTATGGGAGACGTCCCATAATGCAACGCGCGGTTACGCTGATGCCGGTCTGGCTAAAAATGGGCACCTAAGAGCTGCTCTCTAAAAAATAAAAAAGAATGACAGCAACTGCTTTTTTTTTTTTAGTTCACTTCCTTTTTCTAGGTCGGAGGACGTGAAACAAATGCTGGGTTGTCTGGTAATACCTAACAAACCAACATCTGTGTTATCATTCGGGGAGTAGTTCTTATATAACGATGAGCAGCAAATTAAATAAAGAGTTGCTTAAGTTTCCAGCTACCTGGAATAGAAAAGGCACGCATGGAAAAGCTTCACGGTGACTGACGACATTTCGCCGAGAGACTTGCCAAGGGTCTTAGCGACGTGTTGGCTGCCGCGATAAAAGCTGGTTCACATTGCGCTACTCTTGGTGGCCAAGGTAATGCGTAATACCATCTCGTAAGCACTCTTTAAGTGGTCGTAATGCAGTCAATACTAATATCTGAACCAGCCTTGAGACTTCTAGAAGGTTTCTTATGGTACAAAAGAAAATGCACGAAAAAAACGGACAAAATAAAACATTTACGACAGACGAGCACATTTTGTTGCATGTGTCTTTTGTCCCTGTTTTTTGTGCACACTTTTTTATGATGAGCCTACCAAATGGCCCACTTTTGAACACTTCTGCAGTGTTGTTACCATGCTTCACTTTCCAAAATTAGACATTTTTTGTATTTCTGCAAAATGTGCTATATATGTCTGTTTTAGTATATGCAGAAGGATCACTAAAGTAGCCACTAAATGTATGATTGTTTGCTCCATATGGTTCAATAACTTTTTCAGTATTCCCAGGAGGCATTTTCTTTCATGCATGTTTCTTGCTCCTGGCCATAACATGTTTTTGCACTTTTTGTTTCAGTTGTGTGCAACAAAAACTAAAGGCATTCAAGAAAAAGTGTGAAAATTGTGACAATTACAGCATAGCAAGTCTCGAAGGTTTTGAGTGTTTTCATGGCATGATTCTCTACCCATAAAACATTATTGCCATTGGTGTTGTTTTGCAGTTAGCGCCCTTGTGTCAAGAAGTGTGTTTGATTTGACTTAGTTGGCAACAAAACTCGATTTTATCTGCAGTGAAATTGGTCGGTCACAGATTAATTTCCCCATGCTTAGCATTTTGTTACAATGTCGGTCGGGGTGTTTCAAGATTTGCATATTAGCTCTTCCAAGCAGACTTGTTAATGCGTACTGAGAGATTACCTATGCAAGACTCCTAAAATTTTTACTCATTTCCTGTTCTCTGTTTTTTTGTTACTACTCTCTTATTGTCTTTTGTGAAAATACGGTGCAATTTTTTTTATTGTTTGTTTCATTTGGTGGACCGCATAAATCTGTTTCTTGCCATGCGAGTTGCAATTTTTCACAAGAATGAAATTAGGTGGCAGACTTTGCGATTTCACTGTATGTGATTATAAAAACAAGAACAGTAACAGTAAATATTTTATGACCCTTCAGGTGTGTATTTTTCACAGAACTAATGGATAGTAGGAATGCCACTCCCTCTAGCTTTGCTCTAATACAACGATTGTTTTGACAAAATAATCCCTAGTAATTGTGCACCTGAAATTCTAAGATCCTATGTATGTGACCCAGTTTCAAATTAGTGGAAAATTACAGTATGCCTATGGCTTGTTTTCACCCCAAGAACCATATAAAAAAATGCTCACCTCGTCACAGAACACTACTAGCAGTGATGGAAGTGCCGAAATGGCGCTGAATTGCGCCGTGAACGAAAGTCTGCTACATTTTGTGCCGAGGTGCCATTTTGCTAAGAATTGCGCCACACTTGCGCCAAAATGGACAAAGCAAGAAAAATAATAGTAATAAATATTTTTGGTAGATTTTAATATTTAGAGAAGTAAGAGGAAAGGAAAATGGGACAAATATATATTTCAGAACACCTTCACTCAGCGTATAGTTTGTTTTATCTTAAGTCAGAGTACAGTCAAAGGCTCGGATACATACAACAACAAACACATACTACAAGCGCAAGTCACAGAACATTCGCTGAACTTGATTCATTTAGTCGATGAAAGACTACGCACAGAAAGATCGACGAATGCCATATAATGTCGCACATTGAGGCCGGTTGGTCCCCATTGACTCGTAGCATTGGCTGTGCTTTAAATTAATGTGAGACAAAGTATTGAAATCGCTCGTCAACCGCACTGGTTGTTTGATGTGCTGGCGGATGGATCTACGACATCGTCTCAATTTTCTGACTATGTCGGCGATGCGAGGAGCTAAAAGTTGCGAGGAAACATTGCCAAATTGTAGGATTGTGGCTACTGTGATAAGGCAGAACCAGAGTCTTGTACTCATGATGAGATCACTTGATTATCGTGTCTGCCACATGCCTCCCCGCTGCCTCTCACCAGCGCGCACGTGTCGAGCTTCACCGCTTTGCACCGGAGCGCTAGGTGCAGCGGCTCACATGGGTGAGCGCATGGGTTAGGACGATAGGATCAGTAATCATGCTCAATACTATTCCACGTCTGCTTTTTTTTTTTTTTTTTTTTTGTCTTGATAGTAAGTTGATCTAGAATTTAAAAAAAAAAAAAAAAGATCTGTGCCAAGAAAAAGATTGTGGTTCTATATTTGAATAAACGATAATCAAGGTTACCCGTGCAGCTGTCGATCGAAAGAGCAGTGAACTTTAACTTCAGTCCGGTTCCAACGCCGTTAAGGAGCAGTGTCATCTGTACATGTGTATGTTTTCATATTATTTGGAGGTGGTTGTTTTGGCAGTTCATAATATTAAAGAATTGCGTTTGGTAGGTTCATAAAACTTGGGGGGGGGGGGGGGGGGGGGGGGTGCATTTTTGTTGATGGACAAGCTGGTTTTTGCAGGCATTTCACAGAACTTATATATACAGGCTAAATAAACTACAGGCTGTAAAAGTGTGAGTGGAGAGAAGCTTTATCCCAACGGAAGTGTTGCACTACGATTCATTTTTCATCAATTTTTTAGTACCCATTGTAAAGGGAACTTTCTG